TAATGAACTTGATCTCAACCTTGACTTACTAAGACTAATTCATCGTCGTGATCATTATAAGTGATCACTGCATTACTTTGCTACGCAACAGAAACTTTACGCCACAGCAGTTATAGACCCGTAAGGTTGTAATTGCCGAACCGTTACACTTTGAGCACCTCTTTGCCAAAGTAAGCAAATCACTATGGCTCCACAGACTCCAGCATCCTCGTCCGCCAACCTCCCGGCAACAAACCCTCCTGCAACCCCGGCCCCGGTCCAAATAGCCGTGGGACTCATCGACAAAGACCTCAAGGTTCCCCTTCCCGATTCATTCAAGGGAGAACGTTCCAAAGTCAAGGCTTTTGTCATGCAATGTGAACTCTACATCGGATTCAATGTTAGTCGCTTCAGCTCGGAAGTCGAACAGGTCCTCTGGGCAACTACCTTCTTGAAGGCGGGAGCCTTTGAGTGGATCGAGTCCTTCTTGGAAGACTATATGAACAACAGGGCAGCGAATGGACGACCTTCCACTCGCTGCTCCACCGACACGAAGGAGATTTTTGGGAGCTGGGCAGGATTTAAGAAACGTCTCAACAGGGTCTTCGGAGACCTGGACAAGAAACGCAATGCAGTACGAATTCTTCGCAGTCTCAGACAACGTAGCTCCGCAGCCATCTACACAGCAGAATTCCAGCAGCACATGGGACGTACGGGATGGGACAGTGACGCACTAATAGATCAGTACTATCAGGGCCTCAAGGACCAAGTGAAGGACGAAATCTCAAGGACCGATTGGCCGGATGACTTGACAGACCTCGTCGATCTCGCCATCAAAGTCGATAATCGCTTTCACGAACGACAAATGGAAAAGCGTGGCAGTTACTCCTCTGGTCGCGATAGGAAAGCGAACCAACCCAGAAGGGGCAACTACTGGCCACAACCCATGGAGTTGGACGCCACTAGCCGTCGTACTAGCCCTTCCCAGAAAGAGAAGCAACGACGAAGAGAAAAAGGATTGTGTTACGAGTGTAGACTTCCAGGTCATCAGGCCGCTTCCCATCGAAAGGGAAAGCAGCCGGGAAACAAGAAACCCTGGAAAGGGAAGCTTCGACAAGTTAACGCAACCCGACAAGTGAATGCTACTCATCGAACCCCTCTTACCGAGGAGGACCTCGAAAGCATGTGCATTCATAGCCAGCTTGGGGCTATGGAAGCCCAGCAGACTAGCAACCCTTCCTTCCAACAGGAAACGGAAGTAGCCGTTGAACCTGAAAGAAACGAGGAAGGGACCGAATCCGAAGACGAGTCTTCTCTGGGCACGCTGCCTCAGGTATAGGAAGAGTGGGTTTTTATCGGGGCATCAGAGAACGGAAACTTTTGGAGAAGTGACGCGAATAACATTTTCTTTCCTCTAGGATTGACAAACGGGGTCAAACCCGTTCAGTTTGGAAAGTACATTGTCACTTACGTCGACTTCGAGAGAATTGCCTTTAAGAAAGAAAGAACATCGGATATCACTATCGAGAGTATTGACCCTAGGGAATCGCTCTAGTCCCTAGAGAACATTCTCGAGCCAGGAGACATTTGGGAAGTCATCACGACCGGAATCAACAAAAGAATCTGGAGGAAAGCTATATTCTTGTCTACTGGGCAGCACGAATACGCAGAACAGATGCTCTACTAGCCTACTACTAGTACGTTCAGACTCAATACACCATACCGATTGACGGCTTGGGAGAAACACCAACGGACCTAGGTCGACTTATTTAGGGACACCGAGGTTACGGAGATGTTGAGAGACCCACATGAGCTGAATGTTACGAGTGGCCGAGAATATATCAATGTGGACACCACATTCAGGGGGAAGAAGCTCAGAATCTTGATCGACTCTGGAGCTACCGGCAACTATATTTCTCCCGCGACTATCGCCAAGCTTAATATCCCAATCACTGGAATAAAGCTCTACTAGCTGACAGTAGTAGATAATACGCAAATAAATCACAATAACGGAGTAATTAGCCAGGGAACTGTCCCTTCAAAACTGACAATGAAGGACGGACACACAGCGAATGTACAGTTTGACATCGCACCAATCGGAAATCACCAAGCTATTTTGGGAATGCCTTGGATCCGCGAACACAACCCTGAGATCGACTAGTTCAGCGAGACTATCACGTTTAGTCGATGCCATTGTGAGAGTTCACAATGACTAGAGGGCCGGAAGGAGGTTAGCGCCACCTCTTCCAATGCGCCAGGACACTTTGCCAAGGGTCCTCCACAGGATGCCAGCCAGAGCAGTAAGAAAATCCCTGTGTAGTATAAAGAATTCGAGAGATTGTTCGAAAACCCGGAGGATATGCGTGCCCTACTCGAACATCAACTATAGGACCACGAAATCAATCTGAAAGAAGGACAGCAACCGCTTTCCGAGAGATTACGACGACATCGTTACGATACTACTAAGACGTTGGAGGAATACGTGCGAAAAGCTTTGAAAAAAGGATAAATTCGACCATCCAAATCACCAGCAGCCTCAAATATGTTGATAGTAGGAAAGAAAGGAGATCCTAACAGAAGACTTTGCGGTGATTTTCGTAGGCTAAACGATGCCACGATACGAGACCAATATCCATTGCCCAACGCCCAGTATCTACAGGACAGACTAGCTAAAGCAAAGATATTTACGAAAATTGATCAGCGGAACACTTTTAACCTGATCAGGATCAAAGAAGGACACGAATGGAAGACTGCTTTCCTCGTACTTTCAAGACTGTACGAGTATACAGTTATGCTATTTGGGTTAACCAATATACCGGCAACGTGTCAACGCCAAAATGACAACATTCTGCGAGAATACTTAGATAAGTTTGTCATCTGTTATTTAGACAACATCCTAATCTATTCCGAGAATATCCAGGAACATGAGAAACATGTCCGGTTAGTGCTAGAAGCTCTTGCGAGAGTTGACTCTAGACTAAAACTGGAAAAGTGCGAATTCGGAGTCACGGAAACCGCGTTTCTAAGTTATATAATCCGACCAGGAGAAATGAGTATTGACCCAGAGAAAATCCAACGAATCAGAGATTGGCCTGAACCGCAGAACGTCAAAGATATCTAATCGTTCTTGGGATTCGGGAACTTCTCAAGACAATTCATTAGGAACTATTCGAGTATCTCCGCGCTACTTACGCGCTTTACGAAAAAAGACACGCTATTTATTATAGGAGAAGAGGAAAGAACAACTATATAGGAGCTAAAAAACAAGTACACACAGGAACTTGTTATAGCGAGCTTTTACGAGGATCGGCTAAGTATAGTTGAAACTGATATTTCGGACACCGCTGTAAACGCTACACACTTCTAGCTAGACGAGAACGGAAAGCTACACCCCGTAGCCTACTATTCCGAGAAACACTCGCTAGCTGAGCAGAACTACGACATTTATGAGAAAGAACTTATAGCTATAGTCAAAGCTTTGAAGTACTAGAAGATATATCTCCAAAGTACAAAGTTTCTAATCACTATACGTACCGACCACGCGAATCTCTGTACTTTTATGACTACAAAAGTCCTAGACAATCGACGAATAGTACGATAAGCAGAAGAACTCTCTCAGTTTGATTTAATAATCAAACATGTCAAGAGAATTGACAACCCCAGAGCCGACGCTCTGAGTAAGCAGCCTAGGTACAAAGGAGACAAAGTCTATAAGGAAGTAGCTATATTCCGGAAAAACAAAGACGGAGACTTTATCCCTAACACAAGGGAAGTCGCTGCCTTCACGAGAACCAAAGGGCCGTAGGATGACGAAATCATCCAAGCTCAAAAGAAAGATTTGGAACACACAGACTACACTAACAGGAAACTGCAGGTCCCAGACGCATTCGCAAAGGAATTCATCCTCAAGTACTATGCAGCTCCGGCTCACGGACATCAAGGAATCAACAGGACTCTTTAGCGAATCAAGTAACACTATCACATTGACAAGATCAACACTTTAGTCAAAGAAGTGATAAGAGAATGCGACACCTGCATCTGCAACAAAAGTGCTAGACACGCACCGTACAGGAAGATGGGAACTACCCCTATCCTGGAACAACTATGGAAATCAATCTAATAGGATTTTATTATTAAACTCCCACTTTCCAAAGATCCAATGACGGGAGTAATATACGACTTAATCTTGGTTATTATCGAATAGTTTACGAAGTACATGATCGTTATTCTATATTTGGAATCTAGTACAACCGAAGAACTTACATTCGCCTTCTTGCGAGAAGTCGTAGCAAGATATAGGATGCCAGAAGAAATAATCTCTGACTAAAATAAACTCTTCACATCTAAGTTTTGAACTACTTTGACTGTCTATTTAGGAGTTAAAAGAAAACTATCGACTACTTTCCACGTATAGACAAATAGTAGAACAGAAAGAATGAATCAGACAATTGAAGTATACTTACGTTGTTATATTAATTACAAATAGGACAACTGAGTATCGTTACTCCTACTTGCTACATTTACATACAATAGTGCAATCACGGACACAACGAAAGTATCGCTATTCTTTGCTAATTACAGTTACAACGTTAGTGCCTATTACGAAGCTAAGACGACGAACGTCGACAACTAGTTAGCACGAGTCTAGATAGACGAAATCAAAAACTTATATAAAGAACTAAGCAGTGAACTTCAGTTTATTGCAGAAAAAAGCGCTCTGTATTACAATTCGAAACGTAGTCAGGAGTTAACGCTACAGGAAAGGGATAGAGTTTACTTGCTCAGAAAAAATATAAAAACTAAATAACTAAACGATAAACTAGACTACAAGAAGCTGGGACTATTCAAAATTAAGAAGTTCAAAAGACGTCTGAATTACGAGTTTACTCTACCAAAAACAATGAACATCTTTCCGGTTTTCTATATTTCTCTCCTCGAACTAGCACTACCAGGTACACTACTCGCGCTAGTGACCGAAATAGAACCAGTCAACTTAAACGCCGAGTACGAAGTCGAACAGATATTAGACTGTAGACAAGTCAGGGGCACAGTCAGATACTTGATCAAATAGTTGGACTACCTACATTCGGAAAATACCTAGGAACCCAGGACTCATCTCAACTGCTGCTAGTTACTTGAGGAGTTCTACCGGCAAAACCAAAGATCTCTTAGACAAAGTCGTCAGGACCCGGCAAGGGACCAAGGTCGAAAGAAGGGTCGCCGCCTAAGCCGCCGCTCGTAGTAGCCAGCTACCTCGACTCCGCCTCACGAGCTGCTTCCGCTTCCTTCTCGTCCTTTTCTTTCGTTTTGGCTACTTCTAACTCGTCAAGAGAACGTAGCTCCCTCTCTATCATTTTCTTACACTTTTCAACAAACGCCTTTTTTTTGTTTGCGAAGACGCAGGATCTTCGCCATCGCCGCCTCCTCGTCTTCATCGAGTTTCCGCTTAAGCCTCTCGATAGAAGCCTAGTCGGAAAGTGAGGGCATTCGGGCCACTACGTCACAACCGCTCCGTCCTTGACGAGCGCATTCGGAACAACGAGTAGAAGTCCCTGGGTCTGCGACAATACACCGTCGCCCAGACCTGGCGCAAGCAGAACAAGGGGACATTTCTTCAGCGTTAGGGGAACGCTCGATTTCAACGGCCAGGGCAATTTGCTCTGATCTTTTCTTCGAATATAAAAGGTTACGTAGAGGTGGCATAATGAAGGAAGAAGAAGGCCATACCCGACGTTCGATGTTTTCGATATGACCTTTAAGCTAAGGGACTACGCTAAGCTACATAGGGGATAGTGTTACGAACGCCAACTTTATAGCCTGAAGCTTGGGTGAATGCGCAGCATCACCACAGAGAACTATGAAGACATGTGACGAGGTTACGTGACGGTAGGATCACAGGTCGGGAAATCAGGTGATGGATAGAGGGGATAGTTGAGGCTATCCAACTATCCAGTTTATCCGATTTACGAACGGATAGCTAGTGCTATCCACGCTATCCAAGAGCAGGAAGGTCCTATATAAGCAATNTAATGAACTTGATCTCAACCTTGACTTACTAAGACTAATTCATCGTCGTGATCATTATAAGTGATCACTGCATTACTTTGCTACGCAACAGAAACCTTACGCCACAGCAGTTATAGACCCGTGGGGTTGTAATTGCCGAACCGTTACAGTAGGGCCTGTAGCAACACCCTGGCGACGTGCCTACAGGTCTCCTCCCAGGGGTCTCACAGGTGCCGCAGTGCTGTGGCTCCAGCCTGAGACCTACTGTCCAGGCTCCCTCCCAGGCCTCGCTCCAGGCTTGCACCCACTGTAGCGTACCACTGTAGGCATCGCTTCAGGGCATGGCTTCGGGGCCTCATAGCCTGGAGCCATAGCCTGGAATCCTGTGCCGCTGCCTGACGTGGTGGTGGGGCTGACTCAGCGGGATTCCAGCCATCCTACCATCTCCCCAGGCCGTGCCCCCAGGCCTTGATACCCTGTAACCACAGGCCCACCACCCACCGTAACACCCGCTATAGGCATCCCTACAGGGCATCGCTGCAGGGCCTCATGCCCTGTGGCCAGAGTGTGACGGTGCTGGAGCGATGCCCGGCACGTGCGCCCTTTCGGCTAACCCACCACGTGCCGTGTCATGTGGTCAGTCAGCAGGAAGGGCGCACGTGCCGGTCGTCGCTCCAGCACCGTCACATAAATAATATAAATAACAGGGTGTCCAAAGCATTGGTCTTGGTGTTGTGGTATTGAATTGACTACTTCCTCCTTTGGGAGAGGAACATTAGTAATTTCATAGTCCTCGATTCTAACTTTTACGATTCCTCACGTCTCACGACTTCTCTCCTCAATCATTGACAGCTATGCGTCACAATACTGAGTCTTCCTCGCCTCTCTCAAACACTCCATCACCGGTACAAAAATCGAACCGTTTCTTGTCGCTTCCTAAATCAAGGTGATCAGGGAGCCTACAGTTGGAATCGTTGAGTTTCCGCTCGCGCTGTCCACCTCCAATGTCCCGTTTGCCACTTCGCCATTTTCCTCACGGAATACTGCACGTTCTGGGTCTGGGCTTCTAATCTGCTCCGCCCTCAAAAATGGTACACCCAATGTGCCTCGAACGAACACATACATACACTTAGAGGCTACCCCGAGGACCGGTGTTGCGTCTGGTTGTTTAGTGTAGGTGTCACGGCAGGCATAGAACGTTTCACTGAGGAGGTCAGAGGTAGTGCTTGTCCATGACCGCACTAATGCAAGAACGTCGACTGCCACAACCGACGAGAGCGACATATTAGTCAATAATGTCGGCTGGAGGGCATTGGCAATAGAATCGAATCTTTCGGTGGAGTCCATAGTAGTGGTCTGGTCGAGAAGTTTGACAAGATGGGCCCACAGTGCGACGCAAGTGTTAGCCCCGGTTTCCTCCGCTCCATCTTTACCGGAGGGTGAGATGATGAATTCACCAAATAGTGATACTGTGTTTGTGCGGAATATTGGCTCTACCATTTCGAGGAATTTGATGTGCATGGCTCGTAAATCGAGAGCCTGGCAGAGAGCAAACAGATGTGCCGCTGCCAGCTTCGAGAGAACATCGAGGGCAGTATGAGTGTACCGTGCTGAAATTAAAGCTAGTGAATTGAGCGCCTGGTTACCCATTTCAGCTGTCTGGACATGACTACCGACTGGGTTGGCCAGAAAGCCAAGTTCGGAGAGAAGGGCAGCAACCATCAAGTCCACCGCCTTCATGACAAAAGACTGGCTGGGCTCATCAGCAACCAAATTTGGGGGAAGGCCTCGATTGGTAGTAGGGTTGATAAGCTCAGTACATTGAGTAAAGAGCATTCGTCCTATGCTTTGCGCCCCTTGGCGTGACTTCTCCATGGCGGAGGTGACAGCCTTTGCCTGAAAATTCCCGCCATGGAGCGATTTACCCTCCCTATTGATGAGAGGATTGTCCGTAACAGAATTGAACTCAATTGTCACCTGCTTGTGTGCTAAAAAGAGGTCTTCCAGTACAGGACCGAGCCATTGAGAAGCCGTCCGGATTGAGTATCGATCTTGACGCAAGGACCCAACCTCGGACCCATCATTCTGTTGAATTAATTTCGAGCCGCGAAGGAAATTGTAGATGTTGTGAGCCGACTCGATTTGGCCAGGGTGTGGACGAACGGCAGCAAAGAAGGGATCGAAACTCTCATTAGTTCCTCTTAGTGCCTCGACACTCATACACGTGAGCACCTGTGACAGAACTGCAAGGCAGTGCGAATCATGCATGGCTAGAGCACCAATAGCTGAAGAGATTGCGGTGCCATTGACGATCGCAAGTCCTTCCTTTGGAGCGAGTTTGATGGGATTGAGGCCCGCGTTTGCCAACGCAACATCTGCCGTCACGATATGACGCTTTTCGAGGCCTCTGACCCCAGCACGCACCCGAAGAGTTGACTTTCCTTGCAGCGTTCCTGCGATGTATGACAAGGGGCTGAGATCCCCTGACGCAGATATGCTACCATGAACTGGTATCATCGGCACGATATCCTTTGTCAAGAGATCTACCATCCTCTGAACTAATATCGGGCGCACACCGGAGTGGCCGCTTGCGAGTGAGTTTGTACGGACGAGAATGGCGGCCCTAACCCACGCTTCTTGCATGCAAGTTGTTGCAACTGGGTCCTCCATTGGCAATCCCCTTTTCAGGAGATCTCTGATATACGACTCATCATCAACACTCTTCGATTCCTGGATTGGGTTTCTATGAATTTCGGGCGTTGAACTAGAGAGTATACCATAGTGGAGCTCCCGAATTAGTATTCGTTGGAGTTCCTCAACCTTTTGTGTGCGAGTGTCCGCACTACCCCCAAACCCGGTATTGACGCCTACAATTTCACTACACTTCAGCACTGATGCAGAGAACTTGGAAGTCACTCACCATATATTATCCTCCCTTCTTTCAAACTGCTCGCAAGCGCATTTGTACTTTCAGCAAGGCGAGCCTGCGTGTCGCTGTCAATGTATGCAGTAGCTCCGTATCTTCATTTACGTGAGCATTTGAGAATCTAGTTGACCCGCTCAAAATATATTCTATCGGCAACATACCTAGCAGTTGCAACGATCGATGCTAGAGTGAGCCGGCGCCCATCAATTACACTTGCCTCAGCCCCCGGTCGGATTTTCTGAATCAGGTGATCCCATTCCTGCAGAGCTACAGAGCTGTGAAATTCTGTAATCGAATCCATCTTGGCCGGAGTGGGGGGAACGCCGCATTAACTTGAAATAACTATAGTATAAAAAGCTTATCAGGAAACTATGGTCAGAAACGGAGCCCTCCTGTGCTATAAGTCCCAACATCTTGTTCGTTGTCTCCATTTCTAGCGCTATATTGGGAGACTAGTTGCGGTCTAGTGTAGAGTTGCCTGTGAAACATTACGCAGCTCGCCAAGGATTTCTCACATGAAGTTTACATCGGAAGTGCGGAGGTATCCCGGCATTGTTGGCTACAAGTGCTTTGATCCCTGCAACAAATCTGCCGTCAAACGGATCTCAGTAATGATTGCAGCTCCTTCGGCAGTACTTCGTAGCTTGAAATAAAAACGGCTGCCTTATTCGCCAAGTCAGAGACTGCCAAGTTATTTTTAAACCCAGGCCATGATACTTATAATAGCTTATGTTTTATTCTATATTCAACTTATACTACATTAAGCTTATACGATTCGTAATCCAAGATTGTGTATAAGTCGCATCACCATCAAGGTCACACAACTTCTCGTTTTTGAAAAATTTACATGATCTCTTACCAATATTGGTAAAACTACTAGAACTTTGAGAAATTTCCATGTAATTATATTCTTTTTGGTCAAATTTTATACGGTTATAAAATTCGGTTGACCTTTTCCAACAGATCAATACTGTAAGCGCCATTGTGGCAGTGTCTCGATTATTTAGTAGTCGACCCTGTCAAAAGGAATTCTCTACATGAGAACTGCGCCTCATTCGTGGGTTGTTTTCCTTACGAACACCAACTTCTACAGTCTAATGAAGTTAAACTTGGGGCCAGATTCAGAAGTACATAGTTCTCATTTCTGTAAATTTCATTTGGCCACCTATAGAAGAACAACTTAGAAAAGTTGACTGATCTCGGGTCTCAGGTGAAATATTTTGAGAGCTGCTATAAATAATTACAACTATAATCTCAGACGATACTAACTGCATTTGAAGCGAATATGCAGAAATGTCGTCTGAGATTACCAAAGTAATATAATCCTTCAATATGATTAAAGGCTAAACCTCAAGCTAGTCCCATTTCCAATCACTGAGAAATCAATACTTCCATCAAGGTTCGGCCTCCTCCGTTTTCCTTATCAGCGCTTCTCGTTTGCCCTCCGCACTATTGCAGTCGTCCTAAAGCGCAAGAACATCATCATCGCAATCTTATCACACCATGGCCAAAGGAAGTCGACAAGTTTCGCAAGCTTGGGACCAGAATTGCATCCAGTACCACCGACCCGGAGATTGGATGAATATGATTGTGCCCCAGTCTGAAGGCGACACCAGCCTCAATCTCACAAATTCGAGTGCAATGTACAATCAGATCCGCAACATATTCTTATCATCCACAGCGTCGTCCCGCTTCTGGTAGCGAGCCACCAGTCCTCTATTCGCAAGACTTCTCCGTGAAGCCAACTATACCACCGAAGCACAATACTTGCACCTTCTCTTTTTTGCAATTCTGGTCATACCGGAACTCGGACCAGCACCCATCGCAGCGAGTGGCACTCCACAATGGCCAAGTTTCATGACTGATGACGGCACACCCATGGAGATCGGGTGGGATTGGGGATGGCGAGGATCTGGTAATAGTAAACCTACAGTCAGGTACTCAATTGAGCCCATTGGGCAAATGGCTGGAACGTTAGAAGATCCACTCAACAAGTTTGCTGGTATTCGATTGATGCGGAGGCTCCAAGCCGTCTTACCTAGCACGAACCTAGAGTGGTTTGACCACTTCTCAGCGGAGTTTGTGAATTTTGACGAAGGTCAAGATTCATCAAGTGTCTATAACGGGTATAAGTTGACGCAATTGGAATCCCATAACTCGCGAATGTTTACAGCATTTGATCTAGATGGGACAAACTTACTCGTGAAGTCGTACTTCCTACCAGCTTTCAAGGCGCATCATACAGGAAAATCGAATCTTGAAGTGGTTATTCAGGCCATTGAAACCTTACCGGGCTATCAAGAGCCAAACTTTCGTGCCTTCACTATGCTACGCGAGTTCATACAATCCACCAAAACGGCTTCCCTCGAGGTCGAGATCTTCGCCATCGACTGCATGAAACCTGCGGAGTCTCGTCTCAAGGGTTTACGTACGCTCGCCACTCACAAGCTTTGAGTCCGTCCGAGCTACCATGGGTTTAGGCGGACGTCTCAACGGTCCTAGGATAGATGAAGGGCTTAACGACTTATGGGAATTGTGGAATCTGGTATTTGATACCGGCGAATGCGCGTCGGAATCAGCACATCTTACATATCGGGGGCATCGCACGGCGGGAATCTTGTACTATTTTGAGATTCGCCAGGGGAGTGATTTTCCAGTGCCGAAAATTTATCTACCCGTGCGCCATTATGGGCGGAACGATTATGCTGTTGCGCAGGGCCTTGGAACTTATTTAAGTCGGAGGGGCCAGAAGGCCGCTGCGGATGGGTTTATTCGAGCTTTGAAAAATACATTGTGAGTGACCCCGTTCAGAAACATATTTCTGGGGAGATGAATTACTGACATATATGAATAGCTCGACGAGTCGCCTTGAGGGTACGTGTGGTGTCCAAACTTATATCGGGGGCACGATCAAGGATTCATCTCTTAAATTAATCTCTTACATTAGCCCTCAGGTATATGAGAACCTCAGTGAGGTTAGATTACAGAATAGTTCGTGAATAATGGTGGTGATGGTTCTCAGTTTGTAGGCTAGACTATCATGTAATTTTAGAATTTCATACTCTCAAACGACAATGACCAGTTACAAGTATCAGGATCTGGAAAAATTGTTTGAAATTCATCCGTCAAAAGTCAAATAATAGAAGTCGGAGAGCAAGTATTCATAGCTTGTAGTCTCTTGCCGGCCGCTTCTCATACGTCGGTTTCCTGACTAACTCTTTCCACTCCTTGCTTGCTACCAACATCTTCCCATCTTTACTCTTTCTCGATGAATATCTTTTAAGGATTTGTTCCTCCTCTCTCCATATCTTCATCCTCATAGCCAGCCATTCAGCCGTCGCATTCGCGCACTCTGTCACATGTTCACAGGCTACAAGATGCCCCGACTCTGCTATTACGGTCTTCTGAACGTTGCCTGCTACTGTACCCCCGCTTCCCCCAATACCTGAACCTGTAAGTGAGAGCTTCTCGGTCTGTAAGTCTGCTGTTGACATCGGTGAGTTACTGCCGAAGATATAGAGGACACTCGGGCGAACATGTGGCAAGTTTCGCAGTGTAATGATCGGCTCGCCGCGGTGAGAGAGGAGGAGCCCATCGGATGATGGGTCTAAATCTGGTGAGAGAAGATGGGAGAGCGAAGCAGGCGTTGAGAGTGAATGGAAGGATGGACGCACGTACGACCAGGCTTCCTGGTGTTTGGATGTAGTGAGGGTCACAGCCCCTTGAGAAGGGAGTCGAGTGGCGGTTTTAGTAGAAGATTGTTTAGGCATGTACCTGTTGATATTTGGATAGATAGCTGTTGGGAGCTCCCGTAGGCAATACGTGATATACTTCTCTAACACACGAGAGTCCCATGCCTGAAATACTTTGTTCTTGCGGAATGACTCTGTAGCAGCTTCGCGGGATGGCCATAAATCTGGACGGAAGGTTGACACCATGCCAGCGTTGGGGCCAGCCGGAGCTCCTGCCTGGATGACAGGTTCGATGAGGATGAGCGAAGTAAGTAGACGTGGATGGATGATAGATAGATTAACACTGATCTATAAAATTAGAATAACATTCCCGACTTCCCATCTTCCAGGGAACATGAAGAGCTACTTACAGCTGAGCACACCCCATACTATGTGCAATACCCACCAAAGGCCGCTGCATCTCTGCACGGAAATGGTTGATCAGTTGCAATAGATCACGCGAATGGTCAAACCATGAAGCTATCTTCCGATTAATCACAAGTAAAGAGTTGAGGATAAGCAAGCTAGTATACCATCATCTCCTTGTATCGCCTCATTCAGCACCCCGCTAGCACCTTGGTGCGACATATCGGCGATCCATATATTTCGGATCTTGACATCATATTTCTTGAGTTCAAGGTAGAGATCATCCCAAAGCGGCTCATATATTTCCTAATCGGGCAACTTTTAGTATCAATCTTCAGTTATACTAGTTGTATCAAGAAGCTAGCAGAGCAAACTAAACTTGAACGACATACCTTTCCGAACCCGTTTGCATGGCCGCCAATGATGGTTACAGCGTTTGGGTCGTCATCCGCAAGTCCGCCAGAGTCAAGTGGAGTGTATTGCTTGACCGCAAGCTTCAACACCTCCTCTTGCCTGTGGCGAGTGCCATTTGGGTATTCACGTATATGCTGACCTGGAACCACGTGCTCGGTGATCCTGAAGATGGATGTTGACATGGTCGTGCTCGTAACGTTTGTATATCGAGCTCAGTCAAATTATCAAGAAAAGGCCATAGGAGATAAGGCCGAAATATCTAAACAGACCCATGTCGGGTTTCGCCTCCTAAAGACGCAGGGCCTCCTGTTTCCGTGCCGTATTAGCACATTATCACATGCTGTGCGACGTACTTAAAGTATGTCTCTTTATTGGCACGTGTCGATACGTCTGCACCAGTGTCCCACAAGGTCCCTTGATACTGTACTGTACATGTACCTACGACGTGGGCACTGCATATTGTCATCACACGCTGCGCCAACCTCACCTGATCTGGGTATGAGGTGATGCTTGCGAGTGTTTTCGTAAGTACTGTGAAGGGGTTGCATTTTGAGACCTTCCTGTTTACTGTAATTGTCCGCGTTTCATCACTTGTGCAACTACCAGGGCCCATAAAACAATGTAGTTCGATTTTGGCCGTGATCTACTCTGGGATACCCCTGAGCTCGAATCGAGTTGGTGGCTCAGCACGATTTGGCGGGGCCGTGCTTGGCAGAACAAGAGTTATTATCCCTCCGCAGCGCCCGTTGGCGATCTCCACGCCATAGATGCTCCAGAGTACAGGGTAGTTGACCACACAGGGGAGCCGGGCGGCTGCGAGCCGGGCATGCGCGCCTATTTTCGTGGTGGCCATGCATGGACCCGAGTGAGGGTCGTAGCTCCATTTCATGACCCATCGCATTCCAGGCGCAGAAACCAGAACTACACGGTTTACTAATGTGCAATTGTCTTCTACTGCGCACCTCTGGGCCGATATGGCTTGCTATCAATTGGCTGAACGTTCTGGTAGCAGGGTTGAAAGTTTCCAATCCCTCCATTACTCGGCCATTCTCTTCGGCGGCGTTTGATATGGGCTGCTGCCACTCGTAATGCATGGCATGCAATCCTACGGATTTGAGGACAAATCTACTCATAACACGAGAATTGTGAGGTGCTGGAGGCTCTCCATCCACCTCAATGCCGGTACTCCAAACATAGCTGGGTACGAAATATCCCGGTAGTTGCGCCATTTTCTAGTACAGTAGTAGTAGTAATTATGTGGTACTCGTAAGTGGCACCGGAAAATCGAAGCTCAAGCTAAGGCCCGTTGCCAATGGGCTACAACGTTGTACAAGCTTTTACTTGCAGGACGGCACCTTCCGCCAACCCTTCATCCAAGGGCTCTGGAATCCCTTTGGCATGCCCAATCTGCATCTAAATCGATCCATCCTCCGTCTTGGCTGCAGGCGTTCACGGCCATGAGAAGGAACAGGGGGCTCACAGTCAAGTCACATTTCGAAGCCGCCCTGACGAACTGTCCTCGCACCGAAGTGATGTAGACATAGTGAACACCTCCCGAGATTAGTCGCAGGATTTGCTGTTCGACAAAAATAACCGCAAGCATTTACTATCGCCCGTCTACCGGTTCCTGGCGCCCCCTTACCTGTTGGGAGCCTTCGAATGACCTCCTTACGACTTGGGTTTGCCATATTGCAATCCAGCGATGTCCTTTCCTAACGACGGGTTGAAAATGCCTTCTCATTTGCCAACAGCGGGTTCCTTCTCAAGAGTTGCAACTCTACCTACCACTCCTCTAGGTCAATCTCGCCAACGGACCAATCCACGATGTCGGCACATGGCACGTCTTCGACAAGTTATTCGAAAGAATATCTGGAAGAAGACAGTGGGAATACACTTGTTGGGATTTCAGTGATGTTTATCGTCCTCAACATCCTTTTCGTGGCCCTCAGAGTCTATGCACGACAATATATCAGGGGTGAGCCACGAGACGCGACATCATCACGAGCCTGGGATGATTTCCTAGTTTTTCCAGGCCTCATTGCAAATATTGGAATGTGTATTTTAGCCATCGGTCAGTTTCTCATGAATTATTTCACCCTTTGTCAATCAAATACTAAAATTATCATAGTCATGGTGCACGTTGCACGTTGCTGGCGTTGGGCGCCACGCAGCGTACGTGCGCAAGGAGCATCCCCACCAACTTGTTCAATGGGCAAAGTGCATTTATGCGTTGGAGTGGATATACCTGGCAGCAGTTGCACTTCCAAAGCTCTCCATTCTGTTCCTCTACCTACGAATATTCGTTGCACGATTCACCCGACTGGTCACTTACATTCTAATGGCAACTGTCATTGCCAATTGGGCTGCCTTCCTCCTAGCATCGATATTCCAGTGCTCACCAGTTAGATTCCAATGGGATAAGAGTACTCCAGGAGGGAAATGCTTTAATGTCCCGCTGTTCTACAAACTCGTCAATGTTCCAAATATCGCAACGGATCTAGTCATTCTCGTCCTGCCCCTGCCAACGGTATGGCATTTGAAAGTCTCGCGAGCAAAGAAATTTGGGTTGACTTTGGTGTTCTTGACTGGTAGCATGTTCGTAATCCTCAATTTTCTAAACCCCCAACGAGACGAGATTCAAAAACTTACGATAAAACCCAAACTAGTGGCATAATTGCATCCTGTGTAAGGATGACAGTATTCTTCCAAACTGATGCTTTCACCGACAACACATGTAAGTCTGAAAAACGACCCTATTGATTATTCCTGCGCGTATACTAAGGAGCTTCTAGGGGCATCTTTCGGTTTAGTCGGCTGGTCCGTCGTCGAACCGGGCATGTATCTGATAGCATCCTGCTTACCAGCCCTCCGTCCAATATTCTCCCGATTTATGCCAGCGTATATCAAAGCGCTCTTCAATAAAGTTTTGATGGAACGGACGAAACAAAGTGGCAGTAATCATAATCAGGATAGTTTTCGTATGAGAGGTATTCCTCTATCTTCATCTCAGTCGCAAAAGGGGTTTGCCAAGCTGGAGTCGGATGGTCCACTTTCGCGTTCTAAAGGACAGGATAGGAACAATGGGAATGTCTTCTAGAGTAAAATTACTTCGTTTATGGCAGAGAGATGGTCTAGGTGCTTGAAATGTGAAACCCATTTAAGTGTCATGATGTGTATACGTCAGTTTATTTTTCTAACCTAAGTTCAATCTTCGAATTTGACCAGCGCAGCAAATACCGTGGGTTACCAAAAGAGAATATTTGTGCGCTTGGGCGCAGTATCTGTGACATATTGATGGCCTGAGAAGGAGGTGTTGCGGCCTCGCGCTGCTTTTAGATGAGAGGGCTACGACGAGAAAGTTCTGGGGATTTAAAAGCTTTAAGTTTACTCTGATGTCTTTAAAGTTGTTTCTCGGGCGCTTTTAATACGGAAATAAAATATAGACTTTATTTTTATTGACTGAGCAGTTTAAATCAACTTATTCTTGCTAGATATTACAACACTTGAGCCTTCCTAAAATCCCTCAATGTTACGAACGAACTTTTATAGAGCTGCCATCTTTCGCCACCCTCGCAATAGTAATGCACACCGTAGCAATCAACACCGAAGCACCACAAAATAACTGCAAGCCCACCCATCCACTGCTCAATACGGCCCCAGCGATTGGATTTCCAATAAGAAGTCCAACCGCCGTGGGCACAAACAGCATGCCCATTCGCACACCCACAAGACCCATATGCGGACACAGCGTTACAGTAACAGTGGGGGATAGCGAGACAAATGTTCCAGAGAATAATCCATAGAGGATACAGAAAATATAAAGACCGGCAGCCGAGTGCTCAATTGTGATCCAGGCAAATGTGAGGACCGCAGCGAGGAGGGAGCACGGGATGAGAGTATTGAAGGGGCCGATTTTATCGGCAACGTAATTCGGGATCTGGAGTTTGCGAGAAAATCAATTGCGATTCGATGACATACAGAGCAATAGGATTTGGAAGTGACAAAAGGCATCTGCAATCAACTTACAATCCTGCCGAAAAACGACCCAGCGTTCAGTAGCGGCAGAAGGTAAAACGCTAAGTCTTCGGTGACAATTCGCTTTTCAAGGGCATATATTTGAATGTAGAAGAAAGGCACATATAAACCCATGAAGCCGAGGAAAGTGCCTAATCCAAATAATGAAAATGGCGGCTCCTTCCACGCTTCCATTTCAAAGATTCGTCGTGCACTAGAGGGTTTCAAGCGCATCCGCATACCCGCTACAGGTATGATCAAAGTTACGAGCATGATAAGAGCAATCACTCTGGTTGCCCACCCAATACTGCTCCCTGCGGCTGCAATCCCCATGGCCAAGGCTCTTTTCGACGAGAAGTACGATGGTAAGATGGCAATACTGGGTACAAAGAGACAGCCATTGCCCAATCCAACCATGATGCCTTGAGTTAGAACGACTTGCCAGTAATTCGAACTTATGCTTGTCAAAACCATGCCAACAACAACCAGAAAACTCCCGGTCATAATAAGCGCACGAAGATATCCATGATCATAGAGTGGACCAGCTGCAACACCGCAAAATATGAGCAAGAATGCTTGGATTGATCCAATCCAGGAGATGTCCGATGAGGATTTTTTGTGAAGGAAGGAATGCTCGTAAAAATTTTGGTAAACTCCTAAATTGTTGATAATAAACGCATCAGCCCTGTTCTATTTCCCCACAGTGGAACCTTTTCAAAAGTACAAACCGAATGTATTCACCAGTCCCCAGGAGTTGAAAAATAAAACAAACGATCCAGCGCATTGGAGCCAGGCAATGAAGTCTCCGTCAGGTATTGAGGCAGCAGCGCTGATCACAATATTCATGTCTTCTTGCATAGTGGGAGCGTCATTGATTATAGCCGGATTCCCCTCACAACCGTCATCATTACTGTCATTCACTGGTGAAATTATTTTGCTTGCGTCGACTGAACCGGAGGTTGGACTGGATAACGGGACAATCCTGGTATCGTTAGTCGCACCTGGCTCAAAAGTCTTTTCTGAGCCCATGGTTAGTGTTCCCACGAGGATCGACCAAGGTCAACGATTGCTTCCAACGTCTCTTGGAAAGTGAGTTGGTGTGAGAGAAATAGAATTATAGACCAAAAATCTGATACAGGCTACCCGACTGTCGCGCCTCTCCATGTTAAAGCCACGAATCTCGCCGTTCGCCAACAGTTTGCATGTCAGGAGGTTATACGAGCCTCCGGCTTAGTTATGTCGGGAAGTAGTAATGACTAGGGCTGGATGAATTTTCCACTTGTGCAACCATCGTAATATTAATATATAACTACCGGAGTATTACTAGGGTGGAGGTACTAGCAGCATGTTCTTTGACTGCCATCCTGACCCTATCGATTCCACGTATAGTATATGCAGCACATGAATCGCATGATGCACTTCAACCTGGGAGGGGTTAAGCACCTGTAACCCAGGGTGGATGCAACGTACAGCTCAGCCTTATCTCACGCCTTCCAGATCTCGGAGTATTAACCCTTCCAAACGCAGGCACCAGATCCCGGTCATGTCCTCTGCAAGCCATAAAGATTGGCACACAATTATGAGGCGGATGTACATGTAATGTACAGGCCCCGAACTGGATCGGCCCTTTCGCCTGTACGACCAACCAACCCACCAACCAACCAACACCCCCGAAGATTCGTTCATATATCAGCTCGGAGATAAGTCCAGGAACGGGCCAGCTGAGCCTCCCCTCGACATGAACGAATGTCGCCCCTTGCAACATTAGTTGTATTGGTTCTCTCACAGCACCCCTGTTCCCTCGGTTGGCTTTGAGACAAACGTCAGGAGAAAATACCTAGGGTCGGAGCAAACTTGTTGTTTCCCCGCCTTTCACATCTTAGCTAGGCCGTCATGAACATTGATACTTCTCACAACATCTTGACTCGGAAGATCCTGTAAATCTTTTGCAGAGCGCAGCAAGATGGCTCTTTCCGACCTGTCTACTACGAGCTATGGCCGAAGACTTATTGTTTCGTTGATTGATACCTATGCAGAAGAAACTCCGCAAAGAATATGGGCTTCCGTGCCGCGAAATGAGTCCGATCTCACTGAGGGATTCGTCGACATCACCTTCAGAGAGTTCGCAAACGCTATCAACAATGCCGCTTGGTGGCTAGATAGCATTCTCGATTCTGGCCGCGGGGATTTTGAAACATTTGCTTATGCTGGGCCAAAGGACATACGATATCCTGTTCTTGCTGTAGCAGCTGTCAAAGTTGGTAGAAAGGTAAGCTGGGGAGATTCTTTCGGCCGGGGCTTTTCGTGCTCATCCGTGGTACTAACAATGAACAGATATTACTACCGTCGCCTTTTGCAACTCCAGAAGCTCAAGAACATGTACTTAAGGTCACGGATTGCAAGGCCTACCTACGTCCTACTTCAATGGCTACACTTGTCCAGAGTATTGTCAGAGAAGGATCAAACATGAAAATCGTAACTGTGCCGGAATTGCAAGAGTGGATGCAACCAAAATCGCAACTATACCCTTACAACAAAACCTGGGAAGAGGCTATGCTAGATCCATGGATCGTTTTCCACACTTCTGGGACAACTGGTAAGTAGTTAAAACTCTATAATTAGAGTAGTTAAGTATAGCTTACATACTTTCTGGTAGGCTTGCCTCGACCGATCACTTATACCAACTTAATGATGACGTCTCTCGATATTGCTCAAACGATGCCAGACGCAAATGAGGAGACTACAAACACCCATTTCAGTAATGATCGCTGGTATACGCCAATGCCTACCCTTCACGTAAGTCAAAATCGCCTTTCATAACATTTCAGTAAGAAGGCTTACGACTAACCTCACAGTTCATCGGAATGACTGTAACTCTACAAATGACAGTCTTCCTAGGAACTATCGTAGTATTCGGTCCATCGACCGGCCCGGCTACTACCCAGACAGTAGACCTGATTTTCCAACATGGTAATGTTGCAGGAGCTATGTTACCACCATCGCTCCTTGAAGATCTCTGCAAAGACCAAGATATGCTAGGTCGTGTGCGGAAGCTGAAATATGTGCATTTCGCAGGCGCGCCACTTAATAAAGTAGCCGGTGATAAGATCTCAAAGTATGTTAATCTAATGCCTGCAATTGGAAGTACAGAAGCCGGTCCATACTTTCCACGCGTTCGCAATGATACAGATTGGGAATACTACAGTTTCCGGCCTAGTATGGGAGTAGTATTTGAACAACAGACCAAGGAATTATACGAGCTTGTAATTCATCGCAACAAACTATACGAACGTTGGCAACAAGTCTTTTACGTTTACCCTGAGCTTGACCGTTTCCCTACCAAAGACCTGTGGAATAGGCATCCTGTTGAGCCTGACTTGTGGGCATATGCGGGGCGTACTGATGATCTCGTCATTCTTTCCCACGGGGAAGACCTTTACGCGTCAAAAATGGAGGCCGAAATCACAATGGATCCAATGATTCGCGCTACGCTGCTCGGCGGCGAAGGTCGTCCGAAGCCTTTCGTAATCATTGAACTCATCGAGGACGCTGAATTTCCAGCAACGGAAGTGGCCAAACAGGCTTTGATCGAAAGCCTGTGGAGTGCGGTGGAAAGGGCTAATCGCCTGTGTTCTGAGTATGTAAAGATCGAGAAATCTCTCGTTCTCATAGTTAATCCTCAGAAGCCGCTCGCGAGGACGGCAAAGTCGAATGTGGCTAGAAGGGAGAGCCTTGCGCTATACAAAGTGGAAATCGACGCCTTGTATGAGAGTTGGATTTCTAATAAGAACTAAATATTACCAATAGATCAAGCTTTCTAGGTGTTGTTAATGCTCAGGTGAAAAAGGCTCGAGATTATAAATTCAGCTTACAGGATAAATGAATTACTTCACCCTCAAAGTTACAAGCATATCTTGGTCAGGTGGTAAAACTCCAGCACCCGCGAATCCCTCATCTGGCTTTGCTTCCCGAATTGACTTCTTTCCATGATGAGTAAACCAACCTCTTGGCTCAATTTCAAACTTCAGGACAATAAGAACAACTGCTGCCAAAATTTCTTGCTTCGCGAAGAACCTTCCGCTGCAGATCGCGCTGCCCCCACCATAAGGAAATAAGCTTTCAGGTCTCATAGCTGATTCGAACTGAGATTTTTCTTCGGGATCGGATGGCCTTAGCTTAGGCATCTAGATGAATCTCTCAGGCCAGAACTCATGGGCAGGAGGGCCTGGAACGTCCCACACAGGGCTAAAATTAGGCAGCCAAGAGGGCTTATGATGTAATTTCCTTTCTTGAGGACATACCCATCGCAGTCAAGGTCGTCTATTAGCAGATGCCCTCGTCCTCAAGCATTCGAGATAGATCGACGTAAGTAGAGGGGCGTCTGCAACAAGTTTAGAGACGTCGAGGTTGAGCTGACCCAAGCTATTTTCTTTTGCGCCCGATGAGACTTCTTCTTGAAGGCGTTGGTACAAGCCTGGTCGCTTTAGGGCTTCCAAAACAACCCAAAAAGCACAAGGGATTTCATTTGAGTTGATCCTAAGCATTATTAACAATTTTAATCGAAGAGATGCTGTGAACATACGCCCAGATCAACGACAGCGACCCCGAGGCTTGGCCATCATGGCTGATGTCGACATCGTCCATAGCCTTCATCATTTCGCGCATGTAGCTGGAACCAAAATTCGCTTCTCAACCAGCATCTACATTCTTTCCATCGAAGTTCTGCGATGCAGATTTGATCCACTTCTTCGCCGCATTTAGCATGCGATCTCTCGCAGCATGACCTTTCCAGTAGAGTATCTCCGGCAAGCCGATGGCCATGAGGAGGAACGAGTCGTCGTAGTCCAAATACGTTTCGACCAAGTCTAGGTTCAGCCTGAATATTTCAGTCCCTACAAGGGATTTTTCAGAGGCAACGAACCTCGCTTTCTTAAAGAAATCATAAAGTGAAGAGGTTTTGGCTTGACCTATTGGGAGCTTTCCAAGCTCGCTGATGAACTCGCCGATGAATTTGCAAGTTAAAGCGTTTACTAAATGTCCATTCGCGAGATGGGTTCCTCTTAGATCATGGGTCCGTTTCCAAACACGCCTTTCCTCTGAAACTTCCACGAATTGATGACGGCCAGGTCCCGATTTGTCGATCTCAAATATTTGCATGTCTTCTTGTGTCATGCCTGAGCCTCGGAAAATCATCAAGGACGAGTCTTCTTTGCTCAGCACCTTGGAGTTCTTGAAAATCATCTTGATGCTCTTTGGGCCGAAGAGGATGTAGATGCCAACCGGGCCCACGCGCAGCTTCACCGGTCTTCCCTGCGAAGACATCTTCCTTTGAGTCCAGTTGTCAGGCAAACCGCTGAAACTCCGAGACCATGTTACTTACAGTGCATATTTGTACATGCCATGAGGGTCTAGCATCTTTGGAAAGCCTCCTAGCCACGACAACGAGTAAGGCAGTGTTAGGGGCTCTCGTCCGCGAAAACGGCTTCCATCACCTCCTGACTGGAGCCAATATCGAAACTCGATAAAGATGCGAGTGCCGAAGATAACAGCTATAGAACCTACCAAGACAAGGGTTACAACGTCGATGACTTTGTTGCCCGTGCTAGAATGTATTCTGAAATCCATCATTTTCTTTGTTGCGTTCTCGAAAGATAAATTCAAAAAGAAATTAGAGAACGTGAAAGGAGAGCTCTGTGGGATAGTTATGGGGTTGGATTTCAGCTTGTCAGCAGCCACATTTTTTTATTCCAGTGGATCCACACGGGCGGCGCACGCCAAAAGTCCTGGAACTCTGGTACAGTGGGCGCCGCAGCGACCCAGATTGCTACAGTATCAGTTGTCGAGATTCAGGGTTCTTAGGTCTCCTAATGCTTACCAGGAGATCATAGCCATTGGGCTCTAGGAGGAGCCTGTGCACAGACCCGTTGCAAGCGACGCCCTCTGTACAAAATCTCCGTAGAAACCCCTGGATGTGATTTGGCCCGTCTAGAATGACCGTCCTCAATTGCTTTGGGCTGTGTCAGCTCAAATTCCCCGAGGCATTTCCTTTCCTAGCAGCTTTGGCCACCATTCGATTTCCACAGTCAAGGGTTGTGCGGCACGAAACTTGCTGCAGCATTGTAAAATTAAAGTTATTAAGTACCCTCAAAGTGTCGCTCGCTATATTTGAAATATTTGGGGATTCTAAAAAATTTCAAGAGTATAGACTTCGAGAATAGAAAATCTCGGACGTCGCTTTAATAGTTCTAGTACTTATCGCGAGAGCGGGTACTAAGTAGTCATATCTTATTTGCCATAACTGAGCCAACCTTGCCCTCAAATCGAGTTTGTTACAATTCTGTAACGCAACTAATAATTTTTATAGTCGATTCTAAAGTTTTCAGAGTGTATATATAGAGCCACAAGTACTAATTAATACTTAATCAATTTTTGTATACTTAAAAATACATTACCCCTAAAATATTAACTTCTAGTAGGAACGCTAGATAAGGAATCTAGCGATCTTAGTCACCTGTATTGATTACATCAGGTAAGTATAGGTAATTCACCTAAGGCGAGTGAACAAAGAACCTCAATACTCGATTCTTCCTTTCATTTTATATGATGATTGCGTTCATGTATCTTTACGAACTACATATATACAACTGGTATGTTTCTCGTTTATTTCTTATTTGGGTCAATGGTCTCAAATGGGATGCACTAGAAACTATGAAAATGGGCTCCGTCTGTTCTCTCCTCCCTACTATAACTTGCATGGTCATTACACGCAAGGTCCAGGGTAAAAACATATGTTGCATTTATTTAGGATATCTTTTTAAGTCTTGAATTAACAATAAATATAAGACCGCGATTCCCAGGCAAAGGAAGTCTAGCTAACCTTAAAGACGGAAACTGATTTACAACACAAGAAGAAGTGGCCCACTAAGCAGGTTTATATATAAACTATGTAAAATTCAATGGCGGATTCCCTTACCTGTTTATATGTTAGGGCTATACAGGATACTTGTCGAAGCTAGCTGTGGGCATGGAAAAGTCCTCGGGAGTGTAAATAAAATTAAATGTGGAAACCTATAAGGTTATAAAGAATTCCATAAGTTTCTTTTTCAATCTACAATTAGGGCCGAGTAGAATTCACTGATGTCTCTATACCTCGGTCTCTATATCTGCGATCAACTGGAAGCAATAGCTACTAAAATCTTCTGGGCGTACTCCACGTAGCCAACCTACCAAACATATTGCCCTTTAATTAAACAATATCATCAGCTAACTCGCCGTACACGTCTTTAATCGCCGATACCCACCAAGGCAATGCTGTTGCCTGTGTATAAAATCCTTCAAGGATCTCCCACGTTTGCAGATCAACATTCCGACGGCAGACTGGACAAGTGGGAGAGTCCTTGAGCCATTTCTCTATACACAGGTGTCCGAAGACGTGTTGACAGGGAGTTTGCACCGCAAATTCCATCGTTTCTTCTGCAATCTTACCAAGCTGCTCATCTATCTATATCTATATCTATATATCTTGTTCTCTTCCAATACGAAGTATGCTACTGGAAAACGTCGCTTATATGATGCCGGAGTGGTCCCGACGAAATTTCAATCACATGACTTATCCGGCCCGTGCCCCCTTGATTCTTTCTGTCTCCTTACAGCTCCTGTTCGGATCGTACACGAAGATACGTAGATGTTATAGTAGCTATTTCTAGGAATACGGCAACGGGCCAGAGGGGGCGGGACAGTATACAATACACTACAAGAGAAATAATAATAAAAAATAACTGAAAGTGCAGAGCCGCGAGCTCTCGAGTCGGATACGCGACGGAGTAGCAGCAGCATGCCCGCTTCGACCAGGAGTTTGGAAGGGGTTGAACAAAGTCTCGCCATGCTTTCAGCATTTCGATCCCCACTTCTCAATACCCGGGGGGGGGGGGGGATGCAAGTAGACTCGGAGAGTGCCATTGTCAAATATCTGGTCGAGCATTTCCGGAACAACAAGGAGCTATACTTGCATGCTGATGCGGACGTCGCATCACAACTCCTTGGAAGCCATGTGGGTTCAGATCCTGTAAGACGCCATCCCTTGATGCGACGTATTTATGCCGAAATCCTAAAATGGAATGGTGTTGAGTATCTCCGAGGAGCTGTCATCCATTGCGCATCTTACAAATGGCTTGTGCTAACAATACTATCCTGACAGACATACGCCCGGCGTATCCTCACCACTTGCCATCATTGGCTACATCACAACATACCTAAGTAGATGCTTAACTACTTTAATAAAGTCAACTGTGGCGTACTGTAGGATTGCGCACAAGAACTGGTTGGATTCATCAATGGATAGTCGGAGCTGAACTTGGAGTTCTCTCTCACTCCCGTCACGATAGCGCGGAGTCTCGTCCCTCACGTCAAAGCGAAGATACGGCTCCTTTTCGTAGAACGCAGCAATGGCACCTTCAATGACGATGCATTAAGTTCTGTCTGGATCAAAGAATGGCTACGTGCAATTCTCTGTCGCCAAATCCGTAGCCTCCAATACGGCTACGTGAGCGAGTTGGATTGGCCGCTCTGGGACCTTGCACGACACTACCAAGATCCCGACCCAGCGCAAATACTTGATCTGGATGAAGACGTTTTAACCGAAGTCGAGGCTCAAGATCCGCTAGAGGCTGGAAATCTGGATAATTTGTTCATCACTTTAGCACAGCTGGAGGAGAAAGTTGCAACTGTCACCGTTGCTGCCACTATTATCAAGCGATCAAAGGGACTCACCGCGGCAACCACAGCCTCCGAAGTGGAACGGCAATTGCAAGAGAAATTCCACATGATCATCAGATACGGAGACTTGATTACCGATGAGCCTCTTTGGCGTAGGTCGACTGGGCGCAGGGGTCAAATTGTGGTTACGTTCGATGGACCATGTTCTTCTACGTCAAAGAGGGGGCGCGAAGGCAAGGATGGGCAAACTGAGGTTGTCTCTGCTAAAGAAGACAGTTCTCGTCAGCCAAAGAAGAGGAAGGTGCACGGCGCTCAAAATCCTTTCGAATGTGGCGATTGTGGACGACACTTTACTTCCCAGCGCCCCCTTAGACTCACACAGTAAAACTTGCGTTGGGCGATGCCAGAATTGTGAGCAGCATAGTTTAGAATGCCACATGAGTGCCAGACGTATATGTAAGAACTGCAGGGAGGAAAAGGTCAATTGTAAGTTTTTTCTTGAGGACTATACTGACAACACCGTACAAAGCTCTATCAGAGCGCGGCTATGCTCTAAATGCGGGTGTATGAAGCAATGCTTCTACACCCGGTCTGCCCATGAGGACAACTGTCCAGGGGGATGTAACGTTTGCCGAGATCACACCCCCCCTCTACCTTGTCGACATCCCCCTACTCCGTATCTCGCATGCACTGAATGTACAGAAAGCGATTCCCCTTACAATTTCGCTGAATGTCATGGCTGTGGCATAGTGAAAAGTAGCATGCACAAATGCATTGGCAAATGTCTGTTATGCTCGGAAACAGGCGACGTCTGTGACTCAGGCATGCGAAATGGTTGTGTGCGGTGCGAGGAAAAGGAGAGACGTGTATCTTTTCTCTGGAAGAGAATTCGGAAGAGCGAAAAGAACGCGAACGTTGGCTGTGCACCAAATGCGATACGCTGTTTCCAAACAACCACCAAAAAGAATACCACCAAAAAATTTGCAGAGGGAAATGTGATGAATACATCGCCAAGGCCATCCCATGCAGGCCTACCGCTGCCATTGACAGCTGTGCAACTTGTGCTTGTTGCCTCAAAGCTAAGATAGAGTGTTCTCGTGGTAGGGATACTCGGGTTCGGCGACAACGACGAAGTTCAGCATACTGTAATGGCTAAGTACCTAGTAATACCTAGGTAGTGTTCAGCATTTATGTCCTTTTATTTATTATCTGGTTTCGAGGAAGCCTGGGCTACATAGGCATAAACTCCACTATTATACACTTAGTACAACTCCAAAGTAGTCCCCCAAAACCAAGCACTCCCCCGGGCCGCTGCACTTACTAAATACATTCAACAAGGCTTTTCGAAATTGTTGCAGTAATAATCGGGGACGACATAGTCGTACTTATAACGTTATACAAAAGAGGGATAGATCCATTCCTCTAAATCTTTATCCAACGTAGCCTCATATATTCTCATAATCTTTTCATGCCTCTGGATCCTGTAAAAACTAATGGCTCCTTGCGTTTGATCGTATAGTATATTTCTTCTATCACCTCAAACCCGCGTATGATACGTTGTGGCCAGCTATACTCTTCGAAAAACGGGCGGACGGGTGGAATAAGATGCCAGCGAACTATTGAGGCATCAAAATAATGTCGACAGGCATCGAAAAGTCGATTTCAATAAAAGAGTATGTAGAAATCGATTCGAGGAGGAGGATTCGAGTCGAGTCGGTGTGCGGTAACGGCGGCGAAAGGGGAGGGGTTCGTTATCGTCGTATTTTGGCCAACTGGCCACTCGGGACCTACTCTTAGCTCTGTTAGGGTTATTTGACTCTGTAGTACAGAGTCTAGTACAGAGTCTACAGGTTCGTAAGGGACATCACGTACAGGTGGGAAGCTCGTTGTCCGCCCGTTAAGGTAGTGTTGTTCAATTGCCCCGCTCATCATGATTCTACGCAGATCCCATGCCTGCGTAATGTGGCGTCGACAACGTCTCGGTGTGGCGGTGCATGGAAGGGAAATTCCGTCCGACGTCCGCAGCCGTTGATGACTCTAAATCCTCTCCAATTTTCAAATCTTACGAGCATCGCCTCCAACAAGTAAAGTCATGGCAAACCAATTTACCTCGAATGATCAGAAAGTGCCGAAAAAGCGATGCGGTATGTATGGACTTTCTCCCTTTCCCTCTTACTCTTTAGATCTCTCTCCTCGGCCTCTTCCTACTGTGTGTGATAATTTCCAGTGGCATGTTTGGATACAAATATAACCCGCCGAGTAGTTCGGCTTATTTGATGCGTATAACTGATTCTCTCTCTAGGTATTCTCGGAGCCACAGGCGCTGTCGGCCAACGCTTTATTCTTCTTCTGTCTGAACATCCGTATCTGGAGATTTCCACCATTGGCGCCTCTGAGAGAAGTGCGGGGAAAACCTACGATAAAGCGGTCCATTGGCGTCAATCAGAGCCCATTCCTGCTACGGCTGCAGGGCTAGTTGTGCAATCTTGTCGACCGGAACTCTTCAAGGGCTGCGATGTTATCTTTTCAGGTCTCGACACGGCAAAAGCGCAGGAGGTCGAGCTGGCCTTTGCTAGGTTGTACGCCGTATTCTCGAATGCTTCTGCTTATCGAATGGATCCCTTGACGCCCCTAGTTGTCCCTACGGTAAATTTAGCCCACATGAGTCTGATTCCAGCTCAGCGGCAGCACTTGAAGTCTGAAGGGAAGGGGTTTTTGGTGACAAATTCGAACTGGTACAACTCCATCCCATCCCTCTCCATACATATACATACATGTACGTATGCATTAGAAGAATGATTAACCTCCCTACCTAGTGCCGTAATCGGGATCGTTATCCCCTTCGCCGCCCTCCAAGCAAAGTTCGGCCGAATCTCCGAAGTCAGCGTCGTCACGCTCCAAGCATTGTCGGGCGCTGGTTACCCAGGGGTTTCATCGATGGACATCATAGACAACATTGTACCCTATATTGAATCGGAAGAGTCGAAGATCGAGACGGAAGCCTGCAAGATTCTGGGCAGTCTAAATCCTGAACAGAACCAGCTCACGCCACAGCAGATGCGAGTATCAGCAGCCTGTAATCGGTAAGCACAATTACTACCTCCATCTTATTACAACCTCATTCGATTTCCACCTCACTGACTTTCCCTTCTATCTAGTGTCCCCGTCCTCGACGGTCACACCGCCTGCGTCTCCCTCCGCTTCGCCACCCGCCCCCCTCCTACTGCTTTAGATGTTAAAGCTGCCCTGCAGTCTTATGTCAGTGAAGCCCAGACCCTCGGATGCTACTCTGCGCCCGCGCACGCTATCATTGTACATGAAGATCCGACACGGCCGCAACCCCGGCTGGACCGCAATATGGAGCGTGGGTATGCTGTTAGTGTGGGGCGCGTGCGAGAAGACGAGTCTGGAATTTTTGATATTAAGTTTGTGGCGCTAAGTCATAATATTATTATTGGAGCGGCGGGAAGCAGTGTTTTGAATTGCGAAGCAGCAATTTTAAAGGGATATATTTAAATATGAATCGGAAAAATTATCCTTCTTATTCTACTTCCTTACTAACTTCCTTGCCCACACTAGAAGTTCGCACTGTCCAGCCTACGACGTCGTCGCAGATGGCGATTCTAGCGTTGGTCAAATCAAAATTACCATAGGGTTTGATTCCGCTGTCTTTGTTGTGACTGACGTCCTTCTTATCACTAATTTCCCTTGCGCTACTCTTATACTCCAGGAAACAGTGTAAACCTCTCACGGCTCCTTTCTGTTCGCGAACGCAATCTACCGTCGCGCCGTCTCTCGTGCCCGGCGCTCCAGCCAATGATCCCGTTAGCAGTCTAAAAGCCTTAAGAAAATATATAGAATCTCAACTAAGTGGTGGCCTGGTATAAGACTACCCGGAAACCCACTTTCCCGGAATATATTCGAAAGGGCGAAGGAATAGCGATATACGTTTCTTTTCTTGGTATTACGATTTGTTGCAAGAGTGTTAGAGAGGTGTCCTAGGAATAGGGACACTGGGATCGGAGCGGGATCAGTGTCAATAGTTCCAGGAGACGGAAGGTTGTATGCTGTGAGCAATACGTCTGCCTCCGGGGCAGGGGCTAGCTTTTTCACAGCTTGGATCAGTGTAGATTAAGGGAGGTTGACTAACAGCGGGTAAAAGGCTACTCCTTCCCAGAAGTCGTCTTCAATCATTACATCGTTCAGCCACTCGCAAGTTGGGACCAGATCCAGCTGGTTCGTCGCTGTTGGTGCGTATAGAAACAAACGTGTCCCAGGGTATTAGGCTAATTCCTACTGTAGTAGCGCTATCGATTTTGAAGTGTTTGAGCAGAGCCTGATACTACCATCACTAATCACTACACGGAGTACGCCTTAAGCTGCGATCGCTGCATAGCGGACCACCCTTATAATGCTCGACAATATAGCTTAGGTTACTAGTAACTACGTCTGTTCCCCTCGGACTCGTGTTATTATCCTTCTAAGCCCCGTCTATTTCTCCTCTCACGCCTAATTTGACTTGTTCATTTGTGACTACGCCCATTTCTTCTATGATTCCGTTTATTGATTGCAGCGTCTCCAAATCATGTGCTACTTTGGATGGCCGGAAGTTCCAGCTGCCTTCCAGGGTCAGCCCAGGATGAAAGACAGTCAAGCTGAGGCATGCCAACACTACCATGGCGCCATCAAAAACCATGAGCATGATCTCATTGTTCGCTATCTTGCTCGTGAATCCGTTTTGCAACTCGATAAGCCGATAGACTAATCTGATAACTATGAAAAGGGTAGCAGATGCAATGGCTATTTGAGATTAGGATCCATCGTCAATAAGGATGACAAAAGGACTTACCGCCTAGGAACATGCGGAAGTATATATTGCGCGTCAGATAGCTGTACTCTGTAGGTTTTGTCGTGCCTTGGCTCCTGCTGACCCGCCAGGCATATTCAATGCAGAGAACAGAAAACAGGAACAGACTTGCGACTTGAAATGCGAGACCAGCCACCATGGTATGTACACCCTTATCCTGCATTTGCTGGTTGCTCAAATTCGTATCCGCAATAGCGCCGCCGACTGCTTGGAGAGCAAGCGCAACAAAGTCGTAACTGATGAACATGATTGTGTGGTCTTTGGTTGGAATCGGGAGTACTCGACTCCGTATATCACAACGATGCGAGAGAGGCAAATGTAAATCACAGCAGACAAGAAGACCGCGAAATGGTCAGGCAGCTAAGATATCTAGACTATTCACCAGTGTGCATCCTCATATCTTCTTATTGATTTCTTACATTAAGAATGGATTCTCACGGAACGGGTTGAAATGCATCTGTATCCTTCCAACGTAACCGATTATCTCTCCACCAAGACCAACCAACATACCAGCTGTGTATGTCCATGTCTTGTAATAACAGCCTTGAACTGTCCGGATGACGAGGATGGTTCCGAAGATGGCCACATAGAGAGCGTTTGCAACCAACGATGGGTCGTATGTCTGATATGCTCGAGAAATGTCACACACCTGTAGAGCGCAGTTGTCTATGGGAATTGAATTCTTGAAGTCGCTTTACATGATGCGAAAGGCAGATCATTTGACGCAATGTGACTTGAGGGAGACTATTTAGAGGGATCATGAGAAGACTTCCAAAATATCTGCCCTCGAAATGCTACGACAGACTGCTTTATACGGGGGTTCTTTCTAACTGACTCCAAGTTATAACTTCTGACCCGTTGTATCAATTTCACATTTTCGGCTCCAAGTTCCGAACACACGAACCAACCAATGGAAAACCCACCAGCAGTGTCAGCCTTCTTCTGGCCAATTTATGAGCGAGGCGGCGCAATTCATAAGCGATATATTTATAAAGATGTATATGAGGGGCGACTGAGGACGACTACAGCTCGATCGAGCAAACTCCTGTGTATCCTGTTGGCCTGTCCGTATTTCACAACACCACCCCATCTACGATAAACAGGGAGTAAGGGGTCTTACTTCGTATCTCTTGATGAATCTCCCGAGTCTTTCCCCTGGGCACGGTTATATGGCAACAGCTCCAAAGAAATTCCGAAAGGGAACCCCGAAATCTCGGGGCGGCTGCACAACACGCAGGTGAGTGCGTTGCCCATGTTGACAACTCAATATATGTCGGTCAATAAGCTAACCAAGGAGATAGAATCCGAAGGATTAAGTGCGACGAGACTAAGCCGGCTTGCAAGAATGCACCCAGACAGGAAGAACGTGCGATGGCTACAGCGGCCATTCCCACGCGGCGCTGCTGTCTGTCTACTCAATCCACTTCAGGACTTTCCTGGCACGGAACTTGAGCACCGATTCTTGACATTCTTCCATCGCCACACCACTCCGATAATTTCCGGCAGTTTTGATTCGGACTTCTGGAGTGTATTGCTCCCTTGCGTGGGCCAGACCGAACCAACCATCCAGCATGCTATGATCGCCGTGGGCGCCGTCTACGCACGACTTGAGTCCACAGACAAGCTCCTCCATGTGTTTGGCAGCCGGGAGGAAAGTCAACGTTACGAGTTGCAGCAATACAACAAAGCCATTCGCAACTTGAGAAGACACTTATCGGCAAATAGTGTCACCTTGGAGGTGACCTTATCCGTTTGTGTTCTGCTCATCTGCTTGGAACTGCTGCAAGGGAGTATAGAGCACGCAATCCTTCATCTCCAAGGAGGGATGAGCATCTTAGACGGATATCAAACTGCGGGCTCCTTGAGGTCAGAATCCATCGCGCACAAACTGGAGAATATTTTCTACCGCTTGGGTATGCAGTGAACATTATGTGGTCGGCCTGCCACGAGTGACGGCAAGTTTGGCTCGGCGCTGCCTATGCAAAGCCAGACATTCCCCAGTCTCGAGGAGGCAAGATCATCATTAGACCAATTGAATAACCTCTGCCTCCAGTTCGTTCATCTGAGCATGAAGGTCCTTTATGCACCTTCTCAGCGAAGCACCGGCAAGTCTCTCTTGGTCACTCACAAGTGGCTGAGCGAACAGCTACAGAATTAGTCAAACGCCTTCGAATCCTTCGTCGCCACGGAAAGGTTCAAAATAGAAAAACGATTCCCCAGCGGCTCTGCCCTCCTTCGAATGTTCTACCTGACCGCTGCGATCTGGCTCTCGGTCTGTACATCGCCAAATGAGACAGCGTTCGATAATAAATCCGGCGAGTTTTCATCGATAGTTGGGCTCGCGTCATCAGTAGCATCTTCCTACCAAGACTCGATCAACGGAACCTTCTTATTTACATTCGAAATGGGGGTCATTGCGCCGCTTTATTTCACTGCTATCAAGTGTCGGCATCCGCTACTGCGCCGAAAAGCAATATCGCTTCCCTCCTCAACTATGCCACGCAGAGAAGGACTTTGGGATGCAGTAATTTTAGAATACGTCGCAAGACGCGTGGTAGACATAGAGGAGGCTGGCTGTGATGGCACCACGCCCACAGAAGATGACCGAGTAGACCATATGACAATACATTATAAAAAAGACTTGCAGCGCCAGGGTCGGAAATGCTGTTCCGTTTCGTATGTGATGAAAAGATCTGACAATTGGGTGTCTCGACAGCAGGACTTCGTGTTGGGGGATTCGGCGTGTGAGAGATGGCGAGGGACGGCTGCTACTCGTACTCAAACGGTAGAAAGAGCTATCGCTTTAGCGACAACAGCCTTTAACATATAAAGTAAAGTGGGTACGTAGTACAAACTGTATCGTTAATTCAGCATGTAACTTTCCGATTATTGTAGTCGATATTATTCTGTCCGCCGACAGATGTTGCGCCAATTGCCTCCGAGGTTTACCCGCGCCTGTTAGAAAGATAACGTTCTATAAACCGGCCGCGTTGACCATCGACCCTGACTTCCACCTTCGAAAGGCTAGGACAACGCCACGGCATCTCTTAGTATCTCTGTAATCCAGGAGATACGAGAGCAGCATCTCCCGTCCGACGACTTCTCTCCTAGGACTCGCCTGTTGCAATGGACGAATTTGCTCAATCGCGAGAGGACGACGACCTCTTTGCCGATGAATTCGAACCTATTCCTGAGCCCATCACCATCGTCCACGAACTTCCCACACCTGCCACTGATCGAACGCGGCCTGCAGACACCGGCATAGGAGAAAACACCAGAACGGCAGGTGGAGCAAGCGATCCAGCAGGAACCTTCAAGCACACAAGACGAGACCATGGCCAACAAGATAGAAGGCAGCGAGGACGTCGAGGTGGAACAGGTCCCAATGGCTTACAGCAATCCCGTTATGCTCATCAAGATGAGCCGACTCCAGCTGCAGCGCCGAATATAGCACCCGCAACATCGGAAGTCTCAGCTACAGACCAAGGGACACCGTCCTCCGAACCCCAGCCTTCGTCTTCCAAACCTCCTACCCACCCCGAATCTAGACCTGGGCCTCCGAGTATAGTATCGGCACGAATGCCAGCCGTACGGGGCGACCGCTCTGCCACTGGCGGCCCAGTACACAAGAAGCTAACAGATGAGGAGCTCACGATCAAGCTTGAAAAGATGGCTATCCTCAATGCGCAAAAGGCCGAACGTCATCGTCTCTCCGAAGCAGATCAGGCGGCCTTCCAGCACCGAGAGAAGGAACTTGCGAAGGAGCGAAGAGAGAAGCGCGTGGAGGAACAGAAAAATAGCAGACAGATGGAGATGGAGCGGGCCAAAAACAGGCAGAGGAAGATACAGGCACAAGGCGTACGAGAATGGGACAGTGAAAAGGTGGAAAGTGATATCGTTGATGGAAAGGGACGTGGCAGGACTTCAGAGTATGTTAGGGGTAACCATGGCGGGGTGATTCGAGGAAGGGGTGCGGGACTGGCGGGCAGCAAGTACGCGGCTGCCGAGGGCGACGAGGCGTCTGGAGGAGTACCTGAGGAAGAATACAAGTCGGCCAGAGGACGCGGTAGACACGAAATTCGTGGTCGGGGTACAGGTGGCAGAGGAGGAAGCCGTGGGGGCAAGTTGAGTGGTCAGCCAAAAATGGTACCAGCTCCTGAGGATTTTCCTTCACTACCTACACCACCAACATCAAACACGTTTGCGAAGACAGAGGAGAAAGGCACATCTTCCACCGCCGACCAAACACCTGGAGAGTGGGCAGATGAAATGGCAACACCTGTGGAGGAAAAGCATATGACTATTTAACTAGCATGCATTGCGACGGAATCCATGGTTTCAAGGTTTACACGCCCGTCTACACTTGGATATCGGAAATGCATAGCTTCGATTTGATTTGCGTTACGTGACAATTCTAAAGCTTCCTATGCACATTTTATAGACAAGTGCGCAAGGTGAGCGAATGAAGATGCCTGGTGAACCTATCCTTGAAGCTGCTCATGGTCTCATATTGGTATCATAGAATAAAGCTGAACAGAAGCCCCGCCGGCGCACACAGTTACTTGCAGTCGTCAACTCGCACTTGAAGTAGACGGCCCAATACCAAGAAATGAAGTGTTCCAACCCAATGTCAACGCCCTATATCGTCGAAATAACATGGGGTTACACTGCGAAGGCGCCGTCTAGTTTTCTCCTGAGCGCTGCTCGGGCGGGCGGTCATCCCACCCCTGCCTTGGATTTTCTGTCGCCATTCTGGTTTCTAAAACCTGACTTAGATGCTGCAAATTTTGTTGAGCAACAGGGTCCTTCTCCAAGATATCTCTGATGACTTCCCACTCGAGCGGCCGCATCTGAAATGCTTGAGGCATCAGGAAAGCTACAGTTGGAGCGTTTATATGCGGGCCCAAGATCCTCGCAGCAACAGCTTCACCTTCGCGCTGTCTCTGCTCTTCAGCCTGTTGTCGGTGCTGACCTTCTTCGGTGTTGAATAGGGGACTCTGCTGGATCGGCGGAGTAGGGAGAGTGCTACCTTGAGGTGCGATCGGCGACATAGATGGAGGCGCACCACTGATGGACATTTGACGATGCGGATGACCCGTGATGGACGGGCTTTGAGCGTCAGGGCTGCCATCAAAACTGCGGGGATGATCAGGATACCATTCTGAGCGGATGACGAGAGCCACAACAATCATTGGCTCCAACCGAGTCTCTGGTACTCTATGGCCCTCAAGATTTATGATAAAGTCTGGGAGATGGCCAGGGCTGGGTGGAACAGGAACTAGATATGTGTCGCGAATATTTCCAACGCCTTTATTTGTCAGTACGCCGTATCTGTTCTTGCTATGGAAATAGTCAAACAGTTGCTGGTATCCTTGCGCCGCTGCTTCGCCCGTTGGGGTGACAGCCACAATGACAACGTCCGTGGGGGGGCTGTATCGGAGACTGCACAGATACTCGTTGGCTTTCTCCTGATCAATACGCCCAGCAATCTTGAGCTCCTTTTGAAGGATGTCGGTCCACGGAATCTTATTACTCAAATCAGCACCACCAATATGTTTGGCCACCGCCGAAAACTTCGCAATCGAATCCATTGTGACGGCTCCACGCCAAACGATGTCCGGGTTAGAATCATACTCGGCTGGCGAATACGGAGGGGATTCGTTGCCCTCATCATCTTGCAGCAACTTGTCGATTTCCGGGTCTACGCCTGGGCCATTCAACGGCGGAGCGACATTGGTGGACAGTTTCCGACCATGCTGGGTGCTAACAGGGGACTGGACGCTTGAGAATACTTTGTTGATATCAAAATCGGCTGGCATGGATGTCTTTCTTGTCTGGGCTTGTCCTGGCTTTGTATCGATTGTAAGCGGTTGCTTGCTTTGCATATCATGGAAGGTCCGGTGACTATCGATATGTTCGGGGAGTTCAACCCCATTGTCCGGCGAGTTTTCTCGAGATTGGGCCACTATATGTGAACCGGGATCGGGTACGGTTCGTTGGTGGGCTGTGGAGACGGTAATATCGTTCGGAATAGCAAAATTATCACCCTCAACGACTTCCTCGCCCTTGTGTGTTCTTCTTACTCGTGGAGCATTGTCATCCGCGACCATAATAGATTGCTTCTCAGCTCGTGCTTTCATCTCGGCCGTTTCGCGCTTCAGTTCCCTACTGGCCATGTCATCCGAACTCATCACTGCCAGAGCACTTGGTGCAAGAGTTCTGTTGAGGAGACCGTTGCATAATTCTTGGTTCTGCTTGAGGTTGAATGCAATGGTGCGCGCCTGCTTCGAATATGCGGATTTGTCGGGATGGGTAGAATAGACAGCGTCCTCGATTTGAAGAGCGAGACGCTCGGCTTTCGTGTCAACAGTGTCGCCGACGTTTAAGGCATGGTCACCGTCCTGGACTGCCGACTGCACGGTAACCTGTAGGTTCTTGAAGATCAACTTCGCAGTCCCTTGTCTAGCATGCCCTAGGTCTCCGATCCTAACAGGCAGGTCGGAGGGAGGCGACTTCTGCTGTGGAGTGGTGTGTCCTGTGGAAACTTTCCGGACCTTTGCTTCGGGCTCCTGCTTCGCTATCAGCCCGCGCTCTGAGATTATCGGCTGTGAAATAACTTACCTTCACTGACTCCTTATCGTGAGATTCATCCCGTATTTTTCTCTTCGTACTTCCAGACCGAGCAACATTTTCCTTCTTCTCCGCAGCGACGGGCAGTGAGGGCGACTCGGCCTTGCGATTTGCGGCATTGCTGAGCTCTGACTGATCGCTTGGTCTCTTGCCCTTGGCCTTTTTTCCCTTCTTTTTTGTGCCCTGCTTCTCCTCCTCTGCTAGCTCCTGTTCATATTGTCGCCTTCTCTCCACCCAAAGCCTTTTCCCTTTCTTCAAACCGTCGAGGAGCTCCTTGTGGAGAGGAAATAGGGGGTCGCATTTCTCACAAAGGTATTTATCAGGGGCGTCTTCGGTGAAACGACTAATTCCAACACAAACGTTATGTTGCCAGACGCCGCAGTTGTCGCAGGCGATCCACGGCTCTCCTTCGTCGTCTCCTGTCTCTCGGGCGCCACAGGGACATCGAATGACCTCGACCTCCTCATCATCGGTCTTGTCTGCTTTCTTGGCCGACTTTTTGATGGCTTTCTTTTTCGGTTCGGCGGGCTGGTCAAGAAGATCCAAGCTCTTTGTATGCTGCCCCTTGGTCGCGCGGACGGACCTTCGAGGTTCATCTAGTTGAGAAAGGGTAGTTAGCCAGGCTGTACAGAGAGAAGTGCACCAAGCGCGGCGCCTGGCGTACGGGTGTGGGTTGTGGGGGCGGAGATATAGATGCTTACCAGCCATAATGGGCGACGTATGTAGTCAACGGGATAGACTTATAGATGATTCACGGGCTTGTGGGTGATGGCGTGGTTCTACAAGGGAAGGGGGGGAGATTGACTCGAGTTGGTTTTCAAATAGAATAGAACACGCGAAGCGTTTCTTCACGCGATCATCGACTGGCTGGCTCTACAGACAAGCAAGTAATTGTTTCCCAGGCGAAACACGAAAAGCGAAGATTATGAAGCTATCCAGATCGCAGCGCGACACCCACTTTGCTGCAAGGCGCTATGCGCGGCTCTTCTAGGCTCCTCTCCTCTTCTTCTTGTCGTTATTCTTGATCTGCTTATTCTCCTCTCCTCCTCCTCCTCCTTCGTCGGTCACCTTTGCCTAGCCTTTGTCGCGGTAGGGGCGCGGCGATGCAGGCGTCTCTGCGCGCACGACAACAGAAATGGATCTTTTGTTTCAAATGGCGAGTGGGCGGCGACCGGTGCGACTCTGTGAGAATGTGCGGTTTATAAAGAGGAGCGAATGTAGAAGACGGGTAGATGAGGTTGCGCTGTGTGGTGTGAGTGGTGTGGTGTTGTGTGATGTGATGTAGTGTAGAGATGAGGTTGGTGGCGATGAAAGTTACTTCACAGGTCAAGTCCTTGGCTAATAAATTGTTGCGAATAGATACATGGTCACGTGCCTCCTGGGTTCGTTGGTGGTTTGTTGCCTGATGGTTCAGGAGGTAAGGCACCTGCTGACCGTGCTGGTGCGCCAACCGCGATATCGTCCCTAGTGAAGCGCCTCCAACTCGAAGTCCCAATACTCGAAGTCCCAATCCCAACACAAATGACTTCTTGATCATCTACTCGGGCTAAACCTATATCGCGCAACGCCAGAGCCTACACCGCCGACCTTATTTCGTCTTGTCCTGCCAGGAAGCCGTCGACAATGGCAGATGTTCGATCTCTGCTCAAAAGTGAGCGCGCTGCTCGCCGCATCCAACATAAATATGCTTCCTATTCCACGACTGGCACACTCCTGTGTGTAGTTTGCCATTTACAACTAAAGAGCGAGTCACTGTGGGATGGCCATCTGAGGTCGGCGGGCCATATTATGCGCCTAGAAAAGCTGCAACTCCAAGCTAGTGAACAGGAACAGGAGCAAGAGGGAGAGCAGAGGCCGGAAGAGCAGGCTGAGCGGGTCCGGCCCAGTGATGACAACAAGAAAAAAAGAAAGGCGAGCAGCAACGAAGAAGACACAATTCGAAAACGAGGCAGACCAGCGAACGGGTTGCCTGGCAATTTCTTTGATCCAGCAACCGTGCCCTCTGAATCCCGCGTTGTGCGTCCTATGAATGAAATCCAGATCCCTTCCAGGCCTGCAACTCCCTTGAAAGCCTCCCCCGGTTCTGGGCAGCCAACTGTCGACGAGGATGAATGGGCTGCGTTTGAAGCAGATATCGCTGCGGCAGAGCTTCCAGCCGCTGTAGATGCCGTAATCTCGGCACCAGCGATGTCTACTGCTGATTTGGTGGCGCAATCCACGGAGGAATCGAGCAAGCAGCGAAAGGCAAGAGAAGAAGCTGAGGTAGAAGGCGATAAAGAAGATGCCGAGAGGAAACTAGAAGACGAGTTCGACCGGATGGAGGGCTTAGAAGCGAGGGTCCGGAGACTAAGAGAGAGGAGGGAAGCTTTGCGAAAAATGGATATGGCCGTTAAAAATCCTACAACCCAAACAAAGCCATTAGGCACGATAGGAGGCATAAACAATGAGGATAAGGATGATGAGGACGAGGGCGATGAGGATGAGTGGGATGGGTTCAGGATGAAGTGGTAGCAAAACCATACCCAATTACATTAGGAAGACATCCTGTTGTATTGCTTGCTTACACTGATGGAACCACACGACTCAGTCTTTAGTTGTGTTTAATAGATGTATACTCTGTAAAGGAACGTAGACTGTTGGTACTAGGTGAATAGGTACCTATTTATTGTGCGTGGTAGTTAATATCCCTTGAAAGATTCGGTAAGCGCCTTGCAAAAAGCTGGGGCCGTGTCTCACCCCTAGGGCGCGTTCCCGAATACAAGGCTAGACCCAAAGCTGCCCAGAACCTGTGCTCTCTCCGTCGAATAAAAGAGGGACTGGCTTACCTAGTTGGCTATATTATTCACAATTCTAGACACTAGCCAAGTATCACCGTCATAATATGTCGAAGAGGCGGCGGTTAGTGAGGCGTTCCGAGTCGTTGGTAAATGTCCAGGCCGGTACCGAAGATTACGGGATATTGATCGAGGACAACAAAGGGGATACAAAGCATCGCGAGACCTTAGGTAACGTAGTAGGCATAGGATCTCTAGAACGCTCTCTACTAATAACTTATTATAGAATGGCTACGCTCGTTATCACTTCCGACTGCTCAGGCTGTTTATAACCTGATGAAATCAAGTTTAAAACCGACTTCTATATCACAAGTACCAGATCCGGAACGAGAGAAGCTTGCTACTTTGGCGGCTTCCTCTTATACTAGTGGGCGCGATGGTGCTTGGTATACTTCATGGTCTACTTGTGAAGTTATAGCTACTACTACGAATACTATAAGCCATCCTAGATGGCAAGTAGACGTAACTGCTGGGCCTAACTCTATCGGCGGAAAACTTAAAGCTGTCTTACCTATCGGGGCTTGGGAAGCTTTAATAAGTCTCCTCGGGGGCAAAAGGCAATGGAAAGTTCAGGTACACCATATAGCGTATAATGCTTCTCCTTTACGAGAGCTTGTACCTCTTCCACTAGATTGCGGGCGCGGTGGGAGTATTTCTCATCCGTGCGACCAACGGGGTTGTATAACCCACGTTGAAGCTACTCCAAATCATAAGGATAATATGAATCGACAGCGATGTCTAGGGATCCTTCTCGTTACTTTTCGCGACGTTATTATCCGAGAAATACCTTGTCAGCATAGTACTAATAGGGGGGGTCTTATACAAGCGGATACTATTGAGCAAGAATCTGTAATCTTAGGCAAGCAGCTTCGCGGAAGTTGTATTAAGGTCCGATTACTTGAATTATCGGAAGCTGATGTTTTATATATGAGTTCGTTAAGTTTATAAGCGGGTACTCTGTATAGAATAGGATAAAGACTAGAGGGGATAAATATACAGATTTAGTGAAGTATAATATAGAGGAGCTAGGTGGACCTTTAGTAGTATCAGGAGGAATTATAGATAAATCAACCATATAACCGTAGCCAAGGTATAAGGATCAATTGAGCGATAGGCGCGGTGCAGGATTATCGTCAGGTGGCCATTTGGCTAACGAAGACTAAACCAGTGGTTTAGTGTTCTTGGAGGAGGTGAATATTCGAGGCGCACTCAGGTAGTGGCATTCAGGACGACTAATAGTCACAAGATCCAGTTATTAATATAAGTATGTCAAATTGGGATTGTATTCGTAATTAACTAACTGGCCAGCTTCTCCCTGGTCCAGCTGTCAAGCTGATGAATTCTGAGTTGCAAGCTGCAAGCTTGTGTCCAAAAGAGAGAGTGAGAGCCAGGAGCTTATATGCCCAGGTGGCATATTAGGTAGGCTAGCAGCGAGGTTTTCTATGCTCAATTTCTCAGGCTGCTAGCAAGGCCACATGCCACGTGACAGCCCGTCATGTAGATAACCAATCCTTTATCAACTAAGATTACGAGTCAACGAATAAGCAATAAAGTGGCAGTTATAAGTGGATAAAATCAAAGTAAGGGGAGCTCATGAGATGTATAAGGACGATTAATCTGGCATATAATTACAAGAGTAGAGGCCGTATGAGCGCTTACACGACTTGCTTACGGCAAGTAGTTTCTCATCTCTAAATAAATCATATTTTGGAGTAGGTAGTTAGTTATACAAATCCATTCGAAAACCTCTTATCCCCCAATCATCGGAGGCCGGATGTCACTTGCTGACTGCGACACTGCGGCTTGAGATCCCCCAGATTCACCAGGAGCATCTCCCACATCAAGGCCCGCGCTGGGAAGATCCTCGGAGGTGTGGCTGTTTGGTTCCTAACTATAGCTCTTTTCGAGTGTAATCTTATCAAAATAACGGTGAGTGGTGAAGGCCGGTAGGGCCCAGTTACAATCTTACAGAAGTACTGGGATGGCGATAAGTGGCGAGAGAACTCGCTTTAAGCATTTGGCAACGGGGAAGGATCGTGCAATTTTTCTAGGCGCGGGAGATCTGGTCCATGGAACTTTGCATATATATGGAGGCCACGCTATAAGTTAGTAGCATTCGCAATATATCGGATTCAATATGTGAGTGGATGGCACGTGGATATTCTTCAAGGCTTTTGGATAGAAACACAAAACGCAGCTCTAAGTTTGTAGTGGAATACTGTGATCAGTTTTCACGCCCTGTAGCCACAGCCTATGCACCAATTCTTTGAAATACAAATTAAACGTTCCCTCGAGGTCCCTCCAAGCAATATTTCATGTGGACGCTGATCGCCAAAACGCCATATTTTATATCTCGTGTCATATAATTCATCGGCGGTCCTGCACTATCCGGTTGGGTCGTTCGATATTGTACTTCAGTTTGATCCCCATAGCAGCCAACTCCACATCCAAATACTTCAATACCCCAGGCACCGCTACGACTGTTGTGTCGTCACCTCCAAGCCACTTCTGGCCCTGCCCATCGTCCCATATCCCAGGTCCACGTTGCAATCCTTGAACTTTATGGGCGCATCTTCGGCAACGCACCACTTTGGTGCCTTTAAAGCTCATCGCCAAATCGGACACGGTAGGTTGCGTTGACAAGAACGTCCCACATTGCTTGCAAAGCCAGGAGCGCTGAAGGTCTGAGCAGTTGAGTAAACGATCCTGCAAGAGGAAGGCTGCGCCATGTGCAAGGAGGGAATCACGCTCCATCTCACCAACACGAATACCACCTCCTCTTTTCCTTCCCTTGATTGGCTGCCCAGTAAGCTCCGCTATGGGACCCGTTGTTCTCACCTGGTACTTGTCGTTGACCATGTGCCGAAGGCGTTGGTAATAAACGACTCCGATGAAGATATCGGCGTGGAGCTCCTCGCCAGTGATTCCAGAGTACATTGGCTCGTTGCCATGGTAATTATAGCCTGCTTTCATGAGTTGATGACCGAAATGATCGGCGGCGGTATTCTCTTCATCGAATCGAAAAGGTGTGCTGTCTTGAGCTAGGCCGTGAAGAGCCCCAGCTTTGCCAGCAAGAGACTCGACAAACATCCCGATGGTCATACGAGATGGGAAAGCATGAGGATTAATAATGATATCTGGCTGTAGACCTGATTCTGAAAAAGGCATGTCAGGGCTAGGCCACATCTGCGAGCAGACTCCCTTTTGTCCATGTCGGGAGGAGAATTTATCACCCACAACAGGGGCTCGGGGGACGCGGAACTTAACCGACATGCTTCGAAATGGCTCCGTCCCATTCTCGCTTCCAATTAGTCGGACCTCTTCGATAAATGCTGTTTCGGCCTCCTTGTATTTCTCGAAGTGCGTTTGACGATCGTTATTCACAAAGTTGCCCGACCCATCCCAAGCTACAGTGTGCCATGCGCAGATAATGTCGTCCTTTTGAACCATGCGGCCAATATACGGCAAACCGTCCGCATCAAGGAAGTTCCTCCACCCTGCCTGAATCTCCGCGCCTGGTGCAAACCCAAAAATCTTTTTCGCTTGCTTGTACGAGCGAGACTTAGCTCGGCCTTCTTCCAAGTCATACTTCTTGACCTTATACACGGTGCCATGCCCAAAACCACGTTCGTGTCCAGATTTGTTGATAATCATAGCATCATCCATGTCATATCCCGTATATGATATCACAGCAACAACAGCGTTCATGCCGTTAGGGAAATTGTCGAATCCATACTCATTGTGAAGAGGCGCTCGAACAATTGGCGTTTGTCCAGTTTGGAGTCGGTAAGTCTTATTGTCGTCTCGATACCGGATAGCTGTTCCGGGTGTTCCCATGGACTGCTTCCCCATTTGACACTGGTACATGTTTCGAGGAGATTGGTTATGGTCCGAAAAAGGAGTCATGTTAGCAAGAATTGACAAAATATGGGTGGGATCGAATTCAACGTGTGTGGACTCGCCCGAGACGATTTCTGGTTCCGTAACAGCAATCGACATAAACGGCTGCTCCTGTGGTCCGATGAAATCTTCCTTGTTCAAGGGCAAGTACTTCACCGGACGGATGAAACGAGATGGTCCCGACGACATATAGATACCCGGATACTGCCCGCCACGCGAATTTGGAACGTGGCCAATCTCAAGCTCCTTGGGTACGCCGTGTGTGCCTTCCACTTTCCAGTACCGAAGACTATCTGCGATTGCAACGGCCTGCTTAGGGGTGCACCAACCTAGGATTTTGCCGTCTAGTTGAACAACAACACTCTCGTCCGTCGACGATGAGTTTGAGCTTACCGCCCCAAGACTTACGACCAACCTCGGTATCCCTGAGACATCCACCTGCCGTACGAGAATCCTACATTTGTGTGCGAGATGATTAAGGAGGCCGCAAGGACTCCCATCGGGAGTGTGGACAGGACACAAGAACCCCCAGCTTTCAGGGAGTAGCTTTCTGACCGTAGTGGTTTTCAATTGGGCAAAGAAACTTCCTCGATGGACCATGCGGAAGTGGCTGATGAATCGTAAGAAGTTAATCTTCTCCGCCACGACTGTAAAGCCAGAAACCTGTTGTAAATCCAGACCTGTTGGGCTAACAAGATTACCGGTGGAAAGAAAATATTCCAACGCCCCCCCAATATTCGTATTGGTCTTGGCTATTATTTTCTCGGAGAGTTCCTTCAGGAATACTGGAGACTGGAAGTTCTCTTCTGGGTTTCTTCTCTGCCAATCCCGCAACGCTAATCGCAACTGAAGCGATAGCCAATCATTCAGGCGCTCCTTGATAATCATTCCATAGAGAAAGCCACCGAGCAGAATCTCCTGGTTCTGGACGGCATCCGGGTTGTCCACAGCACACTCTCCTGAAACCAAAGCGTAGAGCTTTTTTGTCATGAAAAGTAGCATCTTAAACTTGTCGTTATCCTCCACATCCGTGACATTAACGTTGCCGAGATGAACGAGCACAATCTTCCGTAGGAATTCAGTCCCGCAGTCGTAGTTGGACATAGTATCGGGAACATCTAGGACTACACGGAACTTCTCCCCTAATAAGGCTCGGGTTTGCCTCTTCGTGTAGAGCCCGTATTGCTTGTACGTCCGTAACAGTAATTCGGTCCGCCCAAAAAGGAATTCGCTTTGGGAGTTCTCCGACCTGTTCTGTCCAGCGATTCCGTCGAATATTTCACGGTCATTTGTTTCCACCAGAGCCTTCATGATCATCATCACCGGCACCAGGAACTCAGCCTTCCGCCAGGAAAAGCGAAAGATCACGTTTCCATCGTCGAGATAATGCAGAACATTGGTTTGGGAGGTCTGGTCAGGTCGCACGGATCGGATTATTACGCCCCATTTTGTGTAAGATGCGCCTCGGCCAGCAAAAGAGGGCCGTTCAATGGCCATGGGGAAGTTTCTCCGATTGACTATCAGCAGTCGAATAATCTTCTCGATGCCGTTGACCACAAAATATCCGCCCAGCTCCTCGGCCTCTTCTTTTCGTGCGACGAGGAGGGCAGGGGGGTTATCTTTAAGGTGGCAGAGGTCTGACTTGGAGGTTTGTTAGCAGCAGCAGCCCGAATCAAAGAGAGAATATGACCTACCATTACCATCATAGGCAGCTGACCCATGTCCCGGGTGATTTCTCGGGGGGGGCCGCCATTAACGGAGGCCTCAAATCGCACCCTGATCTTCCCCCGATACGTGGAATGACGCTCTCTGCACTCTGCGGGGAGAACCTTCCGTACCTTGGAGAACTTGTTCGAGTCGGGTAGCTCGGATGTCAGGACTCGAACCTCTCTAATCCTGACAGTCAACTGGTTCTTGCCCGCAGGCGGGCTGCGAGCATCGCCATCAAGAAATGTCTTGGGGCCAATGTCGCGCAAGGCCTGGGTGATGAGGCCGTTGTCCTCGAAGACGGCATTGAACGATTCTATATGCGGGGCAATAGCAGCTTTCAACGCTGGGTAGGGCGTGTGGTCGCGAGGCGGGTTCCGAAAGAGATTCTCACGGCGGAGGGTATCGAACTCGTGGGACCACTTCGTGTTGGTCTCGGTCTTGCCGCTGCTCTTGGTTTTGGGTTTGGGTTTGGTCTTGGTCTTGTTTGTGCTCGTGCCCTTGGACTGGTCAGAGCTAGATTGAGGCATATTTGAAGGGCTTAGCCAGCCACTGCTGTTCAGTTGTGGTTGTTGTTGTCGACTATCGAGATAGCGGCAAAAAGAAGTTTTCCGCGACGGAACGGAAATATAAATTTGGGCTTAGTCACGCTCCTTATCCTTATCAGAGATCTAATCTGCTACCTACTGTCCAGTGTCCATACGTACTTCGTAGGTAATCAATAATGGGAGCGAGCGAACGCCGCGCTGCTACTTCGTATGTTCTGCACTGAGGCTACATGGTACTCTGCACTCTGCACTCATCACTCTGCGATCTGCACTCTGCATTCCGAGCCTTGTATTCTTGCTTTGCTATTCTTCTTCTTCTTCCGCTGCATGCTTTCTGCGTGCTGCACGCGCCCTGTCCTGCCCTCGGTCCATTACGCTGCGTACAATCATCCCACCCCGGGTCCCAGGCCCCAAGCAAAAACATCGTCCATTTATTACTCTATCCCCAACCAGCTGAGGTGAAGACGGGAGGTACCCAGCATTCCTAGGCAGCATAACATAGTACGAGTATAATATATCTCAGGTACGGAGTGCTCCGTACCTAACTAAGCACGAGTACCCTGGGTACCTGATACAAGCAGAGTTGGCGTGAACCGACCCAACCGACCCAACCTAACCCAACCACCCGGAAGCAAGTATCAAAAGATACCGAAGGTATATTATATCCGTTACGAAGTCCAAACCAAAGCAAGACCGGCGGACTCAGATCAAGAACTCCCCGGGGCTGCCCAGCGGATAAGACAGAGAGGCCGTGGCGGCTTGCTCTTGTGCCTTGGGTTTGCACTCCATCTTGCTCGAAGTTTAAGGCTCGTGCCTGTTTCTGGGAATCTCCCCCGTCACAGGCGCTACTCGTACATCGGTCGCTACACCGTCACTCACCCCCGCCGCAGAGGAAAAGGCCGCTGTGCGCGCTGTACGGAGCGGACCATTGTCCACAACACCAACATCATATACGGGTTCGGCCGCGGCCATCCATCGCCATCGTCGCCATCATAATACTCCCACTTGCCAGATACCGGACTTTGACGCACGCAAAACCCTCACCACCACCGACCAACCTGCATCCGAGAGCTGCCCCGCCGCCTCATCCCCCCGCAGCCTTGCGCGACTCTGTCGCAACCAACCTACCCTTCAGAGGAGACAGCAGAGAGCGCCTTTATCTGTTGGCATCTTCGTGGTAGGCGCCCGAATCAAATCAACATGGCGGGAATTTTCAAACGGGTGTACGATTGGCTTTTGAGGCTGTTCTGGTACGTTGCGTCCATGCGCTCAATCCGGTCCAGCTGCTGGACGCGCGAATGGTCCTGCTGCACAAATAAAAGCAAACCAACCTCGTCAGGAAGACAGGCATACTTACCCACATGTCAAAATCACCATGCTGACCAGTTCCGTCGGGCGACAGGGCGACAGAGATGGATATCACCATGATCGGCCTACAGAATGCTGGGAAAACGTCGCTGCTGAGAGTATTAGCGGTAAGCGCCCACCAGATCTCTCGATAGCATCATCATATCCAGACTGACTTTTCCGCGATATGGCAGGGCGGAGAGTTCACCCTCGAGTATGTTCTCTCTCCAACCAGAAGCGCTGTGCTGGCGTCCCCGCTCGCTCACTATGTCCTATCAGCCGACAGAGAGATCCACCGCTAACCATGATCTTCCTTCATAGTTCGATTCCGACCGTTGGATTCAATATGAAGCGCGTACAGAAGGGCCATGTGACGCTGAAATGCTGGGATCTCGGCGGGCAACCACGGTTTCGGTCCATGTGGGAGCGGTACTGCCGGGGCGTAAATGCCATCGTATTCATCGTCGACTCGGCAGACAGGGAAGCTCTACCGGTCGCAAAGGATGAGCTCCACCTCCTCTTCGAGAAACCTGTTCTCGAAGGCATCCCGCTGCTGGTTCTCGGGAATAAATCCGATCTCGATGAGAAGCTCTCGGTGGACGAGTTGATCGACGCGCTAGACCTGAAGAGCATCTCGCATCGTGAGGTGAGCTGCTACGGCATAAGCGCAAAAGAGGAGACGAACCTGGACGCCGTTTTGCAATGGCTTGTTGCTCGCGCCAGCAAGTAGAACAAATACTCATCGAACGGCACCCCTGCCGAACTCGGATCCTCCGCCCCGGCCCGGCCCTCCCCCCGTGTGGTCAGAGTCTCCCATAACGATGATAACGAAGTGACGGAAAGATAAAATGAAATGTTTCCTTACCGGCCTACGAAGGCAAATATATCTCCCTAGCTCACAGCCTACAGCATGTTCTCACTTTCCAACTCCTCTGACGGCTCCCAGGGTGCGACTGACGTGTAGCTCTGTCGCATGAAGCGAGTTTCCTTGCCTACCTAGGTGCCATTGCGTGGCTTTTCTTTCTTCGCGCCTCTCCTTGGAATGACGGGACCACTTCCACGAGCGGCCATCATCAGCATCGGCAGCTGGCAATTCAACAGCCGCTAAGATTTCGTATGTTCCTTGTTTCTGGGGAGTGTGTGGTCCGATGTGTGGTTTGCAAAGACGCAGGGGGCAGGCATTGCCAGGTGTTCTTGGGCTTAGGATCTGTACTTAGCATACTCATATTTGTCGGGACTCAGTCCCGTAACTAATAACCAGCGTTTTCCCAGCAGGTGGCGAGATGCCTTACGGCGAGATTGCGGGAGGGGTTTTTGAATCCGGGGGGGCTGATATTCGGAGAGGAGGGTTGCTGGGACGAGGCAGCAACCATGTCGGCGCAGTTGATGCCACAACTTCCATGGTATATGACCGTCGCCAGACGTACTTGTACCATACCTTTTATCTTCTATCCATATACTACAGTAGGAGAGAGAGCGGAGGGGCGGGCATCAGGATGGCATGCTGTAGGGGGTTCCGAGGGCAGTGCTCCGTATATTCGAACCCATTCACACTCGTCCATACCCGTACGCATTCAATCCAATAATATTGTGGGTGACAAGAAGGAAAGGGACAAGCAGGAGGACAATCTTGCAGCAGCCACACTTAGTCAGAGGAGGCGGAGGCGTAGAGGAGGAGGAGGAGGAAGAGAAAGAAGAGGTGGAAGAGGAAGAGGGAGAGGGAGAGGAAGAGGACAAGGAGTAGAGGAGTAGCAATAGCATTTTGGTTAATAGTAGTGATGGTGCTAAGGCTAGGTACAAGAGTATAAAAGTAGGTAGGGAGGTAGGTATAGGTAGTCAATAATAAGGGACCCTCCGCACAAACCACATTGATGCGTTGGCAATAGGAGCATGGAGCATGGATGATGGATGGGACGCCCTGGCTGCAGAGTGCAGGCGCGGCTGCAATCATAATGGATGATGTAATCCAGGTGCGTACACTGCTTGCAGTACAACGGGTACAACGGGTACAAATATAGAGTGGTTCCTCAGGCACAATGGGACCCCGCCTTAGGTAATCACTCATTATCACGTGGCTCGCACTGCCTCTCACATGACACGCGATGCGAGTCCCTGAGGTACCAAGGTACTCACTCGTACCAAGGTAGGTAGCCTGACCTGAACTCGCCACTCCGCGCCCCACTCTCAAAAGGACACAGCCACAACCCAAAGCAACGAACGTCGTACGTCGTACGGAGTATACGTAAGGTAGCAGTAGTACTACGTACAATATCATATAACGTAGTGCGTAACCCACGAAGTTCCTGTACGCAGGTGTCAATAATAAGGCTTCCGACTCGTCTTCATACTACATGCGCCTCGATACTCCTGTATCTGTCTACTCGAGTAGGTAATCTCCTCAACCGTCAACGCCCTCATCGCCAGTTGGCAATCGCACGACCACACATCTACACGACTGCTCGCTATGGCGCCAACCTCGGCTACGGATCTCCTCACAAAGAGGCTCTATTATGAGTATGTACTCCCTTCCCTTCGCTGGTCGTCGTCTGGCAAGAGAATGAGTGTTGGCGTTAAGCACTAACTCTGTAAACAGCTGTGATGCCGACGGCTATTGCCGCTCGACCTGGAATACCTGGGGCAGATGGGTGGCTTTAGCGGTGATCATCGTGGTGTTTTTCCTCCTGGCACTCACGCTCTCGTACGTTACCATTCGTTCTCTACTCCACATGGCTCTTCTAACATGACTAACAGGTGCTACAATAGCCGCCGTCGCCGCCGTCGTGGCATGGCCCCGATGTATGGTACCGGCTGGATGGGAGGGAAACCTCCCACGGATCAACAATATGGCAATACGAACAACTACTATCCGAACCAACCGTACTATGGCGGCGCGCCGGCCCCTCCTTACAGCCCTCCGATCCCCAACCAAACGACCGGGACGACATTTGATAGCAACCATGGATATTATGGAAATCAGGGGATCGAGCTACAGCCCCCTCAAAGCTCGTATCAGCCTCAACGTGGTGGTGATCCTGTCTACGAGGCACCCCAAGGGCCGCCCCCCCGGAAAGAAGGTGACATCATTCGGTGATAGATGATGGTGGAAGACGGGCCGCGGAAGAGGGTCGGCCGTGTAATGATACTTATGACTTCTTAACCCTGGCATTGGCGTTTGTAATCGTTCTTGTATTTAATTCGGGGTATGGTCAATCTTGGGTGGCGGGCCTTGGACCAGGGCTTCGAGAAGAAAGCAGATGGACAGTGGTGACGAGCGGAGCGCATGTCGACGATTGCACTGGATATCTTTTCTAAAGCGTACTAATTAATACCACCAAAGCAACCTACATTTTATTGTTAAGCAGCCATTCCTCTAAGAGCGGTCTAAGCATATGTGTTACATATCATTCTTCCCACCTTAGCAGGCCCGACATGCGGTCCAAAGGAAGATTTAACAGCAATATCCCTCGGGCCTCGTGCCTTTAGCTTCCTTTCCTTGGATCTACCGTTACCTCGCGTTCTGCTTTAAATACTCGTTCAGCATGTGCAAAGTGCTCTATGCTGTAATTGCTACCTCTACCTAAGCACCTTCAAATATGATACGCCTCCTCCATGCTAAGCCTAGAATACACTTTATATATCTCAAAGCTAATCGCAATTAAAAGGCACGGGGCACGTAGTCCCCTACTCACTTTTTTAAGATGGGTACTGCCTTACCTACCTAGGTACCTTTGTACCCGAGGTGCCAAATCACGTGACGGCCTTCCACAAACCCCTGGCCATTGCTTCGTCCATACAGCAATAATGCATCGCATCTCTTCTTCTACTACTTGCACGGGCAAGCAGTAGTTGCATTCTGGTTTTATTATGTTTGTTCGCTGTACTTGTGTCTTTTGTTCAGTCCTGTTATTACTGTTGCTATACAAAGCGTCGCGCGCTCACACAATTGGTGCACTACTTGGCATCTCGCGATCTGCAGCGGTGCAATTTGCCCACCGGTTCGCGCCCATACTCTGTACTCTCGGTTTGGACCCTATTACAAAAGTTACACAGCCACGTTTCACAACTCAATTTGCTGCGGTGGGCAGAAACATAACACACCAGGCGCCGCCATTCCCTCATCCCGATCTTTCTATCGTGGCTCTCATTGCGTCCTAGTGCAGCTGCTGACGACGACGACGACGTTGTTATCACGGCGACTCTTACTATCGGGCGACTTCCTTGGTACATTACGGCCACGGGGTGATCTGCGAGACCGAACTGGTATTTGGCACAGGAAGGGGGATGGAGTAACGAACAAGGTGAACCTGCGAATCTCGTCCATTTCCACGCCCTGTACGGACAGACGCCGTTGCCAGCTTTTACCAGGAAAGGTTCTTGCGCCCAAATACCTCCCTCCAGCACCTGTGCAGTCGCCGACACGTCCAGCGGGCCACGCGCTATTCGCCTGGCGGATTCGAGATGCCGCATATCACAGCAGCTATGCAGAGGAGTGTGAGGAGGGGTGTGAGCGACATTGTGTTCGACAGTTTGCTCGGCCGGCGGTCGATAGCGGGCGAAGTGTCCAGCGTTAAGGATTCATTCTCGAGTTGGGATAATTGTATGAAGGCAACCTACTGCAAGTCTGTGTCCCTTTGATACCCTCGCTCCCGGTGGGCTCCAGCTAATTCCCTCTCCAGATGGCCCGTAATAGTTGTGATCATCGTCGTCTCCCTTACGGTGCTCTCGATCCTCTGGTGTATCATCAGGTGCGCATGCTGCGGGATGTCTTGCTGTTGCAGCTGCTTTTCTTTCCTCAAATGTTGTGACTGCTGTGGTGGATCGTGCGATGGGAAAAAGAACAAGCCGATGAAGCACTTGGATGAACCGTTCGCCTCGCGAGCCCCAAACCAAGGATACCAGGCGCCTGCACCGATGATGGGAGGGGCACTGTCTGCCACCCCTGAACGGCCTCAATTCGCGCAATTCGAAGTTGGGAAAAACGGGTTGTTTGTCGAGCCCAAACCAGCGCTGAGCGAAGACGCCTTGCCTCCCATGCCGAGCTGGGATGCCGCAGCGAACAAGCATGTGTTGGAGGAGGAGAAGAATGGCGTTGAGCTAGGGCATTTGGATCCCGCCACGGGACAGAGTGTGCCTCTTATGGCTGGTGCTGGTCGACCTCCAATGACTGGAACTCCAAGCCCGGGCCGCGAGATGACAAGTCCTTACGGTCCACAATCAGGCCAAGGCGTTGGTGGAAATGGATATATGGGAGTCGCAGGTGATTCTTACTCCCCTCATGCATCCCAGAATGGTTTTCATGGCAATGGGGGATATAGAGGCTCGCCGTCTCCAGGGCCCGGAATGAGTAGGCGGAGGCCGGGATATGGGCCACCAGACACGCAGAATATGAACGGTCAAGGTGGGTCAGGATATGGTCCATCTCCCCCTCTAGATCCGTATGGCAATGATGAATACGTGGGTACAGCCATGGATGGAGATGGTTATGGGCAACCGCAACGGCAACCGCAACGCCAGTACTCGAACGACGAGCGCCAATTTCCACCTGGACCGACAAGACAATACTCCGAGTCCGGGCGTTCTGTAAATCCAGGAAGACAATACATGGACCAGTCTTATGACAATTTCGAACCCAACGGCCCTTCGCGAGGGCCTTCGCCAGGTGGACCGCAGCAAATGGCAAGTTCCAGAGGTATCAATAATAGTGGATTTGATTTCGGCTCCGGGGGACAGCAAACATACAAACGGCCATCGCCCCCACCTCAACAAGCATCGTACAACACGTCTCGATCTAGAGATGATTACTATGGACCCTCCTCGCCATCGCCTTTATATGCAAGCAGAAGCCCGCCACCCCAAGAACCAAATTATCCTGGATACCAATCATATACACCTTCAAATCAAGGTTCAAGGCCAGGCGGCGCCCCGGCTGCCCTGACTCAACCCCAAGGCTGGGATCCCGTCCGCCAGTGAGCATAAAGGATAATGATGTGATGTTCCTGAGAAACAATGCTTTCGCATCATGTGTCTATTAAGACAGAATGTCCAACGTCCCATTTGTATGAATAGTTGTCTTGCTAGGTTGAACACTTTTGATGTTGACTGTTAATTCCTTGCCTCTTAAATACTCCAGTCCTTGCTAAGTTGCGAGCTGCTGACATGATATCCGGGTTTTAATTGCAGTTTTCGGCGTCGATACTTTCGGTATTTTATTGTATATACAGGGTGAAGTGCATTTTCTGGCGTTTTTCTAGGTCTGGAACAAATGAAGGATCTTTACCAGTATCCAATATACGGGGGTTCCGGTCCTCGGGTTATGGGATGATGTTGGATTCTTGCGAGATAGTTAAGGGGCAGGGGTAGATCAATGTGCGTTATGCTATATGGATTATTCTTGTTTGTCGTGGATCGGTCCCTTGACCAAAATTTGCGATTCTTGCCGGGTCTCTCCCACGCCACCGTTATTAGATCCTTGCTATATCGTTCTTAGCAATTCAAGCATCACATTTACAAATAAGCATATTTCAGGGCTCTAATGGTATTGATCGAATCTACATCGTATTTCCCAAGTGGGATCGTCACTTGTTAACTAGTAATGGCAGGTATCGTATCCTCCTACTTGACATTCCGAATCCATACCCCACACCCCCGGTTGCCCAAGTACAAGCTATGACTTCTGACAGGGTGTGTCTAGAAATCGATTGCCTATTCCTCGTGGATGGTACTTGAGACTCCTACGGGGTAATCCCTTGGTAATTTGGAGACCTTGGCGACTGGTACTATCGGACCCTGATGTCCTGGAGTGACTCTGCTGGGAACCCCCCTTGGACTTTCCACTGTTCTGTTACTGATATGTACGGCCTGGCAACTTGAGAAAGGTATACTTTCATGAGCTTGCGACCTAAGTGACGGAATCTGAGAAAGACCTAGAGCACTACTGCCATCCGAAGAACGAAAAGCCCGCGGATATCCATCTCGCAGCACCACACCCGTCAATTTCCCGTCGAGGCCATGGGAATGCATATCAGCCGGAGGAGCTGCAGTTATCGACTCGGAATGGGATATTTCAGGGTGAGATAAACGCAGAGTGGATACCGTACGGAGACGACTGATGGCTTCTTCGCCATTCACCTTGCCATAAATGTCCTTAGGAGTGGCATCTTTCGTGACAACTTGGTTTAACAGGTCTGGTTCTACCATTCGCTGCCTATAGGATGTGGGCTTGATGGATGCAGAGTGCATTTCGGAGCTTTCAGGCCTTGCGGAGCTTGGTGATGACATCTGTGGACGGCCCCAAGCAGATGTGGTATACGGAGGAGCCGCAGCTAGATGGCTAGATGCAGCACGTATTCCGCTGCCTCCAGAAGTATGCCTTGTCGGGGGTTTGTATATACCTGGCATGGCTCGATTCAATCCAGGCATTGAGGTTGGTGTAATGTCTGGACAGGTTGAACCAATCGCGTCAATGGGAATGCGAGTCAACCCTTCATAATCCAGTGGCATCGTTGAGCTTGTCTTGGGAGGACGGTCCGTTCCTGCGAATCGCATATCATAGCCCATTCCGTTGCAGTCGGGACAAATATTATATTTTTCTGGTGTAACTAGGACGAACTCGGGGTCTGTATCGTACCGCTCGAGGCCTACAACATTGGCATGGCCCCATTCGTGACCGCAGATCTCGGACTGCCAGCAGTGCTTATAAATATTAGAAGAGAGACCGTTGATGTTTTCCGCTGCCAGAAACGCTTACCTTGAACAATCCCACGATAACGGGACGAGCCTCTATGGCATGGTCTCCGAGGCAGGAAGGGCATCTGCCATCATGAACCTCAACCCTTTTAGGCGGGCTCTCACAGTCCTTGTGTAGGCATTCATGCCGATCGATAAAGGCTAGGAGAGGGTCGGAAGTAGCGTTGTGCTTGCATGTTTTGTAGTGAGGAAGGATATCGATACACATCCTTGATAGCAGAACTTGCCTAATGGTCGTTTAGTTCTCCAGTGGAGTAGTAAAGGTTTATCAAGTATTCTGCTGATCGGGCCTAAGGAGTAATAATGTGCACTTGGGAAATTTATTTTCACAGGTTTGTGGCAGATCCTGCTAATTTATATAATGTACAAGGACACTATTGACCTAAAACACTTTGGCAGTGGATATGTGAATCATGGCGACCTCTCCATTCATGTATGCAATGCTGTTAAAGTTATTAATAGCCGCCTACCTTCCGAAATAAAGCCTTTATATCAAGCTCCCGAATGCCAACCTATCAAATTCCAAACCCTCTAGTTTTACAGAGTAAGATTTAACTTTCTTATTAACAAACAAGTGAATTAGAACAATACAGTTTCTTGTAACTAGATAGTTACCGTTTTGGTTTAAAAATACAGGGCTCGCCAAAGTACCACCCAGTGTACAGTGAGTGATTCATGAAGCTACATAGCAAGGCTAGTTTTCGAAACATGCCAAGCACAAGAATTAACTGGGATTATTGCACCATTGAATCGCCATGATTGGAGACATCCGTTATACTTTAGACTCCAGCATCATGGTTTGGCTCTTTGAAGGGGATCCGTCAGCCAACGACAGGGCCTTCAGAGACATCCTCATGGTTTGCAAAACTTCCCTCGCCCGCGACAGATTCTGGCTCCTGTTGGTTTTGTCTCGCCGAACCCGGCATCAAGTTGTTATCGAGGGTTGCATGCGAGGGCTCATCCCCCAATTCGGGCTGCCAGTCCTTGAGGTCATCTTCTGCGTCGTTAAGGATCTGGCGGGCTTGGTCAGCATGTTCATACGCTGGACGAACATCGCCTGGCACAGCGGGAGTATCGTCAAGGAGGTGGAGGAGCCGCCGGCCATGGCGGGCGAGGATAATTTGCTTCTCTGCGCGCTCGATTGAGGCCGCAAATTCGGTAGCGTATGCTGCCTTCAACTTCTGCCGGGTCTGATACATCCGGATTAGTATAGGACCATCACTGCTTTCGCGTTCGAAAGGAATGTACCCACAATGTTGGTCAATTGAGCCTCCGCAACCAAGTTTTCCGCCTCAGCCCTGACTAGTTCCTGTTCCAAGGTCACCAACTTCGCGCTTTGGGGTTCCTTAGACTTCAGCCTCGCAATCTCGTCCGTGATCTTGGCTTTGGTGTCTCTGCTTGGCTGGACACTCTTCTCGGTATTTCTGATCGCCTTCAGGATGGCCCTGCTATCGTCCAGGTTATGCGCATACAAATCCTCCTGTTCACCTAGCTCCGAGAGCAAGACACCAATCTTATCCGAGATGTCGCTGACGGCGTCATCGTTGGTCGCTTCGCCCCACTCCGACAGCTGGGTGGCGATCGAAATCCTCTCCTTGCCGGCGTTCTCGTAGGACTGGATCAGATGGTTCTCGGACTTGATGAGTTTGTATAGCTTTTTGCTGAGCTCGGGCTGGATATTGCCGCGGAGGGAGCTGAGGCTGAAGCCATGGCGGTTCCCCGTCCCTGTACCCGAGGAGCTGGCGCCGTTCTTGGAGCGGATGGAGAGGGAGCGATTCCTGTCGAGCGCGGGGTGTTGTTAGAATTTCAATAGCTACGTCACCATCGAAAGATGACGACGGGGAGGAAGAGGAGCAGGACGAGGAAGAGTCGAGGCTGGACTCACATTCTGGGTCTAAGTTTTGAAGACGGAGGGAGGCAAGGGCCTTGAAATGCCACAGGTTGATTTGTTTTCTGGGAATGCAGTCAGGCGCTCTCCCATCGACCTCTCCAGAACAGGATAGCTAGGAACCAGCCTTACAAGCAGTAATGCGTATCTCAGTACCTACCTTGGGAAGGAGGTGCTTAGGTCTGTTTTGAAAGGCTTCTTGCGCGACTCGATCCAGTCAGACTGTACGTGTTTGCTTTGCAATTGCGTGGAGAGTAGTACCAGTACTGGTGTAAACCTGTGTAGAAGATGCGATGAAGGATGGATGAAGGATGGATGAAGGATAAAGAAGTATAGAAACCTTACCTCACCTTACCTCACCTTCCTCACCTTCCTACTGTACGAGTGGAATGGAATGGGCGGGAGGGGAGTTCGGATGATGACGTAGGGACGCGAGGGCGCTCTCGCACCATATTCTATTACCACTTACTCGTACCTGCTACTTACCTGCCTCACTCGAACGTAGTACAGTACATCGTAGGTAAGTAAGGTAGGTAGGTACATATACAGTACCTTAAGCAGCTATTGCGCCCATCGAAAGCAACTGTAGATAGGTAAGGTATGTACTGTAGGTAGCACCATCGTACTGGCTACCTTATTACCTATTACTTTCGTACGTACGATGTAGAAATAAGCACGGGGAGTATCCAGCAGCAGCCCGTGTATGTACCTTGTACCTTGTACCTTGTACCCAAAGTGCGCTAAGGCCGCAACCGGCAAGGTGTATGTTTGACTAATCTGCAGGCCTCCCTCCACCCAAGCCTTTGCTTGGCCAAACGCCACGCCGATCGACAAGGAGACGACAAGGAGACGTCCTGTGTTGACTTCGTACTACGTATGTCCATGTTTATTTATATATGTACATGATTATTATTCGCAGGACACAACAAATACCAACGGGGCAATGCTCAGGCTACGGCGACGACGACCCTCCTGCTGTCTGTGCAAGTGATCACCACAGATCCGATGAAGACAAAGAAGCCTCTGTTTAGTAGTGCCGCCGGTGCCTCCTTTGAAGCTGTTTGAGATTCACGGATCCACAGGTCCACAGGTCCACAAGAATTCACAAAGATTCGCAAGATTCACAACAACAGGGCCCTTTGCTTTTCCCCTGCCATCCCTATCCCCATCCGCCATCCGCCATCCCAGCATCCCAGCATCCCAACGCATAAAACATACATGTACTCTGTATTCTGTACTGAACCCTCGCCCGCCGAGCCGCCGTCGCTGTCAACATGCTGGCTGAGATCACCGTCATCATCCACGCCACCACCGCGGGTGCTGGCGCTACATGCTGCATAATGCATACGGGTACTGCCCACTCCCGGTGTCAAGGTGGGAATCACAAGCAAACCATAGATACAGTACGCCTCTCCTGGATTTTCCTCCTCTAAACACTACACCACACCACACTGCACCGCCATTATTGAAACCAACCCCCGAAGACAGCAGAACAGAACCCCGAAGAAGCCCAGGAACGCCGGATACGATACGATACGGTACATGGTACGCGTCACACTGGGGCACCGCATACGATACTGTACGCGTCGTGTTGGGTGGGACACACGCTCGACAGGTTACCTAAGGTACCTAGGTTACCCAGGATATATAGGAAAGGAGAAGTTTCCCGCTGCATCATCTTGCCTCTCACCCTCCATGTTCCCTACCGCACCCGTTGCTCGATAAGATGGACGCCGGTGAGTTGCTCTCTCCCTAGTCCCCATACCCTTCTCTCCAGATCCAAGTTCCAAGACCAAGTTTGGGTCTTAAAGCCGCGGCCCTCCCCACAGTTTTGATACCGGTATTGGATTACCAACATCGTAAGCTCCACCGGAGGTATTCTAGCTATGGGGGGAGCGCCGGCGAGCAAAGTGCTCCAGAAATCCCAGCGTCCATCACGGCGGCGCCGATTCTCATTATTCAGTCCCCAACTCCTCCCTATAGCAGATTCTGAGACGCTACAAGATAATCACGAGAGACCTTCGCTGCCAGACCGAATACCCCCGCGGGTGCCAGACTGCTCTCCTCCGCCTGCTCCTCGCAGCGGCCCCTCTTCGAGACCGTCAAGTTCCTCTAGAAAGCTTCAAAAAGCCGAATCTCCAGGTCGATGGAACACTATCCCACCAGCTGTGTCGCCCATGGCTCAGCATCATGCAGAAGCGGCCCACGGCCGATCTGTCTCGTCTCCCGTCACTACTCGCCCAATATCGCTCACGTTGGAAGGAGCGGCAGATTCCCCTGGAGGCAAGATATCGAAAAGAAGAAGCTGGCTGGCTGGAGGAAGGCGGTCCCGAGCTACATCCCAAGAAGATCCCCTCCAGCATCGGTCCAATGCCTGGATAAATGCAGAGAACCACCAACCCGAGTACAGTCTTTCCCCGTTAGTTAGTGGCGAAAAGGTAACACCCCTCCAAAAGCCCCCCCCTCATAGAGCACGCTGAAATCTGCTACAGGTGCCGGAACTGTGGAATGAATCTTCGGACACATTCATATATTTGTACCCTCAAGCTACCGGCCGAGGCTCATCATTCAGGGTCCCTTCCATGGCACTAGCCTCCTCCGCGGTTCTCTTAAATTATCTGCACGGCGACCCCAAGGTGGACCGAGGAAGAAGCTTCGATGGCGGAGCGAGTCTCTCAGCTGAGCATGCTATTCGAAATATGCCAATACGTGGCCTGGGCACGCCGCCATACACCCCGAAGAGCAGCGTATCCGAGACGCAGTCGAATATAGATTGTTACGATGACTTCATACAATCCTTCGACGAGACTCCGCACGAGATGCACCTATATTTTCCCACCGGCCTCACGACAGATGGCACAAACCTTGCTCCTCAGGACGTTCAGACACTCGTGGATGTCCGAAACCTCTTCGCGTTTTTAATGGGCCAGCCTCTAGTTGCAACCCGTGGTTGCAACTCCACTTTCCAAATATTCCTCTCGGTGGGCTTAATGCTATGGAGGTACGGCTTCGCGAACATTGATGGGTCAACCTTTGGAGAGTCGGCTACTGCCAGTTTTGAGTTCTATTTAGACAGCTTGCAATTGGCCGATGTCAGAACTAATCCGGAGAAAACCATCGAAGCGCTTGTCCTGGGCGAGAGCATGCGATCGGCTGACCTATATACGGAGGCTTTTACCCATGCTGTTGGAAACTATAATGCCCTGAAGGAGTCAAAGTATCAAGTCTTTGAGCAAATCTCCCCTGCCACCCGAGCAAACTTGGAACGCAGTTCTCTCGAGCTCGTTGGGCGACAAGACGCTGCGGACTCTCGCCTGGCTGATTTTAATTTCCCATCGCTTTTTGCAGGTATCGCTGCTTCAACATCAAGAGAAGAGTCGAGACATGTCCGCTTCAAGGCTTGGAAATCAAATTTCATGTCTATGCGCAAGCACGTTCTCTCGTATTACAAAAGCTTGCATGGGCAATGGCCACCCAAAGCGAGCAGTAAGAAGAACTCATTTGCCGTGGGCGGCCTCAATCGGTTGGTGTTGAAGGGGCTCTATGCGGATATGTGTAGTCTCTATAACCTCAGAGCCGATCGATCACTGCTTACCACCAGATCTTACGATTCATCCAAGGATGGAGAACAGGCAGACGTCGATCCTACCACCGCGGCATTACGAACCCTTCTCAGCGAATTTGATCGATCATCCCCGCCCGTTCAGCCACCAATCCCGTTCGACGTACCGCTTATTCCTTCGGTCTCAAGTATTGACGCAAAGTACCCATCCATGTCCCCGAAAGCGCAACTCAAATTAGCGACACGCAGGCTCAAGCACCATGAATCCCAGCTTGTCCTCCTCAAAACGCGCAACGTGGATGCGGACCACCCCAACCCATTCCTTGATATGTACAAAATATTCGAAGACAAGGAGTCACGGGGCAAGAATGTTCAAGAACTTAGCGATCAGGTTTATGGTCATTGGATCTTCCTCTACGCTGTCATACAATCCCTCCCTCTGCTTGCGGTGGATGTTCCGGGCCTGCGGTATACTGAAGGAGTTGAATATTTTCTGTGCTCAGCACCGTCGGGTAGTCTACCTTGGGTTGAAGATGCCCCAAAGACCGCATGGTATGGGGTTCAGGGAGGCCAACACGTTGTATCCCTTCCTAGTCACCTTGTGGATAATGGTGTGGAAGCTGTCTATCGTCGTTCTCATTGCTGGGCCGTTGCTGAAAAGTGGATTGGTAACGTCGGTGCAGATGGGTTTCAATCTGCAAACTTAATTCCTGATCAGGAGCAGCAATTGTCGCCGCTTGCTCCACCACCCGGCTTCGCTGGTGGCGAGCTGGGAATGAGACCACAGTCACGGGGCCGATCTGCTGGTGTGCCTCTTGACCCGGAGTCGCTTTCTGCGCTGGAGAAGAGAAGTCGTAGCAGACAGTCACAACGACTAAGCATTGCGCTGGGTCTTGAACGTTTGCCTATCCCATCTGGGCTCGAGGATTGGAACCTGGGAAGCAGAGGCACAAGCCCGGTGGTTCCACATAGTGCGCGTCGCGATTCGAGCATGAACAGTGTCGGAACTCCACGGAGTGCGACTTCTATAAGTGGGACTACGTTCGACCAAATCTTAGGGAACATTAGTGCGGAGGACACAAAAGGTAACGGAGTGAAGAAGTGAGAACACCTTCATCGATTGTGAATATTTGGCGGAGTATTGAAATATGGAGGATCGCCTCAACACGCCGACTACACATGGAGTATTCATGGGGATGATCAGCCGCATGTAATGATAATAGAGAGATCTTCGGGGTATACCCGAGAAAGGAGTTGTTCGTCCGTTGCCTCCTGTACTGGGCGACTACTGGATACATAAATATGCATATCCTCACGTCACTTAGCTACTGACTATTGACTCTTGTCCACACAAGTACGGGCTCAAAGTAGTATGAGAGTTTAGAGAACAATCGTCGCATTCGATACCCTTCTCCATCCCCTATAATCAAACGATCGCGGCTTAAAATCGAGGGGTTCCATGTGCAACCGTTGAATGTAAACCTTTTCATGTATTAATTGCTATCTTCTCCGTCCGATAGATCGAGGAACGATCTCTCGGCGGTAGAATTTGGTGATATACACCCCCCTGGGACATCGGATCGCGAGTCCATACCCTCACGAGTAGTCCTCCCAAGGCTCCTCCCAACTCCATATCTATCAGGAGTTCTCCCATTCCCACTCCCGAATTTATCTGGTGCCCTTACGAAGCTATTGCTAACCCCTGATCTATCTGGCGTGGTACTCCCATCTCTAATCCAAGTTCTATCCGGCGTCGTCCTTCCAAAGCTATTACAACCCCCACATCTGTCTTGGGAAACTATTACATTATTAGGTCGAATTCCAGGTGTATCTATTGCGGTCCCGATTTCGTCATACCCTACCTCAACCATGTGCTCTGGCCTGGCCTGCCGGACATCCCTTTCTCTCTCGTCCGTGATTGGTATACCCTTCACCATCGATCCATCTACATCACCAGCATCCATCTCGTACTTTTCCTGCACTTCCATCTCAAAAGGCCCCGGATCAATCTGCGACCTCGTCGGGGGGTGCACACGAGTCTCGAACGTCCCGAGCATATCAGGGGAGAGGGCCATTTGAAACCCCGCCATTTCCTGCTGCCTCTGGCGTTGCATCTCCGGTTGTTGCTTTGATAGCTCATGCTCCTGTCCCTGTGGTGGCGGCGGCTGCTGCTGCTCCTCGCGGGATATTAGTTGGCGCTCTATAACAGCGACTTCCCCCTGCCCTTCTTTGCGCCCCCGCTGTTTGTTTCGCCGCCGTTTGATATGCAGGCCAGCTAAAAGGGCGACGGCCGTAATGATTACAAATACGACACTGATGGTGATGCCGACCTTGGCCCCAACATTAAGCCCATTCGAGGATGCCAGAGGGGTAGCAGAGGAGGCCGTATGTGAAGAGGTGGGCGTGCTAGATGTGTTTGGCAGAGTTGCGATGGATGGTGAAGTGAACCTCGGCGCGGCTACCCCTGGTGGATTGGAACTCGCCACACTCGGTGCAGCTATGGTCGTTATAGGCGATGGAGCTATATCGTCAGCAAATACGTATCCTGTGACCATGAATCCAGTGACGATGGTTGAGGCCGCAGAGCCTGTTGGATCTGCCCTTGGAGCGAGCCCACCGGAGGGGCTATCGACTACAAGTACCTGCCGAGATCCCACTGTCGATATGCACTTGCTATCCGCACGGTAAATATATTGCCTTCTTGCTGTTAGCAAATGCTCGCTGGCACCGGGGTGGAATCTTACGAAGGGCAGCAAGCCAATATTGTACTAATCGCATTCAGACTTGCGGTAGCCGCAGGAGTATATAGTGACGGACAGTTGAAGGGTCCCAGACTAAATTTCGTCGGCCCTGTGCTGCCTTGCTCCCATTCCCATATCTTCATCACCTCCGAAGGTAGACATTGGGCCGCCTTGGGGACGTTTTTTGCAAAGTACGGATCGAAGGCCACTAACTCGCTGCTGCCCGGCACTCGATAGATCTGAGACGAGCAACCACTTGCAAGGGGCGGACTGGGAGTTGTGAAGGGGATCCAAGTTGTGGTAATTCCACTATTGACTTCAGGCAGACGACGCGACGTTGGCTTTGTTGTCATAGTCGCGACTGGCGACGCAAGAGGCTGCGTAGGAGGGAATTCAAGAAGCCTCTGCTCTTCCAGAGGTGGCAAGATTACCGCCCACGACCAGATCGTTCGCCCCCTTCCACTTCCACTCTCGTACCAGCTGCTCCTCGCTCCGAATCTCTTCTTCGCTAGCCGCAACGCACTTCATATCATATATGCTACGCCGTGCAAACGCAGGCGTTAAGATGACCTTGGTATTAGCCGCGAGCTTACCCCCACGCGGAGCAGGTGCCGGGCCTAGACAAGCCGTGTCCTTCGTACTTGGACACAAGTAGTGCTATATAACGCTAATGAGTAATTCTAAAAGGAAACAGGATGCAGCGTCGAGACGAGATGAGCAGAGTGCAGAGTAGGGCAAACACCGCGAAAACGAGAAATATTATGGCGGGTAGCACATCTCCAGTCCCGACATGGAGATACTCCGTACAGTACGCTAGCTATTTCGTATGTACTATGTAGAGAGGCCGTTCGCCATGTTGTCAGACTGAGACTCCGCGATTAAAACACAAAAATGTGAGAGCTTATGATCTCTGGAACTTTCAGAGATGCAAAGTACATAAGTGCATACGATATCATCATGCTAGGTAGGTATTGGTACCCAGTGCCTGATATCTGTTTAATTCCTCCGTATGTCGTGTCCAAGCATCACCGGAGGAGCGTAAGATACGAGTACTGTGCTCATAAGTTGCACAGTCACTGTTCTGTTTCTTTGGAGAGACTTGTAGGCACTGCAAACCTGATGTAGAGCGCTTAAACATGTGTAGGGTGGAGGACCGGGTACAATAAGCGGTGGACTGTCCACCCACTAACTTAGGTACCTTGGGTAGGTATAATAGGTAGGATACCGTTCTGAGATAGGTTTCCATAATTGGTTTTGATCTTCGAAGTACATCGTAAGTAATAATGCATGAACAGCAATCAATCAGCAATAACTAGGTACCTATAATACATGTTGCGTGGTGTGTCGATAGTATGATACCTAAGTACTGATTCACTTTATTAGGAATTCCGAGTAAGTATAAGAGAAAAGAGTTGTGTTAGTTTAGGAGAGAAGCTAGTTTTCGAAAATCGAAAATTTGACTAGTATCTACCCGAGTATTTTGGGCATACCCGGGAAGTACAGTTTGACAGATAGGTCTTCCCCTCTTTATATAGCTTTCCCTTTTTTATAGTATTCCCGTCTCAGTCGTGGGTCCTCCTGGACGTCCAGGGGCGGTTGTAGAGCGGGTATATAACTCTATAGATAGATTAGCTGAATTACCCCTGTATCGTATATATTACTGCCTCAGGTACTACTCGGGTAGATACTAGTCAAATTTTCGATTTTCGAAAACTAGCTTCTCTCCTAAACTAACACAACTCTTTTCTTTTATACTTACTCGGACTTTCCAATAAAGTGAATCAATAGCGACAATGTCCGGTAGTAACAGCGGTCCTTCAGCAAGCGGCCCTTCAGCAAGCGTTTATATAGGTGGCCGAAAGCGAAAACATTCTTCGGTCGAGGTAGTCGCTCAAAAAAAGATTTCAAAAACTGCGTCCGAAGCAAAAGATATAACTAGAGAAATGGCAATAACCTCCTTGCAGAAGCTTGTTAGTGGATATACACCGCCTCTGCAAGGTGTATTAGGCTATCAGCCTACAGCTAGGGGGTGGGGTCCGGCTCTAGGGAACTCTTGCGGGTGTCAACTTGCACAGAAAAGTCCAAATCATCCTCATGGGTATATCCAAATTACAGTCGATCGCCCGAAGCGTGCTCGTAGCGCTAACGGTACAACGGTAGAAGATTGGGCTCAACAAAGTGCACATCGGTTAGTCGTTCTCGCATATAAAAGCCAAAATGAAATCGATCTCTTGCTAGATAATAGTTACCATGCGAGCCACCTATGCGGAAATCCGAACTGTATCAGTCCTAGCCATATTTGCGTTGAATCCAGATCTACGAATGAGCCCGGAAAACCTGTCAACAAGACCTATTTTTCGCCGAAATTATAATCAATTGCTCTCGCTATCGCATTACTTCTCTAGATATATGTAGGCACGAACCTAAGTGTATACCTAGGCGTGTCGAAAATATCGTGGTTGTACCTCTTGCTTCTTGCTTGCTTGTGGATGATTTTGAAGATGATGGCATTGCCGATGATGATTTGCTGGCGGTTTGTCCTTAACACTACACTAATGGGGTGGTTGTTCTGTGATTCCCCTGTTAAGGTTTCCGTGATTTGGGACTCGGTGATCCGTAACTCGGACAAAGATTCGGTAGCTTGCTCGACTGAGAAGGCCTGCGTGTTTGAGGGTGGTGTTCTGGGCAACGTTCGACTAGGCGTGAATGCCGATTTAGATGATCCTTCGGTCTCTTCCGTAGGTAATTGTTGCATGGGGTGCTTCACTCAAGTAATTCCGGTCCGGGACTCAATGATATGACGAAGACGTATGATGATTCCTATTCGAGACACGGAATGACTACGAGTCCTGGACTCCTAATACGACAGTTCCGGTCCGGGACCTACATCACAGGATGCTTGGTGCGCTCAGGGAAGTCCTACAGTTGTCACTTTATTGGGAAGTCCGAGTAAGCATGAGAGAAAAGAGTTGTATTGAGTCATGTGCCTGCTCCACAGTACCTACCTTAAGTAAGTAGACATCAGTACGCCCATGACCCAACAACTATCTATCTATTGGGCTGAAACACGAAGCACCGGCTAATAATAATCCAGATGTACTCAACACCCCCGCTCCGACTCCGCTATGTGTTGAACGAGCCCAAATACAGAACAACCAAACAAAACATATCTTCCTTACTTCGCACACTACCTGACCTTCCTCACGTCTCTATAACTATTATATACCTACCAGTTGCCTAGGCAAATTCAACGTCGAAACCAACCGTGAGTGATCAGAATCCACCAGCTTCACGCCGCAGCCCCAAAACCCCCCAATTCTATCGCCGTCAAGCATGCTAACTACATATACTCACCAAGAGCAAAATGCGAACCTCCAACAGCAGCCTCGTCAACCGCAACGGCCCAGGCTCTGCCGCTGCCTCCACCATTAGCTCCATCGTCAAGCCTGAGACTGGCGCCGCTGGCAAGACCAAGTGTTTGGAGTGCGATGGATACGAATGCTGCTGCATTCCCATCCCTTGCACTGTGATGTAGGCACACTGATTGATATGCCCTATGCTTTGGGGGCAAGGAGTTTGCATGGATCAGGGGTTTGTGGGGGCTAAAGAACATCGTGATGTGAAGCAGCACTAAGGGAATTGATACAATGAGGGTGAATACGTTGAAGGGTTCAATCCAGTGGTCTCTCTCCACGCTTTTCGCGTGTACGTGATTTTGGGCTTTGGTTGCAGAATATGCTGCGGCGGACTTCCCAACAGCCTTCGGCGACGTGGCATGTCCTCGATTCATCTCACATTCAGTAGGACTCCACCTTCTGAAAACCAAGTAATAGGTGTTCCAACGACTGTATGCAGCTTTAGTTTTGATCCCAGATATCATATCATGCCCTCTCCAGCTATTTAACCAAATTCCTTGTCAAGCTCATCCCATATATCGTTCCCCTCATCCATGTTGGACTCCTTGACGACGCGTTGTCCGGCTGTCTCCATCTCTGTCAATCCAGCCTGGCCCAAACCCTCCAGTACCGCCTCCACTTTCTCCTTCATCTTCATTATGCCCTGAGTCTCTGCCCTCGACCGCTCCAATTGATCGTGCATCGTCAGTATCAGGCTCTCTCTGGCCTGATGGGGTCGGTATTCATTCAAAAGGTGGTGGAAATTAATGAACAACGTTCGCAGATCTTGGATCTTCTCCACATACTGTGTCTCAAGTCAGCATATGCGCAGGAATCGGAAATATATAGGACATACCTGCGCAGGATTGACACTCATAATACCAACCAACTCCAGGAAATTCAGCAGCAGCGATTTCGCCAGTCGCTTCAAGATAAAGGCGCGGTCAGAATGCTTCCCGTCACCGGTCGGTGTTATTGGGGGCGTATACAGGTGCTGTATCCCCTGCTCTTCTAGAGTGGGGAGTGGCTCACTCAACTTTGGTGTCGCTACAATCAGCACAATTCCTACCACTCCCCTCTGGCCAAGTTACACACTCTGCAATGGGGAAACGTACGTTATACACGTCCCCGAAACACCGGTAAACTCCATCTGCTGGGGGCTCGGGCGGCTGTAAGAAGCGCAACTCGGGCGGGAGATCCAGCAGACGTACGGGCGAAGACGTAGCAGGATTGGGGTGTTTGGATGCCTCTGCCGCTTGCGCAACACGTAGCTTCGATGTGCGCTCCAGATTCACTTCCGTGAAATGTTGCCAGAACGGCGGGGGGGTTGGAAATGCAGCCGCCAGAGGATTGGGCTGTGGCTCTGACTCTTCCATTGCGTCCCGTTGCTCTTGTCCAGCGAAGCGGCAAGGGCAGACAAGGTCGATGTAAGATCTTAGGACTTGTTTGGACGATAGCTGGACATGTGCCGTGGGTTAGCTACCTCAGAGAGAGGTATATGTAGAGCAAAGGTATGTACTGCCCGAAGTACCAAGTCTATATATAGATATATTCACTGTATGAAGTAGGCTGGCTTGGCCTGTGTGGGTGAGCTTGACGCTGACAAAGCAAGGCTGAACTGTACCAGGACAATATCACCGACTCCAGCCCCCTAAGCACATAGGTATACCCTTCGCTGTAACGCAACAAACTCAACCACCACCGCCGGCTGGAAACAGACTATACCTTTCTACTCTCCGTCTTGTTACGCATTAATAGAAGTGTTGTCCTACCGCATCGCTGCCTATTTGTTTGGTTCCGTGGTTCGAGTTTAAGCATGACCACGTTTTGAAAGGACTCACGACGAACAAATGCCTCGCAATACCCGTTCTCCCAGTCCCAATCCAGGTCTGGTGGCGCAGAGGGGCTGGATTGGATCTCTAGCTAGGTTCTGGGAAGTATGGTTCTGCTTCTTGCCGCATGTACTTTGCTATTTACTGATAAGACTCCTAGAAAACATATGCGCCGGACTACGTAGGGCTGATCTTGCTGCTCACAGCCTATCTCCTGGTAGGAGCCCGACTGGCGCTTCCCCCTGGTTCACATCAACGGTGTAAATTAATGACCGGTGACGGTAGATACAATTCCTTATGGAGCCTTTTCATCGCCTATTTTTCCTCAGCAACATCAATATCCAATATCCTCATGCTAAGGTGGAGAGGGTTTCATCGGCTTGGAATATCTTCTATGCTGGAGGGATACCGCTGGCCACTTTAGTTTTGGCTCTTCTTATTACCCGTGCAAGCCTCCACAAGTGTCATGTTACAATTCTTGGATTTTTCATAAGGTGCAGCCCTTGAGGATCTATGATGATGCAGCAGCTAAGTCGTCACAGCTTGATCCTCACATCGTTTATTACCAACGTCGTCAAGAATGCCGTTGGGAGACCTCGACCAGATCTCATATCTCGGTGCAAGCCAGCAGCTACTGCCGCGAGCGATGTTCTCGTGGATATAAGCGTATGTACGCAAACTAACCATCATGTTCTACACGATGGATGGAGAAGCTTTCCATCAGGCCATTCGTCGTTTGCTTTCGCTGGGCTAGGATTTCTCACCTTGTTCTTTTGCGGACAAATGCATGTCCTTCGCCCGAGGACTGACCTCGGAAGGGCTTTACTCGCTATCGCACCCTTGCTCGGCGCTGCATTGATTGCTATTAGTCGCTGCGAAGACTACCGGTGCGCCTCTCCAACCCTTGAAGAACGATGTTTGAATGGGATATCAAGCGCTAACACTCTTATAAGCCACGACGTATACGATGTTACCTGCGGTTCTATCCTCGGAATTAGTATCGCGTACTTCTCTTACAGACGGTATTTTCCTCGACTCCGCTCACGAAAATGCGACGAGCCATTTGCCTCTCGCGAAGCCATCTTCAATGAAGGCTTTGCGAAGATCAAGAATGACGAAGAAACCGGGCGAGCTACCAGGATATTTGATTTGAGTGATGTAGATGACGAGGATGCAAACTAATGTTGTATCAAAGTATCTTCTCAGTCGCCGCATTTCACATATTTGTCGAGAATTTGAATTTCTTTGATTGGACTCTAATTCAAGCCATGTCTGATGACAAGAGTTTGATTATTCTTTGTCTTGGTCCGATGCTTGAGCCTTTGCCCCATTCTTTGTATTCATCCAAAAATGCCCCCTTTGTTCTTTTACTTCATATCTCTGCGTCCGATTCGCCAATTATACGCTGCGCCTTCTACTTCCCTTTGGAATTCCCGTAGTATTTCTTTGACACGCAATTATTAATCGTCTTTGCAGTGTATCTGAACTTCTTACCCCACGCCAAACCTGGCCTTAAGATACTTTGTGCGATAATGCCCGTCTCTGAATCTTACTTCTGCTGCTTTCCTATTCCTAGCCGAAAGTTGATAATCAAACAGTGCGCATATTCATTACCGCTAGCCAGAGTCTCTATTATTCATAACAATATTTCCCGCCATGAACCCGCCAGGGCCAGCACCAGATGAGACCGAGCAATCAAGGGATGGAATCTGGAGCTGGAGAAAGCAAAAACTTTTCGCCGTTCTCGTTCTTGCGGCAGGAATTGCTATAGGAACCACCCAGATGCCGACGATCTGGCGGTGGGTCGCGGGTACATACTTCTACAATGTCGAATACGTCCTTACGGCTTCAGGGAATGATTTGATTGAAGGCTTATGTACTGGCGTTAAATTTGCTAGTGATCCATGGAACACTCTGGTGGATAGTGACTGGTTCAAATTGCAAAGGTGCTTGGGAAATGAGGATGGGTTTAGAAGGCAGGGAGAGCTAATGCTAGTGGTAAGTGTCACGGGTGTATTGATAAGTCATATCTACGCGGAATATTGACAACAAGTAGTTCTTTGAGGCGTTGTGGATGTGTATGCGAGGCTTTGGCAAGATTTTGGGGCCACTCCCAGTGGGTATTTGTTGAACTCTTGTTGAGTGCTTCGAGACTAATGCGATATTATAGTCGGTGGTATTTATTATATTCTTTGTGTTCTACTTTCTTCCTTGGTTATATAGTAGAGTAAGTGTCGCTCGGTTGTGGTTCTTGAAGCTATTCTGATCTAAATTCCAACAGATTGAAAGGATCGGCGCGTCTTTGGTCTATACCAGAGGGCCTTCCCACTGCTGTTTTCTATTAATATTTTTCTTGGCTGTTATGGTGATCGTTTGGTCACTGTTCCCCGCGAAGTGGTTTATCATGGTGATGCTTTTGATTATATTGTTCCTAGCCTTCTGCCCTTGCATCTGCATCGGGCACCGTGGGCGACCGTGTGGAGCAATTATTGAATTAACAACCCCCACCGCGGAAACAGCCAGATCTGCTGTACATGGAGCCTCCAGGCCTATGGGAAGTGCCGCCAACCTTACAAACCCGACTGCAAAGCCCATGCAAGAAGAAGCACAACGGTCCACTACGGGGCAACTTGGTGCTGCCAGAGCCAACGTTAATGTTTTAGAAGAAGGCAATGGAAGGACCTCCCAAGCTAGCGCAACACAACGGGTTCTTCCCCAACCGGCGACAAACACAAGTCCCCAAGAAACTCAGAGCAACGGTGCACCAATAGAAGGGTGGGATAGTTCTCGAATTGTAATATTTGCTCTGGCTAATAGTGAAACTAGTAAGCCTAAGCTTCCCCAAGCGACGGCAAATTCAAACTCCGGAAAGGTTCAGGGCAACACCACACCCGTGAATTGGTGGGATAGTCCGCGAACAGGGACATTCCCCCTGGCCAGCAACGAAAGCGATGGAGCTGGGCTTGGGGGAGTAACCTGGGGAAATGCCCGGTTACTCAGGGAGTTGACGGAGCTCAGCAGCGAGATGCAGACTAGGGTTAGGGCCCATGAGCTCCAAGTCAAGGGCCTCGAAGCGCAACTGAAATATGCCCGAGAACAAGGCAATTGCACGCAGGTACGGAATGAGCTAGATGCTGCTCGCACGCAGTTAAGGTTGCACGAGAGAGATATAAACAGTTTACAACTCCTAGCGGAGCATTTGCGACAGCAGTTGGACAATGCGAGAAACCCCAACTCTCAAGCTTTCCAAAGCGACGGTGCTTGCGTTGCCAAATGTCGGAGGCTAGAGGAAGAGAAACAGCATCTTCTCCAAGCGAATCAAGAAGACAACTTAATGGCTCAGGCCGTCGCACTGCGGTTCGGCAGCCCGCCCGAGGAAGCGAAGCACTATACATTGAAAGAGTACTTCCTGAAAATTATACATATTGTGGTCGGGCATATTGAGGCCGGCGGCAATGTTAACCCTAGTGGCCATCCGATACTGAAGGCGATTCACAATGACGTATACGAGCAACGGCTTTGGGAGCTCACAGAGTACAAGAACCAGTTGGAGGGTGAAGTTAGCCGATTAGGGGGAGACGTACAAAGTACGCAGCTGGGCTTAAACCCAGCGCTGCCACCGCCTTATCGCGATCTAGCTTACGAAGACAATATGCGCCTTGTGTTTCCCATCTATCGATCATTATGCCAAAAAGTGAAATACCTCGAGGATTTACTTGATTCTGAGAACAGCGGGACAATGCCTCCGTCGGCCATTGGCAATCCCCGGTCCGATTTTCATGACAAGCTAGAACATGGGGTTATTAGGTTGGTTGAAAACAGACCCGCCGTCAGTACAAACCCGAAGTTTGAGGATAGCGAGATGCTACTACAGAGCCTATTATGGGACGAGATATCTCGCTTGGTAAATCGGGGAAGTCAATTGTGTACTTTCATCGAAACCCTTCCACGGGGTAATAGCCCTCTTTGGGGAAGCAAAGTTGATACGCCACTAAGAGAAGCTCGACAGGTGTGCAGAGACGCTACGATGCATATCCTAAACGATCCCAGGCCTCTTGAAAAGCGAACCACATCTATCGAGAACTGCCGATTGGCCGCGAGAGTTAGACGTAGGTTCAAGATCTGGTGCGCCATGGAGGAGGCTATTCGAGCACTGGCCAATGCCATTACATCCTTCAATGGCACGCCTCCGGCATGGACAACGAATCCAGCGCAACCCCAGCCAAGCCTTGTGCCAAAGAAGTCATTCGAGTCACTGACGACGGCACTCATGAAGCGTGAAATTAATACCCTAGACCATCGTATAGCACAGCTTTTGGAGTTCATGGAGAATGAGAGATTGCCTGGTACGAACCATGGGAAAACCCGTATCCACGGCCCTCCGCGTTATCAAGAAGACTGGGACGCTCTGAAAGCCGCGAAAACTTTCGCAGTACTGGCCAGGGTGCACTGGTATGACGAATGCTCCCCAAAAGCTGCCACGCAACCGAAACTTCCATTAGACCACCCACCACTTTTGCACGCTGTGAGACGAAGAAAAGGGAAGATTCTCGTCCCGCAGGTCCCCTCATTCCCATGGAAGCTACAGAAGGATGGACAGCTAAGAGGAGTTGCGGTGGCAGAAGCCCCGGATGGTGCCGATGATGGTGGCCCACAAAGTCTCGTCGTCGTGGATGAAGGTGCCCAAGTAGAATGGAAGCTCCCGCGTGCTGGCGAGGATCAGAGGGCCGTAACTGGTGGCTCCGAAAAAGAGAGGAAGAGCCGGTACTGGCGAAACTACAATCGGGTCCAACAGCTAATCCAATGCCTCCAAGATCCGGACCCAACGATCCCAACCCCAACACTATGGAAGTTGCGATCAGGACAGGATGTGAACATGGCGCTGGTTCAAGCAAAGGAGTCGCTCTTGATAGAGCATGTCAAGAACCTAGAAGGGCAGATGCTGGATAGTGGACTTCCCCTACCGGGTCGGCCAGATGAAGAATGCGACCTGTATCCATCGAAACAAACTAGTTAGTAGCACGTCGCGGGTAATATAATATGTAATCGGGCGGCATTTAGTCAGTCAAGCAAGGGAAGCTCCCGCTAAAGTTCAAAGCTAGCTTTCATCGTCATTCCTAGCAAGGGAGTTATGGTCTAACACTCGGGCTCGATACACCCAGGTTATCGTTGATCGGTTGTCGGTACAAGTGGAGCCGGAATAGGACTAGAAAATATAAAGTATGGAGGATATATAGGTAGATAAAGATGGGTTGGTTACGTGGTGGCTGGTTAAGTGGTGCAGAGGTAAGATATTGAGGCATTTACGACCTCGCCTGCAAGGAAAGGGATTACTATTGTTACATAGGTAGGTAGGTAGCCACCTACGGGCTTTCAGGAAACACAATAAAAATCTAGCTGATTATACGATCTCCATCTACTCCGCCTTCGTCTCTGGCCAGATTGTGCTCTTTCAATAAGGTCGTAATCTCGTCGGCGCCCCACAGGTGGTGGTAGATCCGGCCATCCTTCGTCTTTCCGACTGTAGCAAACTCAACTACGAAGGGTATCAGTAACATAGGTATAGTATACTGGCAGAATGGAACTTACTCTTCTCACTGCTTAGCTTCGTCGAATCCATGGTTTTGCTCAAAACTTTCACCGCCATCCCGCATGCCTCCTTCAAATCGCAATCTTCTTTATAATCCTGCTTCAGCAAACTCTGTGCACTAGCATTGTTTGCGCCAACACTGGTGGCCTTCCACCCCCCGTAGTTGCCGCTCGGATTACTCTGGTAGAGCTGGAACTCCCGCTGTGGATCGTAGCCGGCATAGATGAACGATACCCCAAAGGGGCGTAGACCGCCATGCTGCGTATAGCCTTGCTTTAAGTCACATAATCGACGTACCAGTTGCTCGCAGGGAATGTCTTCGTTGTAGGTGAGAAGGTACCGTTGGGCGGCTTGGCGGGCGTAGTTGATGAGGATATTAGCATCAGCTGTCATGCCGGCTACGGCGCAGATCATGTTGCTAGGGGGATCCATTAGTCCGAGACCCAAAAGATGAAGACGGAGAGCCTACTCATTCAAGATGTAGAGCTTTTCTGCGGAAGTGTCCTGCTCCAGGAGCTTGCTGGTCACCTTTCGCTCTGCAGCCAATACGATACCATCCTTTGCTAATATACCCAATGCGGTACCTGCATGCGAGATGGCCTCGAGGGCATATTCTACTTGGTAAAGACGACCTTCCGGGGAAAAGATAGTTGTCTAAGGATGTGGTCAGCGCAGCTCCACATCGACGACAAGCTGTTGGAGCTTACCCTCGAATCGTATCTTCTCGACATTATGAAGAGAGCTTTCTTTGGAGGCTAAGATACTGTGGGACTGGGTCTCTTCGTATGAAGGAGCGGCGCTTCTGGATATCTTGTTGTGATTGTGTGGAGGTGAAGAGAATGTCGCGCTTCGTTGGAGTGATATATGCATATAGGTAGAGAAGCTCGGAGGCTCCAGCAACGACGACGCACCGCGTCGGTAGCGCGGCGGCCTTACATCCGAGGCTTCATACCGATGAATACCTGGTGAGGTTTGGAAATAATAATCATTTCTATACTACGTACTACATGCTCGCCTTCACCCTTCACCTTCACCTCCCACTGCATCAAAGAAAGCTCCTCTCCCCGCCACCACCCCCAAAATATCATGCACCAAATATGCTGAAATCTACGCATAGGCCAACAGCGCCCGCTCCCTTGCCGGGAGGATGGACAGAGCATAAAGCTCCCACCGGTCACACCTACTACTACAATACTGCCACGAAACAATCCACATATACACGACCCATTGCGCCTCCTGCTGGTCCCATTGCACCATCGCCGCCGGCTGTGTCAGATCCGTCCCAGAGTTTCTTACAATATCAAGCTATCAGAGGGCCGATACCAAGTGCTGGAACGGCTTCTACCAACCTCGCTCTGCCAGATCAATTTCAAGGCGAGCAAAGAAAGTTCCAGGGGCAAGGCCAAAGAGATGGTAGAGGGGGGCATGACCGGCCAAGGGGGTCTAGACCGCAACCCGTGGATAAACCAACATCTAGGTACCCCATCCTTGGGCACGAACCTTGGGTTTTGGTGCACACTAAATATGGGCGCCGTTTTGTCTATAATACGGAAAAGAACCAAAGTTATTGGCGGATACCTGAAAAGTTGAAGGATGGGATATTAGCGCTGGACCAGTCTAGGATAAAGGAGAAGGCTGAGGCTCTGCTCAAAGGTAGCGAAACCAATGGAACAACAAATGACCCTGGAGCAGCTGCAAGACCTACCTTATTCACCAACCAACCCGGCCAGGGCGGTAGCGATGAGAGAGATGATGACAGTTCGGAATACGAGGAAGTCGAGGTTACAGATGATGAAGATGAAGATATGGATGGGGAAAATACGACGAAACGGCAGCGGACAGATGATGCTACTGAGGAGCCAGTTGAGTTTAACGAGGACGATATTGCCTTTCAATTAGCTGCTATGGGCCAGGAATATGGCCTGGATCCCGGGGAATATGACGATGGGGGTATGGAGGAATGGAATGACAATGCCGAGGTCATGGAAATGAAGTATGAGGATTCAGCTGCCTTGTTCAAAGATCTGTTAAATGATTGCGGGATAAACCCCTACAGTCCTTGGGAGAAGCTGGTTGAGGAGGGCAAGTTGGTGGATGATATTCGGTACACCGCTCTCCCCAACATGAAGGCTAGAAGAGAGGTGTGGGAAGAATGGTCACGATTACAAATCAAACAGCTTCGGGAACTTCGCGCCAGAGAGGAGAAGAAGGATCCCAGAATCTCATATCTAGCATTTCTTCAAAATCATGCCAACCCGAAACTGTATTGGCCGGAATTCAAACGGAAATACAAGAGGGAACCCGAAATGCGTGATCCGTCGTTGTCAGATAGGGACCGTGAAAAGTTCTATAGAGATCATATCTGTCGTCTCAAGCTTCCTCAGTCGACTTTGAAATCCGACTTGTTAGACCTACTGAAATCTCAACCCTCGTCAACTCTGAACAACACGACACTAGCCTCGAACCTACCGCCCTCGGTGATTGCCGATATCAACTACATCTCAATCGATCCATCCACCAGAGATCCCCTCATCGAAACATACCTCACGACTCTTCCTCCGCCACCTGAGTTTGCCTTTGAACAAGAAGATGTGGAGGCAGCAAAAGAGAGAAAGGATAAAGAAGGACGGCAAAAGGCATTGGAAGACAGAGAAAGACGTGTTGCAGAACAGAAACGACGCCAGAAAAGAGATTTGGAGCTCGGAAAAGGCAGGTTGCGAGATGAGGAAGCAGAGCTTGCAAGAGCGATGAATGTCACGAAAAAAGGGTTGAAAGACCACCTGATGGCCGAAGATGGTGCTGGGAACCCTGCTTAAGATCATGCAAGTCCCACCTCCATGTTGTTGTGTGCCGATGACACTGGCGCGCAAGGAAGCAGAGTTGTTATGGCATACTTATTAGTGAATTTTTGGCGACCTCATGTTCCTATACCGGAATTTTATGTTCTTACGATCTCCGTCGTGACCTAGAAACATCGTGTCCGGCCAGAATGGAACGGAGATCCATCGGCGACGTGGAAGTACTCCTCAGAATACCACATTATGTACGGCTATGTGTCACCACAAATTGGTACCTAGGTTTCCCTTGTCCAGGGGTTCAGGGGCGATTTTTATCTTTTCAACCACACTAACGGCTGGAGATAATTGCCCAATCTTATCCCGGCTACACATCACTCACAATGGCCAATGCGAACTCCCTTCATCCTTACCGGCTTCCTCACCATATATGAGCCATTTGTCGAGCCATTGCCTTGGTTGACCACAGATCCGACCCAACTTGCTGCCGTATACTGTAAGTTGACTTCGAAGGTCAATCTACGACCACGCAAATAAGGAACTAGTGTGCGTTGTTTGGGAATAAGACATTTGGGGCGTCACGCAGCGCAAAGCTTAGTGCTTAACTAAAGTTCTGGGTGGTATCATTCTGTGTGAAATATATATCAACCTCTCTCACAAATATCGTCTAGAAACAGCATACAGCAGCCAAGATCCGTACAACACCCCTCCCCAAATAACAATATTTTCACCCCGACTACTTCTCGCAGTGACAGCTGGATCTGACTACGTCTCCCTAATATCAGCCGACCCCTTCACCCTCACTGCCCTCCTATCTAGCAGTCCTCTAAATGGCAAGTCGGTCACTGCAGCCCGCCGGCCCTTTTACATTGGTCTCCCTAAATCCTGCCTATTGTCCCTCACAACCTATCCCAACTTATCCCAGTGTTACGGAAACGAGTTTTGCTGGCATGGCCTCATTAGGGCTATCCCCCCGCGCCCCCACCCCCCCAATTATCTTTCTATCTAGCCAATTACGTATAGGAGATGTCGAAAATTATATACTACTTGGTTAAAGTGCCAGGCGGCCAGCAAGTCTATTTCCAGCAGGACGGTCCGTTAGGGTTCACTGCCCGTCACTCTGCATCTACCCGGACTAGGTCATAACGGGGGACTCACAACCCTCTCTCTTCAATCCAGCCCACACCAATCTACCTATTTCAGATTCCGGCGCCGGTCAATATCCCCTTTCCCTTTTCCATTCTCCTTTTGGAGGCGTCCCCCATGGAGGCCATACTAATAGGCCCATATACCAGGCGGTATTCTGGCATCTCCATCCTGCGCTTCCCCGGATGTGTATCAAACAAACGCCAAGACTCCGAATTTCAACAAAACAGATTGCATCACATTAACTAGACTTGGGCCAAATTATCACACTGATGGCTCATTTGATCATGGGAATATACGTGGGGCGTGCTAAGGTCTTATTCAAGGTGTAGCAAAACTGTAAAAGTCCTCCAATAGCCCTAGGTATACACTTTGGGCTCTGTGTCTTGCAGCTATGCGAGAGCGATATCTATTGTCGAAGTACGTGGTACCTGGCTTCCGTGCTTCCGCATTTAGCTTGATTCTTGACAAATCTTTATCAAGCAAAATATAAATTAAAAGGGTCTATAGGATGATAGCTAGCGACAGTTAAGGCTCAAATTAATGTGAAAGCATTCAAGCTCAAAGTGTTTATTCGCAGGTAGCCACACTCGTGACAGGAAACTACTAACCATTGCTGCCATTTAGTTGTATACGAGTAGATGATTGTCAAGGCTCCACCAGATAATGGTGATCGCGCACAAACACCTAAATGGGTGATACGAGCAATTCGACCAGTCCAAGCACCGGTCTGGCATTATAATTAGTACTAATATTAGATGTTTGGTACGGTCAACCACGGCATCAAAGACACGGACACCGGCACATTCCATTCACTCTATAGTTGCCTATATATAATACAGGCTTTCCCTTCCTTATATTAAATCAATCAATAAACTCTTACTCGCTCCCTTGACCTATTGTGAAGCCTCATTTACCTCAACAATGATTTTTACTAGTTCATACCAAAATTAATTTCGCATAATGGATCTCAACATCCTCAAGCTCTCTATTCCGCTTCAAGTTTGAGCATTGATCTGTGATTAGGTATCAGGGAACAACCTTCTTTACCAACTCTGTTTCGGGTAATATCTCAATGGTAATTATGCCAGAGTAGGGCCAAATTCAGGAGTCTTCATTCTACATCTTACAGAATCATGCTTTGTGAGGTCCGGTGCACGAGATATCTACTTTCGCCCTATGCATAAATCCGTCTGCACACACAGTGACACACTCAATAGATCTACAGCACAAAGAGGCTTCACTTTCGGTATCTCGGTCTGTAGTCTTCTCCTAGTCCTCATCATTATCCGTTTTCCTGGCCTTCAATCACAGTCAGAGAAGCACAATATTTCCAAACTCTTTGCCAAAATTTGGAGTTATTATCTAGTCGTAGCTTTAGGAAACCCTCTTCTTTTCAGGATCACAGAATTCAAAGCATTCGAGCACCTGTGGTTGGGATACGGCGAAAGGCTATTGACAATTAATTAGAGCATTGGAACATTAGAGCTGGATATACTGTACATTGCTGCGTTTTTTATATGTACAGCGAGGGGGTGCGACTGGGGAGGTCAAGTGCCCGTTTGGAAAAGGACCCTGGCAAACAACAAGGCGGCCTTTCATATAATTTAGCGCCATCAGAGCCCGTCAGTACCTCATTTCCAAAGTATAAAAGGAAGAAAATAAAGAATCTGGTATCTGCTAACTTGCTTCAGAAGCTCAAAACATTCCGGTGGCTAATTATCCGTATTATTCCTCGTTAGGTCCATTTCACCCTTTTGCAACTGCTCACGAAGAGTAAAGTGCAAAATATTAAAACGGACCCTTGCTCGAGGGAACAATACATTTGTGTCTAAGCAGGCTCTGGCCCCACTTTCGGTCAAAATCGATGAATGAAGTCTCCCAATAATAGGTCGGTTGAAGAAGCGTTTAATTTTGACAAATGGGTACCAGGACATTTGCCATTCAGGGAGACGAATCATACACCGGAAGGCTGAGGTATGGCCCCTCGTCGTCCGGGAGTGGAGTTGGGAAATGACATTTTTGAAGATGAGTGTCGTTGCTGGAGGAGAAAGGATAGGACATCGCCCCGTCTCGAAGTTACTGTCTCGAGCACATTGCCTGTTTACACATATCTCTCTAGAGTATCACGGAAAAGTAGAACTTCATAATGTGATGATGAAAAGGCTGGCGCCATGACATCATGTATCTTCTAGGAGACTCCATCCGGGCAGGCGACCACATATCGGCCTGCCATGGCATGTATAGCAACGAGATTGTATTCAATCACACAGTTCCGAACGTCTAGGTCGGATTAGGACGACCTAGGAGTTAGCGATGAGTCCTAGGTCAAGAAAGAAGGCACTTTTCAGGTTCTACTTTTGCGCGATAGCCGTTAGATATTCTTGCTGGTGCATATTTGAGGATAAGATGGTTGCAACTTCGCCTATAGCCTTGAGAATCGCTCAAGGGAAAGGGACGGAGTCGTTGCGTCTGAGAACAATTAGAACTAGATTTTGAGGGGTGAGTAAAATTATAGGGATATACTCAGCCACTAAACCATCGATATGCTTGGACAGCAGGTCCAAAATTTAAACCGCGCCGATAGTATGGGTCGATTGTCCTTTGTGTGACATGCGAAAAATTGAGCCTACTTCAAATGTGTCTAGACAATTTCAATTGGACCCTCGCTGAGACTTATAAGGGCGATGGCCTTAAGCCAGCTTAGGTATGAAGGAAGTGCGAGATAATAGTGAGGCGATGAACATTAGCCTTAGGCTAAGTGCTAGCTAACAACTGGTAATCATATTGGTTGAGCGGGCCCAAGGACTAGATACTGCGTGTGCTCTATGCACCGTAGCTGTATAATCGACTTAGAATTATCAACTAATAAACACAATTCGAACTATCAATGAGAGGAATTCGAGGTCAGTAATTAAAGGCATGCCACTTGCTTAACTGCTTCTTGTTCAGATCCTCGCTCAGAGACGACGGTGGAACCTCAAGAACAACTATTTGCATAAGACGCTCCAAAGGGTATGAACACATAAATACAATAGGATCAAGGGAAAAGTGCCCGGTATCGTTCGCTCGCTCGGTTAATCATTTCAGGTCATAAATCCCTCCACTCCCGCCATACCAATGCCTCAAATGTATAGTACAAGCATCTGCGGCACATCCGATTCCCCTCAACTTCTTCTATATCCTGGGCTATTAAATCCCATTGGCGACGGGCCAGGACTACCACCGTTATTATATGGTGCAGGGCTCGCAAGCCGGGCGATCTGGTTTCCGACATTGCCCCGGCCGCTTTGAGCCGTACCGGGCCGCTGCGGTCCGGAGTTTCCGTAGTACCCATCTCCAGAATGTCCCCGTGAACTTGGATCCGTCGCATTTCTCTGCGGAGGGCCAGGGCCAAGCATTGAGTTTGATGCTGGAGCAGTCGACGCACTCCGCATGCCGGGATTGAATGACTGATATCCGCCGTTCGTGGGGCCGATATTATCACGATTTGGTGCAGGAGAGTTGCGGCCGTAGTTGGATCCAGGTGCCGGGGATGATCGGCCAGGTGCAACATTGGGATCAAATGGGGTCCGTCGACCCATTGACGGCGCAGGGCCAAGCGGCGTATTTGACCGCAACTCACCTACGGCCCGAGGCATGGGACGCCCATAACCATCAACGCTTCCTTGGCTATTCGATAATGATGCGGCCGGCGTATTTCTTCCTTCTGTGTATGAAACCGGGCTCTGGGTGTAGCCTCTATCACTAAATGCACTCGGCATCATCGATGGCCCACTAGGTGGGCCACGGTTGCCTTGGCCATTGTTATTGTTCGAGCTCGAGGTCATCGTTCGCTGCGGCTGAGCTGGATACCCATTCGTACCTAGCTGAGGTACAGTGCGCAAGCTTGGAGCGGGGGAAGCAGATCGGCCGTACCCCATCTCGGACGCATTTCCCACCAATGGGGCGTTGGATGCATAGCTTGCGTTGGACGAGCCGGTCATAATTCGTGTGGGTGAGGGGCGTTTCTGATCCAGCTGGTCGAGCTCGAACGCTGGAAGCGTAGGTTGACCACTCGGCGTGCCTGGACGAGAGCTGTACACAGGTAACGTTGCCATCGTATCATTGCGATTCAGCATTGGCATCTGTGGGAGCTTGTCGTCTGATTTGGGATCGAAGAGAGTCGGCAAGGTCGCTTGGCGGCCGAACTGTGGCTTCTCACCCTTTTTGGCTGCCTTGACATCCGCCTTCAGCCGCTTGCGCTCCTCTTCCTCGATTGCCTTGTTGACCTTGGCGGAGACGATTCTGGACAGACGCTTCTCAACCTTCCGCTCACAGTAGCCTGATAAGCCGCCATCCCGGTTGGGGATGTAGTGCCAGAGGAAGAAGACGTAGAAGAGAAGGGCGAGCAGGAGGGAGAGGGCGCCAAAAACCCAGACAACAAGGGTAAAGACCATTCCGGAAAGGACAACCGCCTGCTGATGGCTCTGCTCCGCGAGATGCCCAATGTTTTTGAAGAAAGTGAGCAGGGTGGAGCCGACGTCGTTCTTGGTTTCAAATTTTGCTTCAAACACAGCGTACAGGGTCACGGCATTGACGACTTGCCGCGGCCCTTGACAGAAGATGATCCGGATCCAAGCTGGGAGGCGGGATTAGTCGTTGTTCTAAATCGAGGCTGGGCATACTCACATTGGAAAGAGAAATAGGTGAATAGAGCGACATACTCGGCGCCCTTCTTACTCTTGGTCAACTCGGCGAAGACCAAGAAGCGCTTGTATCCCCTATCCTTTCCCAGGCGGACGGCTTGTATCCGCACGGCCAAGGTATCCAAGAAACTCTCAGCGACGGCGCCCCTCTTAACCACGCGCAAGGCTCGAACATACTCGAAGCCGAGATTGACCCATGAGGCTATGATACAGGCGGAGAAGATCCATTTGGAGATGTCGAAATCGATCTTTGGCTGGATCTCACCGGACCACTTGTTGAAGGCGAGCAGATTCACGGCGGTGAAGGTATCAATGGCGTAGACGGCCAGGGAGATGAGCAGCGATACCCAGAGGTATCCGTACGCAAAGGGCGTGAAGCAGCCGGTGGTCTTGAAATCATTGAGACTCTGCCAATCAGTCGTTAGCACAAGGTTGCCTATCCCTCCATCTGTTCCGTTTTCAACTGCGAGGGAACTGGGGCCAACTTGCAATGAAATCCCATTTCTGTTCGGGTCTGATATCGTCGGCCTTGACTCGGCCTGAGCAACCCATTGTGTGGGGGGAAATGGAGGGAAAAGAGCGTGCGGAAAGCGGGTTAGGAAGCGGGGGCGGGGGGGAAAGGGGGGAGAATTAAAAGGTGATGTATTTCGGTACTGCCAGAGCAACCAGAACAGGAGTCAAATGAAGGTGGATGTTTGAGGGGGGAGGGCGAGGATGGACGCCTCGAATCGTTTTTGTGCTGCGTGGGAGGGTTGAAAGGAGTGGATGTGCAGCGAGTTGTCGCGTCGAATCAATCGCCCAGGCAAGTCATCTTCCGCCTGCGGGTATATGTGACTATGGGCTGCGGGTTTGTGAGCGAGGGTGGAGGGCGGAGGGCGATGGCGACGACGAAGGTGAAGTGAGAGTGAGGGTGAGGGCGAGGGTGAGGGCGAGGGTGAGGGCGAGGGTGAGGGCGACGGCGAGGGATGGTTGTTGAGAATGAGGATGGAGATGAGGATGGAGATTGGGAGTTTGAGGTTGGAGCCGGACCCGGAGTAGTCGAAGGATTCCAGGAGTCGCCGAGTTGGAACAGGGGGAGAACGGAGTAGTCAGCAGCCGTATGCGCGCCGAGGCTGGGACTGGGGGCAGCACTCGGCGGTGATTGGACCATTGGCGGGCGCCGGTCGGTGTTTGATCGCTGGCGTCGCCGTGTCGCAGCGCGGCGGCTAGCCCAGTTGGGCCATTAACGGCCGTGCGGCTAACTGATAGGCTACGAATTGGCTGATAGAGGATGCAGCCAATCAGCGGGTAACTTTGGAGGATATATACTTTACCCGCCGAGGACGCACGAAATATGAAACAACCGTGTGCAAAGCCACCTCCACAACCCTCCACAACCCTCCACAAATCCACAAACTGCGCTATTTACCTTGGTAGGTATTTATTTACCTACAGTACCAAGCACCAAGTACCAAGCACCAACTACCAAGGGATACGAGTACTGTACAGTACATGTACGTATCACTCTTAATTTATTACTGTACGTGCAGTTGGTACAGTACGCACCTACCCAGGTATAAATAAGGTTTAGATAAGCTGTATGCCAACAATACGCCTGATGCTCAAGGCTCAAGGCTCAAGCAATCCACCGAGTACCACTGTACTTTACCTACCTCAGGTGCTTTACTTGACGCAGTACCCAACCCCCTTTGCCAGCCATTCGTAGTACTACAGAGTATAGCACGGAGTATGTCTGTCTGCTCTTCGAACAACGCCCTCGAGATACTTTGCTCTAAGAGCTAGGCTACTGTGCTTGCTAACTGCTAATTGCAAGTTGAAGGCGCGATAGGACAGCGAACAGAAATATCAAGCTTCAGTATTATTGTCAGAACAGCTAGGAACCTTTGCATTCACCCATACCCGGCAGGGCACCCAAGCCTCCAACCTTCCAGTCAGGACGTCTGCAAACCAAGTTCAAGAGCCAACGCCCTCCTGGTCAACCCTCTCCCAGAATCTCCTCAACCCAGACACTTTCGCCCGCGTAGGAGCCTCCTTACGCTCTGCAAGCACGGCCGCACGCCCCCAGCGCATATTCCTCGCGGGAGCAACTCCATCCCTCTCCCTCGTAAACCTCCTCACTAGCCTCCTCACATCTGGCCTGCCTTCCGCCTCCATCTCACGTCCTTCCAACTCCCTCCGCCGTCTCTCCCATCCCCTCCTCCTCCACTCGTCAACCCACCCCCTTAAGCAATCTTTCACCCGCTCCCTCTCAACCCGTCTCTTAACCTCGACCAGGCCCGGCGCAAGCCACACCCCCGTGCCACCTTGTCTCCCTTTGGAATAGCACTCCCGCGGTAGGACCCCAAGCTGCACGAGCTCATCCACGCTCGGCCGCTTGAGCAGCTGCCGGTTGAGTCTTATCTTGATGAAGTTCCGCCCGAGATGACGTGCCGCGAGCGTGGTGCGTGTAATGTAGATGCGGTGGGCCATCAGTTCCGCGAGGCATGGCCGCAGAGCGATGGCGTGGGCGAGGGAGAGGGAGGCATGGTGGAGGCGCGTGATGTGAAGGAGCGGGTCGAGAGAGAGCGTGCGGAACGTGTGCGAAGTTCGGGAGAGGGAGAGGAGGTCCGGAATATCGAGATATGAGAGGATGTGAAGGAGGAGTTCGGAGGGGAGGCTGGGGAACCTGAGCGGCGAAGTCATTGTGTGCTGCACGGTGTGGTGCGATGCGCCGGCCTGCGGTCGCGGTGGTGTTAGCAATGTAGGAGATAACGATAGTATTGTACTTAGGCAGGTAGGTATGTTCCGATAATGTAATAAAGAGGCATGTATTAATGTTGGTGGTTCTGCTACGATATAATACTCCAACTGCCTCTGTATCAAGTTGGACGAAGTACGAAGTACGTGGTGGTGGTCGTCGTCACACACCCAGGGGGCTGAGACGGTTGTTTGCCCCGCGAGCAAACAAACATGTTTTGGCCACCCCTATCGCTGGTCCTCCTGGCTGCAAGCACCGCGACTTGTCATCAGGTTCAGCCAGTTTACTACTGTGGTACTTCGTAGCTGGGCTTAAAACAGAGCAAGGAGAAGAGAGGGAAGTGCCACAACTCGAACTTCGGTCCCGGGAAAGCTCCTCGAATCTCGAAGATTTTAGGTTCCCCATCCCGCCCACTTTCCATGTTATGATCACGTGATACGCCATAGAGATTATACTGCAAGTTACCTAGGTACCTACCTTACCTATGTTGTCAAGACAGTACAGTGTTATACCTTAGGTACCTAAGGTAGGTGCTCGTGTATGTGTAATACTGTGGTTATCAGGGAATTTGACGGCGTGACTCTTTCTTTCTCCCTTCTACAAATCCTCCCGATGTTCCGGCCGTGACACGACCACGTAGGGCCTCACGAAGGCCGCCTCTCAACGCGTCCAAATCCAGAGCCTCAAATGCAGATCAGATTCCTCTTCATTGGCCCCCTAAGTCAAGGCTGACCGAAGGCGACCGCAGGCGACCTGACGTGCCCGCGCGAGGCCGAGCCAAGCAGATATTCTCGCCAGCTCACTCCCTCAACCCCCCTCGGTCATAGGCTTCCTGGGGCCACCAGCGGGCCAACACAACCCCTCATAAGGTAGACGTATCTCATTGAGTCTTTGCACATGGTGTTACTCACCCGCCTTGGCCTGTCCTGATCCGCCAGACGGCCATGGTGGACTATCGCGGCGCATTGCGTGGTAATCGCCTTGCAGCGCAACATCAACACGCCTGCGATCACATCGCATCAGGCCGCTCACAGTGACGCCCGCAGGCGGCCTCGCATCCATCGGTCCTATCTGCCACTGCTGTGATCTTTCCCCTGGGCGGGTCGTCTCGGCAGCAGCCCGCCAGCCAGCTCTCCTCGTTCGAAAGCGCCCGGCATGATGCTAAATGGGAGTACAGGCTCGCGCACCCTCGCCCCCTTTACGGAGCATGTCGTTTCTCACGAAGCCCCACCACCGCTGGTAGCACCAACGCTGTCTGCTACAGCCTCTCCCGCAGCCGATCTGCCAATGGGGACATGGCGACGGCCCTTTGGGGGAAACCGTGAGGCTGCACCACACCTCACAGCTCTCACTCTGCAATTTGTCGCCCTGATTGGAGGATCGGCCACAAGTAACTCCCCGCACTCTCGCAGAGATAACTCAGCACATGATTTAAGGTGACCCGAAGGACAGGACACCACACCCGTCGGTGTTTCGACGTCTCCTAAATATCCTTTTTTCTATGAGTTTTCGAGTGAGGCTTTGTGATACCGATCATGAAAGCAAAGACTTGACGCTTTTGTTTTTCCCTCGGACACGATGCCTTCGCTTGGTCGAAAAGGGGGCCTTGTTTACCACCTGTTCACCTATCGATTCCTGAGCAGCGGTACGATTGTTTGTAAACATCGGCTAGGGGCCAAATGCTCCGTCTCCAACATATCAGGTCTCCTGCATCAGGCAATCGTCGTCGACACTTTCACCGAATCCCCAACCCCCTACATCCGTGTCCTAAAACGCCCTTGTTACAGGGGCAAATCCGTGGTCGTTAACCCTTGATCCAAGTCAGCTTCCACTCTGGGCCAGAAGAGCTCCGCGTCGAAATGTAACTGTTAGCTTCGCTATCTTGAAATAGCAGAGAGCTGATGTGACGAGACTGCAGCTTTTGCATAGCTTTTGCCACCGTTAAATGTTGCCTTCATGGATGCCACGACGCTCAGGCCATGGAGATTGAGCAATAGGAAAACAGAAAGGAGATCACCAGGCCGTTCTAATCTTGTAAAAATAACACGTAACGAGAGTCTCAGCTACGGTTGATCCTAGCAAGAGTTGTATATCTGCTTAATTTCTAACACAGGCTTGAGAACACCTTAGCTGATGTGATAGAAATACAATTTATGATCAAAAAAATGCCGGCAATTGTTCAAGGTCTGGGTGCATTGCAGCTGGATCTTAGCATCCTTCAACTAAGACTGCCTAACAAAAGAACCAAAGTGAGTTCGCCACGTCAGTAGGACCTCTATTGGAAAGTTTGCCTCCAACATCTTAGCGAAGAGCATGGCTGTCCGTAATTGTCATCAGAACTACTGCGAGTGGCAAGTCGACGTAGAGATCTACGGAAACCGTATCCAGCGTGTCATCTCCATGCAGAGTGATAGAGGAGGGCTGGTCTTGCCCTAGAGCACCACTGACAACGCATCATATCTATCCTTGCGCGGTGCTCAATAAGGCAGAGAGGTATATCACGGATGCAGCTTGAGGCATTCCTCACGAAATGCATGCGGGCCACTTGGGCTGCATAAGATAGATCCATTTTTCCACGGTGGCTAGCAGTCAGCAGACTTCCGGGCCACAAACCAGGACATTTGCCCAGGCAAGGCAGATTCAAGGTCCAATATCTCGAGTACGAGACGGGGCTAATGTTGATGTTTGACAGCCACCAACACGACGTATCCCGCGGCCCGAAATGGCAAAATCCTTGGGTGATAGTATTGCTGATATAGAACTTGTTTCGAAAGAAACGGACAAGCCTAACCGCAGGTCCCGAGAACAGGCCTCCATGGCGAGGTAAAATCGGACAAGCGGCTGATTTTCCATTCATTCCGGTTGGGTAAGGCAGAGGGAATTGAGGGGTTTGTTTGGTAATGCTGGAAGGCGAACCCTTCCGCCCAGTGAAGCGTGTGGTCTCGCCCAAGGCTACCGATTATCCCGTGCCCATCGACAAACAGGATGGCCCCGCGGAATCTTCATTTTGTCCTCCTGTAGCGATAGGGGTCAACGGTGGCGGCCATGAGAACCAAGAAAGCGGTGGATCGACAAACAATAACGTGATCGAAAGGCATCGCTTTTGGTATGTGCCGAGAGTATGCAGGAGCTCGATCAATATGCACAGAGGCCGGTATGTGTTGGCAGCAGCCAACCTGAAGCTTTCACCCTATCGAAATGATGGCCCCATTGCCTCAACAGGGCCAGATCGCCAAAAAAGGCTTCCATGAGTGGGTGATCGGCCCAAGGTGTGGAATTTGCAGGGTGGTCAACGAAATGGCTGTCACGGCGGGGAATGGCACGCCCTGGCGAGATGGGAAGCCCTAGGTGGCAACGGCAGAACTTGAAAGATGCGTTGTCTGTTGGCCTGAATACAAAGGCGGGAGAGGGAAGGCCGGGGAACGAGGTGAATACCGTAACCGTGAACGCGTATAGGCGCCAAAAGGGTGTTGCCGTTCGTGGTGATTGACTCTGCCCGGGTGTATAAATACCCCCTTCATGGCCCTAGATTCAGCTATGCAACAGAATCAGCAATCACTCTTCACATCCACACATCCATGATACTCTCCTCTCTTCTCGAACATAAACCAGTCCAACATATAATCAGCGCTCAGACACCCAAGTACTCTGTCTTGCCCGCCCCTCACATCACTTCTTAGCAGAAACCCCAAAGTCTCGACTCCATCCAGTGAGTTCCTATGCCCCAGCTTGGAATTGGTTTCAAACGTGGTCAAAAATGAGCCCAACTGACAAAAACAGAGACCCACAGATTCGACCACCATGTGCTTCTACGACCAATACCAAATGGCCTGCAAAGACTTTAAGTGGGGAAACTTTCGCCAGCACTGCTCCAAAGAATATCGCACTGGCGAAACTTGTGGCATGAAACTAGTCATGAGCACGATCCCAGTGGCCGACAAATGCAAGCTTTGCCTGAAGATTGAGACTAAGCAGGGGCGTGTTTTCAAGGAGCAGGAGCGCATCAGGCGGTGGATCAAGGAAGAGCAGCGTGGGCACCAACGGGGTGCTTCAATCGAAGCATCGCAACACACCGTTGCCCAGCTGGAATATGAGATTAGAGATCTCCACTACCAGCGCGGCCAGGCCCAGACCACAACGAGATGATGCGGCATTTGGAACGATGAGTAGGGAGGACAGGAAAGATGGCCGTTCATCTCGTTTCATATGCTTTCGTTGGCTCTCAATTTTCTTTGGCGTGGTTTTGGGGGAAAATTGGATCTGTAATGTGATCGCGGCGCTGGGAATGACTGGTTTGGGGACAGCGGAATGTAATCGTCTCTGATGAGGTAGCATTAAGTGTAACGATGAAACGACTCCAACGTTCCCAAGAACCCCGAGGGCGAATGTGACACCGTAGCTTGTCTAACCCCCCAATGAAGACCGCGCCCAGAAGTTCAGGATCTGAACCAGACGATTGCCGGGCGCTTAGGGATTGTTACAGCGGCGGCTCGAGCTACGCTGCTGCTGTCGAGACGAGCTCGGGTCGAGGCGGTTTGGCGACGAGGAGGACGAGGAGGACATATAGATCAGACATCTATTATCGTGGTGACAGCAGCCCATGGCCCGGATTGCGAGAGAGCCACGGGGGTACGCGGTGAAATGGATTGTTTGTTCTGCTGACGATACGAGGAATTGTTAACAATAATAAGCGCCGGAGATGCAACTCAGATTAGCCTGAGGCATGACGAAGTCTGCGCTTTGCGGCTGTAGATCCCAGCACTCGGCAGCCAGCCTCGTTCACGTTCGCCCAGGAAGCAAAGCGGACGAGAGAGCGGAAGAGGGAAGACAAGAAACAGAAGGAAGGGCATGCGGCGGTCTTTATGAGACGAGTGTGAAGAGACTGAGATGAGGTGGAATTTGCGGACGTGGCTAACCCTCAATGGACATCCGCCGCAGCCTGACTGCAAAGCACGAGGGCAATTTGATAGGCTCCGTCGAACGACCCAGCAGCCAGTAAACAAGCGCTTTTGACAAAGGAAATGCTTGAATGATACAACGCATAGTCAAATTACGCTTAGCTGGTCCAGTCAAATCCCAATATCCATCTATCCATCCCCAACTTCGCGGCCAAAGCAGGTCAATTATGAGGGTATTGCAACCACCACAGAGCGCCTTCAACGCCGTGCAACACACAAGTCTCCCAGTATTGTTACTCGCAGCCATGCCTATCCCATGGCCGGTTCTGCATCTGCAAACCCTCCAAGAAGGGGCCCGATGCCCTCTGATTTGACGGGTTTATACCGCTTCATCTCCTCCCCATCATCGTCCTCCGATATCCAGCCGTCGGACACATTGGGCGTGTTCTCAGCCGACACCTGTCTGGCCTTGCTCGGTTGGTCGTGAGCTGACATCTCCGCGAGGACGTCTTGATACCGGAGTATCTTCGCGTCTTGAGCAGGAAAAACCGTCGACGCAGGAGAAGGGCCGGTCTGCGGAACCATGGCAAAGATGTCAACGAGACGGCTGCCGGCATCAAATTAGCTTTCAAGTACTTCACATACACGTAGAGGGGCGGTGGTGAGCTAGCGCGGGCACAAGGTATTCTTTCGGGCAGTGGGTAGCAATTTGCAAAGCGTACTTGGATGTTTGTGCTACGACCTTCTGCAGGGCCTCAGTCTCTCTCTGGACTTCCTGTGGGTCTGCGGGAACCGCGCCGGTATGGTGTTCGCCGAAACTGCCATATTGATTGGCGTGCGCGTCATCGAAGAGGAGTCTGGCGCTCTCGTCCTATTTGCGGTGCCGTTAGCAGAGGGACCGTCCCATGGATACTGATATTGGCCAGACAACGCACCTCGTCTGAGAGATCTCGATCACGGCCGGTGTCGCGACCAAGGCAGGAGGAGCAGGCGCCCATATCAGCGGAGGGATAAGGACGAAAGATCGCTGCGCCGTGTACACGAATGGATCTGGGGCAATGGACGACTCCGGCGCTCCCAAAGTTACGGCTCTTGCAGCGCCGTCATGTCATGGGGACAGATGGCGATGGCACACAGCGGATGGAGCGGACAGTGCCCAAGAGGCGGCGACAAGAGAACGGGAATGTAAGGCGATATGGGGGGCCGCTGAAAAGAAGAAGGGCAGCTGAGGAAGACGAGGAGGTACGCAATAAATAGTCGGTATTTGTACAAGTATGAAGTAGGTATTCTAATGATGGGAAGGGAATAATAATACACGGGCGAGACGGGAAAATGGAAGTCAGTGCACATCAATATCGTTTCTGCCTCAGGTCTCGGCAAAAGCTTACTACGAGGCACGTGCAACGGACCTAGGTACCACCTCAGGTTGGGTACAAAATATAAAAAGTACACCAAGATAACTTGAAATACCCTTCCCTCCCCCTCCTCCATCTTCATTTTGCGCATCGCCTATACGTTTTCTTAGCCTTCCAGGCCGTCTTGTTTAAGTGAAAAGGCATGCCATTCTACCGGCGAAACAAAGTACGCTGCAGCTCCCATTCCCGGTTCCTTTGCGAGCTAACTTGACGTTCAACGTACCTTGATGAAGCTCCTGCCCTCGACCAGCCACCAAAATGGTACACTACGGATTACCGAGGCTTAGGGCTACTCCCAGCCTCCCAAATGTCTTTCTAGCAGGTATTGTTTTCCTTGGTCCCATGTTTTAACCTCTTCCTTTGATGTTTACCTACGGTACGAAGTACACTAGGCATGCAAGGCGCCAATATATCGAGCTGGATTTATCAAGCCTCGTACAAAACTGTCTCCATTCCTCAAGTCACATGGTAGTGCATATCCTAAATCATGCCAATTCATTGCTTCAAGGGCACTCCTGCGATTATAATTTCAATTCCGCTCAGTGCTCGGCGACAGCTTCTGCCTGTCTCTTTTTGTCTATTTTCCTACAGCTAACCACTGCTCCTACTCTATAGTCTCTTTACATGCGTTCTTTTAATCCAACATATGTCTTGGAACATAATATCCTTCCCATAGCAGTTGCTATTGCTGCCTTGTATGCACCAGCGTCTGGCAACACCTCCTGCTGGTAGTCAGCCAGCCCCTTTGCGCCCTCTTACCTGCATAGCCACACTTTATACACTTCATCTCCATGTACACAGATGACAGATATCGCCAATTGCTCGCAAGCCTTGACTATGACCGCGACTAGGAGCATCTCCGCCATGACGACTTCTATTGCTACGCTGCCAATTTGTCCCATCAATTCAACCAACAGCGCGGTGATCTCTCCAGCCTTGTCAGCTAGGACGGCTTCAGCACTCGGCTGCCAACCCGATAGCTGTCTCCGCCAATTCATCCGAGATCCGCGACTGATGGGGTCCTGTTAAGGCTACACACAGCCAACCTGCCTAAGTACGTCCCACAATGCCGCGTGCTAATCGATCCCAAATCTCCTCAGCTTTGCTCTTGCATCGACACTACTCCAGTGGTACTCACTTTGACTCCTGTTATGATACCAACTTTGACCCCAACCATGATGTTCACGTAACCAGAGGATCCAAATGGTTGCCTCACCATGATGCAGTTATCCCAATTCTCAGCCGCTGCGGTTTTGCGCAACGTCCACCACAACCCTATCCCCCGCTCCTGCGAATTTTCCCGACTTGTCTCGCACTGCTGCATATAAGTAGTTTCTAACGAGACTAAATGTAGCGCAGCCATATTGGCGCTGCCCACTGGACATTAGAAGAGCTATCATCAACACACCACTCGTTCTGTGGTTAACATTCCAGACGGTCCCCGTAAAGCCATCTTCTCAACTCACAACAATCGCAACTTTTCTAACGACCGTCGCAGTCCTCGATGGGCCCAACACATTTCAACCCTCTGCCTTCTCCAATATGACTAGCATCTCAGTGCCCTCCATTTCCGCTGGTAATGGGGATTCATGTAATGGATAACGAGGTTCATGGACGTGGGTAAAGATGTTAATATGTCAAGGGGGTAATTAAGCTAAGTTTTGCTATTGCACATGATATAGGGCATAACATCTATATAATTAATCAATCCTTAACTTTGAGCCACTGAGCCCGCTGGATTTCTTTCCTTCTATTTCCTTAAATTTGTTTAATTTTGTTCTACGCCGATACATGGCGCAGAATAAGAGACGCATAGCCAAGGAAGCGCCCAGCACTTCCTAGTAGCGCTTAGCATCCATACCCATCGTACATGCTCATATTTGCCCCCGCTTCTCCAGGAAGTTAGGTCCTACATAGGTCTCAAGCTAGCTTCCCATTTACCATGCTCCGATGCCTTATTTGATATCAATCACTTTTCTCGCCCAAATTTGAGCCATCCATTCAGTCCAGTACCTGGAAGCCTCCAGTACACCGCCAGCGCCTTAGGGCGTTCCGAACTGAGGCGCTTGTTTGCCCAAACCTCTCCCTCATACTTGCGCGGACAGCAATATTGTTGACCTGAAGTATATTAGTGGACAACTGGAGAGAAATGGGTCAGGCTGTCTACCTTCGCTATTGCCATCTTCACATCGCAGGCATGTTTTCGAAGTTTACCCGGCTGTGATATGTTAGTCTTATGGACAACTAAAACTCCATGGTTCTTACCTTTTGGGCTTTATAGGCTTCCTGGCTCCGAAATCCAAGTACCCCTGATCGCCCATAATACCAAAGCAAACATTTTGTGAATTTCTCACTCTCTGAATCACCCTTTAACAGCTCCCCCTCCATCTTCTCAATTTCACCGAAGAGTAGGCCTCTTGACTCCGCGACATCACGCTTGGGCCCCAGTATGTTTCCCAGCTCACTTTTCAGCAGGCCCCGCTTATCCCATACCCCTTGCAAGATTCTCATTGCAACACCGGATTTTCCTTCCTGAGCTGTTTGAATCATAAAATCATTGATAAACCGGCCACACTTGGACCAGAATATCCTTGTGACATACCGCTCCACTGCCCATTCAAAATACTCAATATGCTCTGCTTCATCAGCATATTTTTCACGATCATCGTCTCGCAGCATAAGCCGAGTATCATCCAGATGGAGACCGTATATGCTACTATTACGAAACATGATTAGGCGCATGCGAAGATCCCAGCCCATTGTCTCAAGGAAGCTAAGATACATCGGTCCAGGAACCCCAAGTCGCATTTTCGCTCTTAGCTGGAGTTCAGCATCTGTCACACGGACCCGTTTTGGGGCCGAGGAAACAATGTTTGGGCTTGAAATGTCTTGTCTGGATGTGGGTAGCTGGATATCCTCGAAGATTGCACACTGCCTTGGCAAGACCATCGAGTGCATTGGAATGAGCCAGGATTGGCCGTCTTCTCCAGGAACAAAAGTCGAATCTAAGATAGAAGCCACAAATGAATGGTATTTGGTGATATGTGTATTGCATATTATGGCTGCATTGGTCGAGAAAAAGGTTTTAAGGCCACGGCAGGTTTGAACCAGAGGGAGGAAAGCATTCGAGGTGGGGAGGTGCGAGATGATGGTAAGAAGGATTTCGGGTGGGATAGCGAGGAGTGATGGAGATGCTGGTGATAGCATGTCGAATGTTAATACTAGGCGATATTAGCAAGGTATTAGATTGGATGTTCGAGAAAATGATGAAGGAATTGAGTATGGAGTGTGTTGGTTATGGGAAGTTACATGGGGGTCAGTACACTGAGTGCCATATAAAATCTAGGTAAGGAAGTTGAATCTCCTCTTTCTCCGGAAGAATAAAGCAGGTGTCAACGTGAAAGTGAAGCGTTGACGGTCGCGAGAGCTGATAAGCATAATAGAATGATGAATAATCACATACAATATTTGAAAATATATCAAAATTAATGCAAACACCCAAGAATATCAGCTTAGAGGATTATGCTGATTTGGTATTGCCTGTAACAAACAACGAAATCGGAAAAGGGGGGTTTAGCGTGACACGTGATACAAAATGACTGCGACATTCAAGGAGAGTTTCAAAGGGAACCGAACAACTTTTCGTCTTGCAAGTCAGTGAGTGACTGCTCTCCATCAACTCTTAAAGGGACTGTTCTTGACCACGAAATTATGACTCTTTAGTTCTGTTTTCGTGCGCCTCACACACGTGATGAGCGACTGGCTCACAGAGATTGTTTTGTGTTTCATCGCGAAAGAGTCGCGTGCTGTGACGAGTATTCGCGACCACACGTCCAAACACTTTGTAAGAACGCGATGGGACGCGTCTAATGATATTCCGATTGCGCCTGCCCAAACCCTCGTCTATGTTTGCTAATAGCGTTCAGAGCTTGTGGCTTTCCGACGATTGATATGCAGAGCGACAGCAATAGGGTAGCTCGGCGACGGCGACAATGGAGTCCCTCAAACTAACTTACTGATTATTTTATTATACGGAGTAGGTCTTATTCCATTGATGCCCATATCTTCTATTACCGGTTGCAGAAGCATCTAAACAGCCGTGTGGCCGAAATGATGAGTATCGCCATTCCGAATACACCCGCTGAACACCATTCGAGGCATCAAAGGTGAGCGATGGTTAATGAAACACTGAAACTAATTGTGACTAAAATTGGAGGGAAGTTCGGGGATTCTCTTTCCAAGTGGACCCTATAATGCATATCAACCTTCTAGGGGGGGTTGGGCATACGTGATGCCACTATATCAGGAATCCCATCAGCTGTTGCCGCGTCTAGTTGGTAAGGTGCTATTCTGGCAAGTTTTCATGTTCCAACTTCTTGACGGCTTCTCCTAGGAGGTTGAAAGCTGTTGATTAATGGGACCCATATTGGTACACTTAATACAGGTAATTGATTGGTCAGAATGGGTCATGGAATGGGATAATTGAATTGATTAAGAAGCCTAATACTATGGGGTGAAAGCCTCACATATATAGGCAAATGAATGTATGGGGTCAGGTGATCAATCAGGTGACTCAAGGAAATAATACCGATGGTATCCGAATAGCTTCCCAGGGCCTCCATCATCATGTGCCATACTAATTAGTATGGGATGCGATGATATCCGTGTATTCGGCTCATCGCGAGTACACATATCTCATTTCTCCTTTGTGGTGGAGAAGTGCCAAGTGGGGTGCCTAAGTGGCTTGACCAGCCGGCCAGGGGAACTCCCATAACTCCCATATTCTAACAAAAGCAGCTCTGGTCTCCTAGTAGACATGGTCCACAGGCATTTGATTAGCGAAACTTATCTGTGCCTCGCTTTAGTCAGCCAAATCAGTCTTTGACATATTTATTCCCCGCACCTGAAAAAAGAAAAATCCTGACCCCTTATATATATATATATATTGGTGCTATCACGGTCGACACTATCTTATCGTTTGATTGATGCCGCCCAGCTTTCATCGTTCAGGTCTAGATACTAAGTATGTAAGCGGACTATGGGGTCTGGACTTTGCTGCCAACGAGCTTCGCTGGCCGGTTTGAGAAGCGTGAGGAGCGTATTGCAAACAAACGAAATCCTCAGGCAGGGATTGAGTTCTTACATCAAGCAGATAACTGCGCTGCTTTGAAAATCCTTGTCAGTCGAGGATGGAACAACTTATCCTAGCAAGACACACTCTCAGAAGAACAACCACGGTTATTCTATATTAAAGGTACAACTGCTAGGGAACCAATATATTTTTGGATAAAGCATCATTCATTATACTCCAAGGCCATAGGAAATCAATAAGGTCCGATGTCTCTTGTAACAGGGGGTGGCCATCAAACCGATTCACGCCTCCGCTGGGACCGGAGAGCTGCACGACAATCACTGTTTCCGTTTTAATTCAGCCAATGAATGTACTAGGCAGCAGTTAGTAAGTCGCTAATGAGCGAGTAGGTTATCTTTACAAATATTTCTGCATCCTCCGTTTGCCGTATCCCTCAAACCCATATATTAGGACATAATATATGGCTTCCCTCTCTACTCAATCGACAACTCGTGGAACTTCTAGACTGGCCAAAACCACTTACCTATATCTAACCAGCGTTTAGATCGAGCATTAGGTGATTTGTGGTGTTGTTCGAGGCTGTGGGTTTAAAATAGCGAGATTGAGTGTTTTCCAGCCTCTGCATTCTGCGGTTAACGTGTTCCTGGTTAGGACATTATCGCTAGCTGAGCATAACACTGTCGGGATGTCCCTTGGGGTTTTCCAGATCTCTGGCGGGGCATTGTTCCTTACGTTTGCTAAGACTAGATTCTCCTCAGGTCATCTCGCAGCTATCTGGACGCACGCCCCAGATACCAGCCCTCAGGAGGTGGCCGCTGCTAGTGCTTCCGGCTTCCTACCCGATTATCCCCCCAAGGCTCTGTTAAGGGAGTTGCTAAAGCAGATAGACGACCCGTCTCTTATGCTTTCTATATAGGTGCCGCTATAGCAAGTTTTATCTTCAATCTAGACATGAATTGAAGAAGCACTAAGAAGCTGAAAGTCACCGAGCCCAACGCTTGACCACCTCCTTTTATGTGAGGAATGACATGACTCTACTCTTTGAGCTATGCACTCTTGCCTCGTTGCATCTTCTGCAACTTCTAGCCATGGGCTACTAGGTGCTGTTTTTCTATACAACTTTTAATAATTAGTTCGCAACTGTGACAGTGAAACCTAACGTCCAGTTAGAAATTATTTTGCCCTCTTCTCATTGTACTATACCTGAATATAGTACATTAACGCCTTTCCCCCAGATTCCATCTATCTTTTATGTCCATCCATCGGACCTTTTTTATTCTACCCTATTTTCTCCTTTCATTATTGGGCCATTCTGGGTAGGTTTTAAAATAGGTCTTAGGATCCTAGCGGTATATTATCATGTGTCCCCCTAATATCTACGCCTTAAGCTAGACCCCTAACTGGCAGCATTAATGAATGCTCTATCAAGCAATAAGCATAAATCTATGTATAGAAAATCTCGACAATAATGACTGGTCGCGACTCGCGCTTCATTGGGCATTGCGCGATGAAAGTGACCCAACAGACTCAAGTCGGCCGACTGGGCCATACGTATGTAGACTAAAGGTAGGTTGTCTGCAGGGAGTAATTTCGAGTCTAGAAACATAGTCTTCAATTTCTATTTTTCGTTTACCGAACTCATAATAATTAGCACGTCTAGACTTTTAAAGAATAGGGCGGATGGAGTTATCAAGTACGGCAACAAGTAGAAAATGGATAATTACGTATCTGGTAGGTTACTACATGATGACGGTCTTTCTATATGCTGATACTGGATCGGTAAGAAAACTATTACACCGGGCAACGATCGAGTGTAGTCTTTTTCTTGAGTTCTAATATTTCGCCCTTTTCATATCGACCGACATACTGAACCTAGTATTTAAATCCCTCGATCCATCGGACTTCAGGTTCGTTGCTTAAGGTTGAATGCTTACGCGGCTTTGTGTAGGTTGAATATAGTATCAGCCTCAACACCTTTCACTCATTCTTGCGCTTGTATCGGCCATCTTCATTTCTCGTTATACTTTCCTACCCTCTGTTAAAGTACAGCCAGCTTGCCTGCATACATCAGCAGAGCCATTATCGAAAGTTTACGTTTTAATTTTCTAATCTGCACCCCAATTTACAAAATGGGAGCATGTAAGATTTCTCTTGGGTAAAAAGGGGGGGTTAGTCATGTGATCAGTTATTGTTTACCCCTCTAGCGATTTCTCGATGTTGTTAAACTGCGGAGTAGAGGGACTAAGAAAAGCTAACGGATAACATTAAATAACCCCACATTCTAAGTGCAAGGGATAAAACAATGTGGGGCCAGTCTAACACAGGAAGCTTCCAGCTTCCGACAAGCTAAAGACTTACTATATCTCCCCGCTCATACCCCCGTATTTCATATATAGAAGAGGAGAAGTTAAATTGGATTCACCACGTGAACTTCGGAACCAAGAAAATGACGACTTTTCCTAGCTTCGGAGCAGAAACATCGGGGTCAGAGGTTGCGGCCGCATTTTCGGAACAGGTCCGAGGAAAACATGGTTCGAAACCTCCATAGCTACTTTGTTCTCTTATCGAACTAATTCATCTTTGGGGCAGTGTTGGTTGTGGGAGTCAGTCCCGGAAGCCTTGGTGAACATATGGCAGAAGCAATAGCATCACACAAGCCGGAACTCTTGCTGTTAGCGTCACGGTCTCTCGAGAAGATTAACACGGTAATTTCACAAATTCGGACAAAAGAAGCGTCGAAAAACGTCGAGATCAGAGCAATTAATCTGGATCTCAGCTCATTGGAATCTGTAAGGACAGCCGCACAAGAGATCAACAGCCTGACCCCAAAACTCGACGTGGTGATCAACAATGCAGCAATTAATGTCCCTGATCGACAACTGACGAAAGACGGGTTGGAGATGCACTTTGCAACTAACCACATCGGCCTTTTCCTCCTGACCAATCTTCTCTTGCCGAAAATTGAAGAAGCTGCCAAAGCAACGGAGAAAAAAGGAGCTACTCGCATTGTCAACGTCACAAGTGCTGGGCATAGACTTTCTCCTATCCGCTTTAGCGATTATAATTTTGAACGCACGGAATTGCCTGTCGACGAAAGACCACCCCCCGGCCTTCCGCTTTCTATAGTTCATCCGGACAAGCCGTATTCTTCGTTCCTAGGATATGCGCAGAGTAAGACAGCTAATATATTGTTTTCTGTGTCCTTGACGGAGAAGCTAAAGGGCAAGGGTATTGTGTCTTATAGTGTTCATCCGGGTTGTGAGTAACGATGATATATGGCATATGAGATATACTCTAACGCCTTGAAGCAATCTGGACAGGTCTCTCTCGGAATCTTGATGAAGAAGGGCAGAGCATGATTAAACAAACGAGCAAGGTGTGGAAGAATGGAGATCAAGGAGCGGCCACCGCTTTGGTCGCGGCTCTTGATCCTTCTCTCGATGGTATGTACCCTATTTTTTATTTTATTTTGCTGCGGAGTCTGACAGCACCTTTTAGAGCCTCAGGGGGCATATATGTCGGATTGTCAGTTGGCCCAGGCAGCGGAATTTGCTATCGATGGTAAGGTGGCAGAACGACTTTGGCACCTGAGCGAGAAGCTTGTAGGACAGGATTTTATTCTCTAGACTGAGAAATGAGAGATTGCGGCTGTATGGAGGGCGCGGGGGCGACTTGTTGATACCGCCATCTTGGCCACCTACGGGTATTTTGCTTCACTGAACTCTTAGCCATATTCTAGATTCCGTAAGAGAAAGGAATGCAATACCGAGAGCCAGAGTGTTGTTCAGTCCATAATTCCATCTATGCCCTGTTTATAACAGCGTTTCGTTTCGCCAAGGTATCCGGGGCTTATCTGCAGCCTGGGCAGCTATCATCCGTATCCCAAAATCCAACGGCTTAGCAGCCAAAGGAGCCATGCTTTGCACGATACGATAGGCACTGGTCGCACGCTTGCGCCACTCTAGAAGGGTCTTTGGGCTTTCAATAAGTTTACCAATTTCAAGTAGTAGGTCGGGGTCGTTTCGTGCTGCGCGTAACTTTGCCTGGCATAGGGTGTGCAAAATCTGGGTTATATTGAGGAGAGCCATGTTGGCGACGCAGTCGGAAACCCCAGCCACGGTTTCCGGATATAAAATGTGGTCTTGAACATCTTGCATGTCATTGGTAGAAGATGAGATGGGCGGCGGCCATACTTCAGCTTCGCGCCACTTCTTCAGCCGATCAGTTATTTCGTGGGCTTTATGCAGTAACGAATCTGGGTGTTCTTCTGGCCCCTTTTGGTACATCTGCTTCTTATCTATAGCCCGGAAATGTTTCACTAGGCTTGGGAAGTCGAGTAGATGCACGGTGAGGCGAGAGCGAGCTGCCATAGACCTTGCCAGGGCTGTCTGCGAAGGCCATACTGGTGTCCTCGACAAAAGTGGTCGCCATTCTGGCGAAGCAAGAAAGCAATGCTCATTGAAACTCACAGCCTGGGCAATCTATTATCGTAATGCCAGAGATTAGTGGGGTCCGTGTAGGCATATTGAAGGGTCCTAGGTATACATAGGATTGTGTTACATACGACATGGCTTAGCTGGGCGTGTAGCATTGCATGCTCGAAGTCAGTTGTGTATCGCTGGCTGCCACGAGCTGAGAGTAAACGAGCCGTTCCACGGGCTAGGTGACTCCACTCTGCGCGGTCGTCATTGACGATGATCTAGATAGTTGGGTTTAGTCGCATGTCCGCTCAATCAGCGCGTGCACGGCGAATGGACTTACTTCGCATACTTGGAGCAATATCGATGCGCAAAGAGTCTCTGGTTCCAGCCGATACGCCTCATCACTCAAACACAGGCGCAGCGATGCTAGCGCTCTAACGTAGCTTTGATAGACGGGCTTGTGGGACAGATAGGGGGCTGAAAGCGTGCCACGGTATATGGCACAGAGGCAGGAGACGGCGTTATCCAGCGCCTGGTTTAGGCCGAGGCGGGCGGGAATGGCATCGATGAAGGAGCCACTCAGCCTGAGGGGCACAAGCGTGCCCCTCGCATTGCTCTCTAAACAATATGCGAACTCAACGCCGAGATGGTTGGTCTCGAGGTATCGAGGCACCCAGGACCTGGCGTGCGTCTGATCGGTCCTGTTCCGGGAGAGGTGGAGGAAATGGAGGTTCTCCCGCACTATCACGAGTCGCCCGTCCGGCCTCACACCCTCATCGACATACTTATACTTGGCATACGCCTCTTCCAAGCTGAGATCGGTAGCGTCGTAGACAAACTGCCTCCCGGAATAGTACCGGGTCCAGTGGGGAGCCTCATCTACGAATTTCCACTGGGTCTGGTAAACACAGCTTCGCCCTCCGCGGATGCACTGGACGCACGATGGTTGCTCCTCACCACACTGTAGCGCCCGGTTTCAGCATCTCGAATCTCGAGCGTCATAGTAAGGAAACAGAAGAGATGGCAACGCCTCACATAACATACCTTCTTTTTCCGCCGGCGGCAGCTATCGCATCGATTGCTCGTCGGGACACCCACCATGTTGCATCGCAGTACTGCAAGCACAGCAGTTGCTACCAGTAATCAATGCTGTATGTATCATAGGTACAGTTGGAGAGAATAGCGAGGCGGAGCGAGGCAGAGCGAGGCAGAGCGATACTCCAGTACTTCAACGTCAGTCGGAACGGCAACGTGCTCTCTGAGAGCAAGATGCCCCCAGTCGGGGGTTCTGGTTCCTACGCGTAGGAAGAGCGCGTGAAGTCAGGAACTGGATCTGGCGGCGATACTAGCTCCTGCGGACGACGACGAGGTCGAGTATTGGGGATTAGAGTACCTAGGTAAGTAGGGTGGGTACCTTAGGTAGGTAGGTATGTCGGGTTTTCTCCGTCTTAGGCCACCAACGAGCCCCTCTAGGTATTTATCGCAATGGCCGACCGGCATTTGATCCTGTACAGGGGAGGGCCTTTGGGACGGGGTTTAGATGATTGTTCGTCGTTAATCGTGAATTTAGTCAAGTAACAAGGAATATTTCTATGTCTCACAGGGAGATTCCCAAGGTAGTAATTAGGATATAACGTGTATTGTGTAGCAAAGGCTATAGGATTTGAATGTTTGCAATGTCTATCAACCACCAAGGCAAAAAACCATAGCTCTATTTAATTGTCTCCGTCCCCAATATCCGATCTATACTCCTGATTGCCGGTGAATACTACGATAGTAATATATGTTGTGACTATTAGAATACTATTCCGAGTATACGTACTTACATGTGATTGGGAACTCGGTCTGACTTGTATGTGAATACTTGGTGCTGCTTGGTTCGTATCGATGATGAGAGTATGTATTTTCGTATCTAGGTATGTTCGTTGACACCGCGGTAGGTGCTTTTCCCTAGCCTAACTAATAGTGTTAGAGGAATAGAGCATTATAAAGCACCACGAAGCTGATGACGTATTATAGTTGAGAATATACTATATATGTAGATGAGGAGAAGGAGTAAAATAAACCCTATAATAGCGAGTAGAATATTGAGTATATATCTGTAGGCAAGTTCTACAGGTGTATTTGCGCTTACTGCCAAGGCAGTTCCAAGCTATGAATTGCCATATAGGTGATCATGATTGTTCGAGTAGTTGGGGATGTTCGGGTCATCTTGCTGCGGCGCCCGTGAAGCGGACATTGATCGCAGTGACGGAGGTATTGCGAAGTCGATGAGGGGACGTTGATCATCGAGGGTTGAGAAAGCCATGTTGGTGGTTCCTAGGGAAGATAAATATGCTGAGTGTTTCCGAGGAAGGTACGATGTCGCTATCGTGCGCTATCACACGTGACTTAGAGAGCGTAGATATCTTAATTTCAGTCAGATATTTATACAACTTAAATACCTCAATTCTAGTGAGATATTCGCGTAACTTGAATACCTCAATTTTAGTAAGATATTTACACGATAACAGATTTATATCTAGGTAATAGCCTTTGGGCCTTATAATACTGGCGGCGAAAAGAGTTTTGCACCAAAGTCGCCCAAGAATGCGCCATAAATGATACAAATTCGCCTCCACTCGAGACCCTAGCAACTACTCTTCCCCCCTAGCTACGTGCCTATGGATAAGTCGCTTTTTGATGTGAGGGGCTGATAATTGGCAAAGTAGGTATGAAAGGCTCCATTTGTCGCTTCAGAGGGGGTCGACAGCTTGGAAACATTGTCCACTGGCTCATTGGCCCGGGTTAAATAGATGAGGATATTTCGGATGAATTGACGAGAAGCCACAGCAATGGAGACTCTCTGGGTTGAGTAAGAAGGATATCTTATCTAAAGGATATCTAGACCACGCTTGCACAACCGTCAAGGCAAGCTAAGCCGCACAACGCTACTTCAGAGCGTTATGCAGCGCAACCAACCCCATTCCGCCCGCAAACATTCCTAATACGCTCACCATACTTGCTACAGACAGCATCGACATTCCACTAATGCCGTGGCCACTTGTACAGCCGCCCGCAATCCGCGCTCCGACGACCAGCAATATGCCACCAAGCACCGCCTGCGAGGCATTGACATCGATGGTCTCTTGCGGAAGCGGAAGATCCACAAGCTGGCTAAGAACCCAACTGCCTGCCAGGGTGCCGAATGCGAAGGCCGTTCCTCGGACTGTTGGCCTAAGAGCCGTGGCATTATTACTGATATCTCCGATGGCAAGGGATTTGGCCGACCACCAGAAGAGATCTCCGATCTGTTCGTAGGCAGATGATATTCCAAGAGTAGTTCCGGTCAGGAAGAGGGTGACGAATTGGGTTCCCCCTATCACGAGACCGCCGAGGACGGGGCTAAGGAGCGACGGACTGTTTTGCGGGAACAAACCCACCGCCGCTATGATAGTAGCTACGCATAAGCCCTCATAGAGAACGAGACCGGTGTTGCGGGAGATCCCAGCCTGTTCATAGGCTGTTGGTTTAGAGAATGCATCCTCCTTTTGTTTGGCTTCGTCCGGTTTCCCTTGAAGGATAGGCTTGAATAATGAGTAGAGAATTCCGCCTACAAGGGTACCGAAGAGAACGGGCACGCCAGTTGTGACGCCTGTTGCCACTTGAGGTAATACGGTGCCTGGACATGCGCCTGCGAGAGCCATACCAAAGCCAATTAGGAGACCGCCTAGAAGGTTCCCGTCGTAGGGAGAGCGAAGAAGAGGGAGAGAAAAGGAGAGAGCGGCGGGTGTGCGAGGTTTGCACGAGGTGAGGTTGAGGGACTGGCCGAGGAGGATGGCAAGACTGTTTGGGTGTTAATCATGATATATTTGGATTCGGTTGTGACACGAGGACGATATATATCGAAGACAAGGACAAGGAACTGGGGTACATACGCGCTACTTGCACTCGCTGCGAGAAACCCTTTCATCATATGGAAGTTGGTGAGATGCATCTGACCAATGATGGTTGAAGGAGAGTACATGCCAGCGGCCGTGAGAGCAGCACCGAAGCACACTCCCGAGAGGACGTTACGCCAGGGAGATGCCGATTGGGATGCCATATTGTCGTTGTCTCGTCGGCGGTTGGAAAGGATACCGATACTTCGTACAACAGACTCTCGGTCTTATCTTATTTCCAGAGTATCCTACTCGAGCAGGTTCTTCTGAGCGATGCAGGCATCAGGCGGTATGGCGCAAACGACTTGATCGCGAAACCGTGCTGAGAGCCGATATCCAGTGAAGGAGAATGATGACCAGCGAAAAGAACTTCTTAGCGGCGACGTGTATCCCCGATCCGTGCCGTATGCTTTAAAGACCTATTTTATTGCCCAAATGGTATCTTCTCTTGCGCCCCTTGGACGTATAAATACTGCACTGAGGGGTATGTATCCGTACGGTGTAAATGTTCATGTACAGATTCAGATCCGTTTCCATAGCCATGGAGAAATTCATATCCATTTTTCGGCGTCGCCGACTCGCGGTCTATAGCGTTTGTTGGGTGCTTTGGTCGGCGATGACGCCCGCCACATTGTGTTGTCTCGACCTGTCTGCTCCATCATTACCGGGAGGTCGGCGAGGTCTGCTCGTCACTGACTCCTGCGTAGTTGGTACCGGCCAGCCGGGCTTGGCTAGGGCCGGGGCCGGCTGGTGGTGTTGGTGGTGGTGCGGTGTTGGCATGCTAACACTTTTAAATGGGATTCCTGGGATATATACTCCGTAGAATAGGACGAAACGTGCCTGGTAGTGTCGTGGACGAAGTATGGGGTGAGCACGAAGTAGGTAGTAATAATAAAATGAACTGAAGGACAGGACGAAAAGGTCGCCGAGCAGAGGCACCCAGGAACCTGGTACCGGAACCGGAACCGGAACCAGCAGCATCCGACGTTACATCAGCATTTTAGGGGTCTAGAGGGGTGCGCGAAGTACAAACGTAGCACAGATACAGGTGCGTGCGTAGGAGGTAGGTCCTAACGGTACCTACCACGATAGAAGAGTGTAGAGGAGCTGAGTCCCTTGAGGTTTTATCAGTTCGTATATTGCTTAAAATATGCTTTTTCTTCTTGATCGTATTGCTAACTTGCCTTACCTATTAGGGGTCCCTAGGTACTTAGAGTTGCACGGTAAGTTGGACGAGTAGAAGTACCACCAAAAGAAGAAGCGGCCTGTTGCGATTTTAATTTGAGTTGTCGGGTGCGTTATTCAACCGTATGGTTCGTATCGTGGGCGATAGCCAACTTTGTCTTCGGACTGACAATGCGGATAACTCGGCTGGAAACACAACTAAAGCGGTTGGGTACTCGTGTGCATCAGTCGATTTCACAAGGGCTCTACTAGCCCAAAGAATACTGAATGCCACAAGATGTTTGGCAAGGGAAGTGGAACCCTTAGGGTTTGCCTAGGAATGGCCCCCTATATGACGCTGTGTAATTGTTAAGGTTATAGGCGCAAAATTAGCGATGGATTACAGCCGGTGCCACAGGGCTGTGATAAGTACCTAAGTTAAAAAAGCTATTGGTAAAGTGTGGGACTTGGAGTTACGGCCTAATTTGATAAACGTAGCTAGGTTCAAATAGTACAATCTAAAGAGATGAAAGCCCAAGGTAATTTCAAATCAGCGTAAACAATATCTGGCACCCGTACCCTATGGTAGCTAACAAACTCGACATACGGATATATGCGTCTAGCACACTCAACACGCTAGGAGCATCAAGCCCTCCAAAGCAACAATGGCCGAGGGGCCCTGTTGAGGCAAAGAAGCTTGAATAATCGTCTCAACGGATTGCCCCAATTACCCTAATAGTACTCTCCCCGACAAGAAAGGTGCACGTCTTCTCGACTAAATACATCGGTCGGGTAGAATGTGACTAGTATGCTAGATGAGCTTTATACCTATGATATATAGTAAATACGGTGTGCTTCGGTCCGTTGTTCCTCATACTTATAAGTAATGACACCGCCATTTTGGCAGTATGGCTGATATGTAGTAGTTTGAATGGATGTTTGGGGGTTTAAGAAGAGAAACAAAAACGTCTATGGAATTCGAACAGATTCAGAAAGCGTGATTAAGCTTCAAATCTGCCCTGGACGCTAACTGTTTCCATGGAATCCTGCAATGTCGTACTTCAAAACCGCTGGCTTGTTACAGTCTTATGAGACAGATGAACTCGAGGCAGTAACTATCTGTTGAGGAACGAAGTAGCAGGTCGTCGATCCATTTATTGTGGCGAGGGCTCGGGATTGACAATGGGCATATATTCAAGAACGCAGATACATTATAGCCTTACACTGCCGTACAAGTCTCAGACAGTGATAAATCCTTCAACGGCGGTGCCACCGTTGGGGGTGCCGATTGACTCCTTGTATGAAGCCATTAACATAGGCAGGAGCATTAAGTCGAAAATCACCCGCTACTTGGCGAGCAACAGAATTAATCCGCAGCGCATCGCATCAAAACTACTGATTGAAGGCGATTCTCCGCAAACCTATCCTCAGCGGTGAAAAGAAAAGGGAAAATCATGCGAGATAGAGTTGGATTGGTATCCCCCCCCCACCAAAGGAATAAGAAAGGTGCAGGCGGTTAAGGAGTAGCTCGATCTCGCTCTATTTCTTGACTTGACTGAGCACATGAGGCCAGCCCCTTGGTAATCGTGACTATTGAACGAAGCAGACCGCGTTAGAACAGGACGAGATATCAGCAGAGGAGTAAACTGGCGCGAACACGACGACCGCCTGTGACTTGGGACTGGTCAGTTGACAGTAGGTAGTTGATGGTTGAGCGTTGACAGTGGTGGAGAATCCGAAAATTGATATGATTATTGTCCGTCATGGTCATACATTTGCATGCAGAGTTAAATGAATGGCTAGTGCAGCCTCCTGGGGTGAGCGCCGGAAAACGTGCCGAAGTTCCTATATTACGGAGCGCATTGTGGACGATAACTCGAGTACTCGTATCTCCTCGAGTATACATGTACATGTATGTATAGTATAACGTAGGGACTCGGAGGCACAGTATTCAATGTGCCGCCGCGGCGGGATGGAAGATGCAAAGCTGAACGATGAATGGCATCGCATCTGCCGGATCCCCTCTGGAGTAGTGTGCGCAATGGAAAAGCCGTACGAAGCACCACTGTACTCCTGTTCAAGTTGCATCCCCACTCCGTGCGAAGCAGATTCAGGAACAATAATGAACCATGAGTCGGGTTCGGAGGGAGAGGGCGGCAGATGCGACATTCACAACTGCCGACTCGGAGGTACTCGTATTGTCGTACTTACCTACCTACTTTTGTGCTTCTTACCCCGTAGGGCCATTGTTATTAGTAGTAGTGGTAGTGGTAGTGGTAGTACTAGGTTATTAACACAGTAAGAAGTACCTACCTTATCTACCTACCTTTACAGTACTGGACAACTAGAGTACCGTGCAGTACCAAAGCCGAGTCCTAGAGTACCTAAGTAGGGTACGTAAAGTCGAGTACTACCTCATAAGTAAGAAGCTTCTTAAGCAGGAGAAGAAGGAGATAATATACCAGAAGTCAGCTAGGGCACGAAGTACTTGTTACTTGCCTCCGTACGAAGTACCTAGGAAAGTACAGCAAGGTGCCTGGTAGGTAGGTGCCAGGCATACTCGTACACTACAAACCTCAGCCCCCTATATTATTGTCACGATTACTGTCATCTGTCATTGTCCCACAATCAACATCAACAGTACGGTACCTAACCTGGAATATGCACCTGGCTACGAAAGGGTTGTGGCATACTACCTACGTACATACTGTACATCCAACCCAAATGATAACACCTCTCTCGACCTTCCGGCACACGCACACAATCCCCCCCCCAGCCGTCGACCAAGCCCCCTCCACGGTGCATCTGCTATTTGCCATCTGCCCTTATTTGCCATATTCCATCTGCCATCTGCCATCTGCCATCCACATCGGCCCCGGGAAAGGGCTCGAACCCGCGCAGAATGCAGAATAATGTTCCTCGCCCTCCGATCGATCTGCCGTGGCGCCGCGGGGTAGCAGACTAGCTATACTAGCTATGCTAGCATACTAGTCGTTGCAATAATCATCATCATCGAGCCGTCGCCGCCACAAGCGTGAGAGCGATCAGATATTTATTGGGGGTTGGCATCTGGGACGTCGCAATAGCCTCCGCCTGGCCCACCAGCGCCGTCGGCAGCTGTCTTATACGCTGCCTCCGCCAAGGGCCGCTGTCCAAGCACCGAGTCGCCTACGGAGGTGCTGTCCAGAGCACTAATCGTCGACTGACGGTACTACTCTACAGCGTACAGTGCGCAGTTATATCGTTATATTACCATTCTTTTGCCGTGCCGTGGCCCCCAGCGCCCCCCAGGCCCCAGGGCAAGCGCTCGAGTAGCGTCCCGCATCGGTTTCCCGGGTGCGAGGCTCTGGAATTAAAAGAACGGATGGAGAGGACGAGGAGGGCTGTAGGACCCCACTACGGACCTACTTCGTCCTTACGTACCTACAGACAGTGCCTCCATCTCCATACTCCATCCTCCATACGGGTCTTTAACTACGAGTACTGCTCTCCTCTGCGTCGTTTTTATTAAAATTCCGCCCAGTCTCCCAACCCTGCCCTGCCTTGCCCTGCCCTTCCCCTTTGCCCCCCTCCCCAGCGGCTTGCGCCTTTCACGCGTGGCTTCTCAGATCCCATCCACCAACTTGAATCCAACCGCCCTCTCATAAAAGCCACGGATAGTTTTGTTGCTGAACAACTTTTTTCCGCTTCGCTCCCCTTTTCATGTTCATATATTCATATATATACTCGCATATTCGCCACCCATCATGGTCGCGGAATCATTTATTGAAGCCCTCGTACAAAACTGGCCTGTAGTGCTCGCCCTTGCCTTGGCCTCATACTTGATCAAGAACCGCTTTAATCGAGGGCTGAACAAATATCCGGGCCCGTTTCTCGCCTCCATTACCGACTGGTGGAGGTTCTGGGTCGTGTATAAACGACGCCCCGAGGTTGAGCATATTAAGCTCCATGCCAAACATGGCGATGTCGTTCGCCTGGGCCCCAACAGCCTGTCTTTTTCAAACCCACAGACGCTGAAAGCGATATATGGCCTCAATAAAGGCTTCACCAAGGTAAGCACCACCTTAAATACACCTTGGAAACTTGGTACGGTCGAAGCTGATTGGGATTACAGTCTGAATTCTATCCCGTTCAGCAATCAGTAGCTAATGGGCACCGGCTCCCATCTCTCTTCAGCACCACTTCGGAAGCGTTCCATGCACAGTAAGGATAATTAGGTTTCTTACATGGCTTATTCGTTTCTCGCGAACCGCCTTCGCGCTACCCCCTTTTCATGTGCTCCAGATACCCCCTTTCAGTTTTCAACAAGCAGGAGAATTGGCACGCTTACTCTCCCCCTGCTTAGGCTTCGTCGATGCGTCAACAGCGCTTTCTCCATGTCAACGCTGGTTCAGTATGAGCCGTTTGTCGATTCGACCACTGACCTCTTTCTTTCTCAAACCGAGAAGTTATATGTCGAAACGGGAAAATCTTGCGACTTCTCCCGATGGCTGCAGTTTTACGCTTTCGACGTTATCGGCGAGATGACTTACAGCAAGCGTCATGGTTTTGTCGAGGAAAATGAAGACATTGAGGGCATCGTGAAATATCTTGGGAAGATATTCGATTACGCCGCTCCAATTGGCCAAATCCCCTTCCTGGATCGCCTGCTCCTGAAAAACCCCCTTTACCTGCTAGCTGCGCAATATGGCCTCATTGATGCTACATTCCCAGTTGCCCGTTTCGCCAAGCAGCGTATGGCAGAGCGCTACCCAGCGGATGCCGATAAATCTGCCTCCGTCCTCCCTTCAACTGAGCCCAAAGGAAAGCCTACCCAACCGGATCTTCTTTCAAAATTCATGCAAGCGAAAGAAGCCCGCCCCGACTTCATGAATGATACACTTGTGACGACCATGGCGGTTTCCATGGCCTTCGCTGGCTCCGAAACCACTGCAATCTCCCTCTCAGCAGTCTTCTACTTCCTACTAAAGAATCCGGTCTGTCTCTCAGCACTTCTCGATGAACTTGATGCCAAAGCCAAACAAGCTTTTTTTAGCAACAAGGAAACAGGAGTCGTCACGTGGGCCGAAAGTCAGGAATTGCCCTACCTAGACGCATGCATCAAGGAGAGTTTTCGGTTGCACCCTGCCCCCGGATTACATCTCGAAAGAATCGTTCCTGAGAAAGGAGCAGAGATTGGGGGTGAATGGGTCAAAGGAGGAACTATTGTAGGGTGCAGTGCTTGGGTTATTCATCGGAGACCGGAGGTATTTGGGGACGATGTAGAAGATTTTAGACCAGAGAGATGGCTTGTGGGCGGCGGTAAGGCCGGAGATGGCGCGATGGATAGTTCAAAGGTTGTAGATAAGGAGGCAGAGGAGAAGCGCATCAAAGAAATGGGCGCGTGCCTGCTGCATTTTGGCATGGGCTCCCGAACCTGCATCGGAAAGAACATCAGTCTATTGGAGGTGTATAAGTTGGTTCCTACTTTCCTAAGGAGATTCGAGGTATGTTAGCCTTCAACTTTGGGCTTGGTTTCTCGCCGCCTTCTGACTTCTCGTCTGGAGACGTATACCTGTAACCGTGACTGGAAGCAAGACAACACACTAAATATCGAATAGGTTCAACTCGAAGATCCCTCGAAAGAATGGACGGTGCATAATGCCTGGTTCGTTCGCCAGCTGAACTTCCGTACGATATTCCGTCGGCGAGAAATTGTGCAACCCAATGCGAATAAAGCATGACGGTCCTCTCATCTGTATTAGAATCTGCGTCGACGAGTGCGTTGGGCGTTCGTTTTCAGATGGACATTTCAGTGTTATTCATTCTTTCGAGCGTTTTGCATTGGCATCCTATATATATAGCATATGCGGCGATATACCAATTCATATACTCAAGTCTGAGCAGCAATCTCGCCTAACCTCGGTGCCAAAAAGAAGTTGAATCATCCAAAGTCACCATGTCATTGTGATATGGGTACTAGAGACCAGGATACTGATACCTACTTTAGGCCAAAGGCGCCCACCGAAGCTCGTCTTCCTCACAAAGAGCAAGGCACAACCTCGATTTGATAGCTGTACCACGTGATTTTAGACACAGCCCTAGCAGTAATATCAACGTCGTCGAGCTTTCCGGGGCCTCTCCTCAAGCGGCGTGATACCAGTCGTATCGTGCTCGAGCTGTAACAAGCTAGAGGGAGCCCTCTGCATTTGACATAGCTCGGGTTCTCAGTCTTGACACTGAGCGCGATCTTACTCCAGCTCTCTGTTCATCGCTGTGGGCGTTGACTTCTGATATTGGAAATGTGAACGCCATGACGATTATATCTATATTTAGTTTAGTTGACGAGGTAGTGAGTCGCTAACTGTGGGATATGGAGTGCTAAAAGGTATTCGCTATTCAATCTGTGTGCTAGAGTCGAGCACCCAGCGCCCTATTCCCTAGGTTCGCCCCAGACAGTGATGGAGGAGCAGGTTTTTGGAGTTTGCACTCCTGTGGATGTGGCTATGATGAAATGACTTTCGCCCTGGTTCTATTGCGCTCTCGCAACTCACCGTGAATCGGCATCGTCAACCCTCCAGCAGGCAAATCCATCTCTGACTTTGCTGCCGAAGCTGCGAAGGTCGCCAAACCATCTGCTCCCGCGTCAGTCCACGGAGGAGTTGGCAGTCCCACACAGGAAAGACGATGTTTGGACTTTGAAGTAATTAACAATTAACATATAAATACGTCGTATATACTTACGCCTGTAAAGTCGTGGTGTTGTGATGTGTTTTTTTGGCGGTGCGAGGCGAGAAGCGAAGTGGTGACTCAGGACCATTACATTATTATACCGTAGTTGTCCCTCGTCTACCCCACCAAGAAATAAATATCTCCAAAACACTTTACTTTCCCCTCCCCCGCCAACCGTCAACCTCCATACTCATCCACCACCAACAACCCATACGCCCAACCCCATCATGGCGGACGACGCCGGCGCATCTGCTCCCACGGAGCCCATGGCCAATCTACACCTTGACGAAGTCACGGGCGAAAGAGTTTCCAAGTCTGAATTGAAGAAGCGCCAGAAACAGAGGCAGAAGGAGGAGCAAAAGCGCGAGAAGGAAGCCGCTGCACCTCCCAAGCCTGCCTCGGCCAAGAAGACAAATGCAGAGGCTGATGAGAAGGAACTGAGCCCAAATGTAGCTCTTCGCCCCCAGTGTTGCCCCTGTGCTAGAGAACTGAGACTGATGCTCGCCACAGCAATATTTTGAGATTCGGTCGCGCAGCATCAACAAGCTGCGGCAATCCAAGAACCCAAACCCGTATCCCCACAAGTTCCATACCAACTATGATCTGCGCAATTTTGTGAAGGACCATGACTCGTTGAAGTCGGGCGAGGCCAAGAAGGACGTGGAGATAAGGGTTGGGGGTCGAATCTACAACAAGCGTGCATCGGGGAACAAGCTTGTGTTCTACGATATCAGGGCTGAGGGAGTCAAGGTCCAGGTTATGTGCCAGCTTCAGGAAGCCAAGGCCGGTGGTTTGCCATTCGACCAGCAGCATGAGCATCTGCGACGGGGTGATATTATCGGTATCGTTGGTCACCCGGGGCGAACTGCGCCAAAGAACAAGATCGAGAAGGGTGAAGAGGGAGAGCTTTCCATCTTTGCCACCGAGGTCGTTCTCCTTACTCCATGCCTGCACCAACTTCCGGATGAGTACTATGGGCTGAAGGATCAGGAGCAGAGACATCGCAAGAGGTATCTGGATTTGATCATGAATGAGCCGACCCGAAACGTCTTCTTGACGAGGTCCAAGATGGTCACCTACATCCGCAAATACTTTGACGATCAGGACTTTGTTGAAGTCGAAACTCCCGTCCTCAGCTCTATAGCTGGAGGCGCAACTGCAAAGCCATTTGTGACTCACCACAACGACCTCAACATGGATATGTTTATGCGCGTGGCCCCTGAGCTGTATCTCAAGATGCTCGTCGTGGGTGGCCTGAACCGGGTATATGAAATGGGACGTCAATTCCGCAATGAGGGAATTGATTTGACTCACAATCCAGAGTTCACAACGTGCGAGTTCTACATGGCCTACGCAGACGTCTACGATATCATGGATATGACCGAAGAGCTTGTCTCTGGCCTGGTTAAACATATAACTGGCGGCACCGTCACCAAGTTTCACACCCAGCACGGCGAGGAGTACGAAGTGAACTGGGCAGCCCCTTGGAAAAGAGTTGAGATGATCCCAGCCCTAGAAGAAGCGACGGGCGAGAAGTTCCCCCCTGGGGACGAGCTGCACACGGAAAAGACCAACGAGTTCTTCAAGCGAGTTCTTAAGAAGATGAACCTCGAATGCTCGCCGCCTCTTACCAACGCGCGCATGCTAGACAAGCTTGTAGGTGAATACCTCGAAGAGACCTGCGTCAACCCGACCTTCATCACCGGCCACCCTCAAATGATGTCCCCGCTCGCCAAGTACCACCGCAGCAGCCCGGGCCTCTGCGAGCGGTTCGAAGCCTTTGTGTGCAAGAAGGAGATCATAAACGCCTATACCGAGTTGAACGACCCGTTTGATCAACGCTTGCGTTTCGAAGAGCAGGCACGCCAAAAGGACCAAGGTGACGATGAGGCGCAGATGATCGACGAGAACTTCTGCGAAAGTTTAGAATTCGGTCTACCGCCCACCGCTGGCTGGGGTATGGGCATCGACCGCTTGGTTATGTTCTTGACGGATAATTATAGCATTAAAGAGGTGTTAGCATTCCCATTCATGAAGGAAGATACAAGCCGTAAGAAGGAGAAGCTAGCAGCGGAGGAGGTCGGCATCCAGCCTATGAGCGAGGAGGGTATTCGTAAGTCATTTTCATGCGGCATCTGAAGGGGTTTGTATCTTTGCTAACGAGACGTCTTGTAGCTCATAAGTAGGTGACTCGACTGTTTCCGCAAGTTTTTGGGATGATAGATAGGCCTATGTTAAGCTTGTCCTTGAAGAAAAAGTTTGTATTGGTATAATCTTGCCAGAGATCCCATTGCTCATTAAGGAGCTGAAGGTATATCAATTGTGTCTTATAGATACAGAGTAGAGAATCGTTTCATGCCACTGTTACTGTACATGCCTTGTAAGTCAAATCGACTTTAGGCGTTCCCGACAAACCCCAAATGAAAAGGGACACAGGACTGCGCCCCTGCGAGCTCTGGTCATGAAGTAGGCGGCCCATGCCTCTTCATTTCCGCCCTTAAGCTTATCACGTCAGCTTTCAATCCTTTGCCACGCCCTCCCATTACATGCCTAGAACCTCCCAACCCGGCATCAGCAACTACCTTAATCCGCTTCTGCACCAGTTTCCATGTACGCTTCGGGATCCATGCCCTGTTCCCCAGAACCAAAACACCAGTCAAGAGCGCCAAGCTACCCGCCTGATGCATAGCTGCTAAGGGTAAAGGAACAAGATAAATCAAAGTACTAATGCCCAAGGCGACCTGCATGAAGACCAAATGGACAACGCCCAACATGCCCTTGCGACACGTGTTAGGCAAAGCGGCACGAACACGCGGGTTAAAGCGCGAGTACGCCCATAAGCTTAAGATAGCCGTGAACGTAGTGGTAGCTAGAATACGATGATCCAGTTGCACGAGAGACGGATTCTCTAGCATATTTCGCCACCACAAGTCACTTCCGTCTTCTCGGCGAGAGTAGAAGCTGGACCAAATTTCTGACTTCGGCGGCGCAAGGCCAGTGCCCATGCGTGGAAATTCGTTGTAGATCATCCCGGCGTCCAAGCCTGCTACTAGGCCGCCGGACATGGCGGTTGCGAAGACGAGGATGGCGAGTCCTGCAACTGATTTTCGGAATATGGAGAGGGTTGAGGATGAGAGGTGTTGGAGTTGGGCGTGGCCGCGTGCTGGATGCGAAAGGAGGCTGTTGGTGCGGAGGATACTCAATCCGTTCCAGAGCATCGCCACGTAGCAGACGAAAGCTGCGCCCAGATGGGCCGTCAATCTGTACTGGCTGACTCGAGGGTGGGAGCCAGGCGCAAAAAGGTCGTCTTTCAGTCCTGATTTCACCATGTACCACCCTAGGAAGCCTTGGAATCCTATGAGACCCGATATTCCTAGAAGTCGAAGCGACATGTTGGCTGAAACTCTGCGCCGGGAGACGAAGTATATGGCAGGGAGGACGAAGGATAGACCGACGAATCGTCCCCAGAGTCGATGGCCCCATTCCATCCAGTATATCTTTTTAAATTCTTCGAGGGTCATGTGAGCATTGAGAAGCTTGGATTCGGGGGAGGCTCTGTATTTCTCGAATTCCGAGTCCCAATCTGATGTGGATAGAGGAGGTAGAGAGCCTGTTACTGGCCTCCACTCTGTGATGCTTAGACTGTCCAAGGCCATTAGTCTAGCTTCTGTAGATATTATGGAAAAGTGTGAGACATACCCCGACTCAGTCAATCGTGTGAGGCCCCCAAAGACCACAATCCCAAAGACGCTCCCCGCGCTTGCTAAGAGCCAATATGCCACGGACGAGGACGATGTGTCCGGGAAGAATTTATTTCCCGAGGCCTCTCGCGCGCGCCCTTCTAGTTCTGTACTTTTCTCGGAGATGGTCTTGCTGAGAGATCCCAACGGCGAAGCTGCCTTAAGTGTGGCACCGGCATTTGGGGAAATTCCTGCTGCACTGCTACTGAAGCGTATTGGGCTGGCCTGTGATACACTCGGCTTTATGGGGAGCTTGACATGTCTCACGGCTGGGCGTGCCTGGCTTATGCACTGCTGGCATACGAAGAAGTCCTGGGGCAGGGACAGACGGGGAGCAGCCCTCCGTATCCCTCGAAGTATCGAGGCCATGGTCAATGGGGAGAATTGGCGCGTTTGGAACGATGTTCATGTCCATCGAGAAAAGCTCAGGATCAAGTGGGACGATATAGATATTTAAAGATTAGCCGAGGTTTTGCCTGACGTAGATCCATCCCCTGTGTACGAAATAAGCTCGCGAATCTCCGGCCACGATGAGAAAAGCATGAACAGTAATCTCAACGCCAACGAACCTGACCCGCTGATAAAATCTTACGCAATGGCGTCACGCTGAAGCATAGCAACTTCTCGATGTCCACAACTACGAGGACAACCCCATAAGGCCCCATGTTCTCCCTACGCAATAACTCATCCTCCAACTCCAATCCGTTCCGTCCAGCTCTCCAATATCTGGTCGCAGCTACCAAAGAAACTCCAACAAGCCACCACCAGACCAATTCCTCCGGGAGTATCGACTCTGATATTGACGGGCCTCGCTCGAGAATGACTTCATGCAACCCCAAATCCTCCTCTGAATTCCGCTCCACCTCAATCCCCTTGATCAATATTTCTCGGTCGCCCTCCCCTTATCACCAACGCCAGCACTCGGACTCGAATCCTACCTCGGAAACGGACGATGATGACTGGGGCGACTACCCAGCATCACAGCGACCGTTCCTTCCAGAAGATGGGTATAAGCTCACTGGATGGCGAGCGCTTCTCTACCGCGGAGGCTTTGGGCAATGGCTCTTCACAACCCAGCTAGGATGGACGGTGTATATCGGTGTTCTGGTCCTATGGCTGGGAGGTTGTCAGATTGGCTTGACTATCATGAATAGGATAATCCTGTGGAGTGGGTACCTGGCAAACAACTACACGTCCCACACGAAGCTGATGGTTCTAATAGCGGGGGTGTACAAGTTTCCGTATCCTCTCACAACGACCCTGTTCGAGATGCTCATTACCCACTTCTTCATCCTGCTTTCGGCTTATATCACACGTTGGGTGAGCCCGTGGCTTACGAGTGCTGGGGTATCCTCGATGATTGCCCCCTCGAAACCGCTGCAATCGGGAGTTGCTCCTGGTTTCAAGGGGCAACAAAAGAATGTCGGATTGTTAGGCTCTCTAATTAGATGGGCTTCGGGGTTTTCAGGCGGTATTGCTGGGGGGGGTCTGTTTGAATTCGACCTAGCAGTGGTGAAACAAGTCTTGCCATTGGCGGTCATTTTCGTCGCAAAGGTCTCACTGAGCAACCTATCCTTTGCCTATGCCCAACTCCCAATTTATATGCTAGCACGCATTGGCATAGTACCGCTCTCTCTCCTCTTTACTGCCTTTCTCACAGGTGCGTCACATAGCGTCGCGACGCTCTCTTCCGCCCTTACGGCAACCCTCACCCTTCTCGTGGCGACGTCCCGCGCCAATGTCCGGGTAACGTGGGAGAGTATTGTTGCCGGCGTCTTCTCCTCCATCTTCGTTGCGCTATATCCGGTTCAGATCCATCGAACCTATAAATCCCTTGTCGCTTCTTTAGTTCCGCAGGGAGAGCTTATCGGGACGTTTCCGTCCTCAAATTCGCCGGCGGATTACTCTGGCTCGCGCGAGGAAGCGCGGGCATACTGGCGCTTACTTCACTACACGTCCCTCTTATCAATTATGATATTCCTACCTATAGTCTTCCTCTCGGGCGAAGTTTCTAACATTTCCCGAAACTGTTATTTTCTGGATGTGTTCTTTCACTGGCTCATGGTTCTCTGTGGCGGATTAGGTAGCTGGGCTGTATTCTTCAGCACCATTGCACTGACTAGGGCGACAAGCCCTCTTACAGCCACCTTTCTATTTGTACCAAGGGCAGCCTTCTTGTTACCTATCATGTCGGGTTTCAAGATGCCCAGCTATGCGTGGATTGGAATCGGGATGTGCTGGGCAAGCTGTGCCTGGTTTTTGATGGGCCGGAGGAGAGAGGGTCGGCCTATCGAGCGGTTTTGATGATGGGTTATAGATGAGCATTTGTGGGGGGTTTAAGCACGGCGCTGGCGCATTTTGGGGACTTGGGACTACATATCTAGCATGGGATCATTGCAAATATTGGATGCCTAAAGTCATAGATTAATTCATATACTCATTTCACACGGCCATTTCGCCCAAGCGGAGTGAGGTGGCACCGGTTGTCTCATGGCAAACTAAACTCGGCCACATGGACTTTGTTGAGTAGTTGCCCAAGCGAGTATTTCGTCATCTTTGACTTAATCCCCATCCAACAAATCAGAGTGCTTCAATATGATCTACTTTTCTGCCTCGAATTTTGTACTCAACGTCCCAATATAAGGTGAGATCTCAACTGCGAACTCGTCTCCTCCCCTCAGATATTCTTTTGGCGAGAAGGAAAAGCCAATGCCCGCAGGTGTGCCTGTTAAGATGATAGTGCCAGGTGGAAGTGTGGTTCCTTGCGAGAGAAAAGACACAATCCTTGGGACTGAGAATATTAGATCACTGAAACACAGTTAAAACCTGCCCCCCTTCCTTCGTTCTAGTCAATTATACGTACTCAATCCCACAATCCTGCATCACTTTGCCATTTTTCAATCCCCTCAATTTGAGCCAAGCGGGATCAGGAACCAATTGCTTCGACACGATCACCGGACCAATGGGACAGGCACCATCAAAGCCCTTGCTGTAACTCCACTGAGTTTGAGCGAGCTGAGCAGTCCTGCTGCTGACATCGTTGGCCGCTGTGTATCCTAGAACATAATCTAGTGCTTCAGCTTCCGATACATCTTTGCATTTCTTGCCAATGACGATGACTAGTTCAGACTCGTAGTCGCAGCAGTCGTCTTGCAGAGTGGATTTGGGGATGATAGTCGGCGATGGGTAAGGATCGGCGAGCGAAGTCGCAGGTTTCATGAAGACTGTCGGCACTTCTGGTAGGCCCATTTTTGCTTCTAAAATCGAGGGTCAGGTGCGAGATGATACTATAAGTTGCCTGTCTCGGAGGGGTGTGTTTCTAAGCCGTGGAATTCACAAACCGAAAGTACGAACCTCTCGCGTGTTGAGCGTACTGTGGATCAGAATGTCAGTTATAGCTTGGCTGTGAGCCTTTTGGTTTTTGAAGGGATGGAGGAATTGTGAGACGCACGTTCAATCCAATGCAACGGATTGTTCCTACTTCGGCCTGAGATAGAGGTGACAGAAGCCTGTCTATCACTTCTATCTTATCAGTTAGAACCCCGAGGTCCAGCACTGAGGAACCGCTGTACACGACGACCTCGACATCGTTACCGGCTCGCATAGCTGCGCCAACATCGAGGTCCTTATCGACTGGTTCTCCGATATAGATGTTGGCTTTGGAGGACTTTGGGATGAAGCGGACAAGACCTAACAAAGCGATGGCTATTAGTTGAGCGGATTGCCTTGCCTCTTAAGAAGCCACTTATGGTTAAACGATGGGACAGACATGTCAAACAGTCGAAGATGGCAGGCTTTCTAATACGGAGGATAGAAGCCCAACGGCCGGGACGAGACAAAGATGAAAGAGAACAAGCAGATCACTTGGCTAAAAGTACCCAGCTGTCTTTCTTTATATTCTACCCCCAACTCCGGACTTCCGACCTCCAGTTGTACTACCTAGTATACCTGAGTACCTTACATGCAGCAGAACCAGAAGTAGAAGCACCAAGTACCTTGGAACACAATTGTGCACAATGGTACGGGACTCCGTCCGAAGTGTAACTATACCATGGCGTTGCAAGGCTAGTAAAGACCCTTACTTACAATCTTCTTGGGTCATTTCTTATAATTATAACTTCAACACGATTGAAAGCGGCCAGCTGCATCACGTGTCTGCCATCCTGCATCACGTGCACAGTGTTGACGACCCCTCCATCGCGGGGTTCAAATCAATATCCGAGCTGTTGAAACAAATATCAAATATCAAATATATCCATACTATCCTAGTGATCCGTAAGGTGCATCTTTGTACTCGTCAATCTCATAGGGAAGTCAGTATGTACTCCGAAACATACGAGGTACCATCTTATTCAATCCAATTAACCATCTCAAGGAACCGGAGGCTCAACGCAACTTGAACACTCCCCAGGTGCAATTGAATCATGGCCGCTCCCCACAACTCGGGATACCTTCAGGCGACCGATCCCACTAAACCACGCTCCGACGCAGCCGTTCCCTTCCGCGATATTATACCTCCGCCCTCACACCCTCGAATTGCTGGTATAGCTGACCATAATGCCCTCAGTTGGTGCGAGTCGAGGAGAATGATTGAGGCCCCGGCTTGGTTAATTAACCGTCTTGATGCGAAGAATTTGGAGACGCCATATATAGGATTTACCTCGGATGGAAAGGTTAGAACCGGGTTGTATCACTATGCCGAGGACGAAGGTGCGCCGACTGAGCAGGTTATTGCCAAAGCGGTGCACTTGCTGAGCCTTTTGCCATCGGACCAAAAGGGAGCCGTGCAATTTGGACAGGTGACGGATGATGCTTTCAGGTTGTGGTCTAACCCAGAGCTTTACATGAACCCTGGCGGCCTTCGGCTTGATGAATGCTCAGAAGGTATCCAAACCGCCGTCCACACCATTTTCAAAGCCTCGTTCTCGCCACAAGGCTACGAGAAAGTCCTTGGCTGTTGTCTTACAAACGGCTTCCTCGGTCATCTTGTCAACGGCAAGAAAGTCCTAAATGAGCATTCTTACAACTTCCGTCTCTTCGGTACTCCGTCCCTCTCTTCGCCATGGGGTTATACATTCTTTGGGCATCATCTTTGCCTAGCAGTCGTATTTCTAGGGAAGAGAATGGTCATTGGGCCTACCTTTATGGGAGCAGAACCAGATAGGATTGATGAGGGACCCCATGCCGGGTTGCGATTATTTCGGACTGAAGAATTAGTGAGCTTGAAGCTGATGCAGGGATTGCCAAAAGAATTACAGGACAAGGCTACCTTGAGTAAGGGAATGGATGGTAACAGCTTGGCTGCTGATCGGTGGAATCCGTTTGATGAAAGACATCTTGGTGGTGCGAGGCAGGATAATCGAGTTTTGCCTTATGGTATATATTTCTGGTATATTTTGAGGCCTCCACTGACGAGGTACACAGAGGGCTGTCTCGTCTCAGAGTTCCCGCCAGCAAGCCAAGACAGCATCATCAATCTTTTTCTTGCTTTCAACGAATATTACCCAGAGTCAGTTCTCCAACATCGACTGGCACTGTTCAAGAAGCACTTGAATGAGACATATTTTGCCTGGATTGGAGAATTCGGAGATGAGGATCCGTACTATTACCGTATTCATAGCCCTGTTGCGTTTATGGAATTGGATTTCCACTGCGGAAGTAAGTCCTACAACTCCTTATTTGCCTATCTGTGAGATCGACTGACTGTCAGTGCAGTCTTCTTAACCAATACGACCCCAGCGAGATGTCACATCCACACAATAAATAGACTTCCTAATAGGGGTGATTATGGAAAGGTATTGATAGAGCAATGAAGGAGGCGGCGAAAACCCACCTTGCTTTGCCTCTTTATGTCACTGGAAAATACAATAGCTTTACTCATGTGTTCGTTTGTAAGACATCCTGTAATTTGACAAACCATTGAATGCGTATATTGTATAAACAACACAACTGACCTTAGATGGAGATATATTGTATTATTCGGTTGGGAAGTATTGTGTGCCTGCAACAAACCCCCGTCCCCCATACTTAGCCTCTACAAATAGAAAACAAGTATAATCGCAATACTTAAGACGTTGCATATATGTCCTTCCCTATACGATATTTTCGATTTTCCATTATTAGAAAAACCCCGGGGTATCTTCGTCTATCCAGCCATAAAAGAACCTAACACCGCAGGTAAAGCAACTACAACATACCAGGAACTTCTTCCCTGAAGCCCAATACTTGAATTTCCCTCTGGTTTCCAGCAATTCTAAACAAACAGTGTCATCAAACGCCATGCTATTTCTTATTCTTCCCCTTCCCCTTTCCATTCTCCTTCCCCTTCACCGCTTCCGCAACCATCGAATGCCCAAGAATCCTCTTAGCCTCATCGTCACCCTCAACGACGTGGCCCTGAGCCCTCAAAACGTTTTTCGCCTTCTCAATGACATTTTTATTCTCAGTCAGAATATCCCGTCCAGCCCTCATGGCTTCAACCTTTCTTGCCAACTCCGCTGCGGCCGCCTCGGCTGCATCCTGAATACCCCTTACAGAAGTCTCGCCATTTTGAGAGCTACTCCCCAATCCTGCACTGGTACTCTGTTTCTGTTTCACCTCCGCCTGGGCTTTTACCTGTGCTTGGGCCTGTGCTTGCTTAACAGGAACCAGGTCGCGCACGAATTTCTGTGCCTCTTCGCAGCCTTCCATGACGAACTTAATCGCAAGTGTGGCTCTCTCCTTTAGATATTCGTTATGTCCATCGTAGACGCAGCAGTTGAGAAGTGGCATGATTCCCGCTCGATCCAAGAGCTGTCGTTGCACGATAGGATTCCCTGGGCCATTGCGGCGTGGATTTGTGGGCGCGAGGAGTGAGGTTAGGATGATGAGGATTTGAATCTTGACGCCTGACCATGGGAATTTGTGGGGCGTGTCGTGCATGGGTGGGAGATGAGGCGGTGGGTGAGGTGATTGATTTTGGACTTGTTCATCATAGGGTCGTTCAACAATGGGCGTCGTTGAGCCTGACGGCTGACCTCCAGGAGTTCGTCGACTTGGTCCAGGCAAGGATCGCTCATCCAATGACTTGCGTGCAACACCAGCCTCGAGCGCTTTCAGTAGAGAGATAAGCTCGTAAGCACACTCCCATTCAATAAGGAGGTGTCTCATTTCCTGAATCTCCGCTATCACTGAGATGAAATCGAGATACTGCGATAGGCCGTCCTTCGCCCGTTCCATATCCCATAGATCTACGGGGAAGTCACTGGGGTGGCATTTGTTCTGTCGAATCTGAGCTTGTGCGTAGAGAAGGGCGAGGCAATCTGGCACAACTCGACACCGAAAATAGTTGTAGAGGAAGTGTATGAGCTTAGCATCGCGGTTGTAATCTTTAAGGTCATCATAAATGGGGCTATCCTTCCGGGCGCGGAACATGTAGTTGATGAGGCGGAGGAGTACGGTCTGCGCGGGTGAGACGATATCTTTCAGGATTCGTAGAGAGTTCCAAGCGTAAGGTAGTAGCGCATTATGGTGGAAGGACTCAACTATTTGAGCCGTGATTTGGAAGATGAATTGTTGGTCGGTCTGTTCCCAAACTGCAATAAAGACGAGCATTTCTCGAAGGAGATTTTTTCCACAGTCAAGAGCCAAGAACATCTTGCATCTAGTCTTCTGGAGGTTTTCGCCAGCAGGGGTGAGACCAGATCCCATAGAATCCACAATACAGGCCTTGACTGTCATGTGCAAAGCTTCAATCTGCTTCGTGTCCAGGATATTCGGAATTTCTGTCAAGAGCCCCCGCAATGGTCCTTCAACATACGAGTCGTCATCATCTTCCTCCTCTTCTTCTTCACCGTCATCTTCCTCCCCATCATCCCCCTGGATCGATCGAGCATCAACCTCATCGTGGTCATCAATACCACCACCATGGCGTTCGTGGTGTTCATATTGTTCATCATGGGCATAGTGATGGTCGTGGTCTTCCTCTCGAGGCATAAATCGATGCATTGCATTCTCCTTGCATGTCTCCGCTCGTTCTATGGCCCCCTCAACGGTCTCCATCGGCACGACCCAACCATCGTAATTTGCATCTCGGACTCTCTTCCACCAGACATCAATCTCATGGGAAACCCTGGCATAGAGACGATCTTGCTCGCATTTGTCATCCAAATCCGCATTCCAGACTGGCGTGGTAGGCTCTCCGGTAAAACATGCGTCCCCTTCATCCGGTAGCATTGGTAATAAGCCAGCAGTTTGGCCCGACGGAACATCGGCCGTATATTTATCAAGCAGCTCAGTTGCCAACGCATCTTTCTTGTTGTGCCGTCTTAACCAGTTCTTGACCTCCTCATACACCTTTTCGACATTTAAGTCGTCTGGCGGCATTTCGTGGATAGCATCATTCCGCAAATCATTGTCGAACAGCATTTCAAACCAGAACGACATCTTGAAGCGATCATTTCCCATAGTCCAGTTATGCGTATGTTGAAGACAGGTAACTAGGAGCTTTTTGTCTGCGTCCTAATGTCAGTATATAGTACTGTATCGCCAAGTAACGAAGGGGAAACCCACAAAGCTCTGTAATCTCCAACAGCCTCGCCCTGTCCATATCCGTAACATTCTCGCCGTCGTAACCCTTACTCGTAACGTTCACGCACAGAATAATAAGCTTCTGAACAGCCTTATCAAACTGTACTGCCGCGCAAATTTCCTGGGCTGTCTCCTTGATCGCCAGCATATTCCTACTAATAACCAGCAAATTATTCAGAAAATGTAAATCCTCCCTTAGAGATTCGTAATTCTTGAGTATCAGCGTGGCGGACTCGGGAACGTCAAGGCCGTTAGGAATGCCGGCTTCGGTATAAGATTCTCTCAAGGAGCGCTGAACGAGGGAGGGCACAGCCAAGTTGAAGATTTTCTGGAGGCGCATCCAAATATCTACGTTCTTTGCGAGTCGTTCCCTAAGAAATTTAATCTCGGCATTAGCATCGACCTTCTAATGACCACCTACCTCGGAAGAGCAAAATGAAACCTCAATATACCTAACGTTCGCCTTATTCAAACTCCTATCCAGTGTTTGGGCAACCATCTTCTTCACTTCTAGCATAACCTTGAACCCCGGACCCCTCATCTTCTCAAAATGCGCCTCGATCATAATGAGCGCTGTAGAGAATGCCCTCTCCTCGATCGTTTGCGTATTCCCCCTCTGCGTTATATTGTCTCCTCTACTAGAATCTAGCGACGAGGTAGGACTATACGGCAGGAGAATCTCCCGGTTCGTCCGGAAGGTCTGGGACGTCTCATCCCACCACGTTGCTACGGGCGTCTTGCATTTGCTGCAGATGGTACTTGTGTCGCGGACAGAGGGCAAGGGGTGCCCACATTCGTTGCAATGCATGGTGGTGGTGGTGTTGATGTAACTTGACGTGAACAGCGGGGAGCTGGAAGCTGGAGCTTGGGGGATTTTTTGAAGAGCAGATCGGAGGGGTCGCTTATGTATATACGACTAAGGTTATGTAAGGCCTGTAATAGGAGCCTAAGGTACCTAGGTACATTCGTACCACGGTGGATCTTGACAATCTGGGGAGATAAACGATGATTATTTCGTGAGTAACTTTTATAAGGGTCTATCATGGATTTAGATGTTCGTTGACTCGGGTCACATGGCTCCAAAATACCGTATTAACCGGGCTATGATTCCGCCATTTTACTAATACTCTCTGATGTTCAACACAAGGCTCCTAGGTAATTAGTGCAGAGGTGTTTTCAGACTGCTCCGTACAGTAACCAGGTGGGAATGGAATGGCCATTAAATCGGTAGGCCGCATGATAAATAATTTTTACGACCTTGAAACAGCTTGAAGAATCGGCTTCAAGCTGTTTCCCGCCTTTTTCGAAGGCTTCTGCGTACTGCCGATGCACATACCCGCCGGAAACACACTCCTGATTGGTATCTTCATGAATAATTGACATAGAGGTACTATTCCGTGGTTTTGTCGCATTGGAATTGGAGGAGTTGGCCTCGCCTGTTTTGAGCCTACGTAAGAGCGGAAATTGGTGTACTCGTATAAGCACCTATCCAGCATACTCTATAATCCAAGGGAAATCGGAAACAACATGTTTAGTATAGCAGGAATTAAAGGCTAAATAAGATGGCACGGTATTAGCTGTATAGGTGACCGCGGACTGGAATAGTGAGATCCTGTTTATTTGTACAGCTGGCTAGGTAGGTTTAAAGGCCTTTCTATGCTATTGTATCGCCGTTATCCATCGAATGAGTCTGTTTTCGGCACTATAGCAAACGCAAAACCCTACGCCCCAAGCGTAATATAATACACACGGCAACCGAGCGCTACAGTACTCGGCTATTGGCACTTAGTGAATATTGGACAGGCTCTGGTTTTCTCTCGTCTGCTCACTGCGCAGATCCTGACCCTCCAGGCGCCGAACTTCCTTCGCCGTTTTTAGTACTCTTTTTCCTATGCCGAGTTCGTCTTCGCTTTTTTTTGCCCTCGCCTATATTTTCCGAAGCAACTCTTTCCGAGTCGTTCGGGGGCTCATCTGTATTGCCATCGACTCCACCCGGCGGCATACGTGGTGGACCTCCTTGGGCTTCCATCTCATTTTCTCGGTCGTCCCTATTTTCTTCAGAGCTACTGGTAGTCTCTAGCACTACCTTACGAACCCCACCGGCCTCGATAATATTCTCTGTAATGCTACCGCTTCGGGCAGCGTGTCTCTTGCGGCCTGGGGGAGCATGACTTGATTGCAAAGTTGTAAGGGTATCATTGCTTTCCCCACTATGGATGGCCAAGCCCCGCTCAGGAGAACGGTATTTTCCAGGCGAGGGTGGTGATGGTTTTGGCTCTAGGGGATAACCAACGGGATCACCTTGCTCTACGTTGGTACCTTTACCAGAATCAGGAGATCGTGGGGGGTCGAAAGATCCGTAGCCCTGTTGTAACGCTTGCACTCCGTCCTTGGCATCTTTCCCAGCTGAGAGCAAGCCCTCGCCCTCCCCGCCTTGCGGTGCCGGATCGTCATGGTACGGTTCCCCTACGATCGAGTCACGATGGGTTATCGAGTTGGCTCTAGAATTGGACCTGCCCGTTGGACCACCTGTCTTGATTTTAACAGTGTTGTACCGGGTCGACTTTGGACGACTGGCAAGATTTGAGGGACCAAGATGCTTAAGATGTTCCCGCATATCATTAATATTGCCCCGAACGGTGACACTTTTGTAATCACCGCCAGAACTCCTCCGGAGAAAGGTAGCCTTGGGGCTTGTTCCGAACACGGCTGGGCTATTACTTCGGTTATCTCCGCTCGTGGCTCGGTTGGCAAGATCAGGGCCTTGCCCCTCGACGAGATCGATAAGGTCTTCTTCTGCGGCACGAGAAGCAGGGTCTGAGTGTGCCACGGAGTGGGCCCTTTGGAGACGTGCCTTCGGGGCTGGCGTAATGCGTCTGATGGCTTTGTGGACGTCGATGTAGACATCGGATTCATCGATAATTTCCCTAGCTAGAGTTAGTTACTAACTTAGATGTGGGGTACGAATAGCACATACTCGCCGATCAATTCTTCAATAACATCTTCTAGTGTCACGACCCCAATGGCACCATAATTCTCGCCTGGATCCTCTGATACCAGGACCATATGTGATTTTCCCTCTTGGAAGAAATTGACGATGTCAAGGCAGCTTGTCTCGGGACGTGTCTCTGGCAGCGTCGCGAGCGCAAACTCGCTAACCTTCTTACAGTCTTCCGGATCGTAGGTAATCAAAATCTTGACCAAGAGCATACCGACAAAGTTCTGCTCATTTCCTGGTTCATAGATAGGGATTCGTGAATAACCCGCGCTGAGAATGGCATCCATTGTTACCTCGTCCAAGACTGTATCCGCTGACATTGTAAACACATCTTCCATCGGGGTCATGATGTCGCCCACGGCCTTGTCCTTCAAATCCAACACTGCGCTTATGATCGTAACTTCGTCTTGGTTGAGTCGTTCGGTGGGAACAGTCCCTAGAGTCTTATGAAGCGTAACCAAGGTCTTTAAGCCCGATTTCTTGTATATGGAGCCATGATCCTCACCCAGAGCCCAATCAAGCATTCGTGCGGCTGGCCAGCCGATTGGTGCGAGAATCCACATAAGGCCAACGACAAAAGGTTGCATAAAGGCGCCGATAGCTAGGCCATGTCGGGCACAGACAGCCTGGGGAATAACTTCGCCGAAAATAACTGCATATCGTCAGTAGGGTACATATATCAGGAGGGCAATAACCTACCAATCAGAACTGTACTGCCAACGATCGCAGGCCATCCTCCGCCTAGGGACCGATCGAGTACAATTGGCAGCGTTTCGTTCACAACAACGTTGGACAGAAGTAATGTAACGAGCACCCAGTGCTTCCCTTTCCTCATCAGGGCGTAAACCTTCTGCGCGTTCTTCTGCTCTCTTCCTTCGCTCGAGGTCGCCAGGACTTGAAGGTGGATGTTATCTTGTCCCATAAATCTAGCAATGGGGTTAAAATAGGTAACCTAGAATAAAAGCTATTTTGCACTCACGCGATGGTCAGTCCTGCAAACGCGCCTCCCAGTAACACCAGAACGGCAGCAACACCAAGGTAAGCCCACAAGCTTGGATCATCCGGAGCCTTTGGCAGATCTTCATCTCTCTTCCCCAGTCCCAGGAGCTCTCTCACTGGCGCAGCTGACGCGTAGGAAAGCTGACAGAGGCCGAGGAAGAGGACCTTTGCCAGACCGAGGATGGCGGGTCGAGCGGCGACATAACCGTTGTAGCTGTGGCGTCCATTTGCGACTGAAGCTTTTGAGGCCATTGCACCGACTTGAAGGTTGGAAGCTCTCAGATTCCCGTGGGATGGCCGCAACCAATCGAAAGCGCAAAGTTGCCTTTCCAGCTTATGCTAGGCTCACAGTGCGGGGGCTGCTCCCAAGCTTTCGAGCAAATGCAGACAGCGTGGCGGCGGAAGCTGGAGCTGGAGCTGAAGCGATGAGCAAAGAACTGGCCAGCAATGGAATACAGGAATATGTTGGCGCGAGTTGAGTCGAGAGTCGCGAGTCGCGAGTCCAGAATCCAGAGTGCGGACGTTGGTTTCGACGCGGAGCTCCAAAAACATCTTGGCATGAAAGCGGAAAATGACGAGGAGGGGCGGATATGGCACCACGTGACTTACACAGTCCTATCTAAGGTACTTCGTACTTAGGTCCTGTATCTACTTTATTTTATTCCAAGTTACTCCGTACTACTAGGTACGTAACATACAAAGAACCTAAATAATATATGTGCCTACCGAGGGTCGGGTCACTAAGGTAAGCATAGCTGTCAGAGGAAGGCGCATACCTAGGTAGGTCAGCGACCTCGATGCCACGATGAGCAGGTAGAACAGAAAGAGGAAGTGGGCCTATAGAGAAATATATGAAGAAGAAGTATATGAAGAGGGAGGATCGCATATAAAAGTGGAATCTGCATACCTACCCATACTCTACAGGTACTTTCCAGAGCAAATAAACAACAAGACGCGGCGGTGGTTAAGAGGATGCAGAGAGAGGGATCATGATATTACCTCCCACTCCTCTCATTCATTTAAAGCTGCCATTCCACTCCATCGGCGGGCTCATCCCACTCCGCAAGCTCCCCAGCCGGGCCCTCTCCGCCCTGGCCGTCCTCAACTCTCCCCAGAACCCCAACGCCATCTCCAGAATCCCCAGCACGGCATAAATCCCCGCGATCACCGCCACGTCAACCACTTGGTCGCTGAGCGGATACTTGCTCCCCTTCCGCGTGTCGATGCCCTCCTTGCTCAGCCCAGCCGCTTTCACCGCATTCACGGCCAGCCCGCCGAGCCACAGGACGCCGGTGTTGACAGCCTGCCAGCCTCGAACTCGCCCGTGTAGCCCGCCGGTGAGGTGTAGGGAGCCGCCCAGGAGGAGTCCCACGTAAGTGAACGGCAACAGCGCGATGCCGAAGTGGATGAGGGCGAGACGCACGATTTCGAGGGTCTCCATCAGAATGTTACAGACTATGAGCACGTAGTATATGGCGGTGAGGGTGGTGAAGAGCCAGTTGCGCGGCGGGACTATGCGTAGGTGTGAGGTTGAAGGATCGAAGTTCTGGGAGCGGTGGTGGATGCTAAGGACGTAGAGTACCGGGAAAAGGATGAGCGCGAGCCAAACCGGGAGCGGTATAATGATTGTATCGGCGAAACATGCTGTAGGCAGCGGGGAGGAGAGGGTGGAATGAGGGCCCTATTTGAGGAGAATCAGGATCAGGATCGGGCCCGAGGTTGGAGGGGGAGGACGAACGAAACCCTCCGGGCGGTTTCTGCAGAGGGACATCCCTCAGCCAGTTTACATATGTTGGCAACGGTCCTTTGCCACTGTCGCCACTATCTCCACAGCGCTGACTCTGATGTCCTCTTCTTCTGCTTTGCGGTCTGTATAGGTACTGTACCTAGGTAGTGTATGTACAGTAGATGTGCTGTAGTTGCGCTTGGTCGACCCCTCGATTTCTCCCTTACACGGCGCCGACCTCGAGAATCAAGCGCGGGTCGATCAGCATGGCCGTCTCTCTTTGTACGAAGTAGTTCTGCTATAGTGGCCGCGTCCTAAGTTGGGAATCTTGAGATGTCGCGCTTCACGTCTCAGAGCGTTTCACCACCCGCCGTATGATCGCGTGGCACGTAGAGTAACACCAGGCAAAACCATTTAATCCGTGACTGGAGATTTACCAACATCTTACGCCCCGAGTTGCCTTGGGCCGACGATCAAACCTGTAGATGGTATTAATAACAATCCTACTGCAACGAGAACCCTTTGGCACGACCAGCGGTCGCCCGGATACTGTAAGGTACGAGTACACAGACGGGGGGCATACGTAAAATAAGGTTCTGAGAGGATCATGATCTGCGCTGTCAAGGGGTACTTTGTACGTACATGTAGCACTACGAGTAGTTTGCACATGTACAGGACGAAAAGGTTGGGGCCCTGCCTCCGTAGTGAATGCCCGGGCTTCTAGTGAAACACTTGGGTGACTGGACAATTAACATCGAACTCTGGGAACTGCTACATACCAGCAGCACCGCCTACCAGAGCTCATCCTGATCCTAGACCTCGGCCAACAAGAGCTTATGAAATTATCACGGCGGCGCGTGGGACGGCCAAGGACAATAATAAGAGCTGTTCATACGAAACTGCAAAGGGAAGAAAAATCATCGGTGGTCGACTTCTGACCGGGGAACAGCTTCGCGACAGAGGCGTCTATGTAAAGGGCGCTCCGCTTCGAAGAAGACTTATTATAGTATCATTTGACACCACGTTTTCGCCGAGTTGTCGACAACGATCTGGAGGGGTTTGGCTTAGAGTTTAATCTTTGCACTCCTATGGATTTGTTCAAAGGGTAGGTAGTTAAAATTCGAATGTTCCACAAATTCCGACACTCTTAGGTGTAGGCGCTCACGGTGCAGTTGGACGATACCTACCTGACCTATGGTACCTTACCAGGTAGAGTAAGCTATACATAAGGCATCCGTTGGTCTTATTAGTAGAGCAGTGAGCAAAAAACCCACGAATTCCAGCCAAATCATCGAGCTATGTGGATGGCAGTTGAGGTCAAATAGCGTGCTAATTGTCTTTATTTAGTGTGATTCCTTGGCCTTGCGCTCCTCCCTAATTCTCGCGCCATGTACCATAACTTCTCATTGGCAAATAGATTCCGTATTCAGAATTCCAAAACAGTCCCCGAAATCATTCCAATAACCCGGCTGCAACCGTCTCGCCGTTGCCCCTGAGCACCACTCTCCCAGGAGCCTCCAGCGGGACCGGGGCCTCAAGCTCAACCACGATTCTTGCTATCAGGCCTGGCTTCACAACCCTCGGCTTCTTCTTCCCTACTACAGCGCCCGTGTGTTTATCGAGAACCGCAACAATCTCTACGATCCTGCCAGGAGTATGAAGCCGCCCTCTATGGATATCAATTTGGCTTGGAGTCAGAAATTCAAAGGCTAGGACTTTGGCTGTGAATTGTTTAACGTTTTGGATCGGGTTCGAAGGGGTGCATAAGACATCGCCAATCTTCAGATATTGCTCTTCGATGCCGGATAGGTGCAGTGTAACATTTTGGCCAGCAACAGCCCAATCCACCGGCTCGTTGTCAATCTCGAGAGCTTTAACAAAGCATTTTTGGGAAGAAGGCTGGACCAGCAATGCATCCCCGACTTGTAATGAGCCGGATTCGATTCGACTAGATATGGAGAGGGGGTTTTGAACTCCGCCTCGAAATATATCGCCGATGGTTAAGCGCAGCGGCTTGGATAACGCTCTCCCAGCAGGCTCAGAATTATCTAGCTCTTCGACCAAAGTAGGACCCTGATACCAGGATGCTGCAGGCTCAGTAGATCGGCGTGTGATATTGTCGCCATGCAACCCTGAGCAAGGGATGAAAGTGATGTTCTTCGAGAGAAATCCCGCCGCGATAAGGAATGCCGAAACTTGGGTGGAGATTTCCGTGAAGCGGTCTTCAGCCCAGCCTACCGTGTCAAGCTTGTTGACAACAATAATGATGCGCTGTACTCCCATACTTCTGACTAGGAGGGCATGCTCCTTTGTTTGGCCCTTCAAACCCGATTCGAAGGACCCAGTGTTTGCATCAATTACAAGCACAGCGAAGTCCGCTTGGCTTGCTCCAGCAATCATATTGGGTATAAAATCTCGATGCCCTGGTGCATCAAGAATCGTGAAAGATGTTTTGTCGGTTTCGAATGTGTTGGTAGCAATGTCAATTGTGACCCCTCGAGCTCGCTCTTCAGATCCTTGGTCCAAAACCCATGCCAACGCGAACGATGACTTTCCCATCTTCTCAGCTTCTTTGCGATATCGGTCTATCGTGCGTTTATCTACAACGTTAAGGTCATATAGTAACCGGCCCATCAACGTGCTCTTTCCAGCATCGACATGCCCTATTGAGATTAGAAACTCAACTCCGATAAATAGCGATACTTACCAATAACCACGAAATTCGCAGCATTTTTGGCCTCCGCCTTTCCAAATTCCGCAAGTACATCCAAGTGCTTGCTCTTCGCCCTGGGAGTGTCATCAATTCTCATTGCTTCAACCCCAGCAGCAATCTGAGCAGCCTTCTTCTCGCCATTACTTTTTGGAGCTCCTTTGCCTCCCTTTCCAGCTACTAGGTGGTTAGTTTTAGGTTCTAGGTCGAGTAGAAATTGTCGAACCTTTCGACTGCGCCGCTATGACTATATCATCTGGGCTAGGGCCTGCGAAAGGGTTAGCGGCTATAGAAGCAATATCTGCAGCGAAAGGCATAGTAAATAAATTGTCCGGAGATTGCCGAGGCGTTTGAGAGTGGCTGCCAAACATTGTGTTGGCAAAGTCAGATGGCTCTGCTTGACCGGCGGATGGGATATCTTCTGGGCTTGCTGGGGGGTTTAACCCCGCATCGTCTATGGCTACCGGCGCTTTTGGAAGGCTTTCATGTTCATCTAAGCCTTTACGTTTTCGCAGAGGAAAACCCCGTGCGGAGGGTTTCTGAAGTAAAGCTGATCCGCTAGGTGCCATTCCCCCAACCCCAGCATCTCCCAGGTCGCTATGGTCGATTTTATCAAGGCCAGCCCGCGACATCTCCCCTGTAGGATTGCTATTTGCTCGCTGCTCTTGGGCCTTCTTCTTCCTTGCAGCGGCCAAAGCCTGCAACTTAGACATTTTTGGTACACCATCGGAAGAGCCACCGAGAAGCCCAAGTCGAGGATAGATAGGGTCGATGAACACCGTTTGCCGGTCGGTAGGAACTTGGAGCCATGGAGTGTCTTTGAAAAATTCTGCAAAGGAGAAGGGTTTCAAGCATGTGTCTGGGTACAAGGCTAAATCTCCCGTCAGCTACAATTGCACCTCGTGGAGCTGGCAGTAAGAACGAAGGATCAAACCCACCTCCTGCCAACGTAGATGCCTTGTTGCACGCCGACTGGCCAAAGCTCCAACACACCCCGAAAGAAATGAACCCACCTTCTGGTTTCTTCCCAGCTGCTCCCTTCTTCAATACCTTCGGCGTCGTAGGCACAGATGCGGCCACCAGGTATTTCACCGACTTCTCCACATCGTAATAGTAGTGCCATAGTGCCTCCTGGACCTGTTTGTCGGTGACATGGGCTGCAGTTGGTGGCAGCGCTTCGCGAACCTTAATTGTGCCTTGTCGCATTTTTTCTGTGAAATTGTAAGTGCCCCGCGGTCATCAGAATGCGTGGGGTGAGTTTATGACCTTGATCCTCTTCGCCGAGGCCTACAACGGAATCACCGTGTCAGTGAGGCCTTGAGTAGTACCGGCGCGACGGGGGATTACGAGTCGAACCTTCGCCTTCTTCCTCATCGTAGCCGTAGTCCTCCCCGCCATCGAAATCATCAAGTTCGTCGTCCAGGTCTAAGTTTTTGACGATCTTGTGGCGCGACATTCTGAAATGGAGGTAATGTGCGGCACTCTTCCAGGTCCCCTTGAATAGTGGTGCTCTGTGGAATCGGGATATCCAAGGTGATATGGAAAGACGAGAGTTTGGGGGGGGGTTAATGAAACCGAGGTTGCAAGTTGTCTGAACTGAACCGTACTTCGTACTCCAGTGCTTGTTATTATTCGAATACCCGAGTACTTACGGACGACGAGGGACGTATGGAGCACTTGGTGGGGTTCTAGATAGGGATGCGGGTCGGGATGTGGCGCAGCAGGGCGGCACGCCACAGTAAGGACACACGGGGCAGAGCACGTAGCAAATTCACGTACCGAAGGTACCTACAAGAACAAAGCACTTGTATTATTGAATAATGGCGTCGGAAGGAAAAGAGGTAAGTTAATAAGTTATAGAATGGAACGATAGCTTATACGACGTGTTAATCCCGTACAAAAGTACGACTTTAACTTAAGGGCCCGTGGCCTAGAGGTTGGGGTAGCCGTGTTCTACAAGACTAGAGAGGAAATGCCCATGCCGAGGCTGGTATAAAACGATATTGGGAACGTGAGCTAAGTTTAGACCGTCGTGAGACAGGTTAGTTTTACCCTAGGTACTGATGACCGTCACCGCAATGATAATTCAGCTCAGTACGAGAGGAACCGCTGATTCAGACAATTGGTTTTTGCGGCGATCTGACAAGGCAGTGCCGAGAAGCTACCATCTGCTGGATAATGGCTGAACGCCTCTAAGACCACTATAAACAAAGGGGCAAGGGTTCCAAAGGCCCACGTCTACGTGTTTTACTAGGTGTCGAGAACAATAACAGATAAATAGGCAGGGAGGCTGATCCCGTATAATGTCCTATTTTGATTAGATCAACCCGCTGTATGATCTTCCGTTTTCTCCCAGCAACTGAAGGATCCAATAGAAGCTGCTTAATACATGAGCGATCTACTACCACTAATTGCGACTCAGGGTTCTTTGGTATTGCGTTAGAATCTATTGGCCTATTCAGAGGGAGGCTTTCTCACCTTAGATCGAGCCGCCTGGGCTTGCAGATCGAGGACGTTGGTGTACGGAGGAGTTGATAAAAACGCTTTTATACAACTAGAACTCTACAGTATCCTCGATGGTGGCTCACAACTATTAGGCTGTGCCTTCGCTACTACAAAGGACAAGTTGCGATTGCGAAAAAGGCTCACGCAACCCCGAATACAGATATCATCAAAATACAATATCTGGCCTAGCTATATATACGATATTCAAACTATTTAGGTTAGGGAGTTTATATCTAGTTTGGATCCCTTCCACTTAGTCCCCTGTAGTGGCTACCTAGACACTGTTGAAAGCATCTAGCTATTCGTAGTAAGGCAGGGGTGAGGGGGTATCACGATGCTCTGTAGGGTAACGAAAGACTACTAAGGCAGGAAGTGGATTCTAATAGACTTTGCCACTCTCAAACACATACGGGTATTTCATTGCTTTTGTACCAGCAAGGTATGACGATCAAAATACAGATACATACTTCAAATAACCCACAGATCCGACCAACATGCTAAGATATCTATGGCTCCTTTAAAAATTGCAAACCACCTGACCAACGCCAATCACCGCCTACCTCGCCCTTTCAGAGCTCAATGAGTGGAGCATCTTCCACCTTCGGCTGGGGGGCGTGGTGAGGCGCGGAAGGGAACGAATCTTGCGTGTATCCATTGTAGGTTGGCGCTGGAGGCTGCCAGGCCTGTTGAGATGTCGCAACTTGTTGTTGTTGCTGCCAGTATGGCGGCTGCTGCTGTTGCGGTTGCGGTTGCGGTTGCGGTTGCGGTTGCGGTTGCGGGGCAGGCGTGGCGTGGTATTCCTGTGGTTGTTGAGGTTGTCGTTTATATTGTTCTGGTGATTGGGATTGTGAGGCAATCGCGTGGTATTGCTGAGGTGAGGCTGTAGGTGGATATTGGGCCGGATTCTGTTCTGGAGCTGGCTGTGGAGGGGCGGGGTGTTGAACAGTATTATAGTAGAACGCTGTGCTGGAATCGGTAGATTGTGTTATAGCAGGGTCCGTATGCGTGTAATTGGATGGTGGCTGAGAAGGTGCGTGGGAAGGCGGAGGAGCCTGTTGGACAGTGTTCTCAGTAGCATACCCCGGTTGTTGAGATACATATGGGGTTGATGGTGGCTCGGATGTCTGCCGGCTCTTAGTCCTTTGATGCTCTGGCGACTGTTGTTGGGCCGAGTATTGGCCATAACTATCCCTTCGCTGCTCTGGCGGGTACCCCGAGTGTGCGACAGGGAGTCTCTTGATATACTGCTGAGGAGAAGCATGCGAGTAAATCGATTGAGGTTTGTGATATGGCTCTGGCTGGGCATTGCCAGTGTAGAAGCTTTCGGCGCCATCTAGACCATTTGGAGGATTGGATGATATCGACGGATACATCGTTGACGCTGGCCTTTGAGGAGGCAGATTGTACCCACTAATGGTGTGCTGGTTATACGTGTTGGACAACCGTTCCTCGAGCATACGGTCGTAGTATCGTACAACAGTCGAAAGCTTGGCATGGAGGTCAAGTAAGGCGTCTGGATGTAACTGTCAGTTATAGATCTCTGAATGAGGTATATATATTTTTCTTTTTCTTAGCTTACCATGCTTGCTCATAGTTTCACCATACGTTCGTGCGAGTTTAGGTCGAAGAGTCCCAATACTATCATACAATTCTTGAATTTGTGGTTCGCGTAGAATCGTTCCTGGCGGCTGCGTCTGTAGCCTATCAACTAACGTCGAAAATAGATTGATATTGTCTGCTTCGGCGGGAGTGAGTTCATAGTCATTCTTCGGCAATACAAATGGCGCGGATTTTGCGCCGGCATTCTCTGCTTGCTCCTTTATCGTCGCCGCATGGTTTTTCTTTTGTTCTTCCATATCAGCTAATGATGCCGCAATAGCCGCCTTCAGATCTTCGTCTTCTTCCTCGGGGGGCTTGATTATTGCTGATTGCGACACCCCATTTGTGGCTGCAGGCGCGGAGGTAGACTGAAGCTTCGCCTGAGGAACATATCCGGCCCCAGAATGATGATTGACCTCCTCTAGGCTCATTGCCAGGGCCCGTTTGAGGTCCTCGTCAAATCCATCATCCACTCTTGCGCTTCGAGGTTGCATCGAAGCTTGTCTATGCTTGTGCGAAGACCCATCGTTACCCGACGGTCCGGCTTTAGGTGACTTATCAGTTAATTTGGCATAGCACCCATCGTCAACCCGGACAGGCTGCAGGATTCCCAGGTGAGGGAGAGGGAGCACTTTGCTCGAGCACTGCTGGTCGAAGACATTGCCACAATTCCTGCAGTGATGTTTTCGATTTGTGAAGCTAAAGGGTGTTCGGCATCGCATGCAAACATCGGAGTCGGTCCATTCAGGGGGCTACATCGCCATCAGTCTCATATCGTCGCGGGGAAAGCAGAGGACCTACCGCGCTGCTATCCACCATGCTCTTAGCAACATCAACCTTGGGTGGGAAATGGAACCCGTCCTTCTGCAAGCCCTTGTATGTTTCGCCAATGTAGGCGAGATCGTGTCGGCCCTCTGTCGCTGTGGCCCACGTCTGGATCAACTCAAGTATTTTATTCTTGACGTCGTCATTAACCGCGGCCCCTCCATATGCCTTCAGCAGCGACACTAAGTTATCCATGAACTCCCGAGACGCTATCTCGACGAGAAAATGGGAGCCGCCATTCTTAACGCAGGTATCTGTGAGCTACGCCCATATGGTTAGCAAGTATGCCTAAATTCCTACCCATGGCGATACCAACATTAAGTGCACTCAGTTGCGTGTTCGGGTTCTTGTTTCCAATGCGCCGCTTCAAGGAGCGCATTGCCTCCTTGGAGCCGACCGTCCGCGATCGTATGATATCGGAGATTTCGAGATTGAGAGCAATATCTTCTCTGCATTCGGTTAGCACATATATCTACGTTGGGACTCAGTGGGCAGGAGAAGGGGGGGGGGGGCGATATACAGAGAGCTTGATGTGGCCCGGTCGATTTGCTCGTCGAGCTGCGAGGAAGACGCAAACCACCCGGACATCATCGTGAGCAGGAGCGTAGGATGGGCCTGGACCCAGGAGAAAGGTCGGGCTAGATACTCTGTGTTTGGGTGGAAGAGAGAGTAATGGGAGGTTGGATTCTGGATGCTGTCTGTTGGATGCTGGATGCTGATGGAAGAGAGGCGGACGGACAGTAGAGCAGCAACTGTATCTCAACAGGTACGTACGTCGCACAGGTACAGTACGTAGTAGTAGTACGTCGGACCTTAGGTAAGTAAGTACCTTTCCAGGTAAACTAGGCGGAGGAGTACTTCCAACCTCGGAGCCTTGCGTGCCTTGCATGCCTTGCCCCCCAGGCCCGATGTGACCGCGGTGGCGGCGGGTCCAGGGCCTTCGCTGACACTTGATAGAGGATGAGCGTAATAATAAGTTCTTCAATTCAGAAATGGACCCACTGATTTGATCATCTGCTGTGAAATTGAATTGGATACTCGTATGTATTCTAACTTTATACGTCTGCAAAGTGAAAATGACAAGTCCGAATTAAAGGCACTCTGATCGATAATCGGCGGGATGTGGCCAAGGTTCTCAAAGACTTGCTCTGTCTAAAGAGGATGCACGGCTTAGACGTTTTTTGCCGCGGCGCAAACGTCTCAAGGGCAAAAACACCGATAGTACACTTCGTCTCTCTAGTGAACTTCGTCATTGCCCTCTCGAAGCTCTGTGACTTAGCAAACCACTATGGCAGTGGTTGATCGTCAATGATAAAAGTACGGGTTAGAACCAAACTGAGGATCGGATCTGATAGCGGCAGCGGCAGCGGCAGCAGCACAGGCACAGGCATGAACTTGTAGACAAACGACACACACTGCGGAAGCATCTGGCACGGTTACTAGGTAGGCAGCGACAGAAAGTCGAAATTCCACGACCTAGCAGGAAATGCTGCCAAAGCTAACCATTCTAAACCCCCAATGTGGCAAAATGGCGCTCTGATTATTGGTGGAGGAGCTTCTGCTAAGGAACGCATGGCTATACGACTGCCTTAGTCGGTATTATTTAAATTATATTAATATGACGAAATAAGGACTTTTTCCGAAAATCTGTATGGCATAATGGCCGAGTGGTCTAAGGCGGCGGTTTTAAGTTGCGACGTTAGTCGAAATATACACCGCTCTCGCAAGAGGCGTGAGTTCAAACCTCACTTATGTCAAATTTTTTGTTTTTTTTATTATATCTGTGTTTCGATGGTACTGTATACTTGTTTAAATTTTGTTATTTTGACTCGTTATTAGCCTATTGCCAAAAGCGAACTTGCGTAAGCTGTACGAAGGTAAACGAGGATCCTGTGTTTACGTAAGCGAGAAAAACGCTCAGAACTCTAAAGTTAGAATAATAGAAGTCACACTGTAGAACAATAATATTAGTACTAGTGCTCGAGTGCGACGTAATACGTAACCTAATAGCCTCTCTATTAATCACCATAGTTCGTACCTAGGTACAGTACTACAGTACCTAGGTAGGTGCCGGTGTACTTCTCTTCGTGGCTACCCTTAGTACCCTACCTACCTTTATGTACCTTACTGTTATTAGGTAGCTGGATGGGACGTTTGAAGGGAAAGCAGCGACCTGATGGATTTATATTTGAGGCCAGCCTACATAAATACGCCCGAAGCCGCGCTGTAACGAGCGCTTAGAGCGGCGGTGCAGGGCCCAGCACAAATCACTCGGCCTCGCGAAACACCATCCTACTACTACTACTACCACAACTACTACTACGAAGTAACCGTGCTGTACTCGTACCTACCTACCTACCCACCTGGTATTATTGCACACTCCAAAGCGCAATACAATACCTGTACGCCCGTACGAAGTACACGGAGCCGAATCTTCTCTCCCTCTCCCCTCTCCCCGCTGTTTCGCTCCTATCTCTCAAGCCTTGGCTATTCCTACTGTCGGCTCGAAACTGCTCCGGAAGCCCTATCATCGCCGACGACCTCACCCTTTCGACTCGCGCCTTCGACTCGCCCCTACCGCGATAATAATACAACTCTGACATCCGCTCGTCATACTGTCTTCGACATGCTTCTGCGACCCCTCCAGCGAACGCCGGTATGAGTCCCGCAGCACTTGGCGATCCTCACATACGAACAGCTTCCGTCAATGCAGCGGGCCCTGTCAGTACTGAGAATGGGAATGGAAGTGGGAATGGGAAGGGGTTGAAAACTAATGGGCTGGACGGGGCGAGGGGCTCGAACCGAGTCTTCCCACATCTTGATGACCTGGTCTCGGTCAAACCAGACATCCATATAAACCAGCCGATGCGAACGATCCTTCAGACTGGGGAGCTTTTGGCGAAAGCTGCTGACACCCATTTGGACTTTCGGCGCCCCGACATTGCTCTCCAAGAATATATAAAGGCATATATAGTTACGGTCGAGATTATCCCACGCCACAAGGACTACCCGTCTCTCCAGTCAGACCGGGGCGAGTTGCATCGCATGTACCTGGGTCTAACCAAGAGAATAAATACCCAACATGACAAGTTTGGAGAGGTGAAGGAGCTCATCAAAGAGAACAACTCAAGAAGCCGCGTCACGCCGACCACACGCAAGGCCGTTTCGGAATTTGGAGTTGGGGAAACCCACAATGCGGTAGGGAAGGGCCATACTCGAGCCCAGTCGACCAAGGCTTCAGTCATAAGTGGCCCGTCGAACTGGCCACAACACCCAAAACAGGATGATATCCAGAAAGGACCGGATAGCACAAACATGTCGTCGAATGGTGCGCAGCCTCGAAAGAAACCTGTCGTACAGCCGAAGCCCGAAGCCCTTCACGGCAAGGTTATTCACCCGCCTGTTAGCAATACGGAGACAGACTTAGCAGCACGTTTTGCACGGCTGCGCAGTTTTGACACCAATACCTCGACCCAGGACCCCAGGATCCGAACTCAACCAATTGCTATTACAGACTCCCCAGGCGCTAATAAAGAATCGCCAACCCCATCGCCGACCAGGAATCCTACCACGATAGCCCGTCTTTCCGGCCCGCGAGGTATGCCATCAGTGCCCAAGACGGCTCCGCGTCCAACTAAAATCCCCTTGGATACCCAAATACCGGGAATGCCAAGAGCGCCTGATGCCATATATAGCCCTTCTCGCAATACGGATACTTCGGCGACTACAAACCTCCCCTCCAGCATACCAAGGGGCGCCTCATACCTTGGTAATGGACGGATGAGCTCGGCCCCTCCCATATCTACAGTAGGACCAACGCCTGCTGCAGTTGAGCCTCAACAGGATTATTTCGCACCCGTTCATTCCGTTGATGGGCGTGATGCTGCTCAGCCTAAAAAGCGTCAGGATATTTTTATTCCAGATTCGGTGTATATTAGTGCAGAAGACCTCTATAGGTTTCAAGGGCTCGGCTCTGGTCACCTTGGGATCTTGCTTGTGGATCTTAGAAGTCGGGAACAGTTCAACAGTGGTCACATCATGTCCCAGTCTGTCATCTGCGTGGAGCCAATCACGCTAAAGCGCGGTATGTCAGGCGATGACCTCGCTGATAGTATGATTGTAGCCCCTGATTCCGAGCAGGTTCTGTTTGAGAAGAGGAATGAATTCGATATTATTGTGTTTTATAACCAGTCATCTTCGGTTGTTCACCCCTTCAACTCGACCGGGGATGATACTGATAACAGCCTACACAATTTTACGGCTGCTGTCTATGATTTCGGTTATGAGAAACGGTTGAAACGTCGTCCGATGCTACTCGTGGGCGGCTTAGATTCTTGGGTTGACCTTATGGGCCAAAATTCGTTGGAAGTCACTTCTAGTGAGATACAAAAGTCCGCTAGGCCTTTTGGTCGGGTTCGCGGCTCGGGCAGGGCCGTTGTTGCACGGCGGCGAACTGAATCGAGACCCCTAACCAAGGAAGAGGAGCGCAAGTGGGATGAGGCCCTGAGGGAAGACCAAGTGATTGGGCGGCCTGCAAATGCTGACCGGTCCACCTCCGACGAGCTATTTATTGCTAGGACGACAGATGATTTCTTTCGTCGATACCCTGATGTTTCGACAATTCAGGAGTCAATGATGTCGATGGCCCCATTGCCTCCACCCCTTTCCACACATATCAACAACCTAGTCGATACCGTTCCCACGCCCCCTACTCGACCCGCTCCAGCCCTACCAAGACAGAGATCGAGCGGCATATCGGAGCGAGGGCCAGCGGCCGTATACGCACCTATAAACTCGGCGAGCACATCCGCGATCACGGATGCTCGGGTGATTCCTGGCCTCACAGGGCTCCATAATCCAGGACTACTTTGCTACATGAATGTTTGCATTCAGGCAATAAGTGCGAGTACATTTCTTCGGGAGCTTCTCAGAAACTATCAGTACCCCCCTGTGAGTATGGTTCCTAAGAAAGAGAATGAAAAGTCTGAGCCGCCGCAACTGATGGTGCGGAATCTTGGGAACGTTCTGAGACATCTGTGGACTGGCCAATATGACTGGATAACCCCAAAGACTTTCGCCGTAAGTTCATGTCCTGTATAGTCGTTCCCAACCTAACTGATAAATTTTAGGAATACGTCAATGCCGTCCATGCGGGAAGAGCCATAACCCAAGCTGAGAGGGTCACTGCGTTTGGGGGCAACAATAAACAGCATGACGCGCCAGAGTTCCTGACTTTCCTAACAGAAGTTCTAGAAGACGAACTAAATATTAGGCGGAACGTTAAGCCTCGGAATCTCACCGCATCTGAAGAAGGGTCTTCTAATGCCCTTCCAGTCATGATGGCAGCCCAGGAAGCTTGGGGTCGACTTATGGAATCAGAGAACTCTCCAATCACATCGCATATGAGAGGCCAGGCCGTGCAGCTCATCAAGTGCAACTTATGTGGGGCCGAAAGTCGAGTTTTTACTCCCTTCAACCAACTGGATATTCCCGTATCTTGGGCTGGGGGGAAGGAAACCCTTCGCGAGGCAGTTTCAAAGATGTATGGGCCAAAGTCGTCTGAGAAGGTTGAGTCCAGTTGCGATAAATGCAGGGTGAAAGTGGCTCGGAAAACACAGGAAACGTACTTCAGCTATCTGCCTGACTACCTCGTCGTCCACCTCAAACGATACGACAATCTTGGTGCGAAGGTGAATACTCTGATAACTTTCCCCGAAACCAAAGTTGATATGACATCATCCTTCGTTTCAGAGAGTGAACACCGTGGCTCCTTAGAGCGAGGACAGGCCGGACCTTTCCTCTATGATTGCTATGGGGTTATCCAACATCAAGGCGCCACCGTTCAAGGGGGCCATTTCTGGGCTATTACGAGGAGCTTGGATAAGCCTATTGATGGCGGGAAGGGGGCTGGGGCGTGGCATAAGTTCAACGACTCTAGAGTTTCTCCTGCGACGTTCCAGGATACACAAAACAGTCTGACGTATACTATATTATTAAGGCGGCAGGGCAGCACAACTTGAGAAGACATCATTTACGGATGTGGAGTTTTTACTGCCGTTTGGGATTGTGATAGGGATTGATATTCACAGCATTGTCATGTTCATTGTAGAGCGGAAGTGCATTTCTGAGCCAGGGCGTTTGGGGGCTAGCTAGAGGGAACGTTGATTGCTTTGAAACCGGCATATAAGTTGTAATTAAGTATATAGATATACCACGGAGCTTGTTCAACCTACTAGCCATTAAGTCATAAGTGGAAGCCTATTTGTTGGTTACATCATAGGATGAAGTAAGAGTACTAGTAAGTTGTCAACAGGTAACTAGCATACTAGTACCATACCTTAGGTACCTTACGTAGCCAGTATGCGAGCGCACGGCAGAACTAGAACGGCAGAATAGAGTAGAGCAAAGTGCTACGTATCCTAAAGCTTCCCAACTTATTATTACCGTCTATTCATAGGTACTGTATTATCAACTTCGCCGCCGCCGCCCGCAGATCGAAAGCGAAAAGTTGTGAACACCGTAACCTCTGTGGTCGGCGCATAAGCGAACCAACCAGCTTCTGGACAGATTGCCAGATCTCGCCTACGGGAGCTTCTGATAAAGACGCGCTCTCTCTCTCTTGTTGCCGCCAGAACTTCTACTCTACAATTATTCCTCCTCCTCCTCCTCCTCTTCCACCCCCAAAACACACCCTCCTCATAGTCGACCACTTTGATCCAATCTACGATCATCATGGCGCGAGGAAGCCAGACTTCCTTCTTCCTGGGCCTGTCCTTTATGGCGTACTTCGTTCTTTTGTTCTCGCCCCTCGCATTCCTCCAAACAGCACAAGCATCAAGCGACCAAGAGCCATTGCAAGAAAACTATGGAACTGGTAAGCTCGCCGTCGCGCCGCAGGCCTAAATATCACCCCAAGATACAGCTGCTAACCGTCTCGCGACTTAGTTATCGGTATCGATCTGGGAACCACCTACTCCTGTGTCGGTGTGATGCAGAAGGGCAAGGTCGAGATTCTAGTGAATGACCAGGGACACCGGATAACACCTTCATATGTGGCCTTCACCGACGAGGAGAGATTGGTAGGAGACGCCGCCAAGAACCAGGCAGCCTCAAATCCCAGACGGACAATCTTTGATATCAAGTAGGTTTTCCACGTGCGCCCATGTGTCCTCTTCGGAAACTGACAGGTGTCCTATTCAGGCGGTTGATCGGTCGCAAGTACTCGGATAAGGATCTTCAAGGTGACATTAAGCACTTCCCATTCGATGTCGTCGAGAAGGAGGGCAAGCCCTCGGTTAAGGTCGACGTCAACAACTCCCCTAAAGTCTTCACCCCTGAGGAGATTTCGGCCATGATTCTTGGAAAGATGAAGGAGGTCGCAGAGTCATACCTTTCTCACAAGGTCACCCACGCCGTCGTCACTGTTCCAGCTTACTTCAACGATAACCAGAGACAAGCAACCAAGGATGCTGGCACCATCGCCGGCTTGAATGTCCTTCGTATCGTCAACGAACCTACCGCCGCCGCTATCGCCTATGGCCTCGATAAGGGTGACAAGGAGCGACAAATCATTGTCTACGATCTTGGCGGAGGAACCTTCGATGTTTCTCTTCTTTCTATTGAAAAGGGTGTTTTCGAGGTTCTCTCCACCGCTGGTGATACCCATTTGGGTGGCGAGGATTTCGATCAGCGTATCATCAACTACTTCGCCAAGAAGTACAACAAGGCCAACAACGTCGATGTCACCAAGGACCTCAAGACTATGAGCAAGCTGAAGCGTGAGACCGAGAAGGCCAAGCGAACCCTGTCCTCCCAGAAGACCACCCGCATCGAGATCGAGGCTTTCCACAACGGCAATGATTTCTCCGAGACCCTTACCCGGGCCAAGTTCGAGGAGTTGAACATTGATCTCTTTAAGAAGACCCTGAAGCCCGTTGAGCGAGTTCTCAAGGACGCCAAGGTCAAGAAGGACGAGGTCGATGATATCGTCCTGGTCGGAGGTTCTACTCGTATTCCCAAGGTTGTTGAGCTCATTGAGGAGTACTTTGGAGGCAAGAAGGCAAGTAAGGGTATCAATCCTGATGAGGCTGTTGCTTTCGGTGCCGCTGTTCAAGGTGGTGTCCTGTCCGGAGAGGAGGGCACCGCGGATATCGTTCTTATGGACGTCAACCCGTTGACACTTGGTATTGAGACCACTGGTGGGGTTATGACCAAACTCATCCCAAGAAACACTGTCATCCCTACCCGCAAATCCCAGATCTTCTCTACCGCTGCCGATAACCAGCCTGTCGTTCTGATTCAGGTCTATGAAGGCGAAAGAACTATGACTAAGGACAACAACATGCTCGGAAAATTCGAGCTTACTGGCATTCCACCAGCGCCCCGTGGCGTACCCCAGATTGAGGTCTCATTCGAGCTTGATGCCAACGGAATTCTGAAGGTTACAGCCGGTGACAAAGGAACCGGAAAGTCGGAGACTATCACTATCACCAACGATAAGGGCCGTCTTACCCAGGAGGAAATCGACCGTATGGTTCAGGAGGCTGAGCAGTATGCTGACGAGGACAAGGCTACTAAGGAGCGCATTGAGGGCCGAAACGGTCTTGAAAACTATGCCTTCAGCTTGAAGAACCAAGTCAATGATGAGGAGGGTCTTGGTGGCAAGATCGACGAAGATGACAAGGAAACTGTAAGTTCTACTTTATACTGTGGAAGCGGTATCAAGTGCTAATAATTGAATTAGATCCTCGAGGCTGTTAAGGAGACAACCGAGTGGTTAGAAGAGAACGCCGCCACGGCCACGGCCGAGGATTTCGAGGAGCAGAAGGAGAAGCTCTCGAATGTTGCATATCCCATTACAAGCAAGTTATACCAGGGAGCTGGTGGACCAGGTGGCGAAGATGATGCGGAACCAGATGCCCATGATGAGCTATAGAGGCGCTTTCTAGACTTGGCATGGTGTAATTTGAGCGCAAGCAAGAATTTCGTTTGGGACCGGATCTTTTTTATTAAAACCTTTGGTTTGGGGGTGTTTGCATGGTTGCATCATTGAAGCCCACACAGAATAGTGCTGTGGCTTACAATAAGTGTAAAATAAAATGGCATAAAGAAAGAACAGATCGCAATCCGACCCTGGTTTCATAGATCTAGTTTGCTATTTACCTGGAAAGTGAAAGATTCATTATTTCGAAAGAAGAATATATTCAATCTAAGACCTGCAGGGCAGAGCCTCCCTTGCGCTTTAATCAAACCCCTAGCCGTCGCCATATACCCACTTTATGTAAAGAAAGTGTTTAAAAGTATTTGTTTCTTCATGGCTCCATATTCCAAGAGTATTGTAAATTACGGATGAGAGTATTAAGCAAAGCTTTAATTATATATGTAAGCAACAGGCTAGTATTAGAGCATATCTAGCGGCTCAGGTATGTACACTTGATCACATCCTCCCACCTTTTTCATGGCACCCAACAATGCATACTTCCACCTACGATTCTTCTACGTCTCGGGGAGTAAACCCCACCCAAGGAAGCCTACTCCTCAACGCAAGACTACTAAGAACAACACTAATACTGCTCGCCGCCATTGCCAGACTAGCCCATACGGGATCCAACCTAACATGGTTTCCGCCAGTGGTCAACGGATATAGCGCCCCCGCAGCAACGGGCAAAGCAATCATGTTATACACCAGGGCCCAGCCGAAGTTGAATTTGATGCGTCGGAAGACGATTTTACTGAGGTCGACTAGCGTAATCAAACTATTGAGGTGGCTTGATATGAGCACGAATTCAGCCGAAGAGATCGCGATATCAGAGCCAGAACCGATCGCAATCCCCACGTCTGCGGTCGTGAGCGCCGGCGAGTCGTTGATTCCGTCCCCCACCATTGCGATCATGGCTCGCTTTTGGGTGTGTTCGGATCCGGAAGCTGTGCGCGCCTTAAGTGATCTCTGTAAGTATTGGATCTTCTCTGCTTTCTGGCTTGGGAGGACGCCGGCGATAATGTTCTCGGATGGAATACCGACTTGGACACCAATTGCGTTGGCAGTGATCTGATTGTCGCCGGATAACATCCAGACATCCAAGCCGCGCTTTCTGAGGGCCTTTATGATGCTAGGTGCTTCTGGCCGGATCGGATCTGAGATGGCAAATATTGCCGCGAGGTGCCAGGGGTTTCTTTCAGCGTCGTCAATCTTGTTGTCGTTGGTGGTAACTTGTACAGCTGCTAGAGCTACTGATCGTCCCTGAGATTTCCACGACTCCAGTGTCGCCTGAATCGATTCGGAGACAGATACAGCATTATCCGAAATAAGCTGCTCGTTGCCGATGATGATATTTGCTGTGTTGTTGCTGTCAATGAGTGATGTTCCTCGCATCCCTCTACCCGCGATCTCCTCCACATGATCTAACTCCGCATGCTTGGTTTCAACACTCCCGCACAATAATTTCAATGCTTTGGCAACCGTATGGCTGCTCTGATCTTCAATCGCACTGACCATTCCGAGAATCGACTTTTCCTGCTCTTTATCGTCGATCCCTAGTTTAACATCAGTTGGAAAGAGTTGGAAGTCAGTGACTACCGGCTCGCCGCCCATTGTCAAAGTTCCAGTCTTATCAAAGACGACACAGTTTAGTCTGCTCGCCTTTTCGAAGGCTTCACCTCCACCTTTCACCAGTATTCCGTGTTGCGCTGCTAGACCACCACCTACGAAGATTGCGGTGGGCGCTGCAAGAGCAAGCCCACATGGGCACGCAACAACGAAGACCGCGATGGCAAATTGTAGGGACCACGAGACCCAACCTCCAGATCCATGACCTAAAAAGTGATCTGGGAGCGCCCCGGAAAACCCTAGAGATAGCCAAATAACCCAAGTGAGGATGGCGGTGAAGGTAACGGCTGGAACGAAGTAGCTGGTCATGCTGTCTGCAACACGTTCGATTGGAGCACGGCGAGTTTGACCTTCCCGAACGGCTTTGACAATCTGATCGAGCATCGATGACCCAGCGACGCCGGAAATTCTAATCGATATGGGTGTATCTTGGTTAACTGTTCCTGAAAATACTTCGTCGCCTATAGTCTTTTTGACAGGTCTCGATTCCCCGGTGAGACTTGACTCGTCGAATTTTGTCTCCCCTTGAATGACAGTTCCGTCACAGGGCGGAGATCCGCCATGTAGGATTTTGACAATATCTCCAAATTCCAGAAGGTCGACACTTACCCTTTGCATAGCCTCTGGTCTCGATCTTTCGATGATTTCCTGCCCAGTAATTTTCTCATCTGCTGTGTCAGCATTAGCTGCAGCGGGAACTACCAAGAGAGCCTCAGTAGGTCTCAATTTGCCGAGCAGTGTGATCGCATCTCCGGTCTTTGATTTGCTATAAGATTCGATCAGACGGCCAATAAGAAGGAACAAGGTCAAGAAAACCACTGAATCGAAATAGAGAGTGGTGTTATCCGACTTCATCTCAGGGTGAACACCTGCTGCGACTAGCTGCGCAGTCGAAGATATGTATGCAATCGACGTCCCAAGTGACATGAGCATATTCATGCTTCCAAAGCGATAGAACCGTTGTAGAAACGGGGTCTTGCTACCACGCCTCCACATGGATCTAATCTCCTTCAACGCCCGAACGTGGAAGACATCAGCGCACAGAAAGTAAACGGGCGTTGCCATGATGAAGAGCGCCCATTGGGTTCGACTGATGCCGGCCCGGAGCGGGCGCTCCAGGAACTCTCGCCCTGCATTATCGGCGGGCACGAGACTCATGAATACGATGCCGATAATGAATGTCGGAATGGCAACGAGTAGAGCGATAATGACTCGTATAAGGATTCGAAGCTGCTCGCGTCTATGGATCTGCCGTGATCGTTCTTCGAGAGTGGGTGGGTGATAGATGGAAGGCCTGATAGAGTCATCAATTCCTGAAATTGCTTCGACGATGCTCCGGATGGTGAAGTTTGGGGCGTCAGGAGTGTAGCTGATCTTCAGAATCGGATTTTGAAGGTCCATCTCCCTTTCGATCTTCACACGATCGCCCCATGTGTCGAGAGTGGCCATGACTTTGTCTGGGCAGTGCTCACAATACATTCCATCCACCAGGAGCTCAACTGTACGAACCACAGTCTCTGGCGCATTCTCCTGAAGGGATGCGAGACTAACTACACTATCGATAGCCGCATCGTATCCAATATCTTCGATGGCCTGGACAATCTCGTTCTTGTGTTCCTCGCCAGCGAAATCGACGGTGGCGCTGTTCGAAATGAGGTTGACCACGACGTTATTAATCCAGTCTTTCTTCGCAAGCTCTGTGGTAATGGCACCGACACACGAAGCGCAGGTCATCCCACCAACGGCCAACGAAATTCTAAATGTGCCGGTATCTGTATTGCTGGGCGTCGAGTCAACGACGACCAAGGACGGGATGGTCTTCCCCTTCGCCATCGTGTTGGAGATACTTTGGCCTCCATCGTCGACGGCGGTGGTCCCAATATCAGCATCTTTGGAGTTGCGGCCATGTTGTCCTTGTCCCGCGTCCTTCACCCGACAAGCGTCGCAGTTCTGAATGTGCCGAAAGGGATATTTCGATTTTGCCGGGGCTTGGGGCGCTAATCTGTGTATGAAGCGATCGAGATAGCCAATGTCTCCATTGCTTGTGACGTATGATTTCCCCGCGGGTAGTCTTGAATCGGTCGTGGTGTCGCAAACATCGAATCCCGCCTGTTCAAGAGCCTCTCGGATGTCGTGGACCGATAGTGGTTCTTCGTGTTTAATTGTCACCCACGAGGACAGCAGGGAGGGTGACACCGAGGCGGGGGTTGGATAAAGGGCGAGGAGGGTATCGATTATATGAGATACACACGAGGGACAGTGAAGATTGGCCAGCAGGAATGAGGTTGTGATCAGGGCGGGCGACATGATGTGCGATGTATCTGGGGTTATATTGTATTTCGGTGCCGTTACAGCCGCAGCTTTGCGTGCGCTCCACGCGTGATGGAGATCAAGTTGAATACTTTAGGGAGAGAGACACAGGCGCAAGGGAAAAATGGATGATCGAGAGCAGAGAATAAAGAACAGAGGACAGAGACAAGAGGGAGTATAAGTAGAAGAACCTACCGTAGTCATAGCCCACTAGTATGGCTCTGCCATGACTCCAAACTGCTGCTATGAGGTAAAACCGCACAAAAAGCGCAGAGTGGCGATCAACAAGAATCCACGATCAACAATATCAACGCACAAGTTGCGCATCGCATCGCATCGGTGGCGCATCGCATCGGTGGCGCATCGCATCGCTGCTTGGTCAGCACCACACAACACACCAGCCACACCCTTGGCGGGGGGTTTAACACGTGATCAGCCACACCTGATACCCAGCTACCAGCCACGCACCAGCCACATCCCAGTCTCATCTGCGGTCCCCGCCAACGCGCCGTCCCGACCACCCAATAAACCACCCCTGTCTCCCTCCCAACCACCACCGCAAAAAAGGCGATGGCAGGACAACCTGCAGCGAAGTACAAAACATTGCACTGCTGCTCATCCGATGGCCTTTCTCCTTCCCCCTCCACACGTTTCTCTCATACTACTTCGTATCCCATACCTCATTGAGAATCATACGGTATCTCTGGGTGCCTGTTGAGAAGATACATATTCGACTCCGCACCTGCATCCATACACATTCCGATTTGCCTATCACCAGGACCCGCTGCCAGCCTCGTCTCGTTGCCTCGTCAGCCGCCCTGCCCAAAACTCCCGAAAGGTATGTTGGAAATCTCCCCCCAACCACGCAACCCATTCAGAGGCCCTTTACTGATGCCATCATACAGATACCATACCATATCATACCTACACGGCTCTCGCGGTTGATATTTTGAATTGCTGTTCTGTTACTTTACCAGCCACTCCAATTCTGCACCAACTGTTTCCCCCAGCCTCCTCCAATCAACTGCTCCCAACCCCAACCACCGAGAACCATCCACTGCACCAGAGAGGGCAAGCATACAGCACATACTTCCTGTGGGCCTCGTCCGAATTGGCGCACTTTTCTTCAAAATCTATATAAAATTTTGACATTTTGGCCGTCTCACTGAGAGCTCTCACACCTCATCCCTGTGCGAAGGACGAAGGAATAATCACAATTTTGCCAGCCCGAAACACTTATAATTCGTCTTCTATAGAAGAAGGAAACCGCGACGATGGTTCAACAAAACGACGTCATAGCAATAATCATCATCGTCCTCTTCGTCGTCCTGGCGCTGATAGCCTTCGGCATCTATCATCTGGTATCAGTGGCTCGCAGAGGCGGAACAACGAGTAGCAGCAGTGGATCCCGGAGCTTGGTTGATGACTGATTGCTAGTACCGCCCTGGGAGAAGGGGCATGGAGAAGGAATTAATTAGGGTTGGATGAAAGATTATGTCATGAGGATTGCAAATAACGATAGAGATATAGACTGACGACGCTGACGATGCTGCGCTTTGGGATCGGGATCGGGATTTGGGTTTTCTGTTAGTGGGGTATACTACGTACCACATCATGTATTTAGTTGAGCATAGCGAGGGCGTTGGTTTGGATTAGCATGGTGCAGCCTTCAGCGGAACTGTAGTTACATAGCCATTAGAATATCACCACATACATTTCGCGTTCATCACGAACATACACCAAGGCATTGTTGAATTGATTACGTCTGGCTCGCTAGCTCACCCATCTCTCTCTGCCACATACGGAAAAAGCTCAAAGAGAGAGATGAATTACGTCCATTCCGTACCCCGTACACTACATCAAGAAGAGAAAAGCTAATAGCGGGTAGAGGCACCCAAACCAGCGCGCAATCCAGCCAGTATGACGCCAGCCTGCCCATTTTCCCCTCCCCCTGCCCCATCCGTTGGCAACGTGCGAATGGGCTCTTTGCCGTTGCTGAGAACATAAGAAAAGCAGAATAATACATGCGTGCCGCACATAATGAAACCCCGCAGCAAGGAGATAAAACAAGACTTAATCAAGACAATCTAGACATGTGCTGCTGCCATATATTATCTTGGTCGACCGTTTCCTTCTTGGGGGGTTTCGATGTCCGTATGATGATCGTATGCCGCTTATTATCCAAGCTTAAGCCATGTTTGAAATCCTAAGCTATCATTATTATCGTCTCTCATCTCTCCGTCATCGTTAATCAAATCACTGCCCCAAATTCAGTGGTGGCCATTCCGATAGGTAGGACCGAGGCTCCGGCCGGAGTACGCGGAACTGCCTTCCTCGAAATATGGATGCTGGCAAGCTGCCTTGGCAGAGATGCGACCAGCGGGATCGTATACCAACATCATCTCGAGGAGTTCCAGTCCCAGCTCGTCGAGGTTTGTGCACAGTGTCTGTGACATATCGCGCTGCCATTTGGGGAATGAAGGCTTGAAGTCGGGGAAACAATTCTTGTCAGAGACGCCTGGCCATTCGGCTTCAGTTGGTGTGCCTAGATGGCTGATTATGGGTTAGATGAGAATAGAATAGCACCGGAAAGCACACTCACCGGAAGATCTTGAAGATCTCGTCAATCTCGGAGTCGCCTGGGAACAGAGGTTTCCGCGTACACATCTCAGCAAAGATACATCCAACCGACCACATATCAACCCCAGTGGAATATTGGCGACCACCAAGCAGAATTTCCGGTGATCGGTACCATAGTGTAACCACCTCGTGGGTATAGGTTCGGAGGGGGACACCGAAAGCTCGTGCGAGACCGAAATCGGCTAACTTGAGATTGCCGTCTCTGTCAATGAGCAAGTTCTGCGGCTTCAGATCACGGTGAAGTACTCTGTGGCTATGGCAGTATCTAACACCTTCGCACAGCTGGCTCATGAACTTCTTGACCATAGCATCGCCCAAACCAAGTCTTCCCAGATCCGGACCAGATCCCTCGGGTAAAGCCTTGCCCCGCCCTCCATCACTGATCGGCAGCGCCTCCATATACTTCTTCAAGTCGAGATCAAGAAACTCCATGACGAGATAGAGCTTATGGCCGTCGGCATGGACAATATTGAGTAGCCGCACGATATTCGGGTCGTTCATCTCTTTCAGCAGCGAGATTTCGCGGATCGCCGTACTTGGAACACCTTCATCTTCGGCTTCAAGACGGATCTTCTTGAGGGCGACGATTCGAGTGGGATGGGTGAGGTCCCGAGCTTTGTAGACGACACCGTATGTTCCTATCCACGCAGAGTTGAGTTAGCATAAGGAGTGAGCCCGGGCGTGTGTGTACTCGATAAAATAACCATGCCGCCCGGAAGAGGACGCTGTCCACGTATCTCGCTATCTCACGCACCTTCGCCAATCTTCTCCAGCTTCTGATAGTTCTCCATGGTGAATTATGTTTGTTTTGGTAGTGGGACGTAAAGGAGAGTGGAGGAGCAGTTTGACACAGTAATTTCGCAGCGGTAGTGAGAGGTGGGGCGGTGAAGGAGGGGCAATCCAGGACTATGGGCGCATAGGAGACTACGGATCAGAAGTTGTCGAGGGCTGCGTGCAGAAGGCCAGCAGAGAGCCTCGAGATGGATGTCGAATTATGTAGGTCGAGGAAGCTCCGGATCCTGGCGTTGGGTTGGGTTGGATTGTGTTTGTTGTCTTGTCGTCAGCGTATGTAAACAAAGTTCGGCGCGACGAAGTCAACACGGCACACGCGAAACGAAGCGGGACGGATCGCTGGCTTCGCTTGGAGAAAATCCAAGGCTGAACTGAATATTTTTGCAGCGCTGGACACTGTCTAATATTGTTTTACTCAAACCACCAACTCGACGTCTTTCTTTAGAAGGTGGGCGAGTCGATTCTTTAGGAGATATAGGGCGGCCGCTCTTGCGAATACTTACATCTTAGAAAGATTCTAGAGATTTATTTATTAATACCTTTCTACTTGCATTCCAGGGCCTCTGGGACGAAGGGAAAAATGGACCAGTCGTCCAACGCCTCCCTCGACGCCCCCTTGGATCCTTATGAAACTGCCCCTCAGGAGCTGAAAGACCTCTACAAGTCATGGACCGGTGTATTTTCGTCCGCTCGTCTTCGAGATACCGCCAACACGGCTTCACTTATTACGCCTACTTCTGCCAGCATGCCAAACACTGGTATGGGCGATGTATTTGCGGAATTCGTAGTAAAGAATCTGTACAATCGATGCCCTGCCCTCGATAACGTCCCAGAGGGTCCTGGGATGGGGTTATCAGGTGAAGGCTCGAAGGAAATTCCGGGCTTGGACTCCTTAGGGCACCACAGATCTTCGAGCAATTCGCCTGCACAAACTGATACCTTTTTCCGCGAGACCGGACGAGACACAAAGCTTAAGGACCAACAGGAGTCAATTCTGAAGTTTCTAGAAGATAGACCTGTGGGAGCTTACAGCTTCAAAAATATACCTGGTGGGTGCTTTCTTTTCTGTGGTTGCACAGTCTGTATCTGCGGCCCTTTGTCTGACAGACCCCCAGGCCTGATTATTTTGCCTCAACTTTTTCCTCCTATTGTTCAACAAGTTCTGCTAGAATGCTTGCTACATCGCGAGCTCGCAATCCCAGAAAACAAAACCAATATCCACCTTCATTACAATGTATCCTATCCCGAGAGGAAGGCGTCCTTCTTCTCCACTGAACCCGAGTTTTATTCGTTTAACCCAAAGGACCCAGGCGAACACAAGAGATTCACCAACAGAGTTGCTCTTGAGAAGAGTCTCCGCTGGATTACTCTTGGGGGCCAATACGATTGGACGAAGAAAGCCTACCCGTCTGAGATTCCCCCTCAATTTCCTGAAGACATCGCGCGTCTCATCGGAGCGCTCTTCTCGGACGTGGAGCCCGAAGCTGCGATTGTCAATATATATTCCGCAAAAGACAAATTGAGCCTCCATCGCGATGTCAGCGAGGAAACCAATCGGGGACTGGTTAGCATTAGCCTAGGATGCTCCTGCATTTTTATCATCGGCCTTAAAGACAAAAAAACAGAGGAGATTCATTATCAGGTTCTACGCTTAAACTCTGGGGATGTGCTCTACATGTCTGGGCAATCTCGATATGCTTGGCATGGCGTTCCCAAGATCCTTCCGGGAACTTGTCCGGAATACCTCGAATGCTGGCCTGGCAAAGCGTATCCTGGATGGGATGGGTGGATGAGTAGAAAGAGGATCAATCTCAACATACGCCAAATGTATGAATCTGTTGGATCTGGTTGTCATTGAACGCTCGCATTGCGGAGAAGGGCATACCAACGCTAGAACCGAGTCTTCCAGGCTTAATCGGATTTACTCCCTAGTAAGCCAAGATTCGAGCCAGGGCTTAGGTAAGGATTTGCTGGAGGCTGGCTAGAATAGCTGGGATAATGGTGTTTGGCTGTTTGACCTCCCACTCTCGACCCGTTTAACTTCGGTAACAATCTGCTCCGCCAAGATATGTCCAACTGAGGGGCTTATCAGACCCCACATGCAGCCAATTTCATTGCTTTCTACGAAGTACATAACATTGACCTCTTCGACTAGTTTGTGTTGTTAATTATACATTCCTCTCGATATCGAAATCATGGACTGGAAAACATTGGCTGAAGAGAAGAGGGCTTCGGTTCTTGTGTTGATTCCTCAGGCATGGATGTTGCCATCCCCTATTCCTCCTCCCAACGAGCAAAGAGATGTCACGGGCAATTATATTCAGCAGTTTTTGTCCCCTAGAGAAATCGAGATCACTGAAACCGATGCCGTGGGAATAGTCAACAACACCACCACAGGAAAATGGAAAGCTCGAGAAGTTGCCGAGGCTTTCTGCCACCGAGCAGCTCTCGCTCATCAAATGGCATACCTCACTCAAGCAATGAGAGACCGCCTATACTAACGATAGATAGGTCAATTGCCTTCATGAGATATTTTTCGACGCTGCCATCGCTGATGCTCAGAAACTGGACGATTATTATGCGAAGCATGGGAAGCCTGTTGGACCTCTTCATGGCTTGCCAATCAGCTTAAAGGATCAATTTCATGTAAAGGGTGTCGAAACAACAATGGGTTACGTTGGCGTAAGTAATTTCCATCTTGCAGTCCTTGTACATGACCATATATCGGTCCTCTTATTCTATGTCTGCCCGTGTTCTTGTTACAATATTGGATGCGGCACCACAGATGCGCTTTTCTAGCTTTCTAAAATTTCCTTAGTGGATTGGTACTTTCGAAGGCAAGAAGGGCACTGGAAAAGAAAAGGTCTTCGAAAGTGAAATGGTGAGAGAATTGCGAGCTGTTGGAGCAATTCTGTACTGCAAGACGAGTGTGCCTCATACACTGATGACTGGAGAGACTGTGAACAACATCATCGGCTATACCTGGAATCCTAAGAACCGCAACCTTTCCTCCGGTGGAAGCTCGGGTGGCGAGGGTGCTTTAATCAGTTTGAAAGGAAGCCCAGTTGGCCTAGGCACCGACATAGGCGGCAGTATCCGAATCCCAGCTGCTTTCAACGGACTTTACGGCATTCGCCCTTCTAGTGGCAGACTTCCATATGGGGGCATGTCCAACAGCATGGATGGGCAAAATACCATACTTTCAGTTACGGGTCCGCTTGCCACTTCAATCGGAGCCTTGAGACTGACCATCAAAGCGGTCCTTAGCCAGAGTCCATGGCTGCATGATCCATTAGTTGCTGAAATCCCATGGCGCGACGAGCATGAGCAGGCTGTCCTTGATATTGTGAAAGGCGGCGGAGGTGGCCGGCTTGCGTTTGCTGTCATGGAAAGTGATGGGGTCGTCCAGCCTCATCCTCCAGTGCGGAGGGCGATCCACATTGTGGCCAGCATGATTGAGAGACTTGGTCATAAAATCATCGAAGTAAGTATGGTATCCAGCTTTATCCCGCCCGCTTTAGCCACTTGAAGCAGGGCAGACAAAATACCCAGCAGCGTCCTATCGTACTCTCCTTGGGCTGCACGTCAATCACTTATGAAAAATCGCCGAGCTCTACTATCCGGTAAATATACTGATAATATGATAGTGGAAGCCACCATCGCACGAGTGGGCTGATGAATTAGCTGTATGTAGCATTCCACGGTATCGAATATGTGCCTTTGCTTAATAACATTCCAGAATAAAACGTGGATGTTAGATGGAGGGACTCATGGTCAGCCTTGCAAACTTACTCAAAAGACCCAGGACTAATGGCTAGTAGTGTACCAATCCTTAGGGCTCTCCGGTGAGCCCATGGTCAACCAAATATCTGACGCATATGGTACCCGCAAACCCGAGTTCACGGCTTCTCAGATCGCCCAACTCAATGTTACGAAACGTCAATTCCAGAAAGAGTACATGGACTACTGGAATAGTACCTCCTCCATCACCGGTACTGGCCGTCCAGTAGACGCGGTTATCTCTCCACTGGCACCATTCGCAGCTACTCGACCAGATATGTATTTCTACAATGGTACGTTGTCCATCGCGCGCAACTTGAAGTATTGTTTCACAACAAACTCTGGCACTGGCCAATATAAAGCTAAACGGTTCATACTAGGATTGGCAACTTGGGTCAACCTTCTCGATTATAGTGCCGCCATCCTGCCTGTTACAAATGTGGATAAGACTGTTGACACTATCGATGAGGGATATGTTCCTATGAGCGAACTGGATGAGAAAGTGTACAAGAGCTGTAAGTTCGGTTCCTTTTACCGATTCCACCATAGACATAAATAGTACTGCCCTGACGATTACGTTAATGGTAGATGATCCCGAGATTTACGATGGCGCGCACGTTGCTCTTCAGGTGGTTGGTCGGCGATTCCAAGAGGAGAAGGTGCTTGCTTTGACCGAGGTCCTCAGCGACGCCCTAGGAAAGCAGGCTATCTGAGATATGTCTCAATAGTGAAATCTACCAGCTCATGATTGGTGGAAGATCGGTCGAGGGACGTAGATAATGCCGCAGAGACTTGTGGTTTTCGATTTTCCATGGCCTGCTGATCCCCTTTCTCTCAAGAAATTACAATTACGATGTTGTAGACGTAAGTTTGTCGACGGCAAGTACTTTTACCACGTTGAATGACAGCCGGCAACCCTCGAATATACACCTTTCGCCCTATTGCATTGTGGTCTCGTCATATATAACTACCTCTGATAGCGTTTGGTCATGCGACATAAGGGATACGAGCGAGATTCCTAGCCTGCGCAAATGGTGTTCTGAGCTTGTGGAGTTCACGCTACCCCTCCGAATCCGTCGTGTTTTCGGCTTATCAATTCAAGTAGCCAGAAAGTTGCTCAGAAACCCTTTGTTTTTATACCGTGAATTAACACGGACTTTGAAGTTGTCACGATCTAGTATATTATCCCGTCGGTCGCTGCCTAACGCCCTATCAAAGGACCGAAGGGAAGTCTCCCCACTATGATGTTCTTTATACAATTTGAACCCCAGATCTAGTCCCATACGCGCATTCCACAAAGCCTTATCCCACCATCAGTTCATGTAGAACTACACCCTCGCTCTAGGTGAGCCTTACAGGGCCAGAAATGGCGTCCCGACCAGAATTCCGACTATTCCAATTGCCGACCAACTCACGCCTCTTCGATGCACGCTCGCTGCGGCGCTCTTCTTGTCGTCCTTATAATTACAAAAGACATGCCCAACCTCTCCTCCCAGCGCTTTACCGAGACAATTTGAGAGCGTCACCGAGTTGTCCTGCAACCGATCCGATGTGTAATTTAAAATATTGCAGACTTTGAAACAGTTCGGGGGCGCCATCGATGGAGTGTAGTCAATAGGGTCATTGTTCAATCCACAGCACCGGGCAGTTGCTCCAAGAGCATCGGCCGTCGCATTAACTCTGTACGCGCAGGTATTTACTGGGCCACCCGATGTGCCATAGGGTTGCACGCTTGCGCATATGTCAGTCGTATTGGCAGCCATGTCTGAAAACTTGAAGCGTGTAAATATATTTGTTTGTCTCCTTTGTTATTGAGCGATGTTGATCTAGTATTTGCGTTAATGACACTGCACTGCACTGCATGTAGTACTTCGCTCTTGGACAAACGGAGGACAGAGGACACAGAAACTTACCTTCCTTGGCCCTAATTGACGGGAAAGCTATGGTTATTGGGTATGGGTCGGAGAAGCATAACTTGTTTCGTTTCCTTGGAGAATGTCGATTCAATTGAGCGGAAGGAAAGGAAATTAGAAAGGAGCTCTGGGTTGCGGTTATATCGCGACACAAATAGAACCGAAGGATTATGATATATGGAGGCAAGTAATCCAATCCTACCCCAACCGTGCGTGCGCTATTTCTGCGAGGTACTCACCCGGAGAGAAGCTTGAGGCTGATGCGGCGCAGTCAGTCGCAGGCTACGAATACTACGAAGTACTAAACTCGAGACTCGAGACTCGATTATGGGCTATTCCTCCGGACAAGCCTAGGCTTAAGCCTCAACGACAAATTGGAAAGCTTAAAGCACCCTTCGATCAGCTCCCGGTACAGTACTCGACATGCTACGAGTACGAGTATATGTACCATAGGGCAGCATAATCTGGGGCCCGGAAAAGGATCAGGATCAATTACGAGTAGCGCCCAGGAGAAGCCCCAGCTGCTATGATTGCTATGATTGAACAATGATTCCACCTTACCCTGTCAACCTACACAAAGAGCAACGGTTGCGTAAATACCGAGGCACAAGTCGCGTCATAGTGGAATACAATCCGAGTAACGTAACCACTGCGATTGCCCCCGTTCTTTGGTCGTCGAGCGTGCTAATAATAATGCCAGAACCAACAGGGCAACACCTGCGCAACTACTCTGTACGTGTCGTTCGGCTCAGCCGCTCAGGCCTTCCTGAGTAAACAGCACCGTGATCTACAGAGGTAGACTATAGTACGAAGTACAAACAATGTCTACTCCGTATGATGCACAGTATGCCTGTAGCTGATCGGTCAAGTTCCAGCCTCGCATACGTAGTGCGAGGTGCTCCTAATGGGGACACCCAACCAACTGCGTTGTCCGGCAGGACAAGGGGCTGCGCTTGATCTGAAGGTTATTTCCCAATATTTCACGTACAGTCTTGCTAGAATCGTAGTAGCGATAAATTGCCGCGAGGATATTCTCTGGTTTGGGGATTGGTCATTTGGAAGGGAAGATATAGGGCTACTTGGCGCGACAAGGCACTCGTCATTAACTTGATGGCGAATTCTGGAAGGTTGAAAGCATCGTGTTGTGGCAGCTGCCAACAACTCCTACGTAATACCGACAACATCTGCTGCCTCAAGTACCCCTTTGGTATACGTGCTAAAAACTCGATCGTTTTACAAAAATTGGTTGATCTCATTCGGAGCGCTTTCGACTGGAACCAGGATTCCCTTCATATCCAGGACGATAGCCGAGTTTTGAACCCAGAGAAATCCGTCGGGCTTTACAGTATTCAGGATCGATAACCTTGATAACACTAAGCTGGAAGGTAGTGACCATCGCGTTGGCTCAATGTTTCATCTCAACTCCTGCGACAAGGGTCCACATGCTCAACTATTCACTATTCGAGGGGCCTTCGAGTTAGCATCATTAGATTCGTGCGCTACGTTGGAGTAGGATCTAAAGACTTTCGTCATTGGTAGCAGCTTGCAGGTTGTTTTGTTTCGATACTTCTATCAATACATTGTCTACCGGGTTGTGCACACCGGCAAGTATCTGTTTTACTGCTGTATTGTTCGCTGTAGCTTCGTTTTCCGTTGTTCGCATGCACTCCTATACTTTCTATAGCGGCATATAGATAAGTTTGCCACAAGCCATTGCCTATTCATCCTCTTTGCATACACTACCTTACTTCTGTGGGGTACCTTAGCGGTCCTCTTTGGTTTATAGAATAAGCTTTCCGTATACGAAGTCATCCTCCTTGTACCGGTCTACGAGGGGACAGGGCCACCAAATCAGGGGATGGTTATCCAAACCCTTGCCTAGTAAGCATGGAAAGTTTTCATTCAGTCCTTTAGGATTCGAACATCACAAACGCTCTACCACACCCAACCGCAGAGGCTCTGCAAATCCTGGTATTCAATGATAAACGCTCAATACGACTTCTGTTGCGTAGATAGCTATTTTCAACGCTCACTCTCCCCTTTTGCTAGAATCGCCCGTCATGAAGACACCCAGCCTCGTTCCCACATGGCAGGCACCTTTATACGCTCCTATATTCATCCCACAGAGGATTACATCCCTTCATAGGATTGCAAAGTCGCCGCGGAGGATCAAATCCTGTCATATGATCGTGAGCTTTCGTTTTCAAGTGTACCTTACACTAATCTCCCTGTGAACTACGAGGTGCGAAGATCTATAAAGACGGCCTTAGCTCTCAATGGTGTTGCTCATCCAACCCATCTAACACAAAGCAACTACAACTAGCACTCGGCTTATCATTCCCACCTCACACCCAACTTAATCTTTTCATTCAATATACCAATCACATATCCCGCAAAATGACGATCAAAAGCGCACTCGCCATCTTCGGCATTCTTGCAACAACGTTGGCAAGCCCATTGGTAACTCGGGAAACTCCCGTGGAAATGTCATTGGAAACCCGAGAGGACAAATGCTACCCAAATTCCATGGTTGACAACAAGGTAATGCTCCAAGATCCGTGAGAGAGCTGCGCAGGCTAACAATTGGTTAGAAAATGGGGAATTGCCCGCATAAAACCAATGTTGATAAGGATGGCCATTGCCCGAACATCAACCGTATACCGGGAAGGGAAGGCTGTTCCGCCTATTGCGAGTTGACACTCTCGAAAGGCTACGGCCAAGAGATCCCTTTCCACCAAGGCTATTGCCAGGCGAAAACCACTTGCAGCGTGGCCAATTCCGAGAGTGTTGCAACCACACAAACCTGGTCGGTCAACGCAAATATTGGTATGGGCACTGGGGAAGAAGTTAGCAAGGCCCTAAGTGCCGTTTTTAACATAGGGGCCAGCTATTCCCAGAGCAAGACCCTGACCTACACGGTCACTACAACACAGTCGAAGGAGCTGGGTAAAAACCAATGCGGTTATTGGACCTTCATTCCATTTGTCATGGAGTATGTTTTATCGTTCACTTTTCCATTTTTGATGCCCTCGCACACTAAACTAACATTTTCATAATAGATCTTGCGGAACCCTTACCTCAGTTACAAAAAAGACCATGACGGCCGGGTACTACAATACCAATACCGTGTCCTACTGTGATACCAAGGGCTCTAAGGCTGACCATAAGAATTGGTGCAACAAGTCTATATACAAGGATGACAAGGGACGCCCTGATGGGCAAGTCGTCTTCATCTTTGTTGACTGCGCCCATGGGGGCATCTTGAAAGACAACAAGATTCCGGGGGGTGAGACGCAGCCTGCTGCCATCTGGTATCCTGGTGTTTCTACCGGTCCTAAGTAGTGGGCGCGAATAGAGGAGCGGGAATTGGGGTTAAAGAGAGAGAGTTTTCTTCTGTGGGAACATTTAGGGAAGCCGCGCTAGATAGGGCATTTATTGGGGAGTTTGGTTCATAGTTGCATTTTTCGGGCATTGTATTTTAGCTTTGTTGTGCGCCATTGTTTGTATCATGTAATCATGGTCATTGGTTATTAAAATTTATTGTCTATGGTCGCCTAAGTTTTCTCCAACCGTTCGTAAATGACGAAAATTTTAATGGCGAAGCGACGAGAGTAAAAAGGGGGGTGGATCACATGACATTAAGGAAAATTTCCAACTCGTCGTTTTGAATATCACCTGGTTAGCTACTCTGGCTTAGAGTTGAGAGATACCCTAGAAACGTATTGCTAGGAGTATGACTCGATTGACTTATACTCTAGTGGAGGACAAGGTCGACGCTCCGTCCCCACAAGGTTTGATCGAGAGCTACTAATAGACTATAAAGCCAATCAAACTCAAAATTATATAATTACTTTGTAGAGGTCATATGTGTGTATATATATGGTCCTTTATAGCTTTAGCCTCTATATTATAAGCACATCATTATTTTCAGACGCCACCCTACTCATGCAAAACCAAATCCCTTCGAGTTCTCCAGCGCCATCGCCAACTTCTCTCGCAAAATTTCCTTGCTCGAATATTCCGGTAGCAAAAGGATTCCGTAGCAAGTATAACTACTCGGTAAATGGCCATCGTCAACACCGTTCCTCTGCAACGTGAACTGCAAATTTCGCATTCCTCCCACAGGCACACGATCGCTGGCTGTCACGAACTCCAGGAGTTTCCGCTTCTCCTCCATATCGTATCGCTTGACGATACTCCAGAAGTCTCGGACTGTTGGGTGAGAAGCTTCCCAGCCAATGTGACGAGTTGCTCGGCGCATTTCCGATATGTCAATTTCTTGGATTCCCTCTACGACTGATTGGAAGGTGTCTGGATCGAATAGCGTGATAGATCGTCGGTCAATGCAAGTGAAGAAACCGGACTGGAAGGCCTCAAATTGTGGCTGGATAGAGATGTCTGTGAGCCATTGGATGTAGTCGCTAACGTAGCCATTGCGATTCTCATTGGTGACCATTGGTGCATCGGTGGGGTTGGATGAAGGCCGATCGGCAAACTGAGGCCACTGAGTAGACTTGCCCATTTCGCGGCTGACATGTTGTCCGAAATGTTCGACGCTGAATTCATATGTTCTCGCAAATACATCTTCTACTAAACCATCCTTTTCGTCCCATTCCAGAAGTGATGTTAGCCCGTTGGCCAGGTCGGGCCAACCATCGGCGATATGATGGAGTTCGGTGACATCATGGTCAAGGAGTTTCCGATATAGAGCTTTGGGAAAGGTTACTGGCAAGGTGAGTCCGTTATACACAGCTAGGGACACTATGATCCCAATCAGTTCGAATTTCCAGAGGGGCTCTGGTGATCCTGGCTGGAACCAAGTCATTTTGGTTCGGTTGTCAATTGCAAAAATGCCTGGGAAGGTTAGAAGGAGTATGCAGGATAAGGCGAAATATCTTACCATAATCAGGATCAAGAGCCTCCGCGATGGCTAAGCGGAAGAACTCTTGTTGAACACCGCCAGAATCCATACCTTCCTCGCCAGCATCTTCCCCCAATCGAATCTTCAAGGGGCGCATGAGTTCGCGTTCTTCTTTCCTCCATACAGCGTTGAACGTGTCAACTAGAACGTCTTGTCGACCGATCTCTAGGACAAGGAATTTCGAAGTAGCAATACGGAGGCGCTCAAAGAGTTTGAAACGAGCATTCTGGTCGGTCATCAAGCTGCTTTCTGACATGGTCGAGTGCATGAGGCCCGTCATAGCTTTGGCTGATTCATAAGCCTGGTTCATCCGGGAATAGTTTATTGCACGGAAGTATGTGACCAATGTTGAAGGGTTAAAAAGGTATGGGTGATCGAGGAGATGAACAGTTCTCTTATTTGTTTGAAATGCAAGCCACTCGAGAGGCATCCCAACTGGATCGAGACGCTCGGCGAAGTATTCGGTCCGGAAGTGTATATCTCCCAAAACCAGTGGTTTTCTGTGTTTATCTGTAATAATGTCAGTGCAATTCCAAAAAAAGGGAAAGGGAAGCTCAAACATACACATCGCAGACATCATAGCTAAGGCCCCACTGAAAGCTCCATCGGCGGGGACTTCAGCAGAGCCATCCCAATCCTGAAGCATAACTGTCCTCGCCCAATCAAGAATTAGAGTCGGCACTCGTTTCTCATGGAGATCACGCTCAGTGTCGGGAAAGTTTATGGTAGGGCCGGTTCCCGACTCAAGAAATCTCAATGTGGCCAAAACACTCTCTAACACATCTGGGTCACCTTTCTCATCTCCTGGAACATCGCTCTGCAGCTCCATCAATTCTGCAAATCGACGTCTCGTAGGTATCGATGCGAAAAGTCTGCGTGCGAGCCTTAGGGCCAGTTCATTAGAGAATGCATCTTCATACTGAAGACACAACTCAATAGGCTCCAGTGAAGAAGTCTCCCGCCCCAGCATTGTCAACCCATATGAGCGAATTCTAGACATATTTGCGAGCTGCCGCGCATCAGAAACAAGGGGTGTAGTTGCTACAAGCGCATGAAGGCAAATGTTTATAATGCGCGAGGCCTCGTGGTTCGATAAGGGTTCGGGTGGAGGCTTCTGTTTCGACTGTTCTTTTGCCCAGTCATAAATTGATTCCAAGGCCTTGGGTGGCCTGAAAAGAGTGCCCGCAACATTCCATAAACTATCCAAAACCACTGAAGGCGAAACTCGAGTCAGCCGCAGCATGATATACCACAGTGTCTGGCTATCATATAATCGCTGATCGCAGTAGCTGAATGATTGTATGAGCGAGCTTGGTTCTGAAAGCACGTCGAAGAAACCCTGCTCAATAAATAGTTTCCACTTCTCTTTTGCTGAAGCTGGATACGCTGCCCCAATCCCTAGCCGAGAGATTGCCTCTGTCTTGGAATGGTCTCCCAACCGCTGTTTCAATTCCAGGCTGACAGATGGGGGCTGCAGAGTATGCCTCTCCGATGTCCCGTCAAATTGCAGTACGTCACATAGGAAACCTATGAGATCAATAGGGAGGAATGACAAGGACTGTGGAGGAGATATATCCTTAGTGAGCAGCAGGTCAGGATGTTCGTGCTTCTTCGGCTTTTGTTCGGTGGTGTCTTTGACCTCTGACCCGGCATCTCTGCCCGTCTTGCCTGTGTCATCAATCTTGTGAGGCTCCGGTTTCGATACGGCCACCGGCTTCATGGGCGCAGATTTCACTGCCGATAAATGATTCATCTCTGGCATATGAATTGAGGGGCTCTTAATTAAGGTCTGGCGAGATAATTTGCGTCGAGGTTGGAGAGAAGGGAGTTGTGGCAAAGTCATGACCCCAGGAGCCGTTTCCGTAGTTCTAGGTGGTAGATTTAGAATCCCCTTCGGTGATTGCGATTCATTAGACTCCGACAGCTTCCGCCGAGGTAACTTTGAAGTGCGCTTCGTGACTGAGTTGGCAATGGGTTTTGGGTCCGCACTGAGAGGTGGCTTTGGCTCGTCGATAAACGAGGGCTTGGATATCTTTGGCTTTATCGATCCGGTCTCCAAGTTAGGCGATGTGGCTTTGAGTGCTGGAGTGTTGGGTGCATCGCTCTTCTCCACCGACGATGCTTCAACCTGCCTTCCCTGGTGGTCAAAGGGGACCGGGTGGGGTTGCACATCCTTGGGTAAATGAAATGTAGACGAGGCTGCCTCATCCACTCTAAAGGAGTTTGAGTCTCCATTTTCGGGCCTCGACATCGCCTCTAGACTCCTAGGGGTGAGCCATTCAACCATCTTGAAAGCAACCGTCCCCAATACACTCTGCACAAATGATCGATGATCGACCTTTGTAGGCTCTTCAAAAGCCTGAGTGGAAAACGACGTATTTGGTCCGGGTTCTTTCTGCAGCTCCCTAACACCATGATTGGGAAGCTGGTTCTCCTTATCGCTTCCAGTTCCCAGCTCGCTCTTGGAATCAATTCTAGATGCATCGCTTTGCCCACGTCTTCGGCCGGAAATAATGGTTGTGTCGGTGGAAAGATCTGTATTGGTATCCTTGGTCTTTCGCCCTGTTCCCTTGGACGGGCTGCTTCCCTGTCGCCCAGGTCGATCGAAGTTCGGATGATGACATAGGCCTTGCTCTGGATTGTCCTGGCTGGCCATATAAATCGCCAAAGTGCGAGCGCTGGTCGCATTGTATCTCCGCACCGGGGCGCCGGCGGCTAGACGCTTGCGACAAGAGAAACATGTAGCCGTGTTACAGCTCTTAGAACTGCAGCCATATCTGATCTGGTGTATGTACCTATGGAGTAGACCCGTGTCAGAACGAGGCAGAACGAGGCAGAGGTCGGGCCCAAGGGCCGAAGGGTAAGGGCAGTTGCAATGGCCATGGGACAGCTCAATTCCAGACTTACCTTTCAACCAGAATCTGAAACAGATGTCTCCGGGCAGCGCGATAAATGGTGTATATGCGCCTCGGATCGTCAACGTTCACGTCAACGGCGAAATCCTTCAGCCGGTCTGGCGCATCTTCTGGGAGTCGGGGCAAAGGGGCGGACGCCCACAAGGCTGCGTAGACGTCGTCCTCGTCGGTGAGATCAAGACCATGGCCATGACTATGACTCTGGCTATGACCATGGCCCTGGCCATGGTCATCGCGCGGGCCGTGAACATGAATATCTCGCGTCATGTCATGAGAGCAAAGGAGGTAATCCCATGTATATTATCAGCGAACAGTCCGGCGGATCGAGGATCCAGTATCAGACTGTGAGACTCGCCGGGAGCACATCGGGGGACGCGGCTGAAGAGCGGTCCCTTGCGCCGTGTTATATAAGCTGATCACGTGCCATTCGTGTTTACAAGTACCAGGTACCAGATGTCTTACGTAAGGCACTATTGGCAGGACGAGTAAACACTGGTAAAGTCGTTACTACTTTTACTGTTACTGTTACTTTTACTAGAACGAGGGTAACTGTTATGTTTGCTTTCCCATGTTACGGAGTACAGTGTGCTGATCTGTATGCCTGAGGCAGTCAATTATATTATTACTATTATTATTATTATTATTTTATTATTATTAAGCATTAAGCATTACTAATTGCCATTACTATTTACTGGCCGTAGTTAATAAGTTACCTCGTACCAAGCTCTACTTACGTTCACTTACGTATCCAATCCCCGAAGAATGACGCGCTCCAAGACTCCAAGAACTCTTGGCAACCACGGATTACTAAGGTATCCTCCCCCGCCAATCGGCCGCCTGCAAAAACTCCCGCCCGCTTCCCACCTCCGGACGTCCAAGTATTTCTTGAAATAATAATTTGCGCTGCCTTCAGTTGACACAGACTCATACTTTACAACTTCATACCTCATACCTCACACCTCACACCCTTTACCCAAACTACGCGGACGAGTTGCTCCATATTTGCCTCTTCTAGTATAAGAGCAGGACTGCAGCCAGCCCAGGAAAACAAGGTGTCCGTGCCTTATCGATCTCCAACCCCTCGCTCGCTGTTATCAGTGCGAAAGTACCCCTCGCCACCCAAATCCACATCACATCAAAACATCACCGCACCACACCGGAACGCACAACATGGCTTCGATATCAGCCAGCAGGATTCCTGCTTCTGCGCCCTCCGATGCGATATCCACCCACCCCTACACTTGCAATACTTGTCAGGTGGCATTCAGAAATAGCGAGCTGCAACGGGGCCATATGCGCAGCGACTGGCAGTAAGTTCACCTCGTCCCATCTTTTGGATACCAACCCCCCACCCCCCCCCCACTAACCAGAGTGTGCTATGCAACAGCCGGTACAACTTGAAGCGCCGTGTTACCTCTCTTCCGCCCATCAGCTCCGACGTCTTCACCGAAAAAGTCCTCCAAGCGCAAGCATCAACGAACGCGGCTGCCTCGAAAGCCGCATACGAGAAGACATGCACGGCATGCGCCCGTACATATTTCAGCAGCAATGCATATCAAAACCATATAGGCAGTCAAAAGCACAAGGCAAAGCTGGCGGCTGCCGCCACAAATAGGCAGGTGGATGATGAAGCCAGCTCAGTCGTCAGCTCGACATTTTCGCTTGGCGAGCCCGTGGCCACAAACGAAGAAGTTGACTCGGAGGCCGAGGAGGAGTTCAGCGAGGTTGTCGAGGGACTCAAGAAGGCAAATTTGAAGGATGGTCCACCGGCTCCGGGCCGGCCGTCGAAACCAAATAACTCGGCCGCCGATGAGCAGGAAGGATCTATAGCAACAGCTGCGTCTGTTAGCGCGGCTGATGACGAGATACCGCTAGAGACTGCTCTAAAGCGCTGTCTCTTCTGCAATTTTGACTCGCCCTCAGTTCCGCTGAATGCCGCACATATGGAACGGATTCACGGCATGTTTATTCCGGAGAAGGCTTACTTAGTAGACCTCGATGGCTTGATAGGTTCTCTATACGAAAAGATCCACGAGTATCATGAGTGCTTGTACTGCAGCAAACTCAAGCCTTCTGTATTTGGTCTTCAAACACACATGCGAGACAAGGGCCACTGTAAAATCCCGTTCGGGACGGAGCAGGAGCAGCTTGAGATTGGCGAGTTCTACGACTTCACAAGTACCTACTCTGACGATGAAGAAGAGTCGGAATCGGGAGACGAAGATGGGCTCCCAGGCAAGAAGGCGAGCGGCGGTGTTAAACTAGGTGCTAAACGAGTGGCCAAGGTGGCCGCTGAAGACGGCGATGGATGGGAAACCGACAGCTCGGCATCTTCTCTAGACTCGGAAGACCTCACGGCGGTTCCTCTCGACCAGCGGACGCACCAGTATGAGAAGCTTGATCAGCACCCTCACCACTCCCACTCAGATCCTCGGCCACATCGAAACGTAGATGGTTTCCACTCTCACGCACACAAGCATGCCCATGCAGTCTTCTATTCGGACTATGAACTTCACCTTCCTTCCGGCCGTACTGCTGGTCATCGATCAATGAACAAGTACTACCGCCAAAATCTGCACAACCATCCTTCGGCTGCAGAGAGACAAGAGCAACTTGCCATTGAGGCGGCAGCCGAATCTGATGCAGAGGGCGAGGATGGCCAAGTCTCCCGTCGGAATGGAGAACGTGGTAGAGCGCTTACGACTCGCGCAAACGGCGGCCTTGGAATGATGGGTGTAAGTGCGGAAAAGAAGAAAGAAGTCGTGGTGGCCGAGAAAAAATCGAAAAAGATCGAAGAGCGCGCAGGACGGAAGTTCCAGTGGGGAGTCAACAAACAGAACAATTTCCAGAAGCATTTCAGAGTAAGCTTCCCCTGCGGTGTGTGTTTATATTGGACCGCTGAAACTAACATGTCATAGGATCCTTTGCTGCAGTAATGGAAACGTCGGCGGTGGCTCGACCGTGGCGCAGTTACGGTCTGTTCGGGCGGCTGGCTGTCTTATGTGCATAGATTTGGGGGAATTCACGCGGGGATAGATGCATTGCATGGGACGGGCCTCATGTAGATAGGCGTCAAACTTGGTTCCATTGTGCATGTCAATCAATGTCTTGCCCCAAAACAAGCTGAGCATACCGCCTTAGGGGTGTTGGGCATAGGGTACGATGCGTACTTCGTAGGTAGACGGCAGTTGTTAGGCCACTTTACAGTGAGCGCCGCTAGAGTTTCGATAGCAGCAGCAGCAGTCACAACATACCTGGTACCTTAGGTACCTTACCTTACCTTACCTACCCTACCTATCTGTGTCCCTCAAGTTCTGCTAGTGCTGGTACCAGTATTAGTTTCGTGAAGTAATGCCTAGGTAGGTAGTTATTGCTGTACATGTACATCTGTAGATATAGGGTACCTTACCCTGGTTGGAGGAGCATACGTGCTGGACGCTGTAAGAAGGAAGATATACAGTATTCCAGGGCCGTATTAGGTGTAGGTGCCAGCCCCCCGGGGGATCCCACTGTTGTTTTTACCGTCCTTGCACGGAGTATAATAATACCTAATAATAACCGATGCGGGAGCCATCCTTACTGGAGAAGTTTGGATCCCTGAACCGAAATAAATCACACCTCCCTAACCCCCTAACTCCCTACTCCCTATTATTGCATCTCCTATTCCCTATTCCCTATCCCCTACTTCGTACTCGAGTTGCTTCACCCCCCCCCCCCACGATAACTCCCTACGAGTGCCTACGTACTTCGTAACGGGAACCAGATCCAGCAGGCTCTTCACAGCTATAGCTCTGCAGAATCCCTTTGGATTCCCCCTCCCGCCGGGTGAGCTTGTATCCAGTCCCTTTCCTCCTCGGCTCGTGCCTCGCCCCGTTCTGCTGCCATCGCCCATATACGAAGCTCTTCCACCCAGCTTCAATCACAATCACAATCACAATCACAGGCACAGCACGCAAATATTCCAATGCGATAACCACGCCCACTTGCAGAGCGCATACCTTCCCATACCTAGGTGCCCACGCACACGCATAAATGGCCGAACAAATAGGCACCCCCGGGTCTAACGCCGACACCTCTATAAACGGAGGGAAGACGAGCGCCCCAAAAGACAAAGCCTGCCCATTCTGCCACCAGCAATTTACCTCTTCTTCGTTGGGCCGGCATCTCGACCTTTATATCAAGGGGAAGAACCCCAAACCCCCCGATGGCGTCCATGATGTGGCCGAGATTCGAAAGATGAGAGGGGGGATCACAAGGAGGCAGCCAAGGGTTTCTTCATGGAGGCGGGAAGGCTCGACGCCCGCGGGCACCCCTAGGGCGCACGATAGACGGAGTCCGGGTCCAGAGTCTGCGCGAGGGAACAGGTCGCCGAGGGATGATGATGGGTCGGTTGGTAGACCAGGTCATCTTGGGAAGCCGGACAGTGGTTTTCATATAAACAAGCCCACCTGGGAGTCGACAGGAGTGATGAACATCATCCCACCAACAAGAAGAAATGGGGATTCGGCGCGTAGCTGGGATGGAGATGGAGATGGCGGCCGCAGAATAGATAGCAGGAGCAGGTCTGTCAGCAAGCAAACGCTGGCGAAGTCGACATTCGAGCAGAAGCAGAAACTGATAGATGCTCTCGACAATGCGAAAGCGGCAGAACTCGCACTGCGAGAATTATTAGGGTCAATCAGAGCGGCAAAGTAAGTTTCGCCGGCATCCAAGTTCAGAGCTATATAATATCCCGGGTCAGTATTCTAACGGACGCAGGCAACGCATTGAAGGTCCCTCAATCTTCGACTACGACCCCTTAACCCTCGATTTCCCGGCTCTCTGTCTCCACTGCCTGCCCCCTCCGCCAACATTATATCAGACAGTGCCCATTCCAAACCCCTCTTCATGGTCTATTCAGCCTCCAGATGACCAACAATATCAAGCGCTCCGATCTCACTTCTCTGCGGAATTCCGTCGATGGCGCGTCTCATGTGCGGTAGCCACGACTGCTCCAACCGACGACCTCTCTTATCCCCCACCACAACTCTTCGACGGTCTCGACCGTACAGAAATTGCACGGCAGGCGGAAGCTTCAGCTTCTGAACTGGAAGCTCGAATATCAGACCATATCCATGGCGCCTTCGCACATTGGAATTCCATACCGCCTTCTAGCCGGCAGGAAATATGGATATTGGAAATGGCGCGCAGTGTGGGCCGGAAATCGCAGGAGATTCAAAAGCTGAGGAAGGATAAAGAGTCTAATCAGCAGGAGACAGCGCATCTACAGCTACAAATTGATGAGCTGAGTCGGTTACAACATCCCAGGGAATTCAAACTTGTGTCTCCCACCACGGTGCCATTTAATGGGGAGTTGATGAACCACCTAGGCGAATTGGGACTAAAGACCAAATCAGTTGGGTTCGACCTTATGGATAGACAGGTGCATCTAGATACAGCGATCGAGCGCGCAATTGAGAGGTGGAAAGGCGTGGTGAAGGAGGCAAGGGGAACTGGCACCGGGCTACCAGCCCAGCGGTCGATGAGCGGGGAGTTTGGCCCTCCTACATCTGCCTCCGCTCCTCCAGCTTCCACCTCCCAAACTCCTCCGTCTCCATTGATCCAACCACCATCTCCCCAGATCAAGAACCACAACCACACTCCGATCCCAAATTCTAACCCTAATGCGCTTCCGGATCATAGTCAGAACAACACGCCTGCTCCTCCCCAGATAGGCGGCCTTGATGATATGGGTAGCGATGCAGATGCCGATGCCGATGCGGATATGGAAGATGATGATTCATACATGGAGATGAATGATGCATCGCACGCGCGCGCTCCCGAAGCTTCCATGGCGGCCGCGACGAATTATAGACTTACGAATGGGAATGGGGGGCAGCAAACTAATAATGGGCTGGAGAGTCAGGCTCAGCAAGGATACGTCAGAATTGGTGCTTAATTGTAATATACCCATGAGGAATCAAACTGGTGGAGGGAGAAGGGGAGTTGTATAGTCTATCTGCACTTGGTGACGAGAAAGAAAGTGCTGGGAATAATATGTTGTAATTGCAAGAATTGACACTTATTTCTGCTATTGTTGCATTTGCATAGCCTTTTACGAAGTGAGGGCCTTTATGTACAGCGAGAATACTTGAACTTGTCTAATAATACCACAGCTGTCAAATATCACCTCTTAGCCTCAGCGCTCAGATATGAACGCCCTATTGCACACATGAGAAAAACGTGGCAATTGCCAGCAAGGACAAGGAGCCTCACGTAGAGGAAATTACTGTGCGGAACATATGGCTGCAAATCAGCTGGCACACTGCAATGTTTGTCCGTATACAGCGCATAGTGGACTGGAGGGATGGATACTCAGCCATGTACAGTACTATACTGTTTCATGCGCCCATGTATGTACGTATATACAGATAGAGTGCTCCCAAGTGAAGTATACTCCGTACCGCGGGAAGGGGGGGTTATTCGTCTAAATTGTGAATTTCACGTCGCAGTTCTACTCGGCTTTTTCTATGAGGTTGGATGGTGTAGGGAGTGGTATATGCATGTGGATGGGTAGGTAAGGGCCCAGGTAGGATGCGTTTCATCATATTCCTTCCCAAAATCCCAAATCCCGGATTCAGGCCTCCGCATCTATCAGCTGAGGCCGATAGTCACCGTCAGCTACATACCTAGGTAGGTAGGTACTGTGGGTATAGAGGATTCCGTTTCAGGGCTGGGGAGAGGACACGGCGGAGCTGGGGTGCTTGTTTTGGGATTGGGGGAGTGCAAGGAGATGATTTGGTTTATGCTGGGAGGATGTAGGTATGAAACGTATTTTACAGCCCTACTTGTGGGTTACAGATATATGTAAAAGGGGGGCTTGCAACACAAAGTGTGCTGGGAAAATAGGTTGGGTTGGGGATCGGAATCTATTTTTGGAATTGAGGCGGGATAGTTATGAAACGTATTTATGTACGGTACATGCTCGCAGCCGGACAACGGGCGGCGACATACGAGGAGGGTTGTCTCGTAAACAGGCATCGTTGTGGACAAGTATCGAGAGAGTAGACAATTTCGAACGTTGTCTCGCCACGCAAAGGAGACCATTATGCTCGATATTTAGGGAGTATATTTTCTTTTGCTCTTCATAAACTGAGCATATAATTGAGGTAGCGAAGCTCATAGCTAATATAAACACCTCATAAAGGATTTCATGCCTATGTGATTTCATGACTCCCTACCTCCATTTGTTATATCTTCGACCTCATGTGTGACGCTGCGGGTATAATCCCCTGAAATAGAGAGAATATTATCATGACCGGGCACCGAGGATGGGTAGTAGGGATCATATCAATAGCAATAGCTTCAGTCATATTAAATGTCAAGAAAAATTTAGCCACATATCCGTCTTCAAGCATCTTGAATATTGATAACCTCGCCGTAAGCATCGAAACCGAGTCGCTTCTTGGCTATCGACTCCTTGACGGGATTTTTCGCGTTGAATATTTCATCGAGTTCCTCGAGCTGCATTAGGGTTTCAAGTTAACTTTGATCTATTCTACTTGGATAGCGGCTGTAGAAGGGCTTTGGGTGGGGGCGACGGGCGAATAACTTACTGTGCGGTTCTTTGTTTCAGGAATAAAAAAGTAAATGACGGTGGCTTGGATTCCACACCACACGGTAAAGATGATATATGTCTTCCATCCGATCTTCTCCAGGGCCACGGGCCATGCAAATTGATTGAGGAGTCCAGCTGCGGGAGAGCATTAGCAAACGTTCACGGTAGAACTAGCTTAAATTGACGTACCAGCGGCGACGGTGAAGCCGGAGAAACCCATTCCCTTAGCACGCATTTCGAATGAGAGAACTTCGACAGGGTACAGAGCTTGAAGAGGTGTGAAGCCAACGGAGTAGACGGCGCCAAAAATGAAGATGAATGCCAGGGAGGCGGTTCCCGCCGCCTTGTTGGTCCCGTATAATTCTGTATCTGGATCAGCTCCAGGGGGCAAGGGGGGAATAGATTTTTGGTAGAGCCCCGCAGAGACAGTCATTGCCAACCAGACAACACAACAGCCGATGTTCGAAAAGAGGAGTAGAGGTCGACGGCCAACTCGATCCACGAGGTTAGCCCCTAACAAGGCGAAAAGGAATTGTTGGCAGTTGTTTATTAAGGTGATGTTGGCCTGTCCAAACGTGCTGTGGATACCTACAGTACCCAGGACCTTGCCTAGGAAATAAGAGAGCACGGCTACAGTTGTCAGCACCTGTTTCTCATCTTTCTGGATGAAACATACCGTTGCCTGCCCATTGGCCGAAAATGGTAATGCTGACGTTGCAGAAAAGTCGATAACAAGTAGACCTATTCTTGAATAGCGCACTGTAATCCCACCACCGCTTATCGGCACCATCCATTTCCAGCAGTTCTTCGTACTCATTTAGTTGCAGCTTAACCCATTCACTATCCGGGTTCCCTTCGCCATGGTATTTGGTAAGCATATTCCTGGCTGCCTCCGGCTTACTGTTGACGTATAACCATCTCGGTGATTCCGGGAGGAAGTACGCAGCGATTAAGATGATGCCTGAGAACATGAGCTGGATCCAGATGACGAGTCTCCATGAAAGGTTCCCCCCCGCATTAAGGCCTCCGCGAGCAACGCCAGAAGCTATAATGGATCCAGTGAACCTAATTGGGTGAGTATATCGATAGGGTTTGACGGAATGGAGCCTTACCAAAAACAATTAAAGATGGCCGTGACGATACCGCGATAAGCTGGGTGAGATACCTCAACAACGTACATAGGTCCCGCAGCAGAGGCAATGTTAACTCCAAAACCCAACAAGAATCGACCGCCCATGAATTGCTTCGTCCCGTTCTCTCGTGTGGCCACACCTTGGATGATGGTCCCGACAATAATAATGAGACATCCAATCCACATTCCGAATCTCCGTCCATATGTATCTGCTGCGGGCCCGACGAAAGGCAAGGAAACAACCCCTCCGATCTGGTACATCGATGTGACAATACCAGCCCAAATACCGGCATTTTCGCCATGATAGTATTCCAGGAACCATGGGTTCTGAAGAAGGTTATTGATCAGAGACCCATCATATCCGTTCATCGTCGCACAGAAAAACCCGATAAAGCAGGCAGCATATAATTGAGTTGTAGACCACGTGAATGGCCTCGGAGGCTCCTTGAGCATCGCCTCGTTGAAGGCCTCATTGCCCTTGATGACTTTGACCTCTACCTCAGCGTGTTTCTAGAAGCAGAGATTAGGGTATTGTTTCGTTACTTCGGACTGGCTTAAACATACATCATCCTGGCTCTGGGCAGACGGACGGGGGCCCATCTCGTACTCATTCTTTCTATCTTGATCCGCCATGATGAATCAGAACTCAAGAATAAGAAACGATAAGAAGCTCAAACGGCCAAGTCTCGACGTTGGTAATTGGCGGGAGCCCAGCAATAACGGCGAGATGTGGCTGGCCTGCGAACAGACAATGAGGCAACCGGTACCTTTATGTATGCCATGCATTCGACTCTTGTCCCTTGTAAGCCATACTGTATTTGCAGGCCAGTTGACAGCGTTGACCCCAAGCCCTTGTAGGGCAGCATATATTTAACTTGAAGAGGACCACTTCTCCATATCCCCGGATTTCCGGCCAGCTTACCCACCTTTTTACTTCCAACGAAAGCCCATAAAGCTCTAAAACCACGTGGGCCGGGGTCTGGATTGTTTGCAGGAAGACGGGCCCTCTGCAAATCGCAGGTCGTCGGTTAAGAGGCCTCGTTGAACCGTTAATGCATCCGCATAAATGGATATTAATACGTAGTAGGGTTTTGACGCTTCTGTAACGGAGGGCCTCCGGCCGTCGCCTAGAACGGACCATGCTCCTCGCCCCTGAAATTGATTCCCATTTCGAGACTTGGGGATGGGATCAGGTTTTGAAGCTGCCCGTTCGATATGACACTCATCTAGATGACTCGCCTTGCAGCGGATGCCAGCTCCTCATTAAAGATTTGCCATTTTTGCGAGCTAGAATCCGATTGCCGCGCAAGTCGGAGTGAAGACAGCCCCTCCACTAGCATATGAATGCCGCGGCCATCTATAAAAAAATAATAATAATTGAGATAGCCCCGCGGCCGAATCGATCCAGTACTACTGTACAGCAGGCGGTGTATCTGAGGACCAGCAGTGACTTAGTTCCTCGTGTATCCTTTCTTGGCCTCCTAAGCTCCTAAGAAGCTCAACACTACCTAGGGTACGGTGCTTAGGAGTGCTCACCAGAGTAGAATAGTGCTGCATATACCTACCTACCTTTACCTACCTAGGTAGGTCTTTGGTATCTGGGTAACGACTCCATGCCTCGAAAGCATACCCACGGTACGTTTGGGATATGGCATTGTTATTTTCATGGGCATCGCCGTTTCACTGGGAGCTCGTACACACGTGAATTGGCAGCCTTAGCCCTGCACGTCGTGGTTTGGGCGAATCAAGGCGACGGCGACGCTGCTGGGCTTGTAGCCCATCGCGTTGAATTGGGCGTGTGATGTGGATAACGGGGGCAGGGTGGCAAGGCTATAATTGTACCTCCGTAGCTACAGGTACAGGCACTGTCCGTGGTACTGTGCTCGAGTACTCCGTACAACGGGATCGACGAGAAATGTAGGGACCAGGGCTGAATAATGGCCGCGGCTTGAGAGGTTGAGAGGCTGAGAGGTCTTGGACGGGGGGATCTATTGGATTCGACGTTGGAGATTCAGCTGGAGATGGATGGATGTGGATTATGGAGGCGGTCGCACCGAGGGCGCCGTGGGTGTGGCGTTACAGTATGACCGGCCAGATTGTGATAATATTGTATTGTTTATATTACTCGTACGAAGTACGTCCGGAACTAAGCATATAATAAGAAGTGAGGAGATGCCAAGTTGCTCTAGAGTGGTGTACTGTACCTAGGTACCTAAAGTAGGTAGGTATGATACTTACTCGATACTCAATACGACTCTACCTTGCATACTTCGCTCGTGCTCCTGTACCACTACGGTACAGTACGGTACCAACCCGTTGGAGACGCGAGCACGGCCAGTGCTAATAATAATATTACAAAGTCTTCATGCCAGAGCCAGATCTCGCCGCCAACAAGGATGCCTCGGGTCAACGCTCCGAGCTGATCTTTCGATTATTCTTCATGATCTCCTCCGTTTCACATACAGTACAGTACTAGGTGCGGACGTACTACGAAGTATGTACGAGTAGTCCTGCCACTGGTTCGAGCTTGCAACCTTTATAACACGCGAACATCAACACCTACACCAACACCAAACACCAACACTAACCCAGAGACACACCTCACGTCAGATATTGCCGCTCGGCGGCCTCGAAATGGCAGGTTGACCCTGCTCGCCACTAGTACTCTCGTTTCCACACCTTGCACACTTCGTGTTCCTGGTATGTACAGCCTTTCAAGCTGATGTTTCTTTTGTCCCCTGGCAGCATGGGAATGGCTCCGAGCTCACGAGTTGTTGCAGCGCATCTGCTGCTGGGGGACGGCAATCTGCTAGTTCTTGCCATTGGCATTCTCCGAGGATTTATCGTGTTGTCACAAGGTGTCGGGCACGGCTTCGGTATACTGTACGAACGCAGTGGCTGATAATGATATGAGCGGATGGTCCGACTCACTCTGAGTGGCCTGTCTCGTCGTTCCGCATTGCATTGCATGTCTATTGCTCGAGTTGTTGCTACATGTATTGTCGTCCTAGTCTTAGCTAGCCCTTTACTTCTTTAGTTTCGTTACCAGTAGTCCTACAACTCATTGGCAGTTTCGTTGATAGTTTCATTCCTTTACTTTCCTGCTAGATTTGTCATTTTATTGGATGCGTTGTGGCACAAACCAATTACTTCACTGTGCCCAAACCTGAGTGGCCTGCTATCTCTTAACTCCAGAAGTGTGCGGGGTTGGGGGAGAGGGAAGCAAATGGGAAAGTATGCAAATTTCCATTGTTACATTCGCCCGCTCTGAACTGTGTCTTTCCGACTCTTTCTGGCACTCCTATTCACTTCCCGCGTAGCGGTTCAATAAGCCTACATCTGAACGCCTCATCGTCGCCACCGACGGATATACCATATTAGAGCAGGAGGTACAACGCAAAATGGCGACCAGACGTTAACACTTACAGGCATCAGTCTATACAATATGTAGAATTGCGTGGAATATTGATCCTCATTTATTGTCCCAATAAAATTTCTGTACAATCGTGTCCCATCCATCCCCCTTTACGCCACGCTAAACATATCCCACGAAAGTTTTACATATTTTGGATTCCAATTTCATTTCTCAGGTCATAAAAACTTAACCTTAGTCCACTCACTAACTTGTACCCCAAGATTCAATCCATTCTGGGCCCACCACTTCTTAACCGCGAAAGTCTCCCCTTCACTCCCTACGCTATCCTCCAGCGCCTCCTCAATATCGCAAGTCTTATATTCGACTCTAGCACCCGTCCGACTGAAAATTTTCCACCACTCTAAGACGTCTACATGACCATTCTTCGTCGGCTCCTCAAGCACCCGACTATCGAAGACCATTTTCTCGCCCTTCAAATCTTTCCATTCATCGAGAACGGCGACGTGACCATGTATCGACGCAATCTTGGCAACTGATTCGGAATGTGCTATTGGGATACCAGATTCATCCCACCAGCGGAGGACTTCAGGTTGGTTATTCTGTGCAGCAGCGAGCAGCGATCTTCCGGGCTTGAGCCGCAGGGCTGGTTGCGGATCTGAGTATGCAGTGGGGGATCCTTCGCCATCTGAGGCAGTAGAAACTTGGAAATTTCCTTGCGCCATGCTGGCTTGTTTCCACCATTCCAGAACTAAAATGTGGCCTTTGGATGATGCTTGCTCAAGCGCGGCTTCGGTGTATTTCAGGGGGAGTCCTGACCGTCGCCACCAGTCGAGGACGTGTATGAAGCCCGATTTGGACGCTCCGTCGATGGCCTCTGCCGTGTAATCCTTGGAGAGGAAGGTTGGTGACGTTCTCCACCATTCTAGGATTTCGATGCGGCCATAGACTGCGGAGGCTTTATTAGGGAGGAGCTTCTGACCGAAAGATGACCAGAAGACATCTTTGAGATTGGTTTCAAGGTAGGTGAGGACATCGGAGAGACAGAATTTGATGATAAGTTTGACACAGAGACTTGATAGATATCGCATCTCTTTAGGTGCGCCCTTCAACTTCTCAATGATTCGTGTTGAGGGTGAGGTGAGGATCGCCCACTCCAGAGAGCGCAGGTAAACGCCCAACTCGTTCTTCGCTTCGTTTGAATTTTGCTGCCATTCAAGAGGTGTAGGTATAGCTGCATAGACATTCAGTGCTCTTGCAACTTCCCAATCCCCAACGTATTCGAAAATAGCACCCCAAATTTCGCGAGGGAGAAGCGTGTCTGTCTTCGTGTTGTACCGTGGAAGTGTAGCGGCCCCTGATGCGGCAATATCGACATCATAGCCAATGGTCAAAAGCTCTGCCTGGTTCTTGATCACATCTACAAGCTCGTTGAATCCATCCCATACCGCAAGGCATTTAGATGGACCCCGAGGGAAATCTTCGTAGTGCCATAATATAGGTTGCATGACCCTTACCCACTGCCATTTCCGCCGAATCTTACTCAATTGCTTCTTCGTCATCGGATTCTCCCACATCGCAGTAGACATCCCAGGAACTAGCAGAATCTTTTTCGAGACGTCCCATCCACGGAGGATTTCCAGCAGAACGCAATCGGCAATGCCGTGCAGCATCTTCGCAAAGGTGTCGGCGTCGATCGGTGCCAGAACCATCATATCCGCCCAGTCACATAACTCGTATGCTTGTTGTCTATAGAACTCGACCTGGCCCCGCTCAATACTCCTCTGCGGCTCCTCCGTCTCCTTGCACGCCTTAAAATATCGGTTCGGCATGGTAAAAGTCTCCTGCGATAATCTATGTGCGGGATAGGCCTCGGCGTCCACAATAGCTCGCGTTTCGATCTTGGGGTTCTTGGAGAGTCGGACGACGAGGGCGACAGCTTGTGCGACATCCTTGGGGCCATTGGAGGCGACCAAGACTTTGAGCTTGGGGGACTCGGCGGTTCGCATATCGGAGATGGAGGATGTCGCCGGAGAGGGCGCCTTGGGGAGGCTCTGGAGGAAGTGTGCTCGTAAGGAAGGCGGATGCTCTGCCATTTTGTGTAGGTTTTACATGCAACAAGACGCGTGAATGTGGAATCGTGACGACTGACACATGTACTGCCGTCAAAGGCGAGAAAAGCGGCCGAGACAGACGTGGTTGACGTCAAGGACGTGGCCAACAAAGAATGGCCGGTGTCGATGGAAGCAACAGTTGGGCATACATTGCATCAAGACCCAAGTCTACAGTATTGATTGAGGATTCAGAGCCACTGGATGTGGGTATATGATATGTAGGTTCCATGCGACAGCTGCTCCTCTCTTCTTTTGGAGATGAGGCTTGGGGATGCAGAATGTGGCGGTACGAAGTGGGTAGTGTCTGTATCAGGATCAGGATCAAGATGGATTATTGAACAAAGTTCTACCAACGCCACTAGTGCCAACCTTAACATTAGTTCGCCACATGGGTACCTAGGTAAGGTATAGGGTACTCGTAAAGGCAGTACTCGTACCTTACCTACAAGCCACTGCTTAATATCGACATCGACATCGACATCGACATTTACGAAGTATCTACTACGGACTACGTACAATACTTCATTACCTACTCGTAAGTGGCTAAACAATCGAGGCAAATTGTTCCGGCTGGCACACGAACATGCGATTTCGGCTGACGGACGGGATATGTAACAATCCAAAGGCGTGCTCTGGGCCCACAAGACCTGTCTCCACGTATCCTTACTAATTTGGCGGGTTTGACGAGAAGAGTGAATGCTAAATGGATGAAATTGCGACGAAGAGATGGTCATATCCGGGAGTTCCACAAAAATGCTCTAGAATGGTGCACGACATCATAGAAAGAGTAACATTAATCGGCGCCGAGTTATATACTCTAAACACCTTAAGCAACCTGTATCCACAAACACACTACGGCGCAACGCCAGAGCGTTATGGTATCAATACTATTAAAGCCAAAATGTAACCCACCCTGTAACACTTACCCAACACTCTCCTCCCTCATCGTCTGCAAAAATTCTCTCCTAGAAATTATCCTCTCCCATGTATGCTTTGCCAGCAGCTTTCGAAACTCCTCGCTCCCTTCGTCGGCATCCAATTCCTTATCATCCCGCGCTGTCCACACACCCTCAATATTTTCCGGGATCCCATTCCCCTTGGTCAATTCCTCCATTACAACCGCCGCATTGCCCGTCTCTATCGTCGTAGCTATCATGGCTTCATTGACAATGGACTTCTGGTAGCCCAGGGCAACATGATGGTCCATGAACTCTTGGAGTTCCGCTAACTTTTGCGCATCGGTTTCGGTGTCGGTGGAGTCAGTAGGAGAGTTTCTGCCTGAGTTCGTATCGTCGGCATAGCTAAGCTTGTCGGATTCTGGATTTTCAGTATGGGAACAAACAGGACTGGGTGTGTTCTTGTCCTTGTTTTCTTCTGGCACCGGATATACAAAATCTTGCGTCTCCGGTTCGAGATGGACTCGTTGGCGCTGAGCCTCCGCATAGGTAATTTTTGGCTGTTGAATCGGGCTAATGAAGACCTCCGGATTATCATCGCCTCTGTGGACTTCGAACTGGGCTCCGAAGCCAACCGAACGTTTAGAGGGCGAGGGGCGGTGGGAGCTCACGCTACGCGTGCTGTTGAGTATATCCGAAGGGGTGACTGGGATGTCTCGCTCCCTGCCTTTTCCTTTATCGACTCGTTGCCTTTTGTTATCTCCGGAGCTAGCCTCGGAGGAATAAGTACTGAAGAAACGTTTGCCTGAAGTCGAAGCCGCTGCTTGAACTGGGGTTGAGGCAGGGTGGTTAATATCACCACTGTAGTGGTGCTCTTCTTCAGGATGTTGTGGTTCGCATGTTGTATCTCCCAGAAGTTGGGCCTCGAGCAGCGCTTGGTCTTGGGATTCGGTTGAATCTTGATTTGCGTTTGCGTATTCCTCCCTTGCTTGTTCAAATTCCGTAAGGATCTCCTCGTAGCACATGCTGAGCTCCCCTGCGGCAGCCGGATGCTGAAACTCGTTGAAGTTGAGTTCTTTTGCTACCCGTGGCCACAAATTCTGTTGAGTTACTTCGTCGTGTCCTCCAAACCCAGGAGAGTTGACCACTTGCCACAGCCTGAAGAGGGGAATTGTTCGGCCAGAGATCGTGGGACGGAAATCCACGACGAGATCCAGCGACTCAGCTAGTAAAGCCAGGTCCTCCTTGAAGAGCTCCTCATTCAATGTGGTAGAATTGAGTGGCCTGCCTGCGACGGTGCCCATGCTCGCGCAGTTAGCGCTTGCTTGGGAGTCCTGAGAGTTTCCGGACGACTCTTGGGGATCTTCGATTTCGGGTATGTTCACCGGTTTTGGATTCTCCGGCATGGCTTCGGATCCTGTATCAGACAATGCGGCTGCTTGTGGACGACATATGGATACCTTTGACTCCTCCGCTGTCTCCTCCTCTGTCTCCTCCACTGCCTCCTTCTGCTCAACCGCTTTCATTTCCCGAGCCTTCTTCATGGGTATAATCTTGTTTCTGAAGTAATTGCGCCACTCTTGTGCAGAGTGAGGAGGATACTATGGGTTAAGATGTGAGTAAAACTATCTTAGACTACCTATCCATCTAGAATTACTTACCGTATCTGCCCATGCACTCCAGGCAGCTATGACTTTTTCATCATCGATATTCATAATATCGTCATACGCATCAAGGAGCTGTTGTTCATCTCGCATAGAGAAAGGCTTCGGTGTTTGAACGCCTGGCTGATCTGCGGTCTGCTTCGGCGGAGTTGTTTGGGGAGGTCGGCTTTGAGCCGCATTTGACGATGATGCATGTGTAGGAGGTCGTGAAACATGTCGACGAGAAATGCGGCTTGTTGGGGGAGGGAGCGGGCCCTCGTCACCCTCTTCGTCAGAAAGCTCCGGCCGAGCGCGATGGGAGACGTATTTCACCCAACGATCTCGCCAAGATTGGAAAGTATGCCGGGAATTCTTGCACAATATATCAACCCAGTGTCTTCCAAAATGAGATGTTGACTTACCACTTTCTCTAGCTGCTTGTAGATTTCATTGCCCTTAGTCGATAAGCCCCGGCGTTCTGCCTCCGCAACCCATTTCATGAGCACACGGTCATCTTCTGATGTGAACGGGGTTCTGCCATATCTTGGAGGCAGTGCCGACCCAACATCTCTGACTTGCGGCTCGGATGGCCCTGCCGGGTATTTCTCCGTGTCCTCCAGCGCGCCATTTTTCAGGGATTGCTCGATCCATTTCCAGGAAACAGAACCTGGCGGAGCGTCTTTTCTTGCGTGATCGGCTATCACGTAGTCGGCCTGCTTCTCTAGCAACACCAACTCGCCTCCATTCGCCTAGTGGATGCAATGTCAGCATGGTAAACGCCGTCGTCCAAGATAGACGCCACATAAACATACCTCAACAGACTGTTTCCAGTACACTCGAAGCGGAACCCGCCGTAGAATAAAGAGCTTAATTCCAGCAAAGAGGTTCCCTGCGCCAGCAACGCCAGCAACGCTATCATAAACAACTCCCGACATGGTAGCGGAGGAGAGGTGGGGGAAGATGTGCGGTTGTTGCCAGGTGTGGACGATTAGGGAGGAGAACGACCTGGTTTTTAAACTCGGGGATGGGTACGAGGAACATTCAGCGTCAAGTTACGGTTGTGTGCTGCAAACGTCAAGGCTGAGTGGGCGAGAAAAGAACCTAAACATTGTCACATTGTCGAATATCATTTTCATCTGTTTGCCTGCTTGCCTCCCGTTCCGGGGACGAGTATCGACGGTGCTTGGTGGAACATGTCTGAGGCCGTTGACCATCGAATCGATGAAATATCAAGACGCGTCCTAGGCGGAGGAACGTTCCGCGGTATCACATGACTTGAAACTGGTACCTAGATACCTTCTTCCGCCTTCAGCCCGTACCCGCGACCGGGACCGTGACATTAATCACTTACCTATCATCTACCTTAGGAACCGCTGGAGTACGAAGTATCATATCTATCAATCTATCATAAAGGTATATTATCTCGACTCTACTCGGTACGAAGGATTTCGGCTACATTCACATCCACATCCACGGTCACACCCGCAGTCGCGTCCGCATCCGCATCCGCATCCACAGTCACGCCCACGCCCACGCCCACGCCCACACTTATATCGATCAGTTGGCAAGCATCATGTGCTATCAAGAATGATATTGGTAATAATCTTGCCTATCTCTGTCCAAGCCCACGCCTGACCAACATGGGCGTTGTCCGGAGGGTCGCAGTTGGTGTTTTGGTCGTCTCGTTTTTGACTTTCGTAGCTTTCTTCGGAAGGCTGCCAGCATTACGGTAAATAGCAAACCTTCAAGCCGCTATTAGTTTCATAGGCTCATACTCACAAGGAACACACCCGTCGGCTTCCTACACAGAGCTATTGTACGGAAACTTTTCAAGTCGTCCCCTTTTGGGTCTGCCGCGTGGAAACGTGCTCAAACAAACACGTTCCCGACGGTGGAAGCCCTTTCTTCTTGGTTTCCTAGCCATTATCCAACTCTCAACCCTGGAGCTTACTGATTTGACCAAATTTAGTGGATTCATTTCCCCAAAGGAATTCGAAATGCTGACCAAAGATTGACCGGAGGGCGACTCAGTGGCTCGGTTTCAAGACTTGCTCATACCTTATGGAATGACCGACACCCCCTTGTTATGGTAGGCTGCATCCCCATTTAGAACCTTATCACATATCTCTTGTTTTTCTTTGCCGTCGTCGAAATCTTATCGGGCGAGTTGCATGAGCGGACGAAAGTTTTTGGGCAATGTGATTTGTTTCGTATCGAAGCACATGGTAGCAAACGAGTATTGAGAGATCCCATCGTATTATTTGACGGCATCTAATAATAGTCTTTGATGCATCATGGCGTTCGGCTGCTGCTAAGATACCTACCCAGGGACGAAGTTTAACCATGTTAACTTGTGGTAGATCTTTTTCATACTATTGCTTGCCATATCGGAATTCTTGTTCCTCCCACCAGCATGGGGGCTCCTCACCAGTTCCCGCAAAGTCACCTCCATCACACTCCTACTTCTCCCATACATCCTTCTCTACGCTTCAGCCGCCACTGATCCCGGCTACACCATGTTGGAAAACCACAGCCACCAAATGTTGTTATACCCTTACGATTTCACAATCTACTACCCCGGCCACAAATGCCGCACGTGTCAGTTTCTCAAGCCAGCTCGGTCAAAACATTGTAGTATTTGCAAACGCTGCATATCAAAAATGGACCATCACTGTATTTTCATCAACAACTGCGTCGGCTATGGAAACCAGCACTGGTTTCTACTTCTACTCCTCAGCACTGCAACTCTAATCACGTATGCATCTTATATTGGATATTCCCTCCTATCCGCCGAAATACTCCATCACCTACCCTCGTGGAGCTTCTCCGGCAAGGGATATAATTGGGCTGAATACTTCAACATCTGGGGCTGGGCCCTCCAAGAATATGTCCGCATCGGCGGCGTAACTCTCCTCTGTTTCCTCACAGCTCCATTAGTTTGGGGCCTTCTGGGCTATCACATTTACCTCATTTGGGCCGGCACCACCACAAACGAATCCATGAAATGGTCCGATTGGGCTGCTGAAATGGCTGACGGTTACGCATTCAAACGGTGCCTTCCCGTCGACCGGCATCGAGATGTAACTATTGAACCACTGGGAACATGCTGGCCCGCTGAAAGTGAACAAGTCATTGTTTGCACAAGTGATGGGCTGCCGCCGAAGGGTACGGGACATGCCGGGACTGGAGAATGGAATCGAGTTTGGAGATTGGCCGACGTGGAAAATCTGTATGATTTGGGATTTTGGGATAACTTGAAGGATGTTTTTTGGCCGAGATACGGGCTTTCGCATGGAGCGGGGAGGCATACCTCTGGGAAGACATCAAACAGTAATTCTTTTGGTGCTTTCGAGTCCATGGCTCCGCCGCGATAGCGTCAGCTTTGCTAGACATGGGGTAGCTTTGACCCACCGAAGCCATCATGGCGTCTTGCTACACAAGGTATATAGAAGCGTACTGCTTCCAGAGCGTTAGCCAACGACTTGTCATTGCCCAAATATTGACGAGTCATCTCAATTGGTACCCACTGACGCCTTTTGACTGGATTGGTTGATATATACCAAATCGTGGAGGCATAAATATATTAGTATGTCCCAGCCAATGTTGCCAACCCATAGCAATTTTGAAATCAGTGGCTACCTATTCATTAGCAGCGTAGATTTCCGACCACATTTCACATCAATATATTTGCCAACCCTTCATCCATTAACGTCAAACATCATGGCATCCAAACGTTCCCTCCAAGACCCAGAAGAGCGGAATCTCAAGCGCATTAAAGCTTCTACAGCGCTGACCTCACTTGTTTCTCCATGGTCATTTGGCTGGCAGAATTCGCTTGACAACCCGGGATCTCTCAAAAGGTCTCTCAGGAACAAGCATCGCAGTGGTCCCTCTGCTCCAACCTTACTCGCCCGAGATCCAATCACTTTCCTCAGCTTGTCAAAAGAAATTCAGGACACTATCTATGGATATGTTCTCATCTCACCTTCACCCCTGATCGCCTGGGCTGGGATGCATGTAGATGAAATGGAGCAGTGGCAGCATGATGAATTTGGTTACACCAAGGGTCCAGCCAGCCTATCTATTCCCCGTTACATTGAGGACTCAATAATTGTCGAAAAAACTGCGTCTAGTTTACTCCGCTGCAATTCTTCCATCTCCCGGCAAGCCGCCAAGATTTTCTACCGCAAGAACACCTTCCGCTTTTTCGGAGAATATACCTGGGGAACGGTGGTTGAGTGGCTCAATGGTATCGGCCCTGTAAATCGGGAGCATCTCACCAAGGTGGAGTTTGGCGTGAGAACACCCCAGCATGTATGGCAGCTTCCCAGTGGTGTTCGAACGCAGCTTGATGAGGACTTTGCTGAACCCGCCCGCGACGAGAATGAGAGGGAGCAGGTCTATCCCCGCAGCCATTTTTTGCATCGCCCTCCGGGTGATGACACGGATGGCGTCGTTGAGAACATCAACCCCGCTATCGAAGACATGATGAGGCTCCTTGGGCGCTGTGACAGCGGGCCAAAGCTGACGATCAGTATGCTTTTGAGATATCGGGTAGTCCCGGGGGTATCCATTACGAACGATCACTATCCTTTTCGGCACTGGTTCGGCATGGACCTGCCGAATGTGCTAGAGTGCTGCCGTCACCTCCACACCGCTGGTGGGGAGAAGAAGGTTGCTGTTCTGTGGAAGATTCAGGAGAACGTCAGGGCGTTTGGTGAGAAAAGACATGCTGTGGAAGGGAGGGGGTGGGAGGTTGTTGGTGAGGTGGAGGATGAGCTGGCTGCGACGATTCCCGTACCTGAGCGGTTGAACTTTTGGGATTTCATGGGTATCGATACTTGGGTCACATTGAGACGCAAGAGGATATATGGTACTGTTTTGGCGGATGACCCTTCTCCGCATTCTTGGGCCGGCTGTTGAGCGGCATATGGAGAGTTCAAACATTTGACAAACTTTGGTGTTCTGGCGCAGAATGCACCTCTAGGAAGCAAATGTTAACCAATACCATTCCTAGCTTCATATTTTAGCACCACGTTTTGGCATCATAGCCACCTCTCCTCTCTACTGTGAAGGCTGTCATGAGCCCTCTAGATAAGTTCAGAGGGAACACCCTCTAACATATAATACCAGTAACCAGAACAATATCAAACTGGCGGAGCGAAGCGCGGCTAGGAACGGCGACCATTTTAGGGAGGTTTGTCGTTTGTTGGACCGGAGTGACCCCAATTTGAGGCAATAAACTCTCATGGTCTCTCCCGAACTGGTTCTTCATATCGCTCAAATATGGGCCAAACAAAATTCCAAGTTGGGCGGCCAAAAGGAGGCTGTCTGTGACGTTTCATATCCTGATTTCTAAGTTTTAGCCACCAAAGAATATATTTTGATTTTCTACGCTTACCCTGGCTATACATTTCTGGGCTGGCCAATGCCACCCTAAATGAATCCTTTCGAGTTTACATCTTCTCGCAATTACTCATTCTCCTATCGTGACTTTTGACACCTCAACGGACGATGGTTTACCTGGAAGACATAGTCCTAGATAGTATTTTCCTACTGTTACAAAGGGCTCTAGGTATACAGCACTTATGGGGATTCATTTGAGCCTCGCCTCGTATGTATCGCGCCTTTTGACATTATCGAGAAGTCGTATTATCAATTGTCATTACCCGCGAGTTTGGATGACATTATTAGTGATGCTCGACCTGGCCTAGAACCAGCACTCTTACGGCCTCGTGGTCTCTCAAAAGATCAATATTTAGCATAGATATAAGCATATCAAAGTAGCAAGACAATCGAGATTTCCCTTTTAAAAAATCTTCCACTCTCATACCTTTTACCGTTATGGCAGATCCATCAAGGCGCCAAATACACAGCCGAATGCTTGTTAACACGAGCCTCTATATTCTGAAGAGCATAGGATTGAGTACGCAGAGAGCTTTGGGCGTAGACGATATTCCTTACACGTTTGCAATAATGTTTCGCTACACTCAAGACATTGGAGCTACGAAACGTCTTTACTATAAAAGCAGCTACTTTCTCGTAAATTGCGAAAAAGCACTCCTACCGTTTACCCACCATTTCTTGACCGAGACTCTAGATGAGGAGCCGTATCATCCAACTTTCATAACCCCTGAGTTTGAAGCGCACGAGGAGGCCTTACATGGCGGGGTATAGGTGGAATTTCAGGGAGATTCTACTAATCAGTCGAACGGGATTTCGCCTTGGTGCCACGAGTTTCAGCCACGTAAGCCTTGCACTGAGGCTACCGGTGGCTGTCCGATTAGAGAGGGCTTAAGGCGTTTGGATATATATTCGGGGTAGCGAGCGACTTTGTGATTCAGGTACCTTACCAAAAGACTGAGGTCAACTCCAGACCCTGAACTCTCTATCGCACAGAACATGCTGTCCAGTAACTGGTGTGACGGAGTATTACAAAGCACAGTGAAGAGTTTCCCAAGGCCAGTATTCTCGAAACAAAGTGTGGAGGATAGGATAAGAAAGGTTGTAGGCTCACACAAGCCACCTATAGCATAATAATGACCTCCTAAGCTATTCCAACTTCAACAGCCACTCTCGCCTGGGAGACTTAATCCTCCAAGAAATGAATTCAGAGGTTTGTTCTGAAGGCGCTTGGAATGATTTTATGGCGACTAGAGAGCGGAATGGCTGTAGCCCTGCTGGCTGTACCCTTCCTCAGTCAAGGGGTCTATATTAGGACTTTTATGTCTTCTAGATCCTTTCTGTCCATCTAGTATCGCCTTAATGGATATGAAAAGCGATAGCTGCTACGCAATATACCCGTCTACCTCCACTGCTTTGCATGGGATATGCTAGCTATCTAGCTTCCTCTCTCCGTGCTGCTCTCGATGACTCTATCGTAATAGGATTTGCTTGCTAAAGCTCTTCACTCAGCTCGCAGACTTCCATCCACTGCCACCCAACCACTCTGTCTCTTTTCCAGCTCGCCAATTCTCTCTATCCAAACTCGCCCTCGCAACCTCAATATCAGTCTTAATATCCTTAATCAAGCTCTCCACATCCACATAATCGAATTCCTTCCGAATAAATCCCATAAGGCACACCCTCATCCATGCACCGTAAAAGTCCTGCGCAAATTCATGCATGATATGTACCTCTGCGCTGCGCACGGTATTTTTGTAGAACGGATTGTAGCCAATCGACATAACCATAGGGTACATGCGCCAATTTGGGTGTGAGGTGGAAATGGGAGAACGAGAAGAGAGGTCTGGATGAGAGTCGGGCAATCTGATACCCGCCCAGCCAAAGTAGACGCCGCTTTCTGCAGCTTCAAGCCATGACACGCCTTCCACTGGTATGTTCGCGGTCGGGATACCGAGCTATATCATTGACGTTCACATCAGCGTTCGGGTGCTTCGTGGCAGAGAGGTACAATAACGTGGCGAGATTGGCGACGATATAAAAATGGCAGATTTAATACTAATAGCAAAGAACTTTCAATACCTCCTTAGAACCTCTCCCAAACCCAGAGACGACTTCTCCTTCCATACGCAACGGAAACGGCGATTCGGGACCGGAATCATTGCCCACTATCGACGCCCGAGGCGCTGGAGGCGGGCGAATTGGAGCCTGATGCGACATTTTGGCGGAGGACGTACGAAAGAGGACGTACGAAAGAGGACTCTGCGAATTGTCTTGTACTAGTGGGCTCTCGGACGAGTATAACGGAAATGGTGAGCACTCCAATGTGGCCGAGTTAAGATAAAGATCCATTGCTTGTGTAAGCAAGGCTGCGAGTTTTGGCCAGCCACCTACCCTCCTTAGGTACCTAGGTACTGTAGGCACGGTTTATTGAGGAGTTGTGGCTAGCGGTGCTGTGGCTGGAGCACCCGAGCAGCCAATAAATATCCCTTAGCCGAAGATCTGCCGAGAGCAACATAGCCATTGGTGATTGCCATGCAAATCATGACGTACGTTGCACAGCATCTGTTATATTCCTTCCTAAGGTACCTAGGTATGGACAGTAAATTACGAGATATTGCGGTATGGTGCGAAGGAAGATGATGAGGAATCATCCCTTAACACCTTTCGTATTCTTGGTCTTGAACGGGTTAACTTCATAGTACTGTGCTCCCTCTATATTTACAAATTATTTATAATCTATTCATAAGTGACTAATTGCCAGTTCAAGAGTGGGACACCGGAAACAAATTGCCGTACCTTAAAGCCGAAGCCAAAGAGCTACACCACGAACTAGGAAGACGCCAACACTACGAATCATAACATCCACAAGCAGCAAAACCCATGGCCCGTCAAGGCCTAATACTGGGGCACCGGCAGCTAGCGGCAGCTTCCCTTCCCCCTAACCTGAGCCCCCTGGCGGCGACGTTAGCATACGACGTTCCAGCACTAAACTCCAGTAACAGCTAAAATCCAAATTCTTGTCATCAGTCTTGACTCCCATCTCAATCCTCATAGCTGTCGACGCACCAGACTGTTTGGCCGTCCTGTTATGTCATGCTGGGGGGAAATGTATAGCCGCTGGGGATAGGTTTGAATTCAGGTTGGCATTGGAAGGACGCTGCTTCTACCACCTGCTTGGCGCCTACTGTTAACCATATACTACGTACTCGTACAATGGCAGAAGCTAGCGGGAGACACGAGGAGAAAGCCTCGACAGGCCGTTCGGAGTCGAGTGTCGAGACGGAGCCACCACCCTCCATGGAATTCCAACCGATCAGCTCCCAGCAGGATATTAGTCGACCCGGCTCCCGAGGTAACAAAGCTATATCCCTTCGATCACTGAGTCGCACACGCTCGAATAATGGATATGGCTGTGATGAAAGGGGTAGCACAGAAGAGGATAGGGTTGCTGTTGAAAATGGGCCAACGCCGGAGAAGGATCCATTCGAAGTTCGTTGGGAGGGAGGCGAGGGTGATCCGTTGAACCCAAGAGGTTTTGCGTTAGCAAGAAAGTGGGTGATTGTGCTGATTATTAGTGCGTCCTCAATCTGCGTGTAAGTGAATTTTCGATCTCTTATTTTCCGTTGGGATTGCAGGAGGATGCGGTCTATGGGACGAATCGACTCTAGACCTCGATGGGAGGTGCGATGTTAGCAGAGCTATATGAAAAACATGGCTAGGACGACTCTATGTTACATCACTTGGATGCTTGCAGTGATCAATGCTTATAAACGTTCCTGTTATAGAACCTGTACCTCCTCGATGTACACATCCGTTTACTCCCAGATGGAAAAGGAATTCAATTGCTCGCGGATTGTTGCAACCCTTGGTTTGTCGACCTTCATAATGGGCCTTGGGATGGGTCCTATGTTATTGGGACCGCTTTCGTTAGTCTATCCTGTGCAATTGAGGGCTCCTTCTAACCTTCATAGCGAGTTCTATGGACGCCGACCGATATACCTCGTTTCCTTCACTTTCTTCATTATCTGGATTATACCTTCCGCCGTTGCGCGAAATATCCAAACGATGCTCGTGGCCAGATTCATAGATGGCCTGTCAGGAAGCGCGTTCTTGTCAGTCGCAGGAGGAACAGTTGGTGACTTGTTTAACCGTGAACAACTGCAGTTTCCGATGATGATTTACACCGCATCCCCTTTTATGGGGCCGGCTCTTGGACCGCTCATTGGAGGGTTCATCAACCAGTATACAAGCTGGCGGTGGACTTTCTACGTCTTGCTCATCTGGTCAGGTGCCAATCTAGGCATGATCGCTTTTCTGGTCCCGGAGACTTATCACCCTGTTCTTTTGAGGAACAAGGCCAGGAAAGTCAGGAAAGAGACTGGCGATGAACGGTGGAAAGCGCCTATAGAGAAAAGCGACAAGTCAATTCCGAGAACCATCGCGTATTCATTGCTTCGACCTTTCCAGCTACTTCTCCTCGAGCCGATGTGTACAAACCTCTGCTTGTTCTCAGCAATCCTGCTTGGCATCTTGTATCTTTTCTTCGGCGCATTCGGCGTCGTGTTCGGCACTCATCATGGGTTCTCTTTATCACAAACTGGTCTAAGCTTCCTAGGCATCTTTATCGGAATGGTAGCTGGTGCGATGACGGATCCGCTCTGGCACAAAAACTATAGGAGGCTGATCAAGAAGCGGGAAGAAGCTACCGGGGAAATTGGAGGGAGTGAACCCGAATTCAGACTTCCTCCTGCTATCGCGGGATCGTTCCTCGTGCCAATTGGCCTCTTCCTCTTTGCGGTAAGAATGCCTGTTTGGGATTTATCCTCGAATCGCCAGACGCCGTTGGCTCCTCTCATGAACCCGCCATTCACTTCGATCACGATGTGCCTCTTCACCTAAAGGATTGTTGAACAGAGTATGCTGACTGGGGACCAATTAGTGGACTACGTACCCCTCCATACACTGGATGGTTCCAATCATTGGATCGGCCATTTTTGGGATGGGGTGAGTGGCAGCCCTTTCGTTTTGTCTTGGTTTTGGGTGGGCGCCATTGATTTACTCGTAGAGTTAATGTACAGTACGAGGCGCTGGCGGGCACGTATCCGCTTGAGGTGCCCAGTGGCGCTGAATACGAATTGTACCTGCGTTGAATGCGCCTCTCGACCACGAAGCTATTAAGCCATTTTCAATACTCGGTGTTGTGCAGTTGCATTGTCAAGCCAGCGGCTACTCGGTGTCGTCTCGGCTCGTTCTCAGAGCACCTAATTTTTAACCGCCGAGTTGCAAGATTTTTCTCAGTGGAAACGAATTGCCGGCGTGAACTCGTGAGAGAGGACTATCAATCTCTATAGGAGCCTTAGACAAGTGTTTCTAAGCAATGCATCGCGCAATCACACTCACCTGACGCCTCGTTTTCATGCACGTGTTATCACACCAAAATGTACGCGGCCGCTAACCACTGGAGTACCTCTATGCAGAACGCTCCTCGTCTTCAGCGGGATATTTACGTTTCTGGTCGACGCATATCCTCTTTATGCAGCCTCTGCGTTGGCTGCGAATAGCTTTGCACGAAGTAGTTTTGGAGGTAAGTAGTTGCGTGTCTCAGCCCCTTCTGCGAGGACCACTTCCACTGGTATGATGGGACTAACCAGTGTTATGTTATAGCTGCGTTTCCGCTTTTTGGCATTCAAATGTACCACCGGTTGGGCGATCAATGGGCCACGACCTTGCTGGCCTTCCTCACAGTTGCTATGATGCCATTTCCGTATGTATTCTTTAAGTACGGCAAGAGGATAAGGGGCAGGAGCCGTTTTGCATCTGGGCACCCGTGATGTCGATCAAGTATGGCGCCGTCAAGAGGGGCTGGGGCGTGTTATTGGATCTGTGCAATTGTTGGGTGTATCAATAGATAATGGACGCGGCTGGTTTAAACACGGGGAACGCCATTTGCCTTGGAATACCCAGGAGGAGAATAGCATCGTCAAGACTCCTTTGACATGGTGTACGATTTGTCATGTTTACATACGCCAGCCGTGACTCGCGGATGGATTGGGATCTGGAGGTTGTGCTTCAACGAATCGGCCAGCTGAGCCGTGGCATGGCCAGCGCCCATTCTTTCTTATACGAATATAATCTTGCGTAGACCCGTACCGGGCATGGTAACGGGGTGGCGGTTGCACGGCGTCTTGCTGGTAGAATAGCTGGTGGGGGGTCATATGATGGTCAACATATGTGCATCCAGTGTTGGCCGCCTTGAAGCTTGTCACAGAGATCACCACACCACACTCTTTCAATGGCGGGCCCGCGATGCCGGTGCAGCAGCTTCCAATCATCAAGCATCAAGCATCACAATACGAGAAGTAGGACAAACCACCACCCTTGTGCACGCGCCTGCAAAGGATCGGGCTCACCAGTTACTAGAAGCATCCCAGGGCTTTCTTCAATTGCATACCTCCAGGTTTCCGGGGACTGGCAGCGCCAGTACCTTGCAGCACCACCAGTGCCTACGTGCCAGGGACCACATAGTATAGGATCGTAGGACTGGCTATGCTGCGACCATGCTGTACTCCGGCTGCGGGGACCCTTATCTTATTTTTATTCTATAGTGCTTACTGCGTACCTACGTACTATCATTGCAAAGCTGTTTATACCATTGCCTTTCTTAGCTTGGCTTGCGAACTCCAATCCGCGCCTTGCCAATAATCGAGTCTCATAATTCCTGACCCTAGAATCCAAGATGCCGTGGGAAGGCCACCCGCAATATGCAACCGCAAGGTGCTGCCCCTCTCCTTTTCCTTCTTGGCCCTCGTAGTAATGGGTTGGCATTGGTGTTGGCGTTGGTACTCGTAAGGAGGTAAATAAGGTAAATGGGGAAAATAAGAAAAGGGCGGAACATGCGCAATCGGAGTGCCGCCATCTGACCGAGTATGACGATAGATCCTAGTAGTATGAACGAAGCACATGTACAGCACTCGTCCAGTCCCTTTGAGTTTTGCTTTTCGATACTGTAGTATTCAGGACCCTCGACCTGGACCTCGGCCCCTTCGGTACTCGCCACTCGCCTTTTACCCGCTCCCCCGCCCCCTATTTCCCCCTATTCCCCCCGACTCACCCTATCCCCCATCGGGAGTTCTTAGCGAGGCATTGTGGCTGACAAAGCACATCCATCGAAACATCCCGGTCGACCTCCGCAGCCGATTGAACCAAAGCCTCTTCATCTTCTTCACCACATCTTCACCACTTCACCACCTCACCACCACCATCACCGCCCCCAACCTCTGCCTTATACCCTTCCTATGGACATTGCCCACCACAATCCGCAAACTAAAACCTTGCTGCCACTCCTACCGCTGTCCAGGAGCCATACAGTTGTAACACCCGCTCTCCATCTGCCACTTCCCCCACGACCAATAGCAGCTCTCTCAGAACCCCAATTGGCTCGCCGCCGCCGTTGCGATTCTTTATTTTACCTCATCTCACCTCGTCACATCAATCACATCAATCACATCACAGAGCTACAACAGACCCAGAGACCCAGATCCCAGAGTAGATCGCTGCGCTGCGCTAAACGCCTCTGCTACCCCCCCACGTCGGCACTCTACGCCTGAGAAGATCCAGTAGCCCGGATCACAATCTTTTCATATAGCCTTCCAGGGGATCTTGCGTGTTCACCTGCAAGCCCTATTCGAAGAACAGAGATCATCCCGCTCACCATTACCCTGGCACGCAATAATCGGTATACCCCCCATTGGAGTTCGTACTGCGCCGCTGTGGGCAAAGCAACGGGTAGCGGGCGCGATATATTTGGGCATCAATGCTATTGTGCGGTGTCTTGGTGCCATTGGCTTTAGCGGTCGGATACTTGCATCGCCACCGCGTGTCACAGCATTGATACACCTGGCGCGAACCGTGAAGTGGGCACTGGGAAGTCCAACGATCGAATCCCCCCATCATAATTGCGCGAGGTAGGACGTCGAGCACGGCCTAGGCAAAGACGAGAGGCGTACTAGTGAGATCCGCCGCGTGATCCGGGCGCTGTGTTGGGTGATATCTACTTTTGTACGTCCTGAGGTGGTATTGGTCGGCGACCTAACCTGGCGGCTGTTGCTCAACAGCCTACCTAGCAGGGGAACAGAGACAAAGTGCTGGGAACCCACGGTGCGGTACGTACACTACGTCACGACAGGCCGCCCTGGAGAAAGGGGTCTTTTATGCTGTTTGCGGGTGACGAGCTGGGATGTTGGAGGGCGCCGGACCTGACGATCAAAATACAAAACAGCAGCGAAACGGAGCGATCGCCGAGCAGAGCTGAGGGCTAAGGTATATGCGAACGCGTGCCTGTGGCCAGACCGACACGAGGCGAAACGTGGTGAGCATAACCAGTGGCCGGATAGGTGCTTGCCGTTGCTGAAGATTTCGGAGGCTGCTGTGGCGAGGCCCCTATTCACAAAAGGTACTGTGTGCCAGGGTGTTGCGCTCGGAATAGAACCAGACGGAGAGTTGTTGTCCCTGCGCGGCGCTTTGGGAAGCTAAGGGCTTGTTCGACCTCCAAGGAGCGGCGACAGAAGGGCAGCGCAGCAGAACTGTATAGGCGGAGGCAAGGTGATTGTGCATTGCTAGCGGCTTTGGAGGTGCTGTTCCACAGCATATCGGTATCGTGCTTCCCTTGGCTTGTGCCACAGAGCCTCTGTGCCAGAGCCTATTCCAGGGATTGTCAAGCGAACTCCTGACGGAGGCTCTGCATTGGCTGAGTGTGGTGTTGCAAGAGGCAAGCTGTCGGTGCAGATTGGCCATCCCAAGTGGGTATTTAATACAGGATGTCGGGAGATACTGAGATTGAGGATCCTGATATTTCGGATGGCGCTTCGGAGAATGAGTATACTGATCAAGAGCAAGAGCCTAATGCTGTAAGAGAAGAATACGATAATACGGACATGGCGGAACAAAAAGTCAGGCCAGATGGCGATGGGAATGGCAAGACCGTAGGATCGACAGTAGCAACAAAGCCCAAGTTAGATCCCAAAGATCCGTTACGGCCGCGGAGAAAAAAGGCGAGAAGGGCGTGCTTTGCATGCCAAAGGGCCCATTTGACTTGTGGTATGTATTGCTTCACTTGAGGAAGACTTGTTGTTTGTTGGCCTGCTTTCACGTCAATACTCCTCTCAATGCATCATGGTTAACACAGGCATTAGGTGATGAGCGTCCATGTCAACGTTGTATCAAACGAGGCCTTGCAGATGCTTGTCAAGATGGCGTTAGAAAGAAAGCTAAATACCTTCACGATGCCCCTCCTGAAGCGCTTCGACCAGTTCTGGGACCAAATTACAATCCAGTCAGCAATCCTCGAGCAAATAACGGCCCCCCAGCAACGAGCACCTCGGCATCGGACGCCTCTCCGGGTGTTGGTGGTTTCTTCTCCCAAGCTGACATATCGCCGTCATATCCGATGTACACAGCCCAACAAAATCCAATGCCACCTCCTCTACAATCACGGCTATCTTACAGCAGTCAACAATCTCCTTTATCCCCGGGGTTTCAAAACCAGGTGCATCGGCAACCCGCAATGCAGGGGATGGTTCCCCAAGTGTCGAGTGATGTCCAGAATTCGTTTAATGGGGCCCTCTTCGACCCCAGTAACCCTGCCCTATTCAATTTTGACCTGGAAGGTCTGAACTTTGGGAACCATTATGGTGCATTGGAATTCGGCATGTTGGGGCACATGTCCTCTGGGGCAGCAGAAGCTGAGTCGAAAGACTCGATATCATCTCAGGGGATGAATACTGTCAACTTTAACAATAGCGCCGTCTTTGGAAGCAACATGGATCAATTTGCCCCCGTGTATTCGCAAGACATGGTGCCAGATTTTATCCCTATCGATCGACAGAACAGTGCCGGCCAGCTATTCGCGAACAATATACATGGCGTACCGCATGCATTTGCTATTGCCACCGGTCCTACTAGCCATCACAGTCCAAGCACCGATGCAAGTCCTGGTGCTAGTGGAATGGGTTTTGAGAGCTCTCCTTCTAATTATACCCCCGCTGCTACACCCCATCAACAACACCAATCACATCGACCACAAAAACGACAAGATGGGCAATCAGGTCAAAACCAGAAGTTCGGTCCCTCAATGCTTGCAAAGCGGACGCGGGATGCCTCCTCAATCTATGAAACCGTCCATGAACCCTATTCCTACACCACAGGTTTCCATAGCCTCACAGCTTGGATTCAACGGCGTTTCTCCCCTAGCAAAACTCTCCGCATAGCCAAATCCCTCGCATCTATCCGTCCCTCTTTCATCTCCTGCACTAAAACGCTAAACCGACAAGACTTGATCTTCATGGAGAAGTGCTTCCAAAGGACCCTTTTCGAGTACGAGGAGTTCATGCTCAACTGCGCTACACCAACTCTTGTGTGTCGGAGAACAGGCGAGATTGCTGCCGTGAACAAGGAATTTACGCTCCTCACCGGATGGAAAAAGGACGTCTTACTGGGGAAAGAACCTAACCTCAATGACAACACCGGGCAAAGTAATATCTCCGGCGCGAACACCGCTGGCAGCTCGGAGCGAGCTGGGCTCGCGACGCCAAGGATGCGCCTTGTTAATATGGCCGAAGGGCAATCCAAGGAGGGGCGGCCACAACCTGTGTTCCTTGCTGAGTTAATGGACGACGACAGCGTGGTCGAATTCTACGAAGATTTCGCGCGTCTAGCGTTTGGGGATAGTAGAGGAAGTGTGACAACACGATGTAAACTCCTCAAATACCAACCAAAAGAACCACCCGAGGGATCTGAAGCAGCTATCAAGGATGAAGCTAACAAGAGGAGAGAGTTGTCCACCAACATTAGTGGGGTGGGCAATAGAGTCCGGGAGATTGAAGGCGAGAATGGTATTGGCCGGCTAGAGAGGGATGGTAAGATGGATTGCACTTATTGCTGGACGGTTAAGAGGGATGTGTTCGATATACCTATGCTAATTGTCATGAACGTAAGTTGCTCGATCTTATTTCCCCATCCACCGGAGCACCCATTCTTAGATGTAATATGAACTGGGGCTAACACCTTAGGCGTGCTTTCAGTTCCTTCCTTGCATTTAGCACATTATATCATATCCAATCATCCCCGCACCTCAGCCTCCTTAATCAAGCTCAGCAATACTTCTTCCAAGCAAGGGTATGGCGCCAACAGAACAGACTCTCGATCTTCATTGCACATCACTTGGATAAAAACGGCGCATGGTGGGAAGTTATCTCCCCCAAGTGGGATGGTACAAAAATTTGGGATATAGGCTAGGGGCATGGCTAGGATACATGCATCAATAGATTGGATAGGATAGTCCTTGAGTAGGTACTGATCGTACTACCACGAGCTCCTTCCTTTCTCTGGGCGGCGTACTCGGCTTTTTCGGTGCATTGGGATTTTTGAAAAGTGTTCCTGGACGATCTTGAAGGGACATGATGTGGATGTGGAATACATGAGTGCGGATGGGGCGACCCAATGGTGGTACGGCGAGGAAGGGTAATAAGCTGTGCGGTAGATACCTATGTCACGAATGATGATGTCGAATAGGGTAAGCAAATTTTGCTCCCTAGGTACTCTCCGTTTTTATTTATGGAAGCTCCGTATTCCGCAAGCTTTCCGGTGAATGCGAAAAGAACTATGCAATTGCTAAACGTGATTCGCTCGAGGTGAGCCAGAATATTTCATACCCCTTACATACTCCAAGACTTGTTTTACTCTCCTCTCATCCCAATTTCAATATTCTCCTTTTGCAAATTTTGGTTACCTACAAATGCCTACTATCGTTGGTTATTGAAGATGACTCTGCATTGTAATTCCGACGGTTGTGATATTATCGCAGTTCGAATTGCAATGTTTACGTTTGCATAGCAACTGGAGCTTTATTCAATGGCTTTCCTGTTGCACGTCGTTTATTCCATGCCGAGACTTGACTGACTGTCTTCAGTTACGCCTAGCACTGGCGGCTGTGGTCTTTCATCCTACATGTGATGTACATTAGCTCTCACTTTGGCCAGAGAGCGTCAACATGAAAGGTTCTCCAACACTTCGCTTTGCAGCAACTAATTCACCTCTAGTTTCACTTTATTACGCATTGTTCTTTCTCTGAAAATGTCTTGACATAGTTTTAGAATTTTGGCGTAGAATCTGCTTTACCTACAATAACTACAAAGGTATGATCTTACACAAACACCTGCATATCTCTTTGAATTACGAAGGAACGAACAATTAGCTTGCTATAATGCAACGGACGTCGTACTAATTCATGGTAAATGTGGCTGCCAGTTGTAAAATGCAAAACTTTTGATTTCATCAGAGAAATCCTCACTTTCGACAAGTCTAGCAGAAATCAATCTCTGCCAGCCACTGTCAACCACTTCAACTACTGTCACAGAATGTCGTGGAATATACTTTCAATGAATCCAGAGTTACTTAAGCAGTGGGAAGGCATTAGCGACCCCCAGAAAGATATCCTACGAGCTGAACACCACAAACCATGCCTCGCCAGGACGCCCATCAACCCCACGACTGAGGTGGTCGTGGGTTCCAGCATCGATTCCAGCGGCGAGGTCGTGGAAATATATAGAAGTGATGTCTTGCAGATTCTCAGTCAAGGGCCAATCACTGTTGCCCCAATCGAGAAGATGCTCTATATTATTGGTAGATATGCCAACCAAACATACAGCAAGTATCCGCCTTATTGTATAGTTCTACAATCCACGCACTCCAGAGACATATAGGCCGGAAGATATGAAGAAGATTCACGGAAACTCGGCGGTCTAAAAGTAACTCGGGATATTTTCTTTGCAACAAGCTTCATCTTCATCCCCTTCATGTTGGATCAGCCCTCGCAGCTCATTCCTCTTCTTGTCGTCTCCCCTTTCCACAGGACGGTAGAGTTACTTGACAGCAACTGTAGTGGATATGGCATAGGTGCTCTAGAGGTCGAACTTCTAGGGAGAATCTTTGGGTTTCTCGCCATTCATCTAGGGAATCGGTTCAACCCGCTCGATTGGCGACTTCGCCGAGATGCAGCTTTGCAGCAAATCTTTCACAAGGGTGAATCCGCCCTTACCGTAATGTCAAATGCTATGGCTATTGCATTCGGATACGAAATTCCCGGATGGATGACTATCTATTTTGACGGACATATCCTCACGGATGGATCTCTGGATTGGGAAAATTTGACGTTTCAGATACAGCTCCAAGATTATAAAGCTAAGAGACTTCGGGCAGCGAGCGAACTGCTTCATGGTTGTTTCGAACCGTATATTTTCTCAGGCGACGATGAAATGAATGCCTTTGCGTATCGTTTTGGCGCTCACGATTACGCTAAGCCCCTGACGACGTATCGAATTACGAGAAATGGAATTATAGCAGCCCTGACAGTCACAGAGCTGAATTTAGGCCCCTAACAGGGAGCCCCTATGTCTATAATTACACACTCGGTCGTCCTTGGGAGGCCAACATACAGCAGCCAAGCATTATATTGGGATGATGAGAATACGGGGGTAGAGGTTAAGCGAAGGTTTGAGCTTGTTAGAATGGTTTTGACAGTGGGGTTTGGAGATACAACCGTCAGAAATAGAGCGCCTAAGCAAAATTAAAGTGTGCTGTGGAATAAAAGGGTGTTCGGCGTTCGTGGGGATATGTATATAGTATTATTGTACGATAATTGCGCATATGGTAGTTTCCCTTGATCGTGGCTCGAAGAGTTATTTCAGAAACCTACGCACTTCAGAGAGCAAGGTCCTAGAATCCAATCCAGTTACCGCCGCAGTTTTAACAATCCAAAGTACCGAGTGTGGACTTATAATGATGTTAAATTAAATATCCAGCTTCCAAACATAACCTTGTAGGTATTATTAATAGCACACGCTAAGTATATATCGATTTTATAGTTACATACTACCTACCATTCATGATTAGAGGCTAGAATAAAACATACTTTCCCATTGATGAATCCCAAACATAAGATGAGGTATAGAAAAGGTATCAAATGACACTTAGCTTATCATCCAACTTACTCACACCTATCAAAAGCTAAGGGGGTGTAAGTAAAGAACCACCTCTATAAGAGTAGACATCCTCTTCTGATATCTACCATATCAATTTGAGTTCTTCTTTTCTATTAGTGCATTCCTCCGGGCTAACCGTCTAGATCGTGACTCCGTAGAAGACGCCCTCAATGCCTTAAATACGGATCTTTTCTCCATGCCCCAATCACAATTCTTCGCTTGACCCTCTCCCAAGAATTCGGTACGAATATCCAATGAAGCTGGTGGTGGCATTTTGATGCCATGGGACGAAGCAACGGCTAAGGCAGCTTGATGACGGTGCTTAGCTTGACGGTGCCAAGCCGAGGGCTGAGAAGTTTCACCGGCGAGGCACGTATCCTCCACCTCCGCTGCCCTGACCCCATCTTCAATCGCCCCGTCTAGCTCAGACTGGTTGGGATTCTCTTCTTGCGGATCGGGCTGACCATAGGCAGTGTATATGGTGTCATTGTCGCTGAAGATCCGGCACATTACAGGCGGCCGTCTATCGAGGGTTAGCGAGCCGGGGATATAAGCGTGGTCTTTGTCAAGGACGCTGGCCACCTCAACAATTTCAGGGACTTTAGTCATAGTGCTCGCTGAGATGGTGGCGATGGCGCGGAGGGTGGCATCACCCCCAGGCATAGTAGCCTTGACCAGCGAGGAATAAGCCTTTTCCCGAGTGCTGTCGTCCAGGTAGATGTCACAATTCTCGCATTCCCAACCCACATTCACCGTTATCTGCCGTATAACGGGATACTCCATCACGTACGCGCTAGATTGCCAGCTCTTGGGGATAAACTTAGTCTTGCAGCACTCTATGTGCACCGCGCGGTGGCCGCAGGATTCAGGGTGGTGTATGATGATCCTTACGCACATTTCGATAGTGAGAATGTAGCGCTGAAGGCAATTTGGGGTGATGTTGAAGATATAGGTCAGAGATTTGGATTTGGAACCGTGGATTATAAAGCAAGATGGAATTGCTCGGTGAGGGTAGTTTGCTCTTTGAGCGGATGGTTGTTTAGAAAATAGCAAGACAATGAAATTGTTTGATAATATGATTGTTTATAATGGTTTAGCGAGAAAGAAATATTGGGGTTCTTAAGGTCTTTGTGGAATTGTACTGCGAATATGATTTCTTTGTCTGTAAAATAGCTCTTTGTGCTCAGTTTTTAATCAGGATATTATACACAGAAATGCAAGAAACAGAAATATAATAATTGTAAACTGTCTGTGCCGCATCGATTATAGCGTGAAAGATGGGTTCAATCAACGTAACTGGAGAAATAAGTAACAGCGGGCGTGATTAAAAGCACAAGTAGCACTATCCTGCTGTGCCGGAGTAGTGCGTGAATAAAGTGAACATAAGCAGTAAAGCAATCGTCAAAAGAACGGAGAACGGGAAGATAAAAGAGTAGCTCAATTGAAGTAACGCCTCATGTGAAAAAGAAATTAGGCTACTGGTATTATCCAAGGGCCATATGTCACAGTTTCTCCATTGGGTAGAATATAGTTTGAAAATAATGCATTGGTGGGTCGCAAATCATGATATAGTTCTTTAATATCATACCAGACCACCCTGAAAAGCTTCGCTCTAATCATACGCGGCCGTTTTGATTTAAGTCTCTAGTTATTAGATAACTTTCCTACAAAAGGAGGATTAGAGTGAGCTCAATAGTGTGGATGTGCAGGCGTAAATTTACCAAACTGGTTCATCCTTCTCGATATGCGGAGTCTGGACCGCATTACGATCAGCGAATGGATCGTCATCATCGTCTTCCTCAACATCATCGATGTCTTCATGGGCTGGTTGGATTTGCACTGGTGGTCGAGGGGGAGGTGAAGGACGCTGTTCCATGGCGGAACCTTTGGCATTGATATGAAGGCCAGCCAGCTCCTGTGCTGCTTCGTTCTCCTTGCTCTTTTCGGCGGCGACTAGAATCGAGAAATCAGCAACGGAATACATGATGAGCTGAGGAATGGAGCGGGTTCGCTTACTCTTGTTGTATAAGTGAGCCTGCTCAGCCATCTCGTCATCTGAATCGCTATCAGCATCTATGGATCTATCGAGCTGCTCAAATGTCATTAGGGCCGTGACGAGTTCATCGTTAGCATGGAGTAGAGCTCCCAGCCATTGCTCAGCCTCCACGTGTTGAATCTAGCGAAGTAGTTAGTAAGATATATGATTCTAAGTTGCACGTTCCTTGGCTGGAATGAAACTTACATAGCGTAATATCTTTCGTCGAAGGAGCTTGCAGATCTCGAAATGTTGGACAGCAGCCGGGTTCTCAGATATTTGTTCACGCTCACGATTGATTAATCTGAGAGCATTCAAAAGATTCGTGGAGGCCACAGAGGATTCCGCGATACAATTCTTCATAGTCTCTTTCTCCGCCTCCAGGTTAAAAACTCGTTGTTTCTTCTTGCTCTTCTTCTCCTTCTCCTTCTCCTTTTTAGCTTTCTTGGAGGCGGCAACCGTTGACGTTGGGCCGAAAAATGAAGTTGATGGCGGTGAGCTTCTACTAGATTGCCCCTGAGAGAGTGACGTCTGTCGAGAGTGGGTTGGTGGTGGCGTTTCCTCTTCGTCGTCGGCTTCAAATGGATTTTGTTCTGTCTCACGAAGGACCTTGGACTTATCCTGCGTGACAACTTGTTTGCGACGAGGAAGTTCCTGGGTCGGTTTTAGCAGTTGAAAATAGGTTTGGGACACGTGAAGAATACTTTATACAGAGCAGCGATTCGCTCAAGGCCGCGCGTGTTCTTATACTCAACCGCCCAGGCTCTAAAAAGCTCTTTACACTTGTCCTTTACCAAGGGGTCGGAGAGGTCCGACGTCCCACAGACCCGCAAACGTTCCAGTAGCATTTCATCAGCAAACGCACGTTGGAACCGAGCACCGGCATTCTGAATCAGGCCGTCCAAAATGGTGAGAGCGCGTAGCTGGCGGTGAACATTTCCATACTTGAGCTTCTTCCGGATAGCTCTGGCAGCCTCTCCCGGACCAGTTGCTTGAAGTTTGATGGCCTCTACAAGATCCGGGATGCCGCTGAAGTCGTCCTCTTCATATTGCTCGCTCGTGAGGTTCTCGACAGCAACAGTAACCGCGGAATAAGGCTTCTTCTGCAGTATGAAATTTGTGATTAGCATACTGGGCATGAGGGCACTGCCGCATTCTACGTTGAGCGAAGGAATTGAGATTCGGGTATGGAGCGGGCCTTCTGAAATTTGCATGCTAGCTGTGAAGCCTCTTCATGGTCTATCCTCGGGAAGTTTAGACTTTAAAGTTCCAATGAGCAACCTGAGTAGCCCAGGTAGCTTGGATAGCTAATCAATTGACCACCGTACCTGGTCACTTTTGATTCAAACCGAATAGCAATTGAGACTAGCCGGGTTGGAGAAGGGGTATGAGAAGATGGAATTAACATGTACAAAAAAATTACAAAACGAGGCTCAATTGATAGAAGGAAACTTCGACGCAGCAATGCAAATAAAATGTTAGACACGATGGGCAAAGGGAACGGACTGACCGAGGAGAACATGGTGTTGTAGTTCGCAACAAAGGGTATTTCGGCTAAGGCTATTCCTACCCCCGCACAAGATAGGGCAATGGGTGCGGATGTTGCTTTGGCTCCTATGTAAATAATATGGTGGCTGGATGCTGTGGGTATCAGCTGAGGGTTTGGAGGTTTGCCTCTACGCTCAGCGTTTGCGTTGACTTGGGCTGCGAATGTCAGGCACGTGCTTGTCCGAAGCCTCAGCTATAAGGTGGGTAAGGTACCAGCTCAACAAGGGACTGATAGAACGGGGGGACGCAATACTCGCTATAGATTACTCGTGATATGGCGAGCTCAACGAAGGGGCGACGGAAGACGAGAGCGACGGAAAGATGACGAAGCCCATGAAGAAGCACATGAAGATATACCTTAGATAAAGAGTCACGGGGCGACTTAGCTATGGCGCACTCATTGCCGAGTTTCGGCCGCCATGCTAGATTCCGCTGCGAAACGTGTAGCTCCACAATAACTATAACTTCATCACCACCGCCATCCTATCCACACCACGATAGCGTTATTACCGTCATCATTATTTTGCTGGGTGTAATTAGGAGTCTATAATCTCGGGACCACAATGTCGCCGGAGGCGTCAGTCATATCAGATCATCGCATTTGGCTGGCGGCAACTGATTGTTTAATAGAGTACATCGCAGTTTCGATTACCCAATAACCTTTCCTCCTGTCGATCACAAACCTGCACTTTCTCGGCCTAGCAGCCCATGCGAAGCCCTTCAAAGTGGAGTGGTTAATGGCGGAAATATTCTCGACTTATTAGAAGCTGAGAAGTCGACGAACAGGAGGAGCAAGCGGACATATCCTCTGGCGAATAATGAAGAACCGGTCTCTCTCGGGAATGTCTGGCTATATATGAACGAAGACAACGTGGGATACCAGGCCCAAGGAAGTCTGTCAGAGACAGACCCCCCAAGAGGGGAAAGTCGGCAGCGAGCCCACAATCACAATCAAGACTCAAACTCGATTCGAACCCCGCAAGCTGGGAACTTAACGAGAATGATGACATTGGACTGCAGGACCATGGCCAAGGCCGCAAGATACATGATTCTCAATTGATCACCCCTCCGGAAACTACGAGAAAGTCTAAAAGCAAAGTGTTATTTGCTGGTACAGGTAGTAGCGTGGCTCAGCTGCCAGCGTTCAAGAATCTTACAATCACTAAGCTATTGCTACCTCAAGGAAAAGTTGACGAAGGTGCAATTCTCCACCTACAGGCCGTAAGCAATCATCAGAGATGGATGACAACGCAGGATGCGGTTAGGTCGGGTGGAAATGGGATTGCGAAGACGACTTTAAACAAACTTGCAGCCTTCCGGCACAAGGGCATTTCTCAGAATCCTTCTGCTGACACTGCGGATACTCAGCTAGTCCAGTATCCCGGGCAATTAGAAGATGTAGCGTCGGAAGTGGCCCATCGTTTATCAGACCACCGCCTTGCTTCAAGTAGCGATGGCCCTCTTAGACAAAGTCTCGAGAACACCGAGATAAGTGATCTCTCCTTTAGTGAACCCAATCGCGAGCATAGCCAAGCAATACAGCCATCCACGGATGGAACCATCGACGCCCATCAGCGGACAAGTGAAGCTGACACGCGACTGGTGGGTGCCAACCATGTGTTGACCATTCCAACACTTCTAAGCAAACTTGAGACTCATCAAGAGCATCAGTTTGATTTCTATACACGCCAAACTCGTTATGACAGTCCCACTTCTAGCGGCAACCAAGGGCTGTACAGCCTTCTAGGTAGCAGCGATATACTCGGAGTAGAGCCAGAGCTAGCACGAAATGAGTCACAGATGCTTCCAGTAGCTGTCGGGACCTTTCCTGAAGGCATACCCTCAAAAAGTGCAGACAACACTTTTCGCCAACATGCCAGTGAATTTGGAGCTACAGGCATTAACCACAGCCAATTTTCGACAGACTTCGAGGCGGACGAGTTTACTGAAGGCTTGGACGATGCCGATCTTCTTGCCCACATTTCTGGCGGTACGACTCCAGGTATAGGCCTAACAGGTAGCTCAAAATACGGGGAGGAGAACCCCTCTCAGCCCGATCTCAGCAGTTCCAGTCATGGTCAAAGGTGGCCTAAATCCAGCTCCGTTCTCCAAATCGATAAAACGTCAGGAGAGCGGCTCGAATCACTGGTGAACACAATGGCCCCATCTACATCATTTCCGCCGACTCGCAGCTTTAGCCTAACTGAATACTCTATAGACGCCGAGGAAGAGGAAGAAATGCTGAAGTTACTCGACCCACCTGCTGGGGTTGTTCAGAATTTCCAAGCGCCTGTAAGCTTTCAGCAACTTATCGAAGATGACTCTGATTATAAAGACGTATATGGTAGTTCTCTTCGCTTTCCTTCGCCACTAAATTCACGGGAGCTCGATATTTCATCAACAAGAGCAACGAACAATCATACTACTAATGACAGTAGTGACCCCTCTCCACCGGCAGTAGAAAATTGGACGATCCTGTGCGGTAGTGGGAGCGCTAGGGGAGGGGGTAACAGTACTTGTGCGTTTCTAGGTATCGAGCGTGGGAGATCTTCGATGCTGATGCCCCCGCCTCAACACAAGATGCCCGGTTATACGGTAGCAGCAGCAGCAACAGCGACCTGGGACACATCCAGTGCGATCCCGGATGACGCACATGAATACGAACCTCTCAGGCCCTTTGTGCGACTAGACCTCCCACTTCTAGTTCAGGATCGTTGTCCTATAGTCGGGGTATCTGCTCAATGCTTTCTCCGCGTCTGTTTCCGAATTGGTGAGATGTTTAGGGAGAGTGCTAGGTGCTATGCGAGAAGCCAAGATGCCGTGATTGAGCTGTTTGCCCGGGTCACATTTTCATCCCACGACGCTCACACTACGGAGCAGCACTTTCAGTTTGCAGATTTTTGGAGTAACAACACTCCTTTTCCAACTGGTATCCTCATGAACTACAAGTCTACTGGTCTCGTGGAGAGCGAAAGCAGGGTGTTCGTTGGCGCTGAGAAGGAGAAGATGGCCAGGTGTTTGGGGAGGCTGAGAAGGGACCAAAAAAGCGCTACGGGCTGGGTGCTAAACATTGCCAACATCCGGGAGACTGAGTGGGAGGAAATCAGATGGACAAAAAGGATTGTAGGTGCAGGCCATGTGAAATCGGAGGCGAGGCCATCATCAAATCTATGGCGCGAAGGATGGGTATGATGCCGTTGAGAGGTGTTGCTATTATTGCTATCCCACATACCTATCTTGCTCAGCCCGCAGAGAACTAACATTTAGGCGTACTGATCAAAGCTCAAGCAAGTGGCTGGATTTGCTATACTAATTGTAACAAACCTAGACTTTACTCAGAGAGCCAGCGAAACTAGGCATCCAGAATACTTCATTAAAATCCGGTTTCCTGCCTACCCTGGTGATTCCGCCGCTGATAACTATAAGGTATTAATCGGAGGATAAAGCAATTACTCCGTACTGTGTATTAGTACGCTAATCCATGTATAAGTACGTCCGTACCCCGCGGTGTTGAAGCCTGAAGGAACCCTGGGCAGGGACTGAGCAGTGAGGTCGCTCTTCTCCAGTGCTTTGGTCTCAGCACAGGCCCTCGCAGATGATTTCCCATTGTGGTCTTATTCGACGAGAAACGATATGCGCCCGCGCCGCAGCCCTACAAGTTACAACGCCATCCGAGACTTTGATTGGCACCAATACTTCAATGCCGAGCGAGAATGGTTACAGAAGCAGGCTGAGAGGGAAAGCTGACGCGGCGTGGCGGTGCAGTTGACAGGTCCCGTGACGGCCCTCATAGTCGGCCTAATAACTCTCCATCTCCATCTCCACGCTCCTAGATTAATGATGGATTCCCTTGCTGATGCGTAAAGCTTCAATCCTGGGGTCTTGGTGGAACCACCTGTTACTTCTCATCGTGCCTTGATATCATACTGCCTTTACGGTTTTAATTCCAGGTCAAGGGAACGAGAAGCTACGAAATACAGGAACGACGGTACACCCCACCGGAACGATGAGTAGACATCGCTATGAAACTGTTCGTTCCCTTCTGGCTTTGGAGAACCTCCTTTACCTACCTATCCCACCACTCCTAACTTCAAAGCTAACACTCCCTTCTCCAGGTCCCCCAACGGGACACAAGCTTCTCGTCACAGTGCCCCCAAAGCACCCAAAGCCCAATAATCCTTTCCCCGATACCCAACTTTAACTCTGGTCTCCCGACCTCCATTGCCTCCTCCATCTCCTCCGCGCCGTCCTCGCCACCTCCCTCCTTCCACACCTACTCCTCGCCCCCTACACCCCGGCCTGCACCCAGCACTATGACCCAAACCACCGCCAGCACAGGCAGCGGAATGCCAGGTCCGTACGGGGACCTCTGGGGCGTAGCACCCAGCACCATCGGCGGCGAAGGCCAAACAAGCAATGACGCGCTGGCCACAATCGCCGGCCTAAAGCAACGCGTGGAGTGGTTGGAGGAATCAATCGGGCGCCTCCTCCTCGAGAAAGAAACCCCGTCGTCATCCTCTAGCAAATGCGAAGAATGCTCCCACCAGTCAGGTAAGCAAGATAGAAATAACTGCTGTGTGGTATTTACGGACGCTTCGCCCGATCTGGAAAAAGTTATTGCGAGTAGTCGGTCGAATTGCTGTGTTACGTTTTCGGCGAGCGAGAGGTATAAAAAACAGCAGAGACGGAGTGGGTTTATTCTTGCCATGTTGGTGATTTCTGTTACTATTATTATGGTCATGGTGCTTATGAACGGGAAGAGGGCGATAAAGGGGAATGGCGATTTTAGGGCTGAGAAAAATTTCGAGGGGGGTGCTTGAGAGTGTGGAAGGGGCGTTTTGGGGTTGGAATAGGTATTGGAAGAATGGGGCAGGTGCGTCCATTGGGCCAAGGGATATAATTGTTTGATCTGCGTCTAGAGTTTCGATCGGATATGGTCTTTTGATTTTGGAGGTTGGAGCTACGTCTATCTTTTGATTTGCTCACCCATGATACATTATCTCTACATATCTATCTTAGATTTTAGGGGGAGGGTGATTTCCTTCGTCACTAACCTTCTTGCAAATACCACCTCACTTATTATACTGGGTCCCGTCATCTGCTTCCGGTTCTTTCTACATCCCATTCCAACCAATTGCCCAGTTCAAAGTTCCTAGAGCGCCGTCCGGGCGGCCCGTCGGTTCTCGGCCTCGTGAGGTTTGCCTGTTTAGTTCTCTTGTCTTTCTCCCCTTTTCATGTTGGCCAATAATTTTGCAACCTTAGCTGCGGATGGCTAGCATACATACAGCTTTGGTGCATACACAAAGCTTCACTCTCCGTGCCTGTAGCGAAGTTTTCTCGATGGGTGATGATTTGGAACCTTTACTGGGCAGTTAGAACTTAGAATGGGCTTTGCATACCTAGGTAGGTACAACCCACAAGAATACCCCAAACCGGCCCAATGGAATGTATTATAGACTCAGATAAGGGGTTGAAGAGGCCACGTGGATGTCTATCATGATTCTATGAGAGTAGGTGGATTCTAGACGCTGCATTGGAGGCCATAAATTATTAGGGGAGAGTTTGTTCTCTATTTGTTTCGGTTTCCCCCTTTCCGCTCTACCTCCTTTTATTTTCTTCGCCTTGCTTTTATTCCTTTACGCTAACCCAGTAACAACTTTCTAGCCAGTTGCCTCTTCACATACTAATCCTGTCAACTCGCTTCAAACTGCGGCATAAAAAAATACCTCTACGAGTAGGAATTTCCCTGAGCGGCTTCATTGTCGTCCCCGCTGGTATTGGCTTCAAGTACCCCGCGGCGAGCACCAGCACAATCAGGCTCCGTGGGTCAATATTGGCGAGCTTACCGTCAAAACAAGCCGAGATCAATAGTATGGGAGAATTCTGCCGAGCTCTTGGCAGGTATGCTGATCATAAATTAATGAATTCATCCGTTCAACCCAGTAGTTGAGTAATCGGACGTCTATCTGTACACCGTCCCAACCATGCAACCAAAAGCCAAAGGAAGCCCGATAAAATACAACAGTCCAATGCCTCTCTTGGCAATTGATAGAAAGAGTGAAGTTTGTGTAGGGTGCCATGTGGGACGAACAGCACATGTGATATTAGGATCGCACCGAGAATTTATGCGACTGCTGGGAAACCGGTACTGCCGGTCTCAGATGGCGGAGCGGAGGGAGGTTGTGGTATCTACATAACTGATTAGCTGGCTTCGAGGTGGCAAGCTATGGAATTCACTTACTTCGAGCTTAGTATTTTCTGCCATCATTCTCTGGAATCCAATTCCTACACCTTCAATCACGGCAAGGAGACATGCGCACCCAATCGCAGAATTTCTCGCTGCCTTTGCACCTCCTCGAATAGCCAGTGCTCCTCCAGTGAAAAAACCTGCAATAACTGGAAGCCTATTAGTCTGAAATTCCTCGAGTCTCCGTGCACAGCCTTCATCTGAGTCGTTTAAATTGTAAACGTACTAGCATTGTATGGATCCTCCTTCTTCCTTATTCCTTTAACGGCACTTAAACGCATGTCAGAAGCAAGTTTTTGTAGGATTATGGCTTGGGGTTGAATACCAGTCAAAGGAGCTAAACAGTCCACCCCAAACCCCAAAATTTCCTCCTAATACAGGTGCTCGAGCCTTGATAGCTGAGAGGGCTCCGATCCGCCGCTCGCCGTATGGGGAATTTCGAAAGCCTTTCACGCCGTGCCATACCGCGCCTCCTATTGCCTATGTGTAGAAAAGCGTTTAGTCCTTGCATCTTGTCTGAAGTTCTGGAGAGGGAAAGGCTTAGGCGCGTCTCCATTGCTTTGCATGACGTCGGCCGTGGGGAAGAGCATTGCCCGGGCCGTACAGTATCAGTGTTCAGCTCCTCCCGGCGGTGCAACTCCTCTCTAAATAATGGAACTCATGGAAGAAAGGGCATTGCTTACCCCCATGGAAAAGGCCCCTCCTATATTTACCATTAGCAAACGCGTTTATATAGAAAGAAAGGAAGTCCACGGACCAAAGTCATTGAACACGACGAAGGGGCAGGGGTCTCGTGTATGATCCATCCTTCCTGATGCTCAAATGAATAGAATATCGATTTCGCTCCTCGAGCCCCGTCTGACCATCCAACCACGAGAATTATCGCCAGTAGCTAGAGATGCTGGAGATCAAGGTGCCGAGAATGGGCGGATATGGCAGACAGGAATCGGATGAGAGGTAGTGTGTTGGTGGTCGAGGAGGGAGTTGGCGCTGTTCTTGACGTTGGATAATTGATAATTTTTGTTCGCAGCCGCAAGACCGACGACCACCTCTCTGGAGTTTGGAGGGCGACTAACCAGGCTGGGATTGGTTGCCGTATTAGTATTAGCGCCTTGAAGGGGCGCATAGGTCACGGGGCCATAACCCCGTGATCTGCCACCCTTGTTAGTCACGTGAACTACCGGCCGTCATGTACTCGAGTACCTAGGTACCTTCCGGGGTTTATTAGTCAGCGGCTCGAACCTCGAACTCCACAGTATTTTGGACACAACTTGAACTATCAACTTCACACTTCTATACTTCTACACTTCTACATGTCTATACATCTACGCATCCATACATCGACTTCGTGCTACTTTCCACACCATCGAGACGCCCGCTCCCCCCCACCCATTGGAAGGCTTCATCTGGTCGAACTCGTAACGCGCTTCCCCTTGCTGAAAATCACCATTCTCCCTGTGTCGCGCTGCTCGACCCCGCGGAAAAGATGTGTCGAAACCCAACTCTTAAGCTCCAGGAGTTAAGCTCAGGAGCCACTCGGCCAATTATTCACCTGCGATATAGCCAAGCTCACCATCCACGTGGGCTTCGTATCGCCAGCGCGCAGCAACCGCCCGAGCCCAGTTCGTCTGATCACGGCGTCTCGGATTCGGGCGATGAAACGCCCACCAGGTAGGTAACAGTAAGGTCGACCCTCGGCACCACCTGCTTAACCGCCAAGCTCCACGCTCTTCGCTCTGCAGAGTAGTGGTACAGGTACTACCGTACTTCATACCCTCATTATCACTGTGTGAGGACTGAGGACAATATTAATGTAGCTTTTCAAATTACTGTCTGACTGTCCTCGAAGTTGGATATCGCCTTCTACCCTATTTGTTTTGGTAGCTTTTGCATCTGCACCGCCATCTCCTGAGCGAGGGATTGCAGTCGCACCCGATTACCTGGGACGACCGGGAAGCGCGGGCTGCAAGGGGACGAGGGGGTAACATCGTTTGTTTGTTTGTTTGGTGCTGTATCAGACTTTTCGCTTGTGCTCGCTCTCCTGTGTCATGTTTTTTGATTGCATGATCAGCGACGTTTGTTGTTACAAATATTCTGCCCTGCCTGTGCTTTCAAATCTCCTCGTCTGCATACAATGTCGTACATGACGCATTGATTCGAGCAATCGAAGCGTGCCGGACCGCCGGTCGACTCGCGATTGCTAAAGTGCGCAAGGGTTGTGTTTTTCGCTCCGCGTTTCCCAGTGAGTCGCCTACGAAGTACACCACCTCCGGTTCCCTCCTCGAAACTGAAACTGAAATGAGCTGGTAGAACACATGAAGCAATTTCAAGCAATGAGGCTGAGGCCGGCCATGAGGCCTAGGATGGCAATACTAGGCTAGTGCCCGGCGCACTGCAATCATATGTAGTGTGCGATGTTTGATCATATGGCTAATCTCCTTGAGCTGTTTCGGCCGTGCGGGCTAAGGAGCTATAAAGATACTTTGGTCCCATAACCCTCACTTGCCTCCCTATCGAAATTTTTCGAACTACGTTCTTTGGTATCTTCGTTCTTTGACATTCCTTTTTTGTGAATCTATACATTCTTTTTACCGACTGCGTCGACGTTGTTCTTGTACACAATCCTTCAACCCGGCCGGACCATTATATGCTTTTTACCTTATATTGACCAAAATCCTCATACAAGATATAAAATGTTGGCAAAGACCCTCTCTCTCGCCTTGCTGGCTTCAGCTGGTGTGATCGAAGCTCGATCACTTTTTGATCCGAGCCAGCTTCATCGAGACATCCATAGGCGCCAGAACAACAACAACAATAACAACAACAACAACGATGATGTAACGGCGACTGTTCTTGCTGCCAATGCCATTCAATCGGCTTCTTTTCTAGAAGGGGAACCTAAAGATGGACAGGCCAAATCAAAGACCTCCCAAAACAACTTCATCAACAACTGTGCCGGGAAAACACTCACCAATGGTCTTCAGGTCCAAGGTGGCTCGTGCAATGGAATTCGTAGGCTCCCTTGCTCCACACAAACACACACTCTCTGACTTTTGTAGCCATGGGTGATATCCCTGCTAAGGCAAACATGGTGTCTTCTATCATCACCTTCCCACTTTATGGGAGCGCTACTATCGAATCCGACACCACATTTGATATTAGCGTTCAGATGGCCAACCTCGTTGCCGGTTCTTTCACTAACGCAGCATCCACCTACTACGCTGCCCCGCAACAACTTTCTGGCGGCAAAGTCGTCGGGCACACCCACGTGACCGTTCAAGACTTGGGGAAAAGTTTGAACCCTCAGCAGCCTCTGGATGCAACTCAATTCGCGTTTTTCAAAGGTATCAACGATGCCGGGGACGGCAATGGGCTTCTCAAAGCCAGTGTTACTGGTGGCCTTCCAGCAGGAAACTACCGTGTCTGTACCATGGCCAGCTCATCCAACCATCAGCCCGTCCTTATGCCGGTAGCCCAGCGTGGAACTCCAGATGACTGCAGCAAGTTTACTGTTGTTGAAAAGGGTAACACTGGGAACGGAGCGTCAACCGGGGGAAATGGGAACGGAGCGTCAACCGGGGGCAATGGCAACGGAGCGTCAACCGGGGGCAATGGCAACGGAGCGTCAACCGGGGGCAATGGTAATGGCACGTCAAATGCTGGGGGAAATGGCGCCTCCAGTTCCGCCGCTGCTTCTACAACAACCAAGGCTGGTGGAAAGGGTGGAAAGGGTGCTAAGGGTGCGGCTGACAACAAAGCAACCAAAGCTGCTACCACGACTAAGGCAGCAAATGGCGGCCAAGGAAAGGCTGTGTCATCTCTCAAACTCGGCCCGTTCTTGAACACCACATTCGCCGTTGCTTCACCAACTGCTCGAGGCGGGAATGGAGGTAAAGCGGTCATTGGCGCCACAACGACAACTGCCCAAGCTGTCTCTAGCACGGCAGCCGCTGCCGCTTCGCCTGCAACTCCGCAAAAAGGAGGCAAGAAAGTATCTACAGGAAGGGTCGTCCATAAAGTCACTGTCGTACAAACCTTCTTCCAATTCGTCCGATCTCTTGGTGGCCTCCCACCATCCGTTGGCAAACAAGGGAACCGCTTCGCATGTCTCAACGAGCTTTTCGATGACCTGAATTCTGCGGCTGCGGCTGCCTGCGGCCACCAATATACCCGCTGCGTCAGCTTCTCCGGCCCAGGCTTCTCGTTCGAAGAATGCAGGAGCCAGAGACAGTTTTGCGGAGCTGCCGCATCTTCTGCTAAACCTTCCGCCGCACCTGTTACCGTCACTGCCACAGTAACCGTCCCCGTAAGCGTTACCATCACTGGCTCCGTCATTGCTGAGTCGACAGTGAGTGTTACTGTTACCGCCGATGCTAGCGCCAACACCGATGCAGCTGCAGTCGCTACCTCGGCCGCTGCCAAAACCACCGCTGCTGCAGTTGTTGTTGGAGATGTTGCTGGCTCAGAGGATAGTGCCGATTGCTCCGTTGTCACCGGGACCGTTACCGTCGACGCCCCTGAGGAGACCGGTGCAGCAGCTTCCCCATCATCAGCCAATGCCGCCCCAATAGTTTCCGCATCTTCAGTCAAGGCACCATTCTCCAACTCCACCGCCACCGCAACGATCGCCGCTCCAGCAACGGCTTCAAAGCAAGCTCAAGTATCAAACTCTGCAGCACTAGGAGGCATCGCCGCCCTGGCAGTGACCGACTCGGGCGATGCCAAGAGGCCTTTTGCTGTCAATGGCAACACCTTTGCGAGTAAATCCGCCGCGGCTCAGAGAGCGTGCGATATCCAGTTCAACGCTTGTGCAAATGCGGTTAATGGAGGAAAGTTACCCGACGTTAAGATGGGTGACTGCCAGAGTCAGAAGGATAGTTGCGGTGCGGCTGCTGCTACTGCATAGCTTGAGATGATGGAATTGTACATTATGTTTTGGCGGGGTGACGAGTGATGAATATTAGTATTTTTATATTCTTGGTCAAATGAGATACCTTTGGGGGTGAGAAGCTGATGCGGTTGTTTGTTTATCTCGTATAGCATACTCGCCCCCTTGCAGGTGTAGAGGTCATTCAACTTCAAATCTATTCAATAAATCAACTTTATCAACTTAGAAGGTGAACGTGACTGATCTAGATAGGCTTATGGAATTAATTCACTCTATTTATTTCGAAAGCCTTGCGAGTAGCAAATCTGCCATCTTTTATCAAGTCCAACACGACGAGGCTGTTTAAATGGACGGGTAACTGTATCGGGTTTAGTGCTCAGGCAGGCAGGCTGTCGCCCAGTGGTGACGCCGTCCGAACGTCAGGCTTACACTTGATCATCATTGCCAAAGTACCTATAAGCTGTGAAACATTGCAATTTATGTTTATATTTATATCTAACTACCAATCCTTTAGACCATCTATATTGCTCTTTAAATCCGGTATTCATTACGACCAATACCAACTCCTAGGCCATCTTCTGGGTCACTGCGCTTCCCGATGTCGTCCAAGTACGACGACATTGTGCTCACAATCAATGGCCAAATAGGCACTATCAAAGTCATTGTCATTCCCTATAACACGGGAATTGCACTAACGAATAACCCTAGCTCAACCGGCCCAAAACCCTCAATTCCTTTAGCAGCAAACTCATAGCAGAAACTATCGCCGCCATCCGAGTGCTTGACCAACACCCCGATACGATATTTACGGTCCTCACTGGCGAGGGGAGATTCTTCTCATCTGGTGCTGACGTCAGAAGTACACCTTCTGCCCCTTATGAAGAAACTACATTTGCTAAATATTATTAGATTTGATCCCCCTAGGCGAAGCTGGGCTAGGCTCTCTCAATGACGCTGAGAAGAAACTGCAATACCTAGGAGAATTCATGTCAGGTTTGTGATATTCTTCGATTTTGGCGTATCTGAATGTTTTACGAGGGTCCATTAACACCCAACCAGCCCTCGAGTTGCTCCGTAGCTTAATCGATCATCGCAAAGTCTTTGTCCTAGCACTCAACGGCCCCGGCGTCGGGGGCGGTGCCGCATGGTTTACCGGCATAGCAGATATCGTTCTCGCCTCCTCCGCCGTGTATCTGCAAGTCCCCTTCTCCGCCCTCGGTCTAGTCCCCGAGAACGGGTCGGCCATCAATTTCGCGCAAAGCATAGGTGTGCACCGGGCGAACGAATTCCTGATGTTTGGCCGGAAACTCAGTGTTGAAGAATTGCAGCAATGTGGTATGGTGAACCATGTATTTCCCGTAGAGGGTTTTCAAGGTCGTGTGAAAACCTTTCTGGAAGACCAATTAAAGATTAATGATGGGAAGAGTATGATGGAGACGAAGAGGCTGCAGAATGAGTCGTTGAGAAGTGGGAGAATGCTTGCTGTTTTGAATGCCGTTAATGCATTGGCTGAAAGGGTATATCGTACTTCAAGTAGCTCTGGCTTATACGTCGCTGATACTGGATAGTTTGTCGAGGGGACGCCGGTGCAGAGACTTATGGAGAAAAAGAAGCTATTGGAGTGTAGGTTTTGTCCTCGTTTTTGCTCTTCTTAGTCTTCGAGTTTAGCAACTGATTAATTACTAACACTTGGGTGATGTAGCCAAGTCTATGGATCGCATTTCTAAAATTTAGATGTCATGGACTACCTTCACAACCATCTTCCTTCGAGGCTGCACAGGTCTCTGTTCCCAGCTTCCGACTTTCCCAAGGCCTCCTTGGCCACCGTATCCGACGTATCTACTAATGGTTAATCGCTCTATGTACATAAAAGCCACTAAATTCTAGGGACGGAAGACGGCATACTATATAAACCCACTTCATTTGAGGCATTTTATAATAGAAGCGTTCTGGTGCTGCTAATGTTCGTGGCATTATCCCAAATACCCATAGCTAGCCCCATATACTAGGTATTAATAGAGCATGAGCTGCACGGGATATACTAAACGAAACGAGGCGGGTTCTTGACTGCAATCTCACAATGACCCCACCTGCACCTTGTCAAATGTCACACACAGCACAACAGCCGTGAAGGATATGTTACAGGTCCAGCGGACCTCCGCTACTACACCATACTAAAGAATGCAATACAAACCCTCCCTAAATCCGCTCAATGGTTAAGTCTTATTTTTATCCTTTTATTTCGGCCCTTTATGTTCTCCTCCTACTGTTCTTATTTTAGGTACTTTATAACGTGCAACAACAGCGAGAACGGCAGTTAGTTCAACGTTTAAAATGGAGTCAACAACATCGTCACTCCAAGCTACAAATTTATTCAACGTCAATGGCCTCATAGCTGTTATTACTGGAGGGGGCTCAGGTTCATACCCCATCAGACTAGTTCCAACATTATTTTGTTTAAAACCAGCTCTCATCCCATTAAATCAATCCCCAGCACCCATCTGTGCACTTATATCTCCGATTCTCTAACTCCATCCTCGCCCAGGAATTGGCCTAATGATGGCGAAGGCCCTGGCGCTCAACGGCGCCGCCAAAGTCTACATCATTGGCCGACGCCAAGAAGTCCTCGAATCTGCCTCTCGGTCCGTTCCAACAAACAACATAATCCCAATCGTCGGCGACGTAACATCCCAATCCTCTCTCGACCAAGTCGTATCGAAAATCGCAGTAGAAACAGGCTACATCAACCTTCTAGTGGCCAACGCCGGCATCGCCGGTCCCGGTCCCAAGATCCCAGCCTCCGAGATAAAAAGCGTTGCGGATCTCCAGCGTGCGTTCGGCGTGGGGCAGCAGGGCAGCGAAAGCCCAACGGGGATAGAGGAATATGTCAATACATTTACGGTTAACACGGCAGCAGTGTGGCATACGATAGTATCTTTTTTAGGACTCTTGGATGAGGGAAATAAGAAGGTAAACGTGGAGCAGCGGAGTCAGGTCATCGCTACCAGTAGTATCGGGGGGTTTACGAAGAAGCCTGTCGCTGGGTATGCATACGGGCAGACGAAAGCGGCGACAACACAGATGATGAAGCAGCTTGCGGCAGCGTTAGCACCTTTCGGGATTCGAGTTAATGTTTTGGCGCCTGGGTGTAAGTTCGTGTTTCATTTTGCAAAATCTTTTTGGTTGATGATAGCGGCTTTGCCACTTATTTCCTGCATGATCTTGGGTTACTTGGGTGAATTTTATCCAAATTGGGACAAGACTTTGTAGAAGTCTACGAGGGTAGCTGTGAGCCCAGCGAGAAGGGAAAGCTATACGGAGCAGCTCTGAAGTTCAGTCCTCTTGAGCCACCCATTCCCCATTGAGAACGTTGCATCTTATGAATCGGCTCCTATCTTATTTTTTATTCTGCTATACGTGCTGACTTGAGGTAACCCACCACCCTAGTCTTCCTCTCCGACATGATCAGCCCCCTCGTTGGCGGTGGCAACTTCACTCGCGATCAACTCCCCCTCGAGCGAGTAGGCAGCGACGAGGACATGGCAGGCTGCATCCTCTTCATGGCGAGCAAAGCAGGCGCCTACTGCTCAGGCAACGTGATGGTGATTGATGGGGGGAGGCTAAGTGTGATGCCATCTACATACTGAGCGTCATAAATTGTAAAGATATATTATGAAACGTGAAGGTAACTGCCATATGGTGTGCATAACCCGATGTAGGAGTGAAAGGGGTTGACGGAGAGCACTATGGAATGATTTGCAAAAGCCGATGCGTGGATAATCATTTTCGTCTCCTATTCTTAGTTCAGGCTTGAAAGCATTACTGAAGTTAGGATCAGATTTTGAAATGCCGAAAGGCCCGAATAAGGGGAGAATGAAGCATTTGATCTGCATGTACTGTACTGAGTACCACCCAATTCTTTGCTGCTCGTGAGGCAAAATCCTTTTTAGAAGAACTCAAATCTCACGCTGCAATTCATATTAGGCTACATATCAGGTACACTGGAATCTGCAGGCACTTACGCCGAGGCGGAAGGCGTTGGGGCTTAGACTGTTGGCAATCTGCATTTGATGCATCACGTAGATCAATGGAATATCTCTGAGTTCCCTACTACGTAGGATCGTGTAGAGGCTCGGCATCAAGTATAAACTGACCGGTTTTGCTCGGTGTTTCTCGCAATGCTTTTTATTGGGGTCATGAAGAAGGCAATGGGAACTGCTACTGCTATCGCGGGTACGTAAATTCATACTGGAGAAGGGGTGTATCGGGGCATTGTAGTCGGCCCACTTGGATATGCGAGGTTGTACTGCGTACGCTGGGCGAATAGAGAGTACAGTACATGAGCGAGACGACTGGCGCAGGTACCAAGGAACTACTCTTTTAAAATTCTGATATTTTTGCCCTTCGGCCAACTTATCCAAAGTTTCGTAAGTATGAGAAATGGAGAATGGATAAGCTTGGTAAAGATCTAATTGGATGTTGAGCGACATCGGGGTTTAAATGCCAGCATGTTCGGGCAAACACTTTGGCATCCTGATGTACTTGGTACATCAGCCTCAAGTCGAACTAAACCATATGCGCTCGCGAACACATTGAGCCTCAAAGTCGCATTTGTGGCCGGCAAATATTCAAGTTCCCGCCCAGCGCTCGTGGTGCAGGTGGGATGAAAGGCACCCGTCACGTTCCCCTTCAGCCATCGGGTTTATGGCCGAGAACAGGGCCCGAGCCACAGCAAGATCGTCGTCATTGTGGCTGGGAGATAAACATATCGTATTCTCAGAGTGGGGGTTCAATTGCTTCGTACTCCCCTTCCGAGAGATTGCTTCGAGTCGAGCAGTGGAGCAGACACGGAGGATCGTAGAGAGTTTTTGCGGTGGATATGCTCCATTAAGCAGAAGGGCTGCATATATGAAGCCCAAGCTCAGGTGACAGCAAAGGTTGGGCTGGCCTCGGTGTGTGGATTCTGACTTTTGATAGTGCAATATCTGCGTGGGCCGGAACGCTGCATTATCAGCCGTTTGCCACCGTTATCTTGGGTTCGGATGCGCAGCAAATATATGACTTAATTATAATCCGCCAGGGCATATTGAGACAATTATGCAGAGCAAATGGGATCTTTCAAGGCCGCCCCCTTGGCCGAACCGTGGAGCCGAAGCAGCGACTTCTAGTGGCTGTGTTCGGCGGTATAGTACCTGACGGAGGCAAACAGCAAGGCTCGGGTTGAGTCTTGGAAACTGTGGGACGACGACTACGACGATGGGAAAACTTATAACAAGCCCGACTACTTGGTCGTCAGTCCTAGCTGGGCAAGACGCTCCATTATTCATGAAGCTAGGACTCACCAGCACGGAAAAACAGGGCAGAGAAAAACGTGCAAGATCCAATGGTTTTGCTCGGAAGGAACCGAGGTTTCAAAAGCGCTCATTATGACCCCAGGGTTGGAACCAGAGGCTGATCAGGTGCAGGAACTGAACCTGAGCTTAGGCGCGAGATCCGAAGATCGTGCCGGAATGTCAGCCCCCGGTGTGGAATATATGAAATGATCGCCCTTTGGCCACCGCGGACGTCAAATTGTTATTCCAGGCCCGAAGGAATTTCCTGCGATGCGGACGACCGGGAATTTTCGCCGGACGAGCCTAGACATGCTTATCAAGACTAGGTGTTCGAGATGACCTGGTGGGTACGGGGGAAGAGAACGTACCATTGTTGTCCAAAACGATAGCAGGATTCCCACTGCATGACGTCGTCCCTATGAGACAGGGTAAGAGGAGCTGCGGACAGGAGTGCCAATATTATGGCATCCTCTCGTTGTGGTTGAGACGTTGAGTTGATTCCTTCAATAATAATGAGTTGGAGTAGCGAGTAACGAGTTGTCGTCGGCTTCTGGACATGGAACATCAACCGCCGTGCGGCAGATGGAGTAAGGTTTCCCCGCACCCGGCTGGCTGCCTCTTAGTGGCTGGGTATTAAGGTATATACTAGGTATATACTAGGTATAATAGGTATAATGGGTATAATAGGGTTGTATGATAGGTTGCTGATATATGTACACTGCAAGGGTCCCCAGGCAATATGAGACAAGAGGCAACTCGACTATCGTGGCTCGACAACTGCTAAGAGAGAAAACGGGAACACAGGAAATCAGAAATCAGAAATCAGAAATCAGAAATTAGAACAGCTGAGTAAAAGTGTCAATATCAATGTTAATGCCCGGTAATAACATCCCAAAGATAAAGCCGGGACCCAAAGTGTGCGTGTACAGTACTCGTAATGAAGTGATATCTCAACCAAGCCAAAGACTTAATTTCTCAAAGCTGGAAAATCATCCAGAGCGTCTAGGCAAAGAGACGAATGAAAAGACAACCCCCCCGAGAAGGTCATGCAGTCAATGCCTAGGTTCCAGACCAAAGCTGGATGGTACGAGCACACGAGGGACTGAGGCCGGTCATCATTACTCACTCTCGTCTTGCGAACAGGCTGATGCCGAGGCCCGCCTGGGCGAATATCAGATCAAGTACGTCGTAAATTCAAATCGAAACGCCCGCGCTTGGCTGCAAATTAGCGGTCGCTTCGAGCTCGTCTGCATGCTTGTTTCCCCGTTCTCCACAGAAATTTGTTTGTATATGGCTCAGAGCGGCATATGAGATATGAAATCTGGGGTACTTCGTACTGGGGAACAATCAATCTGCTCGATCAACTCGATCCATATGCGGGCCTTGGTCTATTCCGGCTGCATTCATTCCGCCGGGTGTCTCCCCGCAATTCCACCATCCGTTTTCTAATATCGAGTTAGCCATGAGGGTGTTGACAGTGGCAAGATCGTCCTACAGTTCCATGGAGGCCATATAAGCCCGCAGGAATTCCTCTCCAGATCTCTTCATCCTCCACACGCAGTACCAACCAGACAATTCATCATGCTCTCAGCCGCTCTTGCCTTCTCTTCCCTTCTGATCGGCGCTCGCGCCCAGTTGGCCGGTGATCTGACCGCCGAGAAGCATCCTGCCCTCCAGGTCAGCAAATGTACCGCCAGCGGATGCACGACATCTGCCCAGTCCGTCGTTATTGATGCCAACTGGAGATGGCTCCACAACAAAGTCGGATATTCCAATTGCTACACTGGTAACACCTGGAACGAAACTGTTTGCCCCGATGGCAAGACCTGCGCCGCAAACTGCGCCTTGGACGGAGCTGATTACTCCAAGACCTACGGCATCACCACGAGCGGCAACTCACTGAAGCTCAACTTCGTCACCAAGGGCGACAACACCAACGTCGGTTCCCGGACATACTTGATGGCCGCCGGAAGTGAGACCAAGTACGAGATGTTCAAGCTGCTGAACAAGGAATTCACCTTCGATGTGGATGTATCCAAGCTCCCTTGCGGCCTGAACGGTGCGCTGTACTTCAGTGAGATGGCAGAAGACGGAGGAATGTCCAAGTTCTCCACCAACAAAGCCGGTGCCAAGTATGGAACTGGTTACTGCGATGCCCAATGCCCTCGTGACATGAAGTTCATCAACGGAGAGGTAAGTCAATCATCAACCTATTACCTGGGAATGGCCTCGAACTAATGTTTTGATGAAGGCAAACTCTGAAGGCTGGAACCCACAGTCTAACGACAAGAATGCAGGCTCAGGGAAGTACGGAGCATGCTGCAACGAGATGGATATCTGGGAGGCCAACAGCATTGCATCAGCCTATACACCGTAATTCCCCTTGCCTATGCATTTTTGTCTAGACGTTTGCTAATGATATTGTGACAGCCACCCTTGCACTGGCGCTGGGTTAACTCGATGCACTGGATCTGACTGCGGAATTGACGACAGATACGCCTCGTTGTGCGACGCTGATGGATGTGATTACAACTCGTACCGCATGGGAGATACCACCTTCCTGGGCCCCGGTATGACTGTCGATACCAACAAGGTTATGACCGTCGTCACCCAGTTCATCACCACCGATGGAAGCGACAACGGTAACCTGAAGGAAATCAAGCGATTCTACGTTCAGGGTGGCAAGACAATTGAGAACTCTCAGTCCAAGATTGCAGGTGTCACCGGTAACTCTCTCACCGACGACTTCTGCGCAATCCAAAAGACTGCTTTCGGAGACAAAAACCAATTCGCCGCTCGGGGAGGAATGAAGGTCATGGGTGACGCTCTCAAGAACGGTATGGTTCTTGTCATGTCCATCTGGGATGACCACACGGCCAACATGCTCTGGCTCGATGCCCCTTACCCACCAACCAAGGACGCCAGCGAGCCAGGTGTCAGCCGAGGAACGTGTTCGCCCGACTCTGGTGACCCAGCCAAGGTTGAAGCCGAGCATGGCGACTCCTCCGTTGTCTACTCCAACATCAAATGGGGCCCTCTCGGCTCAACCTTCAAGGCCAACTAAATCGGCCGATAACGAAAACTGGGGGATTTGGCACGGTTCTCAGCTTCTTCTATTCTCAGTGCTTGTAAAGAGGTGCTTTTCTAACACAAGAACAATAGCTTTGATAGATGGCTAGATTTCAGAGAGGCTTTGTAAATACACAGACAGCTTGCCTGTACATAGACTGAAATGGCGGTTCTTCTTCCTGTATCTAAGTTTGGTAAATTTGACTGAGACTGCAAAAATACTTGTGTTTTCATGAAATTGATCAAGTCGCAAGAAACAGCTCTGACAAAGAATTTTGTCGGCTATGCTTTGATGGTGACGATGCTATTCTCGCAACTTTGAGCTGCTTGGAAAATCTTACTGTGGTATGACCCATCCCTGTCTACCATGCCAATTTTGCCAAATATTTGTTCGTCGCTGATAGCTGCCTTTGAGGCTGTGACGGCTGGTTCTGCGCTCATTCGCGACTCTGTACGCACAGGGTTCAGCTATTCCTAACTCTGATTACCCTTGGCAAAGCAAGGTGTTGATAAATTTCGGATTACCGGGCGGTAAAATAAGCAAGATTGAAAGTTTCCAGCGAGACTGCCTTCCGATTAGTCTGATATTTTCCTAGTGAAAATTTAAGCAGATTGATACAACTGCTTTTAATCCAAACCAAACTGCCATAAGCCGATCGACTTCCTCGTGATGTTTCTTACTCCGAATCAATCTCAACACCCACCAGGGGAAGCCATTATTAGCCACCTACCTACCTAGGTAGGTAGGCAGGAGACTTGGTTTCTTTAAGTATGTTAAAGTCATATCGACCAACTACAGATTTTAGACAATGAAAGGATAAGTTGATCACTACGTCGCGATGACGCGATGGCCAGAAATCTGTATCCATCGTTTCTTGAGTTGCCCGCAGCCTACATAGGCAAACTGCGATGGGACTGCACCAGTAAATTAAAGCCGCTTCTGCCTACAAGGCCGCTGGCCATTCATCGATGAATTTCTTTACCACCACTGAGCCGAGAGTCGAGACCTCTGCAGTCTGCCCAACAGCTCTACTAATCAGCTTCGAGTTGCATCCTCAAGACCGCAGGGATCTACTTCACTCCACGCCCCAGGCAGACAGGGCCGTGTGCCTGGCAAAAACTTAAGCCAAACTACTATGGATAACCTAGCTCCGTAGCTACAGAAGGTCAAGTTGAAGAACGAATGGCAGTAACAGCAAAACGAAACGAGCTAGCTGAGAAGATCGGGAATGAAATGAAGGTATGGAGGCCATCTTGAGCTCGATGAATGGCAAGACCAAGAGTCCCATACAGTCATCTACACCAGAGGCAAAGGCAAGGCGAGAGGCCGAATCGGGCAACCTCGTGTTCGAGGAGCTTCCCGAAGCGCGTGAGAAATTGTCGAAAGGCTGGAGGAGAAGTATAGTGGTTACCCTTGAGGAGCTCGTCATGAACGAAGATGCTTAGTGCGGCGAAAGGATATAGAGAGGCGTCCTGGTGTAGCGGGATGGGTATCGGACGATACATTTGCAGATAAAATAGGATGTCCCAGCTAGCAAGAGAATTATAGTACTACAAATAGCATGGCATGGTAGAACTTGACATACTTTCGAGGGAATCGCGACATCTTCAGCCAAAGGCCTCGGGAATAAGCGCCGCATGATAGAAGAAATGACGGTCCGGGTGTTCTACCTCGGTAGCGCCGTATTCGAATCCTCTTTCGTCTCATTGCTAGCAGGACTCTTCGTTGCTAATTGACTAGAGCCGCTTGATAAGCCATGCCACCGCGAACTTTTCTTGCCAAGAGGGCGCTGCGAGCGGAGTCTTCTTGTATGAACTCTTGAATTTGATCATCCAGATTCTTGCGTTTGTGAAGTAGCATATTGAGAAATCGCGTGTCGTAGTAGTGTTTATCTGCCTAGTTCTCTAATGATGCTGCGACTAGGGTGCGTTCATTTTCATGTACCCTCGCCCAGTCCTTCGATGTCAGATCCTAGCCCAAACCCTCGGTTCTTGAACACAGTGCAGAACTTGTTTAACTCGGCGACGTATTGCGAGCAAACGAAGGGCATAGTTAGTAGGCTAGATCTTCGACCGGTGAGCCATTTTGGGGGGTTGAAGAATAATAGCGAAACAATACGGGCCCACTCCTAATCGAGAAGAGTAAGGATATCCATCAGTGGCTATCATGAGTTTAAATCGTCGTGCACTGGCACAAAGTGGCCATGGCCCAGCTCGGATTTCGGTCACTCCCTTTGTGCGTACTGGCAGAATTGATCAAGGTGGCACACGGCCAGATTCATCATCTTCAGAAGAACGCTAATCCTGCTTCGTTCAAAGGACTTTGTGCAAGGCATACAAGTATCGAGATATAGTCACTCGCGGTCGCGAGGTCGCCGGTGCCACTGCCGTATTCGACCTAGATACGTGAGGATTGTAGGCCGTGTAGCTGCTGTACGTTTATATCGATAGATATAGGCCGCGTCCGGACCTCAAACTGGTCGGGACTGCGAGATAGGACGCGGACAGACAGAAACTCAATATTGATTCCTGTACTCCGTAGCTTCTTGAAGCCGTCTTCCCCCGGAGGTTAACAACATCTGCTACTTCGTTCGCTTCACTTCACGCCATGCCGATAATAGCAATGGGCAAGGGAAAGAGAACTGCGACTCGTGAGCAACCCGCGTGGGTCTGTCACCCCGCCTGGCATCGGCGCCTATAACAAGCTGAAGAGTGAGATTGCCACGGTGCATCGGTGTAGTAGGACCTTTCTTTCCTGATGGGACGCCTGGGTACGCTATTACTGTGTGCATGTGCCCCTGAGTTCTGGTTTGTTGTCGAGGAGATGACCATCCCGATTCCTCGAATATATGCCTACTCTCTCTCGCGAACGAGAAAGGTCCCTATGGTATGGCCTCATTCCCCATCCTCGAATATATTCAAGGCAAGCGCCTATGAATAGCCTCTCAGGAAACCGACGACAACACCCTCTTCCGCCAACGAGTGACATCCGCGTCCAGTTCTGGTGGCTTGTGGTACGACGACGCGAGGCGGTAGTACTCTCTTCTTTGATGGCTTCGATAAATTGATCGGGTCCTTTTTGTATAGTTAGCTGGACGCTGTTAGGTAGGATTGTACGTATAGTAGCTACCTTAGGTAGTAAGGGTGTGTACTCTACATCGCTCATAATGAAGTCGAGTACATCCCATTCCAGAGCCTGAGGCGCCACAATTGACCTCATCACGTGCCAGCCCCGCCGGGTTAAAATTCCGACAAGGCTGAACTTCACTATCCCCAAGCTCCCAGTAACAGGCCCAGAACCTTCAAGTACTAACTGCTCCTCATCCCACCCCAAAATGCTAAAACGAAAACGCTCAGCTGCCCCAAACTCCGCCGATCGAACCAAGCAAGATGTTCTCGACACGCTTCTGTCGAGCCAAAAACACCTCCAACGTGCTCTAAAAACAGCGAAAGGGTTTGAGCGCCAAAAGCTCGGAAAACGGTTAAAGCTCGCACAAGCGAAGGGTCCTGAGGGCACTGAAAATGTAGCGCGTATTAATCGGGAGATTGCCGCGCTGAAGGGACTGGATTTGGTGAAGACGGCGGAGAGTTATTTGTGTGCGAAGATTTTGAAGATTAAGCGGATGGCGGAGAGTGAGAGTCTACCGGAAGAAGTAAGGGAAAAGGGCCTTAGAAAAGAGGGCGAGGGGTTGGGGGAAGAGGAGGCAAAGGCATTGAAGAATGTTACCAGTGGATTGTTCAATTTGAAAAATGTGAAGGAGGTTATGGGCCAGGTTATGAGGGGTTTGTATATGGTTATGAGAATTCCATTGCCGGAGGTGGTGGGGAACGGGAAGGGGAAGGGTGCTGTCAGGAGGGGGAATGGAAGTGCACCAACACGGATGGACACAGAGCAGAAGAACATCGAAATTGATGTCGGCGACAAAGACTCACTGCCTGAGTGGGAAGGGTTCGATTCTGCAGCGGACGAGCAGCAGCACCACAGAAGAACCGAAGGCGAGGAAGGACAACAAGCTTCGGATCTCGATTCCGAGGATTTCTCCCACTACGACGCCCTTCTCGGCTCGTCAGAATCAGACTCAGAATCAGACTCAGAATCTGAATCTGAACGGGAACCAACCTTTAAATCACAGCATACAGAGTCATCCCTATCCCAATCTCGAACCCGAGCTTCGCTATCTCTCTCTCCCTCCCCACCACCAACATCTAGAACCCGTTCTCGCCCCTCGGCAACAACAACAAAAGGCACCACATTCCTCCCAACCCTTCTAGGCGGCTACTTCTCTGGCTCCGAATCATCTGCTTCAGACATTGAAGATGCTCCTCCCCCAAAGAAAAACAGACCAGGACAAATGGCGCGTCGCGCTATATGGGAGAAGAAGTACGGCGAAAAAGCGAATCATATTCAGGGTGGGCAAGGGAGTGTGAATGATGTTAGGCCGGGGAACGATGATGGGTGGGATGCGAGGAGGGGCGCTAAGGATGGCGGTAGAGGACGAGGGCGAGGAGGCATGCATGGAAGTGGAGGCGGAGGTCACAGGATAACAGGTGGGAACGCAGTTGCACAAGCAGGAGGGGAAGAGGGGGGGAAGAGAGGGCTGGGTAGGAAGGATGATGTAGGTGTTTTACATCCTAGCTGGCAGGCAGCGAAGAAAGCGAAGGAGATGAAGAAAACCGCTACATTTCAAGGAAAGAAGGTTACTTTTGATTAGAAGATATGACGTGCGAATCGATGAAAAAAGAGATACCCTGTCATACACTGAATTTCACCGTATATTAATTGAGATTTTAGCTTGTGCACAACTAAAAGGTGAGTGTATTCTACATTTTCATCTACCCTGTTTGTTTATTTCTTGTTTGTGTATCTGTCTATATCTTCATCTTCCCCTTTAGAAAATATCCCCCTTGCGGCTTTCGCTCGCTTATTTGTTATTCTTCCTGCAAAAGCAATATTAGGATTCTAAAGACTCCTGACGCCGTAGGATATGCTATGCTCGTATATGCTGCTTCGTCTTTTCGTGTCTCCTGTCCGTCGGTATATCGATGTGCGTATAGTGTATATGCGAGAGGATTCGAATACCGCTTTCTCGCCGTTATACAAAAGATCAGACCTGCGACCACTATTTTTGATATCGATACTGCTGTTTCCCGGACTCCAAAGGGCCACTCAATCCAATTCGACGCCATTCAGCGCTTCTGCCAGACTATCTTTCTCTTCGCTATTCGATTTCTCGCATACCAGTTCACTAGCCTCCCCCGTCATGCCGTCGACTTCTCTCTCTGCTTGAGGTAGGTCGTCCCCTTCTCCGTCACTTCTACTCCCTTCACTCTCATCACTCGGATCCGTTTCTGTCATAGGAGGGGTCGCCTCGCCACCCGTGATAACAAGCGTGCGTCTCACATGTCGCAGATTCCTCTTCAGCATACACATCTCAATCGCAATACCTGGACCAAAAGCACAGCCCACTACAAAGTCCTTCACTTTTCCTGCAGGCGCTAACTCATCCATATCCTTCTGCCGTAGCCTGTCCATCACCGAGAGTATTGTTGCTGAGGATGAATTGCCGTGGTTAATGTACGTGTCGTAGGAGGCACGCATATGCTCTGGTGTGATGGCCATGGCGCGCTCGACGCCTGAAAGGATCGTTGAGCCGCCAGGGTGTAGTGCCCAGTCGAAATCTGCTGCCTCTCGATACTGTGGAGGGAGGTCTGGGAGGGTGGAGAGGAGATCGTTGAAGGTGGGGGAAACGACGCCGGCGGTTAGTTTAGGGACCCGGGGGGAGAGAACGACTTTCCAGCCTATGATTCTGCGTCAGTACTCTCTTCTAAGGGAAGGAAATGGAGAGGGAAGAAAATCAATATATATATACCTAATGGGTCGACGTCGAATCCCAGATCTTCCTCCGTATCAGGGATTATCCGGTGGTCCCAGCCCAACAATTCATATACTGGCTCCATATTGCCATCGTCGATTCCATTGCTTAGCACTGCCGCACTCGCACAATCACTAAATAACGCAACCCCAATTCTTGTCTCCTGCGACTGGTGGATACTATCCAATTCGCTCCTCACCAACAGACTACTGATTTCCAGCGCAACAACCAGCACCCTTGCCCTCCGGCCCATGAATGAACTTCCCAGCGCCAGATTGGCAGCCGTTCTTAGACTCGCCAACCCGCCGCTACAGCCAATCCCATGTAGTAGTACCTTCTCTACAGGCTGTGTCATCCCCAATTGCTTGCAAACGTAGTGATCGAACCCAGGATTTGCGCTATTCGTACAAGTTGTCGAAACAACATGCGTAATATCCAACGGCGAGAGTTGCGCTTCGTGCAGCGCTTTACGCGCAGCTGTCACCGCTAGAGCCACCCCGTCTTTCAGAAAAAGGCAGCAGAGCTCGTCAATGTTCGGCGCGCGGTCCATGTTGGCCATTGGGTGGTCCACGGAGCCAATTGCAGACCGGGTGTCTATTCCAGTGTATTTGTTTATGGTTCGGATTTTGGTCATGCTAGAGATTGGATCATTAGCTAAGGGAAGGGAACTTGAGAGGATGAGCATACGCTGGGGATTCTGGGTAATGACGCTGGACGAGCGTGTCTAGAGCTGCGGGATCGAGGTGATACGGAGGGTATTCTGTTCCCAGCCCTAGTATGGACAGATTCAAGCTCCCAAAGCGGCTGGTAGCCGCATCTTCGCCATCTTCAGAGGAGAGCATTTTGGAGAGCGGGTTATGATAGTCCAGTGCCCAGAGCCCAGTTAACAAGCAGAGAAAACGCGACGGGCGGAAGCGGAGAGTCTATACGTGCAGAAGCAGCGGCTGAGACTTCAGTACCTATAGCTATGTACACGCCTGGGTGGATTTCGTCGCGCGTGTTGGAATACGTCGCAATTGATTAGGACAGGGGTGGTAGTAGCCAATTTGACGAGGATCAAGACTAATTGAGGTCGACGGGTGCCTCTGCTGGGCGACTGTTGTTGTTATATGTGTTGTACGAAGTATTTGGCGGGGGGGCCGAGGTGGAGACTGTACTCGTGCTTGTTGTATGGAGGTGCATGTAGGTTCTTATCGACCACCTACTTCGTAGTTACGTCAGGAGTTGGGGTTGGAATAAGCTGGCAGTATCTTTGAGACTTGGACAGGAGCCAAGATATGGTTATGAACCTTTCTTGCTTGGCTTGCTTCGTCTATCGTGAAGCCTCCCGGCCCCGTTCTTCTCGGGTTTGGTGTGCCACGATGGTGAAACGGCATGGCTGGAAAGATAACCTGTCCTCGAGGTCTTGCAGCACGGATTGTCTGAAATGCATGGCACTTCTAGTCCGGGTGTCCTCCTGTGCTTGAGGGCTGACGCCGTTTGGAGCTTGAGCCAACCAATCTAACGATCACACCGTAATGCCGGTAGAGTACTTGGATTGGATTGGAAGGAAATGAATGAAGTGTGAGAGGTATGAAATGTGTACTTCGTAATGGATGTGCTAGGTGCAAAGTATGTACCTTATAAGTTAGGCATGTAGGTAGAAGGCAGATTGCCCGTCACGTGTCGAGCCATATTTCCGCAGGTACGAGTATGAAGTACAGACTCTACATACCTTACTTAATAAGGTACATGTCTAGATATACTTCCCTCTGCAATACAACGCAAGACAGATTATTATTGTACTTGATATAATTGATATAATCGATACAGCACATACCACCTCCCAAGCTGCCGAGATGATTGCCTCGATCCCACTCTCCCTCCCGTTCTGGCTTCACTTCGCCATTGAACTTCCCGCCTCGCTCAACTTCTTCTTCAACCCAGCACAACAACTTCCATCTCCCGCACCGCAAGCCCATGCCATCATCAGACAATATGCTGTTCTTCTACTCGTCTCGAGCTTCATTGCCTTCATATTTGCCCGCCGCGAGGTTGACGGCACTAGTAAGAATGTTGCCGGCGCGCTGGCCGTCTACCATGTGGCTCCGCTTGCGAGAGCCCTGAGTCGGGTTGTTAGAGGAGAGATTGCGTCGACGAAGGGGCTGGGAGGCCCGCTGCTGCATGCCTCAGCCCATGGTGCTTGTTTTGTGGCGCTCGTGAGGCTGTATCTCATATGAGCGTGGATATTCGATATGGTCGTGCAATCGACACCATCGAGGTACAACCTCCATGCCCGTCCAAGGCTTTGCCTGGTGTACGATCAGAACAAGGTGGAAACAGTGGGACGGTACGAAATGATACTCCGGAGGCCGAGACGTTCTGAAAAGCAGCATTACTACCTCTACCAGATCTCTCCATGCATGACAGGAACACAACTCCGGTCAAGAGTCAAGACCCGCCATTCCTCGCAAACCCAGAGCAGCCTTGGCAGTATTCTGTATCGCAGTACAAGCAAATATCATCATGGGCTGCTCCTCTTTCTACCGCCTTTGTTCTCCCGCAACCATCAGCTTTTGCCATCTCAGTAGCAGCTATCCCGTCGAGTGGTGCAACAAACTCTAGCCAGGCCCGTTCCTTCTCACTCTCTAAGTCGTCAATGGCAGCTTGAAGCATCTCAACCTCGATTATATCCTCTAATTCCAGCTCCGGGTCTCTCCTTTCATCCGCTAAACGAGACCGGGCCCCCTCCAATTGTTCCTTCAGGCTATCTCTCGTAGCTCTAAACTCACGGTTTGCTCGAATATGCGACGTAATTGCCTCTCGCTGGTCACTCAACTTCTGGATAATTGTTCTTTCCTGATGGAGTTCTCGGGATAGAACGTGTATCTGCTTCTCTGCCACCTTGCGCCATTTCGTTTCCTCGTCGAGTCGGTATAAGACATTTACAAGGTTTCCTTCCAAAGAAGCGTTGCTCTTTATCAGCTTATCACCAACATCCAAGGCCTCCACAAGACCGCCTTCCAGAACAGTTTTACCTTTCGCCAACTCATCTGCAATGCCCCTAACGCGGTCAATTACATCAGAATCCAGCTGCTTTCTTTGCTCATAGCTGTGGGAAGCTGTTGCGACTTCAACGTGCGTAATGGTCCCTAGACCTTGCAAACTAGAATCCGGCGCTCTGTATTCGTGTAGTTCGCTGTTTCTTTCTAGTTGTTGGGCCGATAGCTCAAATGCTTCCCTCGCGTACTTTCTATGTGGCGACTGATCATCCAATTCTTCGTCTTTGGGCTTTTGGATTGAGATATTTGCAACAGCTTCCCGCCTAGCAGCGGAAAAGCCTGGCATGCTAAATTGGATCGAGGGCTTGCCTGCCTGTTCCCGACCATCCGTAGGCTCAAGGTCCAGTGACATCCACCCGTCGGCATGGCAAGTGGGCAGGTGCTCTAACCCGAGCCCCTCGACATAACCTTCCTGGCTTTGGTGGTACATGTCATCATCATAATCTCCTTTCACTAATTTAAGATGTCCTTCAAGATATGGCGCCATCCAGTTGACATCCGCTTGCTGGAGCTCGCATTCCTGGCCGGTAAGGTAGGCTATCAAGCGGAGCAGACGATATGCATCGGTTTGGAGGAGGCTTGCAGTTCTCTTAACAACGCTCGCTGCCATCACCCACTCCGTATCCGTGTTATCCTGGAGTTTATTAGGTTCTTCGTTCTCGCCGCCTTCACTCATCCTCCATTTTATCAGATACCTTTCGAGTTTCGTCCCTAGGTCTGCAACGGGCAATTGACGTGTATCGTCCCCGACGCCCGCCCCCTTTAGATCATCTCGCCCCAGATCCTGGATTTTCGATTGCTGATTCTCTAGAGAATTTATCCAACTTGTCGCGAATTCAAAGTCACCTGACAGGCGATTCTGCATCTGCTCACGTACTTGTTGTCTCGCAACAGCTTCCTGTATTTCCCAATCCTCCTCGTCTGCCAGACGATGTTCCTCTTCGAAGTCGTGGATCTGTTGCATCTCCAGTCTCTCATCCTCCGAGAAGCTCCTACTCAGCATTTGGTAGACCTCCTCTAAGTCATCTTCTGTTGACATAGTTGCAAAGATCGTTAGACGGTGAGTTTGAAGGCTTAGCAATTCTCAGGGTGCTGCCAGCCAGGCGGATATGATGATGAAAATAAATGATAGGTCTCAATGGAAAAATATGGCGATTCTAAGTTCATCAACCCCGTTCCTTTGTTCAACTCTGTGCTTCATTCTCAATGCTCGCATAGCTCTATCTCAAAGAGACCTATGCATAGAGCCTTTGTCCCGCTTCTATAAACGGCAGCCAATACTCTCACCGTGCTTGCCACATCGAAAATGCAAAAGCAGGGCATTATTAGTGTGACCGGCCAGTCTTTGAAATTTCGCAATGACGAAATCAGGGCGGTCCAAAGAGAGGATACTTGAACTTTCTCTTTATTGAAACTTTACATTATTGATCCACAATCCGTAACGTACATTTGCAATTTGTGCTTGCCATTTTAAATTCCAGAGATCATGCAAGATTATTTCGGATGTCTCGATTCAGCTAACTTGGAAACAAGCTTTTTGTGTGCCAAATAAAGTCGAGAGCTTTATCCAGTGGTGAGTCTCGGAGAGCGGAGCGTGAACCGCCCGCATCCAGCCGGCAGTTGAAACAGTGCCCAGGTATTCGACGGGCCATACTCCAGATTTGTCGTCTTTTTAAGCACATGCCTGTCAGTAGTGGTCGGTTTGGCTAAACAACATTAAGCGGAAGACGGGCCTGTGGGAGATTTAGCCGCAATGGGATATATTGCAAACTTGTCCCTAGTAGTGCTAGTTAGCATGGCGTACGAGGCACGGTCATGTGGCTGTCAAATTGATTAAGTCGATAGCAGAAACTGGGGAGACTGTGGGGCAGACCTGGAAATCTGGGGAATCGGGCGTCGTCCTGCATACTATCGCCCTCCCTAGAAAGCCACGGATGAACCCTTGGAATGTCCACATGCGGCAACTCAAGGACCGAAGCAATATGGCTGTAATGACATGCGCGTCAGAGGTGATCAAGGAAAGAAGTATTTCGGCGTGCTATCCGTGATAGCCGCGTGGCTCTCCAGGACTATAAGAATGAAGGGAGGTACCTGTTGGAAAAGTGACAGCTCCCTCTTCCCATCCCATATATACATATTTAGCGGTTGTCTGAGTTCATCATGAAGGCCGTTGCTTCCATTCTTGCCCTCGTGGCCACAGTTCAGGCTCATGTAAGTCGTCCATTGATAACATTTCTTTTGTCCACCAGAAGTCGTTTTACGATTCATCCACCACCTTTTACTTTGCCATACTAAAGCCTAGCAAACTCTATTATTTCTACATCTGGTTGCTAACTATAATTCTCAGTACACCTTCCCATCTCTCATCACCGGCAGCACCACGACACCTGAGTGGCAATATGTGCGCCAATGGACAAACTATCAGTCCAACGGCCCCGTAACGGATGTCTCCTCCCTCGACATCCGATGCAATGCTGGAGGAGCCTCTAAGTCGGCCGCTGGGATTCAAACCGTTGCCGCCGGCTCTCAAGCTGGCTTCACTGCCTCTCCAGACATTTATCACCCCGGCCCACTGATGGCCTACATGGCTAAAGTGCCCTCCGGCAAGACGGCTGCTAATTGGGATGGAAGTGGGAACGTGTGGTTTAAGATTTTTGAGCAAGGGCCGACGTTTGGCAGCCAGCTGACGTGGGCAAACAACGGTATATACTTTTAACTCCTCCCTCCATGTCCTTAGACAAGTCGGTATACTAACATTTCATACCCAATAGGCTATACCAAAGCTATGTTCACGATCCCTAGCTCCGTCCCCGCAGGCGACTACCTCTTCCGCATTGAGCATATTGGCCTCCACTCAGCATCTGCCGCCGGCGGTGCACAGTTCTACATCTCGTGCGGACAAATTACAGTTACGGGCGGTGGATCAGGAACCCCAGGCCCGCTTGTTGCGTTTCCTGGAGCGTATAAGGCAACGGATCCGGGACTGATGATTAATATTTATTACCCAGTTGTGAGTACTCCTTTGGCTCTGGCCTTTGTTCGGGGTAAGGCAGGAATGGGAATGCAATGATGCTAATGAGTGCCAATAGCCAACCACGTACCAGATGCCCGGTCCTGCTGTTTGGAAGGGATAAATCACCTAACTGGGTAAAATTTCGGGTGTGATAGGGGGCGGGAGTAAGATGTAACGGGTATGACTGATGTATGTTAGGGCAGATGGGGGGCATTTGTGGCCATGTCATAAGCTATGGTTGGGTGAATATATGATATTATATCCATACAGAAACTTGTACTACGTACCATGTCCGCTATTCAAGGCGCAGGTTTCTTGAAGAAGGTACTTTGAAATCGAAACTTTGGTGGCCGAGACTCGTAGGAGACCTCCAATCCGACCGCTTATTCTTTTCTTATCTCTTTCTCTTACCGCGCCGCGTCCCTTAACTACCGCCGACTTTAGCTTCCCAATACCCAAGAATAAGAAATGCACATTATCTGGGCCGTAATGAGATTCCCACATTATCCCTTACTAATCGTAGCCGTAGGAGGCTGGTAAGGCAGTCCTATCTGTTCTATACGTAGTGATCGATCTCTCATCGCATTTTTCTTACCATCTACAGTCACGAGGGCAAGCTACATTAAGAGTGTGCAGCATACTATTAATCAAAGCAAGCCGTGTAAAGGAGAGACCAAACAAACGTAAACATATATTCTTATGACCATGAAAGAAACACTACAACTAAATGACCACGCGTTAAATTAATCACCCAAAGCAGAAATGCATCAAATATAGTTATATGTAATATTATCACGCCTCAAATCCATCTAGAGCTTATATACCCGCACGACTTTACACTTAACCACCGCATAGAACATCGCCCAGCCAAAACAGACTCGAAAATACCAACATTAAAATCCAGGTATCAAGGTATCATAATGCACTGCGTCCCACCCGCTTGCTACCAACTCTAGGGGAACATCCTTGTCGCACCACCCATCCATCATTCTGTGCCCAACATCATCAGTCATTTGTAAAGGTATGGAGACGCAACCCGACGCAACCCAGTCTAAGTAAGGCAGCAAAAGAACAATGCAACCAAACCCCGCGAGAAACAAAAGCAAACCCAGCCCGCCTCCATTAGCATACCAGTCTATATACTACCGATTCCGATAGCCAGAGCAAAGATTTTGCACCCGGCTAAAAACATAGACAATGAGGAAGGCTCAGTGCCGTCCCCAGGACAAAAGCCAACTGCGCCAAACAAGCAACAAAGATGGTATCATGAATTCCAAAACCGAGCCAGACCCAGACATAGACACAGACCTAGTAGCTCCTCCCCAGATATATATAAGCGAAAATGCGGGCGGAGGCTTGCGGCAAAAGAAATCACGCCTAAACACAAGAGCTATCCCAACCCAAACCGTGAAGCGTCTGTAGTATGGGCTGCTCATGAGATACAGACCAGGGCACCTACACAGGGCGAACACTATGCATTACAAGCACAGAGAGTCTCGTAACATGCAATGATTTAGAGGCTCATCGTCAGCCATTCCCATTCCTGTGGACCGGTACCCGCACCGGCTAACCCATGGTGACTAGCCATGACCGCCCCAGAAGGTTGTCCACCCATGCTGCCAATATTAGGCATTGCTGTGCCTCCAGGTGCTACTGACCTCGTCATTCCAAAACTGTTTGCAAGATCCATATTCGACATGCTACCCCCGGCCCCAGCCATTCCCGTACCCAGAGGCTTCGCTGCTGCTTCGTTGGAGCCTGACGAGGTCGCTGGAGAGTCAACGTCCATACTTTCGATAGCGCTCACGCTCTTGCTATGGAGCCTTTGCCTCTTGGGCGCCACCGCAACACTTGATCGAGGGGTGGTCGATGCTGTTGCACCTGGCCCAGGGGTCGCTTTAGGGGGTGCAGCTGCAATGGGCACAACACCTTTACCACCGCTGACTGCAGTCGTACCCACCGATGACCCTGCAGAACCGTGATATGACGTCGGCGTACTTCCTGCAGTGCTGCTTCCATTCCCCACAGAGCCTGTAACAGCTTGGCTCTCATTGGGGCTCCTTCCATGAGCACCGGTAGGCGTCGTATTCGGCGCACCTGGTGCTGTGTTGCTAGAGGCGACGACGAAATTCTTTCTGGTATTCGACAAATTACTTGATGACGCACTGCCTAGCTTCTTCGATCGGGTGGAAGATCCACCAGATCCACCGATAGGTATGGAGGCACCAGAGCCACGGTTGCGTTTCTTGATGACGTCTGTTTTCAAAGAAAGTGGTCGAACAACACCATGCAGCTTTAGAAAGAGACCACAGGCGTTGCAAAGCGGGTGTCCCTCTGCATTCCGCCGCCAAAGCGGTGTGGTTTGGGTGAAGCAGTTCGTACAAGTAATTGGGGCTCCATTTTCCCCTGGGGTGCTAGCAATGCTAGCAAGATTGGTAGTAGATCCATGCTTTGTACTGCCTGGAGTTGACGGGCGGCTAGGAGCCACAGACGAGAACCCCGACATGTTACTTGGATCTGCCGGCGAACCTGGGGTCGATTGAGCCGCATGGTCAAACATACCGCTATTCCGTTGCCCCATCAAAGCAGCATTGGGGGTAGAAGCCGTACGTGGAATCTTTTGCCGTCGGTCACTGTTATTCCTTCCCACGTTGTCGGAGGGAGACTGTACGGATCCTTGAGTATGGCCCAAAGAGCCACCTGAGCCATCCCATTCAAGAGAGACAGAGCTCATGTCGGTTGTCGTTCCTCCAATTGTGACTTGCTTCCTTGGTGGGCCACCTGGGTAACGTGCAGCCTGCGTGTTAAATGATTTGGGGAGCGGAGTATCCCATGGCAAAGATCCACCGGGCCCAGTGTCCATCTTCGAATCGTCCATCGGGGATGGCGTGAAATCGTTTTGCATTATGAGGGTGCGATCAGCAAATGCCGCCCCTTCCTCATCCTCGTTGTCCGAATCTGCCCCAAAAGTGAACATATTTTCGCTGCCTGTATTAATGCCTGGCGACCGGGTGGAATGATCTGGCTGGTAAACCTGACTCGGATCAATATGCTGGATCATGCCAAACGAAGCGAAGGCATTGCTGGTCCCCGGGGGGTTGGCTGAGGTGAACATCGGCCCTCCGTTGGCATTGTACATGTATTGAGTGGCCATTGAGTTGGAGAAGTTGGACGCGGGGGCGTTGAAGGTATTTGAGGCTGGATGTCGCATATCCATGCCTTGAAAGTACATATGTTCGTTTTCCAGGATTGGTTGTGGGGTCGAAACTGCGGATGGATAGGCACTTCCCGGCGGTGAATAGAAGTCATTTGAATTCATTGAGGAAGAGGGCATTGACGCGTTATTATAAAGGGCGGAGAAAGGACCATGATGCACGAGAGGGGAATGAGATGGCGAGAAGGAGAAGTTCTGCTGGAAATGCCCCGCAGAAGCGGCTATGGGATCCTGCTCCATATTAAAGGTATCAAGATGAAATGGAATTGCTGGGTTATTATACTGTGACATGTCGGGGAGATGATGTTGATCCAGGGAATAGTCATGTATATCGGTATCATGGTCTGGATCGCTGGGGATTGCTATTGCACCCACAGCTGAAACGTTGGGAGAGAAGTCTGCTGGGCGTTTCCTCGTCTACGAATCGTTAGTAAAAAGTAGGCTCCTTATCACGAGTGGCGCAATGGGAGGCAATTAAGAAGTCTGGGATTAAAGAAGTAGCAACTCACGCGTCTCTCATCGATGCTCGTCTTTCGAATATGTCGCTGAACATAGTTGAACTCTTCATCAGTCCGAGGATTGTGGTGGGGAACAGGAACAGATTGGGGGATCGAGAATTGCGAGGACTCTTTTCGCATCTTGATGGGGATCGCCGAGGCCAGCGCATTGGAAGACTTCTCGGGCTCATTGTTGCTGAGTTCTGGGGAGAAGGACATGCCAAGCCCAGCCGGCGTCGAGATATCTTCGGAGAATACAAAGTCGTCGATATTCATCGCATCTGGATCCTCTGCAATCGTAGCGGCCCTTTTATCCGACGACTTCCTTAGCTGTGCAATGCCACTAGGAGTGCTGGTGGCCTTCTCCTTCTGCCTGGCCAATCTGGGAGGGAAGACAAGATTAGAAACTACACTACACTACATGCATAGCGGAAATATCTGGAGATAACATACCGAGATGCTTCCTCCTGCTGCTTGCGCGTCCGTAGATTCATGGCCATCATGCGCCATGAGAGATTTTCCATCCGCTCCTGATTGGGCAATTGCTTCTTCGTCTTGCTGTAGAGCCTCCATATCTGGGTGCCCAATGGGTCCTTCCTCTGCATCTCATCTGGGCTCTCGAGGTCGTCGTCCGCGGCGTCATCTCTCCATGGCCGGAAAAAGCTCTCACGCAGCAATTCCTTGCGCGCACTGGCTGTCGCCGAATGATCCAGCTTGTCCCGCGCGGCCGAAAAGCTCCCGTTGGTATGCGGTCCCGCGACTGTCGTCCTGGCTTCGCTCTGTTGCTGGTGGGCGGGTCTTCGAGGGAAACGGTAGTCGTGATCTGTTATTGACGTTGATGATGATGAGGGTGTTGGGTTCGACGGCGCCCCTCCGCGCACATTCACCGTGCCAAAGGCGCCCTGGACATTGCGCAGAATCCCCCCACGCTGCTCATAGTGCGGCGCTGCGCCAGACATTGAGGGACTGGGAGCGACGACACCGAACACTCCTCCTCCGGCGGACCGGGCTTTGCTTTCTTGAGGTGAATGATGAGCGGCGCAACGAGGAGAGAAGCCGGCGTCCGGATTTCTTCGGGGCGTGTGGTTCGGGTTGTGGTGGGCGAGGACGATGTTTGGCGATTGCCCGTCGTTAGCTCTGGCTCTGTGGTGTCGTCAGGTTTTCCTTATCCGGGTCCACCGCACGGCGTAGTAATGAGGCCGTTTCCCTTGGATGTCTGGCGTCTGGCGGACGTGGGACTGGGAAGCGAGGAATGCGACGCCGGTGGGGGATGAATGAGCCTGAGTCCTGCGAGGAGTCGAGGATTGAGTATCGAGTATCGAGGATCGAGGATCGAGTATCGAGGATCAACGGGCCCAGGCCAATGGGGGCGATGGTCGTTGTGGTTGTGGTTGTGGTTGTCGTCGACCTGGCTGAGGGACAGAGAAGTATCGAGTACACGAGCGCGCACACGCAGGTACTCGTAGCGTCTCTGTATAATAATAATTATTATTATTATAACACAGTGCTTCGTACTGGCGTGGCCTGGCTGTAACTTTTTTTCTGATAAGGGCGCGACGACGTTGTAGTCGCAAGCTGCAGTCAGGGCAGTTGTAGCGGCGATCCGGGTCGGCGTAATAGCATACTGCGTGGGCGTAGGAGATGTTGGAGGTGTGGCGGTCGTCGCAGCTGGAGTTCGACCAGCTAAGGAGGCCAATTCACTCGCCAGTTTCCGAAAACCTGTATAGAAGCACTCCCGAGATAGATATACACATTCACCTTCACCTTCACAGCACCGCACCTGCAAATGGCTTCCGAGCAGAGAGTGCTGGGCAGAGCGTGGAGCGTGGAGCGTGGAGCTTCGTAGAGCGCAGAGTCTAGAGTCTGCTACTACTGGGAGCCTCTCCCTCTCCCTCTCCCCCCCAATTCTCCCATTCTCCCATTCACCCATTCTCCCACTCTCCCACTCTCTGGCGCCACAATAGTCCCCGTCTCACAGCCCGATAATTATCAAATGTCCACTATTCAACGGGCCTACAGCCCGGCCGATGGCCCCACAGGGGAAACCTACGTACTGTCCTGTACGAAGTATATACCACCTATATGTAGCACCTACGAGAGCGTACGTAAAGTACCTTACGGAGCAAACCTCCAAGCTGCCGATATCACCGAGCAGTAGTGAACACCCACCCACTTCCGTACTACTGATGTTTTGATCATTGATCATTGACTATTGATCATTCATCCCGCCTACAAGAAGACCGCATCTTTCGGAACCCCGCGGGGGGAGCCGAACCGCAAGAACTATGATTCCCAGCAAGAGGTAAAGGTGGGAGATGGAGAAGTCAAAGGTAAAGGTGCTGGCTCTGTGCTATTTGCTTTGCCCTCTGCTTTTGAGTCTGTCCCCCCGTTAAAAGCTTGTGGTAAGTCGCATAGCAACTCCACGACTCCACGCATGGGGTGGCAGGTCGAGTCGGGTCGATGCGATGCGATGCGATGCGATGCGAGATGCACTACTTCATACGGTGCTTGCCAGAGCCCCTGCCTGACTCGAGCCATCAGCTACTACTAAGAAACTCTCTCTCTGAAAAGCCTCCGTTCGGACTTCGACCCCTAGCCTCCCGTCTTTTAACACCAAGGCCGATTCTACTGAAAGCATTCAGCATGGTTTCAATGTGAAAGTCAATGTGAAAGTCCGGCATCCCATAGCCTGAGCCCTTCCTTGGTACTGTACGTCTTGCTGAAGCTGGGAAGCCCAGGTGTCACTTGGCGGTGAGCAACGGAGCCAGCTGCTAGATGTTCCTTTCTAATAAGTCTCTTGGGCCTGAGCAGTGGCAATGGCAGATGCAGACGCAGATGCAGTGGAAGGGCAGGCTGCATGTACAGGGCTGGTGTACAGTACAGCACCCTGTGCGGGGGGAATCAGCAAAGAATGCATGAAACCTACCTTGCGGAGCACACCGTGAACTCAAGTAGCTTGAGTGGGGGTTTGGAGAGGAACTCGCCATTAAAGCTTCTTTACTCGTGGCGGTTCGGGCCCTGGGTTGGCAACTCGAAGGTGGAGCACTACTAGGTAGAGCTTGTGCCCTATTTTCTTTTGGCGTCTTCATCTTCTTCGTCAGTCTCGCCATCCTCCTGGCTTCCTGGGATGTATTGCTTAGTTGTATTTTGAATCTCTCATAACTGCTATACACTGCCTTTCCAATGGTGGGATGCAATTCGCAGCTTCCGGGAAGTCCCGGACACCTGCGAGAGGACTCTCTCCAGATGCCCACCTAGAAATTTCAATATCGAGCCCCGACCATCGGCTGGTTCGAGGGCATATACTTCCGTATAATTCGGCGGTATGCCTATAGCCGGCCGCATAGCACAGTACGTCGGATGTGGTCGTCCAGGAATCTTCCTGTCCGGCTATGGCGTCCCCATTTTCAGGGTTCGCTTGGCCCGGGAGCCAGGGGTATCGCATCTCGTACCAGAGTACAGTTACCAGTTACCAGTAGTCTGTACTCTGTACTTGGTGGTAGTCGTGGTTGGCATAGTACTCGAGTACGCGTACTCGTACGACAAAGAATATTTTCAGAGTGGAGATTTACATGACTTTGCTGGGGCGGCGACTGGTAGTGGACGCCGCAACCAAGAAACATATGGAATGCCGGGAGGTCTCGACGGCGGCTGAAGGCGGCGTCTCCTTTCCATGATTATATAGGATCTCAATCTCCAGAACATGCCTTATTCCTAATTCCTTGATAACAAGATTGTAGGTCCCCAAAGCTGGACCATATCCTGTCTAGTATGTGGTTGGCCCTGATCAATCATGGCTGCTCTTCAATACTCGTACCAAGTTAGAAAAGAACTACCGTCTGAAGAAAAGGCACCGCTAGTGTTGGCGCCCTTCTACTTAGCACCTAAACAGTAGAATAAAATAGAGATGCAGCCTCTCATAATCTAATCGCCCACCTATGTGTTGAAGGTTGTCCTGGATGTCTGGCAGGGCGGCTAATGAGGTGGGACCGCACAAGCTTAGGCATTACATCCCGAGGCTGCTCCTAGCGGTGATTATCGGCCGTTCGAATATGGCGGTTTGTTTGTAGGAAACACTCGTACAAGGACCACAATATCCAGGGGTTTCGACCTATCTCTTGGTTACACCCTGGAGACCTAGAATGTTGGTTAAGCGAGCACGTATTGGACGACTGTTTATGGCGAGTGATATCAAAAAGGATTCTGATTTTCAGAGACATTGACGTCAGTATGTGCAGGGTTGAGCGCCCGATAATTAACGTTAAAAGAACGTGGCACGTCTAGTGCAAACCTTAGAGGGATAGACATGGGCCAGAGTGTGCTCCACAGTCCATAACCCCTCCGTCCAGCTGGGTTGGGAGTCTTGGGACTCTGTTCACTCCGTAGGTGTTCAGGAGACCATTTTGCTGGCCTAGGGCCCTGACAATACTAACAGAGCCAGATGGTATTTGTCCACTTCGTGGGCCAAAATATCGTCAAGGAGTAGCAAGGTTCAGTGATTTAGTAGCAACCGCATACATTTAGATACTTTCTCAAGCACTCATTGAGAGCAAAATCCGGGCATGTATATAGCGGTTCACGCACGCCCTTGCTTTTAATCCTAGATTCCGTCGAAGCCGAAGCCGAAGCCGAAACCGCATCGAAAGAGTGAGTGTTGTTTAATAAATGTTGTTTGGTAATGCAAATGATTTGTATGTGTATCCCATACTCCCTAACACAGTCAGAACCACCCTTATCGACTCCATAATTGATATCCCGAAATGCCATCGCGGCGATATGTCTAGTGGTCTACTTCGTAGTTGTTCCAGGACATTAGGCCGAGCCTACGAAATAGTGGCTAGTAGCGCATTCCGAAAACTCCCGAATGCCACCTTTACAGATGTTAAAATTCTCGAAGGCGATTTGGAGATCCAATTAATATGGGGAGTCTCACTTGCGCCAGACTTGCTGAGCGCTCCACTTTCTGACACGTTGCGGCCGTAATAAGGCCCCAGAACCCTGGATTGAATTAGATTCCAAGTCCCATAGTGCGGCATATCTACCGTAGAGATGCGGATTCTGAGCGCCCCTACTACTTGGGCCGTCGGTGAGGCGGGTAGCAATTTGTGGGTTTTGTTTTTTTTGGATCGATTTATAGATTCGCTGCTTTACTCCGTATGGGCGACCTTGCCATCACACCAAGGTTGCTGTTTGCTCCCTGGTCAATACAGGATGCATGGCGTCTCTCCCTGGCTTTTGGTGCGTGGTGTTTAGGGGTGCCGGAACTATTTTGTCCATTACACCAATAGAAGGGATTGGTTATGTGGGCATCCATGAAACCTTCAAAGAAAACACGAGATATTTTCGAGGAGGCGATCGTCGACCGCAGTTTATCCATGCCGTCCCCGACTCCCCGGTATGTATCAACCAGGGCCACTTCGCCGACTCGATGGCATTTATTGCGTCGTCCATCGACTCCATCCTCTGTGGTCACCCTCCGCACATACAGCACAAAAGCGAGGGAACTGGGTTAAGAGCGAGTCAGGGCCTCGAGGTTATGGCGGGCCAGGCCTTTCGTTCGTCGTTGAGGATTCACGTCGCGGCGGTTGGGGACTGGAGAATTCGCCAGCAGTCGCTCTAGATTTTAGAAGGACCATTGCGTTCAATGAACCTGAATATGCGTTTCCCGCTCCTGCCCAGGAATATTGGCTGATTGCGGATGTTTCGAGCCTTCCCAGCGAGGGCACGTAGTGTAGCTGGCCCTCCATTCTGACATGTGCAGATGCCCGCTATGGACTGTAACCTGTCCTCCGTACCTAGTAATGCAGCTGAAGATGTGGCCTGCAGATATGGTAGTAGTGTTGTGTAGTGTAGTGTAGTGTAGTGTAGTGTAGTGGGTGAGATTATTCCCGGCCTCCACTGATAACGCCCCATGGGATGACGAAAATACGCGACACAGGTGCGAGATAACCAACTCTGT